AATGGAAAAATGACGTCATTTTTCATTTAAGAATATTTGCGCCAATAGTTTTTTTAGAAAAGATACCAGTTTAAAATAAATTTCAAGTGGTAACTCAAGGGGTCTGGATAGAATATACGTCATCTTGGCAATTTTCGGAAACTGCCCTGTAGAAAAAAATTCTTAGCTCCGAAAAATCGCAAATGACGTCATTTTTCTAGTTTATGGGATCTTTTTGGATTTGACGCCATAAAATGGAAAAAATGACGTCATTCTTCTATTTTATGCGATCTTTTTTAGATTTGACGTCATGAATTAGAAAAATGACGTCATTCTTCAATTTTTTCGACGTCGAATTCAAAGTTAATAATATTTCCCACGGGACAGTTTCCGAAAATCGCCAAGGTGACGTATATTCTATCCAAATCCCTTGAGTTATCACTTGGAATTGCTCTTTTTTTTTTGAGAAAGGAGATTCATCTACCTTTTGGTTAATTTGAAGTACCTGAATGACGTCATAATCCTTGAAATCTTGGACTGAAATTTTTAAACCTTGAAATTCTGTTTGAATCAAAAAGAAGCAAATTTTGAGTTTTTGGAATAAATTCAGGTATTTCAAAGATTTCCCTTTGATCAACTTACTATTAGAAATGAAAAACAGCTTTTATGCGGATTTTAGTGACCACTTTAGGGATCTTCGAATTTTCTAAAAATCGCCACTCCACTGGAACTTGCAACGTTGTCATGTAGACGTGTTAGAGGGAACGTCGTTTTTCGGCTCTCAGCATCCCCCTTGAGGCCAAACCAAGCGGCAAAACGATGTGATTATCGGGGCATTCGGACTCCCACCACGAGTGGATCTTTTTTTCTTCTTCTTCGGTCCTTTCAGCTCTTTTTCGTGTCTTTCTGGGTTTTTTGTCTTGTCCAGAAGCTCCTTGGTAGCTTTTGACCTCTACTGAACCTCCAGAAGTAGTACTAGGAGCTTCTGGAGGTTCTGGAAACGTCTGAATATCTTCAGGAAGGGTTCAGATTTTTTCAGAAGCTGTAGGGAGCTTTAGAAAATTTGTGAAATTTTAATTTTTTTGAGTTTTTTCTGGGTTTTTTGGCTTGTCCAGAAGCTCCTCAGCACTTTGACCATTACTGAACCTCCAGAAGTAGTACTAGGAGCTTCTGGAGGTTCTGGGAAAGTTTGAAAATCTTCAAAGATTTTTGGAAGGGTTCGTATTCCTTCAGAAGCTGTAGGGAACTTTAGAAACTCTCTGAAATCTTTTTTTCGTGTCTTTCTGGATTGTCTTTTTTTTTTTTGGCTTGTCCAGAAGCTCCTTGGTACTTTGACCTCTTCTGTACCCCCAGAAGCACTATTACTAGGAGCTTCTGGAGGTTCTGGGAAAGTTTGAAAATCTTCAAAGATTTTTGCAAAGTCTACGACCTCTTCAGAAGCTCTAGGAATCTTTAGAAACTCTTTGAAATCCGGTTTTTTTTCGTTTCCTTCTGGGTTTTTTTTTTGCTCAATGGGTCGTCTAGAAGCTCCTTAGCACTTTTACCTCTACTGAACCTCCAGAACTAGTACTAGGAGCTTCTGGAGGTTCTGGAAAGGTCTGAGTATCTTCAGAAGTTTTTGGAAGGGTTCGTATTCCTTCAGAAGCTGTAGGGAACTTTAGAAACTCTCTGAAATCTTTTTTTTCGTGTCTTTCTGGGTTTTTTGTCCTGTCCAGAAGCTCCTTAACACTTTGACCATTACTGAACCTCCAGAAGTAGTACTAGGAGCTTTTGGAGGTTCTGGAAGGGTCTGAATATCTTCAAAAGTTTCTGGAAGGGTTCAGATTTTTTCAGAAGCTCTATGAAGCTTTAAAACTCTTGAAATCTTGCTTTTTTTTCGTTTCTTTCTGGGTTTTTTGGCTTGTCCAGAAGCTCCTTAGCCCTTTGACCTTTACTGAACCTCCAGAAGTAGTACTAGGAGCTTCTGGAGGTCCGGGAAAGGTCTGAGTATCTCCATAGGTTTTTGGAAGGTGATCATATTCTTTCAGAAGCCGTAGGAACCTTCAGAAACTCTCTGAAATCTGTTTTTTTTTTCATTTCCTTCTGGGTTTTTTGACTCAATGGGTCGTGCAGAAGTTTCTTGGTGTTTCAGGAGGTTCTGGAAAGGTCTCAGTAGCTCTATGATTTTTTTGAAGATCTCAGATTCCTACAGAAGCTTCAGGGTGCTGTAGTAACTCTTTGAAACCATGAATTATGATTAAGAAACTTAGAAAAACCCTGAACGACTAAGGTCCTCTTCCGTTTCCTTCCGAGTATTTTGGCTCTGCAAGTCGTCCAGAAGCTTCTTGGTGCTTCAGGAGGTTCTAGAAAGGTCTCAGTAGCTCTATGAACATTTGGAAGATTTCAGATTTCTTCAGAAGTTTTAGGGTGCTTTAGTAACTCTTTGAATCACAGATTATCTCTAAAAAATTTAGAAAACCGCTCCAAGAAGCACCTAGACCCTTTTAAGGATTCCGAGAAAGATTAATTAAGGTCAAAATTCCAACAAATCTTCTATTTGTGCTCAATTTCAACTTCTGCCCTCATAGATCTTTCAATATAAACCCAAATTCAAAAAGTAGGAAGTCATTTTGAAAATCCTTAACAAATCCCGAGAACCGCTGAAGACTTTTGAAGGTCTTAAAAAGTGCTTGGAGGCTTTGATAAGTTTCCAAGACATCATAAACATCAAGAAGCCCTCAGAAGTCTTGATAATCCTGAAGAAAATCTTTTAAAAGTTATAAAGCTCCCAAGAGGCTCCAAAATACCTTTACAAGCTCCTCAGAAGCTTTAAGAACCAAAATCTGAAAATTCCACTGCTTCAGACGCTCTGAGAAGACCTTCGTAGCCCTAGGAAGTTTTGAGAAAATCAAAAGACAAAAAAAAAATCAATGACTCGAGTTGCGATTTCGTAATAAATCTCTCAAAACCTTGACAGAACTCGAAGCATTTAAGAAAAAAATGGAAGCAAAACATTACGGCTGTAATAATGTGTCACCTGGTGGCGAGCAGTTTCAAAAAGAATAGAAAAACGCCCCCGGGGCGAAAATCGCCTACTTCCGAAGTCAAATCTCTTTCAAAACTCGTTCCAGGACCATTTTTGAGGAGTTTTGAGCGATTTATTGGCTTTTATTTGAATTTTTTCTTCCCTAATTGACGATTTCTAGGTGTTTGATTAGTAGTTTTTAGGAGTTGTCCAGAAAAAAATTTTTGAAGAATTTCTGAATTTTTTTGAGTTTAAATAATTTTTTTCGCTGAAAAAAACATTTTTCGATGTGAATTTAGCGATTTATAACTTTCTACTGAATCAGGCTTTCCTCAAAACCTTTTTTTGGAGTCGTTTAGAAGGAATTTTGAGCCTTTTTTTCGGTCAGAAGAAATATTGGGCTTTTTTTTCTTGGTCAGAAGGAATTTTGGGCTTTTTTTTCTTGGTCAGAAGGAATTTTGGGCCTTTTTTCTCATTAAGAGGGAATTTCGGACCTTTTTTCTTGTCTAGAAGGAATTTTGAACCTTTTTTCATGATCAGAAGGAATTTTGTGCCTTTTTTCTTGACTAGAAAGAACTTAAGGCCTTTTTTTCTTTCCGAAGAAATTTTGTGCCTTTTTTTTCTCGGTCTAAAGGAATTTTGAGCCTTTTTTTCTCGTTTTGAAGAAATTTTGGGCCTTTTTTCTCGTTTTGAAGGAATCTTGGGCTTTTTTTTTCTTGTTTAAAAGGGGTTTTAGGCCTTTTTTCTTGTTCAGAAGAAATTTTGGGCCTTTTTTTCTTGTTTAGAAGGAGTTTTTGGGCCCTTTTTTCTTCAGTTTTTTCAATTTTAAGGTTTTTCAGCTTTTTCTCATAAGCTCAGTTTCAAATATTGTAATTTTAGTCCCAAAATCTTGTTTTTTGGAACTATAACGAATCATCTACTGTTGTAAAAGTGAAAAATCGTAAAAATCGGTGAAAAATTTTCCAAACGAAAACTCGAAAAATGACCCGAAATATCAAAAAAAGAAAATAAGCAACAAGGATCCTTTTTTAAGCCCCCGAAAAGCTTCATTTCAACAAATAAGCTCACCTTTACCTGGAAAAAGGTGCGCGAAAAGCGGGCAACTGACTCGACAGTTGCCGCGTCCAAATCGACACCTCCATTCGATCACTTAACCGATATATATTCATCATATAATTTATGCGCGACGTGCGCAAATGTCTTCCGGTCCTCGGCTTCTCCCTAATTTGCTTCCAATCATTGCTGTTTCAACAATCTTTAGGAAACACTTGGCCCTTCGTAGGCACTATTAGACTGTGGTGTATAGAAAATTTGATTTTTTTTTTTTACTGAGCTTCCTCTTTTTTTTTGAATCTGATTTATTGATTGATCAAAAGCTGATTTTATAAGCTTTTCTTGCAAGCTCCTGTGCTTTTTTCATAGCTGGGTGGTGGTTTGAGAATTTGATGAAACTTGGTATATAGGTACCCTGATTCCAATAAATTTGAAAAAAAAAGGCGCCTTCTTGGTTGTAGTCGAGTTACGGCATCTCGAAGTTTGCACGCGAAAAATGCATCGAATGGAAGGGGGGAATATCTCTCGGCAGCTAACTTCCACTGCCAGAAGGCGGCGTGGTGTAGTGGCTAGCGTCCTGCGCTGTAGAACCTATGATGCAGGTTCCATCCCTTTTCCGGTGAAAATTTTTTTTGTCATGAAGTTTTTCGAAAAAATTGATGAAGTTTTGAAGATGGAACTAAAAATTCAACTTTATTGGAATCAGGGTGTCCTAAAGTACCTATATACCAAGTTTCAACCCACCACCTTTGGCACTCCCCGTGTTAGAAGATTTTCAAAGCCTTCAGAGGATTTCAAAAGATCAAAAATGTCCTTCAAAACGAATTTTCAATTCAAACTTCCCTTCACAATTTCTAATCTACCATATCGAATCGATTTATCTGCGTTTTTAATCAGTCATCCTCTTCTAAACTCCACTTTGAAGCTTGAAAGAAATCTCAAAAGCCATGAAACAACGGTGGCGATGATCCAAAAGCTGTTGCTAATACTGACGGCAGACCTCGTCGGCGCCTTCGACGACGACCTCGGCGGTTTGTCTTTTGAAGGTTGGATTCGAACAGAGGAACCTATCCAATGGTGGATAAGAGCGCGATTAGCTGGGTCTCGGGAGTACTTCTCATGTTTTGTAGAAGCTTTTATGAAGGATTTTTAAAAATTATAGAACTCGGAACCTTTAGACGGTCATTAGAGGCTTCTACCACCTGAGTCAGGTCGAAAAAGTGTAGTATATCATAAAATATTCCAAGGCGGACTCATACCTGTGAAGGGCTTGAACCAGCAACCTCTAGAACGGTAGCCCAGCCCGCTACCAGCTAGGCCAAAGGAACAAAAGCTTCCATGGGACCATACTAACCCTATTTGAAGTTCAGTTGAAGAGGAATCGAACCAAAGACTTCTAGAGTGATAGCCAAGGTTTATACCATTTGAGCCGAGCTCAAAAAAGATTCTAAGTTTGGAAAAATGACCAGAAATCACTCCAAAGACCCATGTACCATTAGTCAAAACCGTTACAAACAGAGCCTGAAAATCTGAAATAAAAAAATGTTTCTCTGCCCCAAAGTGGAATCGAACCAAGGACATCTAGAATGATAGACAAGACCTCTACCAGTTGAGCCAAAAAAAACTTCTTAATAAAGTTTTTCCAGGTGCAGGCGCGCTGCCGAGACAAGTCGAATGCTTCTCCTGTATGTCGTTGTCCTACCAAACCAGCTGGAAATACCTTCAGGCTACCTATATTTACCCAAAGGTCGGGTATTTTGAGTTTTTACCATCCTAGATGAGTTTATGCAGACGCTCGGACCTCGGTAACGCAATCCGGAAGTTTTTGAGCGTTTTTGAGCGACCACTTTAGTGACGAGAGTACTCTTTAGGGATCCCTAGGAGCGCGTCCGGTTTGCGTTACTGAGGTCTGGAGGTTTTTATTATTTCTTTAAAATTTTGTTGTTTCCGTCCATTGAAACATTGAAATTGACGTAAAAACTGCTAGGAAAAGCTCAAAATCGGCCGCGTTGCGGTCGCGTCGCGGTCTCATGAGAATGGCTCATTTCCTGCAGGTTCTCACGGACCGTTGCCGGGATCCGAGAAACAACTTTTTTTTCTTGAACTGTTGAAATTCACGTGAAAGCTGCTAGAAAAGGCTCAAAATGAGCCGCGTTGCGGTCGATTAAAATAGCTTTTTTCCCGCAGGCTTTCACGGTCCGTTTCCGGGATCTTAGGAAGTTCCTGTTCTTTCCGTTTTTGGTGTCTTGAAATTACCGTTAAAGTTGCTAGAAAAAGGTCAAAATAAACCGCGTTGCGGTCGCGTCGCGGTCTTAAAAGAATGGCGGCAAACAGCTTTAAAATAAGCCGCGTTGCGGTCACGTCGCGGTCTCATGAAAATGACATCGTTTTCTGCAGGTTTTCACGGACCGTTGCCGGGATCCGAGCAGTGAACGCGGAATGCCGACCGTCATGTGCAGTAGCGTCTGCGTCTCGTTGATGGAACCCGATGTTGAAGCTGGTTTGGAATTTTTTCTTTGAAAAATCAGAAAGTTTTGAACTCTAGGAAGATTTTGAAAGCCTGAAAAAAATTTTTTAGAGGTTTTTTTCAAAATGTTACAGTTGGAAGGTATCAGAAACTTTGATAAACTTTTTAAAACTTCGTTATTTTTTAAAGATTTTCAAAATCCACTTTCAAGGTCTGGTTTTTTTTCGGCATTTTTTAGGATATCAGAATTTTCCGTCTTTTCCTATCATATCAAATTTTTGACTCATCAAACATTTTTACATATTGTCAGTGAAGTTATTTTGATGACCTCATTAATTTGATTTTACAGGCGTTTTCATCGGCTTCAAACACATACGAGGATGTCTGGATCGAGTTTTACGGCACGGATTCAATCAGTCGGCTCTGAGGACCCATCGGTTTCACCAAAATGTCAGTTTTTTTAAGTTTTGGTTCTTATTCAAGCCCTAAAAGTTCAGATTCTTGGACTTATTTTATGATTATCGTAAACTAAAGGCTCAAATTTAATCCATGATTTTTTGGATTTTTGTAACGCGAATCGGATGTGTAGGAGCATTTCTAGTGACCACTTTAGTAGCTTCAGCCTTCCTAAGGGATCCCTAGAACGTCCGGTTTTCGTTACCAAGATCCGAGTTTGATAAAATGTAAAGTTAGGGTTTTTAATTTTCCAATCAACTTTTAGAGGAAAGATGTTTTAACTTTATTTGGCACTGTCTTTCGTTTAAAAAAAGTTTCATTCGATTTGGACCACGGAGAAAAAAGTTAGATTTTTTTTTGTATTTCGGCTACAGTAATCCACAAAAGGGGCGGAGCCTGTCAAAACCTTTACTAAAAGTTTCAGAAGCTTATGTAGTTTTTGTGGTGAAAGGATGAGCTCAAAAAAAGCAACATGAACTTTTAGTGCCAACGGTTCATCGCTTTTCTCGGTTATAACTAACGATAAAGTGAACGGATTCGAATAAAGTTTATATTTTTGAAAAGCTCGTGAAATACTTCATAGAATCATGTAAAGATGAAGGTTCAGAACTAATGTCGAAATTTGAGCCGAGCCTCTAAATCTTACCATCTGAAATAATCCTTGAATGATAATTTTGAAGCCCTATTACTCGGGAACCACCAAACTGATCCGAATGAAATCCATATTTTTGAAAAGCTCGTGAAATTCTCCACAAGACTGTGTAAAATTGAAGTCTCAGAACGAAAATTGACTCCTGAGTCGAACCTAAAGAACTTGGCATATAAATGAATCTTTGAATGGTACCTTCAAAGCTGCAAAACTCAATAATCATCATATCAAATCGAATAAACTTCATATTTTTAAGAAGCTTGTGAAGTGCCCTACAAAACTATGTCAAGATGAAAATTTAGAAACCATTTTGAATTTTGAACCGATCCTCTAGAACCTTTGATTCAAGCTTCCTAAAATTTGCATGAAAAAAAAAATTCTTGAACGGCAGTTTTCAAGCTCTATAACTCAGGAACCACTAAACCGATTAAAATGAAGTTTATATTTTTGAAAAGCTTGAGAAATTCTTCACAAAAGGCTTGAGAAATTCTTCACAGAGCTATGTAAACTTCGCATGAAAAAAAAATCCCTTTAACGGCAATTTTTAAGCTCTATAACTCAGGGACCACTGAACCGATTTCAATAAAATTTATCTTTTCGAGAAGCTCACGAAATTCTCCATAAAACGGTAGCGAACACGAAGTTACAGAACCAATGTCGAACCCTAAGTCGGGCCTCTAGAAATTCCCATAAAACGTCTCAAAGTTGGAAGAGAATATCTTGACAGAGCTATGTAAACTTCGCATGAAAAAAAAATCCCTTCAACGGCAATTTTTAAGCTCTATAACTCAGGGACCACTGAACCGATTTCAATAAAATTTACATCTTCAAAAAGCTCACGAAATTCTCTATAAAACTATAGCGAACACGAAGTTTCAGAACCAATGTCGAACCCTAAGTCGGGCCTCGTTGTTCAATCCGGCCCGAGCCACGGATCCGCCGGCAATCGGCGACGTCCAGCTCTGCAGCTGCTACGGCGACCGTTGCAACTCCACTCAAACCAAACTTTACCTATTTTCCCTATTATTACCTTTAATTACCCTCCTTTTCTTTCGATCGCCACTAGGAACGTGAATTTTGCCATTTTTCGAGCCCAACCTCGATTTTTTTCATCTTTAATACCATCTTCTTTGCTCAATTTGTCTTTCTCTCCTTCTTTCTTTTGAATTTTTGAGAATTTCTCATCGATCTCACTTTATAATTCTCGAGAAAATGTCCTTTTTCTATGCAATTTTTCGTACATTTTGGTGACCCACGGGTGATTTTTCCTGTATATTTTTTTCGATTATAAATGATTTTTATAACTTCTTCTTTGAAAAAATATTCAATGCATGCTCTGAATTTTTATTTATTTATGAATTTTTTTACAGGAAATTTACAGAAAATTTGGAAAAAAATAAATTATTTCTGCGATTTTTCGGCCGGCTGTTGGTCAGACGGGTTGGTGTTGGTCTGAGCGTTTTTGATCGCCTGAAAAATTTGACCTTCCGTGAAAATTGCACATGGAAAGCTTGTCTAGAGATGTAAGTTTCCATTTAGTTTTTTTGAAATTTAAAAAAATTAAAAAAATTTTTCTGAATTTTTTTCCAGGTTTCCCTTTTTGACTAGAAAAAAACAGTTGAATCTTAAAAAAATTTTTTTGGAAATTCTTACAAAACGTGAATTTTTTTCTAAAATTTAATGAATCGTTGTAAATCCCAAGCGACCTTTCAAGGTTCTTAAAAAAACAAAAAAAGGCTTTTTCAAGTTCCAAAAAAAGTGAAAATAAAAATTTTTTTCCTTTTTAGGAATTTTCGGACTTCGCCGTGTTTCTAGGTTATTCTGGACTTATTTTTTTAAAAAAATTCTTCCAGAAACCTTGATTTTGCTTATGTTTGCGGAAATTATGATGGTTCGAAGAAATCATATTGCTGCCGCGAATGTAGTCTGATCGACCTTCGACGTCTTTTCCGGGCGGGGGACCGATTCTACAAATTTTTGACTTGAATTCAAGATTTTTTCAAGGAATTTCTGATTTTTAGAGGGGAAATTCGGTGGATAAAGTTCAAAAATGTTAAAATTTGGTGCAAAATTAGTGCTTTTCGAAAATTTCTAGCCAACACAATAAGAAATGAGAGTTTTCACAAAGTTTCAATGCAAATTCGATTTTATGAAGTGAAATAAAACAAAACCAACTTTTTAGCGGAAGACTGCATGGCAAGAAGTAAAACCAGAACGAGAAGAACGACAAAATGACGCATATTTGCTGAAATTTGGCGGTTTTATCAGTTCAACAAGGGGAGACGGAATCGATGTGGAAATGGAGAACCGAAATGAGTCACCGGCCATCTGTTTGCTTTTTATCGCTCCGTGTTGTTTAGATTGAGGATTTTGTGACAAACAAACTGGCAAAACAGAAAAAAAATAACGCTATTATTGGCCGTAAATGATCATTAATCCTTTTTCGTCGGGATGCGTGTCATGTTTAATTAGCTGAGGTGCTAAGCCATCCTACTGATTTCAAATTCAAAAGCTTGAATGAATCACCGCAATGTTAGTTATTTGAAAAATTAAAAAAAATTGAAAAAACGAAAATTTTCAAAAAATAAATTACGGCCGCAAAAAAGTACGCAGACACTCTGCACAAGTAACGCAATTCCACGCGCAGTTTTCAAATGATTTCACGTTAATTTTTATTGTTTTCTTTCTTTTTGCAACACGTGATAAGTTTAAAATGCAATTTTTTTGCAGCCTGGCTGGTTTCAAACTGTTCGGGTCCTTTTTGTTGAGAAATTTCGCGACGATGCCCGGGAAAATTGGCACCCATTCGGGTAAATTCCACTGCGATGAGGCTTTGGCTTGTTTCATGCTGAAACAGCTGCCAGAATTCAAGGATCACGAAATTGTAAGGTTTAGAAGATGTTTTCGATTTTAAAATGAATGAAAATTTGAAGGTCACGCGACCCAGCGGTCCACGCGACGTGCGATATCGTTGTCGACGTTGGCGACGTTTTCGATCACGAAAAACGACGTTATGATCATCACCAAGCGTAAAAATTGATCAATTTGATTGTTTTATGGATTTTGATCAATTTAGAGGCTTCACACATACAATGGATAGTTTGGGATCCCTGAAATTTAATACGAAATTAAGTTCCGCCGGCTTGATTTATGCTCATTATGGAAAAGCGGTCATTAACCAGGTTTTTCTGGGGTTTTTTTTGCGTGATTAACTATATAATTTTTCAGTTACTCGGTGGAAATGCGGGACAAGATCAGGTGGACATGATTTTCCATAGGATTTATGAAAATTTCATCGAAGGAGTTGATGCGGTTGACAATGGTATCCCACAATATGACGGATTGCCCAGGTTTCAATAGAATTTTTGGAATTTCCTCACAGTTATATTTAAGATACCGTATGCCCGGGAATTTGTCAAGCCGAGTGGATCATTTCAATCCGAATTGGAATGAAAATGATGTGAATCCCGATGACCGATTCGTTTTGGCCATGAATTTTGTTGGAGGTGTTGATTTTTGTTCAGATTTTCATGAACTTTCTGAAAAATCTGCCTTTTTCCGAATAAATAATGAAGCGGAAGTGTTATTTTGATAGTTTAGGCGAATTTGCGGATGCTGTGAAATATTTGGCCAATGTGTGGTGGCCGGCCCGTTCCTTGGTGGAAAAGGCCGTGGATTCCAGATTTTCGGTTAGTTTTAGTGGGAAAATAGGTAGAGGAATGAGAAAAGAAGGTTTTTTTTTTGAAAAAAACGTTTGAAATTTACAATTTGTTATGATTTTTTACAGTTTGAAAGGTATTTTTCATATTTTTTTAGGTTTCGAAATTCGGTTTTTTTCTTACTGTTTTTCAGTGAATTTCGTCGCTTATGAATGAAATATTGAATTTTACTCATTTTTAAAAAATTAAGGTCGACGATTCCGGGAAGATCATCCAATTGGAAGGCGGCGGAGTGCCCTGGAAGGAACACTTTTTCGAAATTGAAGCCGAAAGAAATTTACGCGGAGAAAATATCACTTATATCATTTTTGAAGGTTTAATTGGATTTTTTTATGAACATAATGAATTTTCAAGATTCCACCAGTCATCAATATCGAATCCAAGCGATCCCGACGTGCAAAACGGCTCAATTCGAAAATCGGTAATGATTTCGAAATTGTCATTTTTTTCCGGTTTTTTTGAGTATTTCTCATGATTATGCTGTTTCACTGAAGAAATATTTAAAAAAATCAAAAATTTTTTTCGGAATTTTTTTGCCACATTTTTTTGAAGTTTTTTTATAAGATTTTTTTCAATGTCGGGCCCTTTTTTTCTTGGTATTTCGCTCTGAAAAATTCAGATTTATGATTTATTTCAAGTTTTTGGAAGTTTTTAGAGAAGAAGTCGTGAAAATAAGGGGTTTTAAAGGATAAAAGAGAAAGAGAATTTGAGAGAATAGAGTATGTTTTTCATAAATTACCTTTTTTGTAGATTTTTATACGTCTCAGGAGTTCTGAAAGGCTTTTTGCTCAGTTTCAAAGGATATAATATTTTTTTAAACGTTCGAAAATTCCCTCTAGTGACAACTTTACCAATCCCTCCACTAAAGCTAGCAAAAGTGGTCCTTATAAGGGTTTCATTAAGTGGCCCCTATAGGGGACTTGCTGGTCGATAAGTTATATGAACTCTATGTGAATCTTCATGCGAAAAACGAAAAAATAACCTATTTTGAATAAAACCTAGCGACCCCCATAGGGACCACTACAGCTTTATGGCTAAGGGGTCATACCCTGAACCCCTATAGGGACCACCTTGATCTTACCCCTACAGGAACCCCTTTTGCAGTCGTTATAGGGTCTGTTTTACTCCTAAACCCTATAGGGACCACTCTAAAATCCCTAAGTTTAGAACACAGTTGCTTTGATGACCTTTTTAAACAATTTTTGAAGTTCCAGAAATTACCGACTTATCTCTTTTTTTAAATATCTAAAACGATAAAATTAATATTATTTGAAAATTTGAAGGCTCCCCCTACCGGCTGCTTGGCGGGCCAAGCGTGACGAAAAATCTCAGCGAAGTTTCTGGAATCCCCGGAGGCGTTTTTTTGTCCATGCCAGTGGTTGGTTTTGAACTCCGCTACCTGATTTTTTTAATATTTTTTTAAAGTTTAGGATTTATTGGTGGCAATAAAAACGCGTGAAGGGGCGGTGAGAATGGCTCGGGAAGCGTTGAAAATCGGCGGAATCGAGGTGAATTTTTCGTTTTGAAAAATTTTCTAAAAAAATTTTTCTGGGATTTTTTTGTAGAATTAGTATGAAGGAATGACAAAAAGTACAAAAAAACTATCATTTTTTTGGGTGTGTAAAAAAATTTTTTTCCGGTTGTAAATTTGAAAAGAGAGAATTTTTAGATAACGAAAAAAATGGTTTTTGTAGCAACTGTGACTTATAATTTTTCTCTGGAATCATTTTTTTGTAACGGCAATATTTCGAAGATTCGTTTGAAAAAAAGGCTTTTTTTGTTATGTTTTTTTGAATGAAAAAAATGTATGGAAAGGTAAGAAAAATTTTTTTAAAAAAACTATAATTTTTTTGAGCTGAGGAATCATTATGCGGTGAGAATTATGCTAAAATAAAATATACATAACTGAAAAAAATAAATCTATATCTCAATTTTTCCTCTCGAATCATATTTTTGTACGATAATTTTTCTGAAAATTTAGACCATTTTTGGATTCTCATCGAAAATTTGAGCTTCCCAGTAGTTTAAAAAAAGTTGTTTCATAATATTTTTTTCAGATCGTTTGAAAAGTTTCAAGTTTTTTTCTATTAAGAGCTTATCATCGATTTTTTTAAAAAAATGTGTTTCTTTTACTTCAGTCGCAAAACGGGAATGAGGCGAAGGAGGCGAAAATCGACGATTCCACGGTCAAAGTGACGGACGCCGAAATGAACGCCTGATTTTTTTTGTTGATTTTTATTCGTTGAATAAATTTTTTCATTTTAAAGTCCGTTGTTTTGTGGTTGTTTCAAACCTGCATGTGGTTCTCCTTCCCTTCTACCTGTCGTCTTTTTTTAAATTTTAATATTTTTTTGCTTGAAGAAATTAGAGTATCATTAATTGCTTTGAAAAAGTGACGTTATCTTTTGAAAATTTGATTTTTCATGATTTTTTCATGAACTTCCAGTGGAACTTTTCTAGCTCAAAATAGAAAGTAGTGACGTCATATACTGAAGAATTTTGAGAGATGATGTCATAATAATTGGATTTAACTAAAATTAAAATGTGTATTATGTTTCTTAACCGTCTAGACGTCTTACTTCAAAAATAAATGATTATTTGACAGAAAAAAAACCTTTTTAAAAATTGTTATAGCGCATTCCACGTTAGGTTATCACGATTTTTATTTTCCCTCGAGCCTCAGAAGTCTTCCTTTCAATGCGCGCTTCCTGTCTGTGTACATGCGCCTTTAAGTTAGCCTAAATTTTGGGTTATACTAAAGGCGCATGCACATAGGCAGGCCAAGAGTAACGAAAAAAAGGTTCTGAAACTCTTAGGAGGTGCGCGGGTCCTATTTCTGCACATGCGCCTTTAATTTAGCCTAATTTTTCCGTTGTATTAAAGGCGCAGGCATAGAGAGAACCACTTCCTTCGAGCTACAGAACCCTTCCCTTCGATGCGCATGACCTGTCTGTGTACATGCGCCTTTAATTTAACCTAAATTTTGCGGTATATTAAAGGCGCATGCATACAGAAATGTCGCGGGTTTTGAAAGGTAGGGTTCTGCTATTAAAGGCGCAGGCCTAGGGAAGACCACTTTTTTTCCCTTCGAGCTACAGAATCCTCCCCTTCGGTGCCCGCGGCCTGCCGCTTTGTATGCGCCTTTAATTTAACCTAAATTTTGAGGTATATTAAAGGCGCATGCATAGAGACAAGCCCGCGCATTGAAGGGAAGGGTACTGTGACATGGATGAATGTAAAAAGGGAATAGTTGGCGCGGAATGAGCTATAAAAGAAGTTTTGACCTTTTAAAAAAAGCTCGAGTTTATTAATCGGCCCCAATTAAAGTTTAGGTAAAGCTAGGCAAAAAATGTCCGATGAGGGATGGCTAAAGTACGTCGGTATCACCTTGGGGACTAGCGCCATCGCCGGCATCGCTTTTTATTGGCTCCGAAGGGACAATCGGGTCGAAATCGAACGGGAAAGGACCCAGTGGATCGTCGAACAGCTCAAGTTGACCATGAGACTCAAGACTCCGAACAATTTGGGCTCTTAGGGACCAGGTGATGGTGATGAGAATGCAGTTGCGGAGCCTCGAGGCCGAGCTCTCCGAGGTGAAGAACACGGTGGCGACGGCGTCGCCCGCCATCAGAAGACCCACGTCTTCAACCCCTAGAAGTGTCACTTTCGCGGCTCCGCTTAGGACTGGTAGGAGCAGTGGGAGCTTGGGAAGGGGCAGAATATTCGAAAATGAGTCCTGACATGATAAGGGAAATAGTGCCTGGAAGGTGGAGAGTGCAGAAATGCATAGGGTTCATTGGTGAGATTACGACTAAAATAGCCTCAGTTGTAGAGCCGAATCTGGCTTGAGCCAAAGAAAAATGGGTCCCGACACGATAAGAGAAGAAACAGTGCCCAGATGGTGAAGAGCGCAGACGGGCGTACCCGGGAATAGCCTAGAAGCCTGATTTAGTGATTTATGATCATTTCAATGTCTCTAATCAAAAATCAAAAGCGAGAGATCAACAGCGGCCTGAAGAGACGCCAGACGAACAGAGTTTCTGGCGTCTTTTCAAAATAATGCTTCTTCTTCCCTTCTAATAATATCCCCTCAAGTGGATCGGTTGGATGGTCAACAGGGTTTTGAAGAGACGCCAGAGAAACAGGAAGCGTATTTTTCTCTGACGTCTCTTCAGGAAGTTGTTGATCTCTCGTCTTTCAAAAAGTTATGGTGAAGAAGACTTTTATGTCGATTTTTTTGAAAAAAAAGGCTTTATTATGCTTCATTTTTGTCTAAAGAATTGGTCGCATGGGGAATGGCTCGACTTTTTGATCATTTAGTGACTTTCTCTTTTCCTAGATTTTAGCGCAAGTCGTTTTGGGTCGGGGATCTCAGTTAATTGCTCTTTCTGAATCAACTTTAGCGAGTTTTCCTTTTCTTTCAGAACTGTAAGAGGTGTTTCCACATCCGGAATCCTAAAGAAACGAAAATTATTTTTCCCCCGATTTCCTACTAGCCATATTCTGCAAAATCCCTATAGTGGGTCTTAAATGACCATTTAGGGGGTTCTATAGGGGTCAAAAAAGAGATTCTTTCGTATATTTCTTCTTTTTCTCCAATCGCCACATGAAGCAAATGCTGTAGTGGGTCCCAAGTGACCATTTAGGGGGTCCTTTAGGGGTCCTTTCGAATACCTCCGTATCCACACCTATAGTGGGCCCTAAGTGACCATTTAGGGGGTCCTTTAGGGGTCCTTTCATATACCTCCTTAGGGGCTTTTTGCATTTCCCCTTTAAGAGCCACTCAGAAAAGCAACGACTTTTCAATTTTCGAAGTTCCAAGTCTTTTCACATATTTTCCGGTTTCAACGATCTTTGGAGATCCTTCTGAACCTCAAATAGTCCTCAGAATACTTTAGTTCCGAAATAACAACAAATTAGAGAAAACAACCGAATTCCAATCGCCACATGATAAGCAAACACCTATAGTGGGTCCTAAGTGACCATTTAGGGGGTCCCTTAGGGGTCCTTTCATATACCTCCTTAGGGGCTTTCTCCATTTTCCCTTCAGGACCCATTCAATAAGGCAACGGCTATCCAATTTTCAGAATTTCAAGTCCTTTCACATATTTTCCGGTTTTAACGATCTTTGGAGATCCTCGTGAATACTTCTCAGCATACTTTAGTTCCGAAATCACAACAAATTAGAGAAAACAACCGAATTCCAATTGCCACATGATAAGCAAACACCTATAGTTTGTCGAGAAAACCCGTTTTTTGTTTCCCCCAGCCGCGCCCTTCCACCTCGAGTTCAAGCTAAAATCAACCAATTATGATATTCTGCTGCTTCCCAAAAGTGTCCATAGTCAAGAAAGACCCCCCAGTCCCCCCAAACACGACGACTCCAGATGCCGACTCGCCGTCGACGTCTTCTTTCGCTGGTGACGTCACCCCGAAGCGGATTCAGACGTCGATGATTCCACGCAACTTCTCCGTCACTTCCGACTCGGAATACGCTGACGCCGAAGACGAATGGTGATCTATTATTTGGTGATGACTTTTTTGGGGGGTTCGGATCGATTTTTTCGTCATATTTGGAGCGGGTTGACCCTTTTTTGTTTAGAAGAGTAGATTTAGATAAAAAAAATAAAAAAATTAGGTTCATTTGTATGACGTCATTTTTGAAGTTCGGAAGTTCAATGACGTCATAACTGACGTTTTGAACATTTTACGTTTAATTTATGACGTCATTTTTAAAATTCGGAAAATCAATGACGTCATAACTGACGCGTGACTTTTTACGTTCAATTTATGATGTCATTTTTAAAATTCGAAAGTTTAATGACGTCATAACGGACGTTTAAACATTTTACGTTTGATTTATGAGGTTACCTTTAAAATTCGAAAGTTTAATGACGTCATAACGGACGTTTAAACATTTTACGTTTGATTTATGACGTCATCTTCAAAATTCTCTTCCTGAAGTACAATAATGTCACGTTAAAACATTATACGATCCATTTTTATGACGTCATCGTTTAAATTATTTTTCTGGGATTTAATGACGTCACGTTGAAACGTTTTCACCGTCAATTTTATGACGTTAATGACGTCATTTCGAGACTCTTGACAGTTTAATAAGACCTTTGAAACAATATTGGTATTAAGTAAAATTTTGCGAAAAATGACGTAATTTAAAAGTTTTTTACGAGAATTATATGACGTTATTTTCGAACTGATGACGTCATCAGAATTTTTTGAAGGCTTTTGGAAAGATGGGAAAATCCAAAAATGATATGAAAATGTGTATTTTACGGGCTTGTACTTTTAAAATTTTCAAAACGATTTGGAGCGTGACAAAATCGTGGCGTCACTGGGAAAGATCCTAATGACGTCATAATGCATTTAAAAAGTTCCATTTTCAACCAAAAACCGAAAAAAAAAATCCAATCGATCCGAATCTCTAGTTTTGTCCATGTTTTATTGATTTTTAACCGATCATTCCATTTTTTTTTTCACATATTCAATAAATTATTGCTTTTTGAAAGTCGTCTTCATCGTTCAATGTTACTTTCGATCACCTGTGTACTTGTCCCGAAATGGTCGCATTTTACAGATCTTTACCTTTTTTAGGGACAATGGAACCGTTTCGATACCGAATTTGTGCGATCCTTCCGCAAAGCCGATCACTATCAGTACAGTGGTTCGTTTTTTATCATTTTCTGTTGATTTTTCGAGCTTTTGGAAGAGTTTTCAACAACAAATTCGTAAGAAAAACTGTTTTTTTGGCGCTTTGAGTCATGGTTTTGATGTTTCGTGCGGGAATTTTGTGGCTTTAATTCATTTTACACGTTTTAAAACTATCAAAAGTTGTTTATGACCATTCTCGCCCCATTGGAATACTTCGAAAAAATCTAATTTTGGGCCTTTATAAGCCGAGGAAACTTCAGGGAAAATCATTTTTCGTATACTTCTGTTCAGTTTTCGCCATTTTCGTGTTGAATTTTTCCACTTATCTATGATTTCTACACAGTAAAATTGACTGAAAAACCGTTTCGGAATATCAAAAAAAATTTTGACTTCAATTTTGATGTTAGGGATCCATTTCAAAGCTAGAAAAAAGCTCGTTTTCTCGAAAATTGCCAGTTTTGATTTTTTTGGCGAGAAAATTCAAGCTTTTTTTCATTGATAGACAAGATTGTGAGCAGATTTTTGAGCTTCAGAACAACTTTTTATGTTAAAATTACCTTTTTGACAATTTTTCTTCAAAATCTGGACGTTTTCATGATTTCTACACAGCAAAAAAATGACTGAGAAATCGTTTCGGAATTTTCCAGTATTTTTAAAAATTTTTGGCTTCAATTTTAATGTTTATTAAGGGATTTTCACCCGCTTCAAACTTTAAATCGAGCTTTTTTTCTTGAACATACGCGAAATTTGAACTTTGAGAAAAATTAAGCTTTTTTTCCATCGATAGACAAGATTATGAGCATATTTTTGAGCCTTAGAACCACTTTTTATGCTAAAAATACCTTTTTTAACGAAAATTTTTCAAAATTTTGACGTAGTTCGCTGGAGCGCACTTGTCCTTTTTGCCAAGGGGGAAATTTGTTTGTCGACTTGAAATTTCTTCTCAAACTTCAATTTTTTTCTTTTTTTGATATTTTTTTCAAAGGTTCTGAGGAGTTTTAGGAATTTTGAAGGCTCTAAGGAGTTTCAGGAATTTTTTCCATGTTTAAAAGAATTTTTTTGAGTTTTCTTGTTTTAAAGGAGAAACGATTTTCTCCCTTTGAGAGGATGGACATGGAGCTAATTAGTTTATTTTTTCCAATTTAACTAAAAGCCTTTTCGAAATTTAAATGGCAAAAAATCGATTGTAAGTAGGGAAACATACACGGCAAATTGGATCGATTGCCCTAGAGATGTTTGTTTTTTTTTTCTTCTTTTTGGTTATTTGCCTCGTTTCCCAACGCCTCGTTTTCGTTTCAAAATCGATTTTCGTCTTATTTTTCGGGGTTTTGGGTGTAAAAATGGCCACGTGATTGTTTTTAGTATGAGTTGAGAAAGATGACGTTTTTTCGGACATAAATAATGGATCGTTCTTAGTTTTTGACGTTGTCATGGTCTTTTGAGTCAAAAAATTGGATTTTTCTGCTTTTTCTGCTAGAAAGTTGAGCTATATACTGTCTTTTTTATCAGATTTCATCATGAATTCAATTTTTTTATTCGTTTTAATTAAAAACGCTTCAAAATTTCGATCCTGATTCTGATTCATCAAGATTAATGTACAAAGTTGAAACTTACAAAATAAATGAAAAAAAAAAGCTCAAAATCTCGAAAACAAGCTCGAAATCGCAAAAAAAGCTCGAAATCTTAAAAAAATCCACGTTTTTCAACGGCTAAAAAAAATCCATTTTTGTCGATATTCTGAATATTTATTGAAATATTTAATCTTTTAGCTTACTTAACTTTAAAAATTAAGTAAAATCTTCAAATTTTTTTCTTCACAATAAGAAAAGACCGCCGACCAAGAAGTTCAACGAAACGGCCTCGAAAAATTTTTGGCGAAACCCGGTTTTTTTCTTTCACAAACCATACAGTTGATTCATCAATTTCGTCATTTTTTTATCCAAAAAAATGTTTTTTTATAGTTTTGAAGTTGTATTTTTTTATTAAATTTTTTTGGAGCTTGTGGTTTTTTTCAAAAAAAGTCGTCCTATAGTTCTGTAGACCATTTTTGATTTTTGGAAAGCTGTGAAAGGAAATGATAGTTGTGCGTCAGTGCGTGTTTTCTATGGCGTGTTTTTAAGCTTCCGAAAATCGGATCCAAAGTCCATCGGCTCCACTGTGGCCTAAGCCCTCAAAGAGCATAGAACAGCGTGTTTTTCTTGTCCCTCAAGTTTTTTTCCCTCCCTCTCGACGAAAGATTGATAGAAGGGCTTCTCAAACGTGTTGAAGATAAGAAAGTATTTTATCAGTTTCACCGTTTTATGTACTTCCAACGCGTCGAAAGCAGTAGTTTTACGGCTTTTTGACAGTTTTGAAGCCTTTCAATGACCATTTTTCTATGCTGCCTTGGAAAAATGTGATTTTGATAGAATTTTCGGCCTTTTGATCATTTTCCGAACGAAAAAATGAACTTTAGAAAAATTTCCAGTTCATTTAAGGTTTGAAATACGTTTCAAACGCAGAATATTCGAAATAATTGAAAAAAACTTTATGTTTGCAATAGTTTTTTTCATTTTTTTATAAATATATTGTCCTGGACAGAAATGGCTTAAAAAAATAAATTTTAACTTTTTTTAAATCTACGTGCAAGTCTATCATATGGATAGATAATTTTTGACCAAAAAATTTTTTTTGGCGCCAGAAAGTTGACCTTTTTTTGCCTTTTTCGATTTTTGAATAGTTTCAGGTCTTTTTTTCATTTTTAAATAGGTAATGTTTTTTGAAAAAAATGAGGCTTTTTTTAATCGTTCTTTGAACGTCTTGAACTTGAATAAATCTTCTTGATTGGAATTTTTCTCGTTTTTTTAAGCCATTTCGAACGTTTTTCTATTAATTTTCGGTCATCACAAAAAAATTTTTCTAGCTAGATTTTTCATTCATTTTTTTCGTTTCAAAACCTTCCTCTTTATGGGTTTTTTATATTTCGCGTCGCTTTCGGGTCGAATTTTTAACATTTGGGATAAATATTCTTGGTGACATTTTTCAGCGCTTTAACCAGCCGCTTTTTTTGACGAATTTCATTTAAAATCATGGTTAGTTTTTTTAATTATTAAGGTTTTCAAAAAAATGAAAAAAATGTATTTTCAGTCTTTTGCCGACGTCGATGCGCTTTTTCGGTACCGACCGCGTTCAGGAAGGATACAAATCCTTGAAAACGGTTCGAAATTTGATTTTTTTGAAGAAAATTGGTTGGAAAATGAAGGAGAATCTCGATTTTTGCTTGTGGAATGAAGAAAGACTTAAAAAATCGTTTTTTGATCGATTTAAAAGCTTTAAAAACAGATTTCGAAGCAAAAATTTGGTTTTTTTTTCTCAGATTACTCTCAAAAAAAAAAATCTGAATAAAATGATTTTATTGAAGAAAAATTGGTTGGAAATTGAAAAAGGAATCATGATTTTTTTGCTTGTGGAATGGAAAAAAAAATTTCAAAAAGTGGTTTTTTTCAACGACTAATGAGCTTTTTAAAAAAACTGTTTTAGAAGCGAAATTGGATTTTTCTTCTCAAAAATAGTTCTCAAAAACAACTTGAATAAGTTGAGCCATTCCAAATGCGGCCCACTTTTCTATTCGAGTTTCCAGAACTACACGAATGGCGACAAATCGGCCGAACTTCTCTGGCGACTCGCCAAGTTTTGCCACGAAATCGGCAGCAAAACCGAAAAATCCAAGAGGAAGGACATCGTGGCTGAAGGTTGGTTCAACAAGGAAAAAAGTTGGATTTTGAAATAAGGTTTATTTTTTGAATATTTAGTGAGATTTGACCGTTCAAAGTTCGAAAAAAAGGGGTTTTTTTTCTCGAATAACTCGATTTTGAGACGCTGGAACTATTTCAAAAATGAAAAGTCTATTTTTCCGGGCCAAAAAAAGTTTTTGAATAGAGCTGTTCATTAATGGATTGAGTTTGAATATGAATCTAGAATGTCAAATTTTATTTTTGAAAATTTTTTCTGCCCAAAACGAGATTTTTCATTGGATGTATAAGTGTGCCAAAATCAACAGTTTTGCTTTTGAAAACATATTTTCGAGCCGAAAAAAGGGAAAGAACAAATTTCCTAACTTTCTTCAGACCCAAGTTATGCGGCTGAGGCTTTTGATTGGATTTATAGTTGCCCAGAAAAGTTTTTGGTCTTGGAAAATCGGTTTTAGGTTTTTTTTTTCACCCCTTCTCCCTTTTTTTTTGAGTTATGAAGCTACAAAGTTTGCAAAATATGCAAATTGAATCAAAAAAGAGCTTTTTCAAGCTTTTCGAAGTTTCCTAATGAAGATTTTTTCGTAGAGATGTGAGCGTGAAAAGTCACCAATTGGTCCTGTAAAACCAGTTTTTAATCCTGAGACAAGTGTACTGTAAAAATGCCTAAATTTGAAATCTCAACATCAAGTTTTTTCGAAAAAGTTGTTTTTGGGCCAAAATACGCGGCTAAAGCCTTAGTTTTGCTTTAGAAGTTGACAAAAAAGCATTTATTTTTTCTTGAAATCCAGATTTCGAGTCAAAAATCAGTGATTGAACGTTTTTTCTAACTGTAAAGCCTTGAATTTTACTTTGAAACGTCAATTTTGCTCGAAAATACGATTTTCAAGTCAAAAATACCGGGCCAAACTTTTTTTTAGTATTCAAAATCAAGTTTTAGGCAAAAAAGCGATCAAATGTTTTTTTATATACTGCATAAACACTTGAATTTGAACTTTGAAGGCCAATTTTTCTTGAAAACCAAAGTTTAGGTGAAAAATTAGCGATTAGAGTTTTTCCTTAACTGCATACACATTAGAATTTGAACTTTCAACGACATTTTTTCACGAAAAAACCGGAATTCAGGCCAAAAATAAGCGTTCAGAGCTTTTTCCTAACTATATACACATTAGAATCTGAACTTTAAACGTCAATTTTTATCGGAAACCGATTTTCAGGCCAAAAATACGCGACTGAAGCTTTCGCGGCAGATCCGAACAACTTCCTGGCCGCCAAATGGGCGGCCATCATGTCGGGCCAGATCACCGAGTTCCTCGGCACCAAGGAAAAGATCGAGCAGGGCAAAAAGTGCAAGGAGTACCTGGACAAGGCGCTGACCATGGACGCCAAGGAGTACTCGTTGCTCCATTTGCGCGGCCGGTGGGCCTTCAACGTCGCCAACTTGAGCTGGCTCGAGAGAAAGGTTTCGGGAATGAGAAAAAAAAAATCCATCGAGAAGGTTACTTTTTAAAGAATTGGATATGAAACAAAATCCAAGAGAAAATCCCAGACGTGCCGGAGCACTTCCAGAGACCACTTTAGAGGCTTAAAGATTCTTTTAAGACTTAAAAGTGATCCCTAGAACTTCTCGAAAAGCGTCAAAATGTTCTCAGCACTTGGTAACGCGTCCCGGACGTGTCGGAGCTGTTCTAGTGACCACTTTAGCGGCTTTAGTGCCCTAAGTAATCCCTAGAACCTATCAGAAAGCGTTTGAATGTTCTCAGCCCTTGGGAACGCCTCTCGGACGTGTCAGACCACTTCAAGGGGCAACTTTAGCGATTTCAGAGCTCTTAAGTGATCCCTAGAACCTCTCATAAGCGTTTGAATGCTCTCAGACCTTGGTAACGCCTTCCGGACGTGTCGGAGCATTTCAAGTGACCACTTTAGCGACGTCAGAGCTCTTAAGTGGTCCCTAGAACCTCTCGAAAAGCGTCCAGTTTTCGTTACCGACGGCCAAGATACTTGTCCATGGAGCGCACAAGCCTTGTTTTTTCTGTATTTGATTTTTCAAACTTAAATTTTGAAGGAAAATTTTCAATGAAAAAGAACTCCAGAGTGGTCCCTATAGGGAAAAGCTTGAAAGCCTTTCGAGGGTCCTCTCTAGAGACCACTTTACCAGCCCCTAAAGGGGCTATTAAAGCTTGCAAAAGTGGCCCTTACAGAAATTTTAGTTAGTGACTCCTATAGGGACCACTTAAGCTTTAGGGGCCAAGATATCAGGCCCTAAATCCCTAGAGTGACCACCTTGATTTTACCCCTGTATGGACCGCTTTTTCGGCCTCTATAGGGGCTGTTTTCCCACCTAACCCCTATAGGGATCACTTTAGAATTCCTGAGTTTGACGGTTCACAAATACTTCGAAGAATAAGGCACTTAGAACAATATGAGATTCAATTGAAGGGATATAGCTTTAGAAAGAAAAAGCCATAATTCCCTTTTCTAAAAAAAAACATTTTCAGCAACTCTTTTCAATGAAACTCTGTTATCACTGTGTAAATGTCAATTTTTGAGAAATGAGGATTTTTTTTCCAGGCGGCCGCCGTGTTCTACGCGACTCCGCCCACGGCGACGATCGAAGAGGCGATCGCCGACCTGAAAGCCGCCTACGACTTGAACCCCAAGTGGCTCGAGAACATTGTCTTCCTCGCCAAGGCCTACCTTGCCGCCGGCGACAAGGTTGGTTTGGGAGGCGTTGCGGTCGCGTCGCGGTCAGCAATATGGTGTCGAAAATGAGAAGGACATTTGAGATCAATTTTGACTTTTTGAGCTGGGAATTTTTTCATGTAATAAGATAACCGAAAAAAAAAGACTCATGATAAGATTTTTTTGACTTTTTGGGCGTTTTAAGTCATGTTTCGGGAAATGTCGTATCTAAATCCTGAATATGTTTCAAAAGAGATAAGGATGAGTTCAAAATTTTAATTTTGATACTGTTTTTTTTGGGTGTTTAAAGACGCTTAGCTATAATTATCTTTATCCATAGAGCGTGAGAAAAAAAAAATTTTTTTTGATTTATTGATCGGATTTTTCGGCGCTTTGAGCCAAGACTGTAATAAATCGATAGCAAGGCTTTATTTACACTTTTTGGAAATATTAGGCCGGGAAATTTTTCATTAAGAAAATTTGGTCAACATAATTTTTTTCGGTCGATTACCGTTTGTAGAAATTTTTTTATGGAAAGAAACCAAATTTATGGTTTTTTTTTTTTTTCAATAGTTTTTTTAGCGCTTTATTTTTACGGAAAATTACATTTTTTGAAAATTAATGTGGTGATAGTCCATTCGTCGCTAGCTCTGCTCAAAAAAAAAAATTTATTTTTTTGAATTTTTAAATTCAAGAGTGAATATAAAATTATTTTCTTTCCAAAAGCTTCAATGAAATTTAAAGCGAATTTCACTTAAATTCGCCATTTTTCTAAAAAATTTATCATTGGAGCGTAATTAACTAGAAAAATGACCTTTTTTTCTTGGACAATCAATACAATTACCCATGGAGCGCAACTGGAACTTTCTGGGAAAATTTTTAGTGACCACTATAGGGCTTTGACGTTTTAGTGGCCCCTATAGTAGTCGAATTAGTGGCCACTATAGGGGTCTAAGTGCTACTACTAGACCACTAAAAATTTCAGTGGCCACTTTAGGGGTCAATGGGTCAACATAACTGATCCCATCTGTTTGTTTTAAAATTATCAGAGTTACTGGAAGGAATACTGGATGAAAAACTACTGAAGTAGCCACTAAAAAAGAAAAAAGTGACCACTATAGGGGTGGGTTTAGTGGCCGCTTTAGTGTCCTCTTCAAGTAGTCCTTGGCCAGCCTCTATAATGGCCACTTAAGATTCCCCAGTTCCTTTTCCTGAAACAATTCGTTCTATATTTGGCATCGATCGTTAAGTCAATAATCAATAAAGTATTGATTGATGATTCACAGGCCTCGGCTGGCAAATACCTCAACGAGGGCGTCCAACTCGCCCCGGAGAACGACAACGAGAAGGAGCTTCTCGTGGAGGCCAAGCAGCTCCTCAGCAAATGCTAACCACCCTTTCATTCCTTCCCCCTTATATCACCAATTTTTACAATTTGTACAGCAAAACGTGCCAAAATTTTTTCGCTTTCTGAGTTTCTATACATATTTCTAACGTTTTCCCGTGATAAATGGCTTTATTTTTTGGATTTTTTGCTAGATTTGAGCTTGGGTATAATTAAAATTGAGCTGGTCCTTTTCAGGTTTTGTTTTAGTTATAGTCTCCTTGGAAACTTTGAAGAATCATATATTTTTTTTTCTAGAAGCCTGGAACTTTTTTGAGCTGATTATTATGATTCCTGACGTCATTTTCTATCGATTGATTTCGGAAATTTCCACTTTCGGAAAAATCGAAAAAAGTGCCGCCCTCTGGATTTTTTCCATTCGACCCTCTGACGTCATCGATATGGATCTTATATCAATCGATAGAGGAGATCAAGGAGTTCAAGAGAAACTAGGTTTCCAAGTTCCTAGGCCCCTAAGAACGGAGTTATGATTTTTTTGAAATAACCGAACCTTCAAAAAATGGAAATCTTTGAAAATCATAACTTTTTTTCTAGAAGAATAGGAGAAATTTGATCTGAATATTTGGATTTCTGACGTCATTTCCTATCGATTGATGTGATTAAACTCAAAAATTTCCACTTTTGGACAAATCGAAAAAAGTATGGATTTTTTCAACCTTCTGACTTCATGAAAGCCCATCGATATGGATCTTATATCAATCGATAGAGGAGATCAAAGAGTTCAAGAGAAACTAGGTTCTCAAGTCCCTAGGTTTCTAAGAACGAAGTTATGATTTTTCGAAAATGACCAATTTTTCAAAAAACGCCAAACTTCGAAAAATCATATCTTTTTTTCTAAAAGCCTGAGACTTTTTTTGATTTGAATATTCAGATTTCTGACGTCATTTACTATCGATTGACGTGGGAATCTTGTAAATTTGGATTTTTAGTCATGAAATTAATTGTGGACTTCAGAATTTATAGATTTTTTTCAAATTTTTGAATTTAGAGACGAGTCCAGATTTTTTTAGAACGCCCTTTGCCCATTTTTTTGAAACTCTTCAGTTTCTTAAAAATCCGATAAAAACTTATTTTGGACGTCTTCCGAAGCCTTTAACTTTTTTTTATCAGCTTTGAAAGAGAAAAAGACTTCATTCATACAGTAAATATCGAGCTAGGGTACCGGTAAAACGTGAGAAAATGTTGGGCGACTTTTTCAGGGCGTGTAGGCAAAGTCGACGAATCCATTGTGGGGTTTGGCGGTCCGCAGCTTTTCCCAGAAGCTCCACAACCGTCCTTTAAAGTCGTCGTAGCTCTTCTGAATCACGTCGAGTTGGGTCTCATTCTGGAGCCGCGGACCTCGATATTCTGCTGATCCAGTTCGAAGACGTCCGCCGGGGTTCCGTCTTCCTTGGCGCTGACCAGAAGTCCTCTGGAGACCATGGGTTCGGCTTGGAAATTGCCGTCGTTATTGAAGGCGGCGGCGTAGGCGGCCACTTGACGGCTGTACGTTTGGTAGCTCATACTGGAACATAATTATCGATTTTTGGACCAATCACCTGATTAATTAACCTCTCATCACCTTGCTTACTGAACGAAGAGGCAGCTGGCGACGTCTTCCAATCCACCATGCAGGTTTCGCCTCTAAATATCCCTAAAGTGCTCCCTTCCTCTTCATTACCTGTACTGGAAAACAGCGTCGAACCGTCCTTGGAATCCTAATTTCGGTGACGTCACCGGCTTCTCATAAGCGATGACGTCATCCTTTTTCAACTCGCCGATGATCGGCACAATGCTCATGACGTACTTGCTGGCCGGGGACTTCGGATCGAGACCTACCTATTTTTTTCATATTTATTGATTGATTACCAAGGTAACCAACATAGGTAATGATTTTATCCGAGGCTGGAAGCTCCTGCTTTTTCACGGCCACGAGAAGTTTCTGAGCGGCGGAGTGCATTGAAGTTCCGAGGGTCATTCTCTCTGGAAGTTGCCAGTTTAGGGACTTTATCTAGTGGCTCTTTAAGGGTTGTAATTTTAAGATTTTGTTGGAATTTTCTACGTTCCGAAGCTCATAAATGACCATAAAAATTCCAAATATACGAGATTTTTAAACGTTTCGCGCTTGATGATTTTGTGGCTTTTCTTGTACTGAATTTTCGATTTTTCTATATTTTGTCAAACTCGTGTAATTTCGGCTTGTAAACAACATGAAAAAATTTTTAATCTTACTTCAATATTTCAAAATTTCGCTGTTCTATTGCTTTATCAGGCCTTATCTGATTCAAAATACTTCCAGAATCTTCGAGGCCTTAAAAAATAACACTATTTTTGATTTAAGATGACCAGAATTTCAAAAAAATTGAAAGATCCTTAATTTCTAGTTACAGATCCCCCAGGGCAAAAAAAGCAGTTTTTCCTTATTTTTTTCAGATTTTTTTAGAATTCCTCAAAGTTTTTTTAAAAAGTACTTTTTTTCCAGCGTTATAGGAGTTCAAAATTTCTTACAAATGCCTTGTTTTGCACGAAAATTGCTTCAAGAACAATTTTCCTGTTATCACATGGGCCAAGTCTTGATGGAACTTTTGGAAAAAAGCCTCAAACGCGCCTTTTAGGGAATAATTTTTTTATTTTCAAGCATTGAATGAACTTTTTCTGCGCGTTTTTTTAAAAATCCGAAAGCTATATAAACCTAATTTTGAAACTTTTTGAAGTTCTTATATTGATATCATAATTACAAGTTCACATCAAACCTGTCATATATTTCCGAAAAGAAGCAAGTCCCATCTCCTGAATTCGCTGTTTTTGCCAAGTATATAAAATCGAATTGTCCTCCGTGGCACTCAAAATCACGGAAATTGAGGGTTTTTTCGAATATGGCGGCTTTTTATTCACTGGCGGTGACGCGTTTCTTGATGGTGGCTGAAAAATTATTATTTTTTAACTTGATACATCAAATTTTGTTAAAATTTTGTTACAGCTTGCTCAGTAGACGTTAAAAGCGGGAAAATATAGAAGTTCTGCTTATTTTTCTTACTAATTGACTTGAAGTTGGATATATTTTGGACCCACGTGAAAACATGGCATTTTGAGTCAATTTTAGGGCCTTTTTGAGAAATCTATCAACACAACGCCTTCAGAATAACACAATTCGTATGAAAAACCAAATAGCTGTTTCATTTGGCCAAATTAGACATTTTCCAGACAGTATTTTACTTCAAAAATCAAAAAAAACTTACGAAAACTGATGAATCAGCAAAATCCTCACTTCTTGGCACGATTAATAGCAAGTTCTCGGAGAAAAATGGCATTAACGAGGTCCCATAGCGAATATTAACTTTCCCCGCCATTCGGAGTTTAAAAACATGAAAAGGGCCTTTTTTGAAATGTTTGAAAATTTTGAAACGGCGAAAGTGTGCAAACACCACGGGGCAAAAGTGCATGCGCTCTTTTCGAAAAAAAAATAGATATTCGCTTCACATTCAACATCTGAAACAACACAATGCAAAGAAATGCTTTATAGATTCAAAAATTTTTAAACTGGCAATGTAATAAAACGGAACGAATTTCGATTTTACAGGATTACTTTACGTTCTTCAGTTATTATTCCTTGATCGAATCCGAGGCCAATTTGTAGTTCTGAACAAGGAAAATTAAATAAAGGACTTTCAGTTCAAGACATAGCCAGTAGAAAAAATGAATAACCTTCTAAAAATCCTATTTTTCTTTACATTTCAAATTATTTCTCTTAAAAATTATTCCTTCTAACTTTTAACTTAGAAATCTTGATTGATCAGTTTCATGTGCAGTAAACAATAAAAGAGCTTGAATGGATGTCTACTTAGAGACTCCAGAATGGTCCCTATAGGGGCAACCTTAGGGGCCCTTAAAGAGTTCCTTCCATTTTACCAACCCTTACAGGGTCCAATAAAAATAAGCGTTATTTCAAAGAAGTTGAAAGACCCCTATAGGGTCTACTTAAGCTTTTGGGGCTAAGGAGTCGAACCCTGAACTCTTATAGAGACCACCTTGATTTTACCCCTATGGGGAATACTTTTTCGGTCCCTATAATGACTGTTTATACCCCTGACCCCTATAGGGACCACTCTTAACACCTGCAAGGAACATTATGGTGAAAAACTAACAGGAAATAACGGTTTTTGGCAAACTGAGTCTCAAAATTTGAATTTTTTCAAAGGAAAGTGATTTTTGATGGCTTTTTTCAGCACCTTGTCTATAGGATTTCTGAACTTTCTTGTTTTTCAGAAATTATTTTTCTAATTTGATTTTTTTATTTAGTCGTTTCTCTCAAAATATCTTACTCGTTCAGCATTCTAAACGTTTAAAATCAAAAATAAATGGCCCTAAAGTTGTCAGGAACCCTAGAAAGGGCACTTGGCAAATCTTTTTTGATTCATTTTTTACCTGATTTCTCCGTTGCTTCACCCGAATGATCGTGACATATGTAGAATCTGTAGGTGCTCCCAAAACCGGGACGAAATTTGCGTCACAAACGTCCAGAACATTTTCAATCGAGGGAATAAAGTCATTTTGGACCGCCGTGTCCAAAGCAAGACGAATATTGTCGCGTTTGACAGCGTCCAGATCATTTCCGGTGACCTGGAATTCCAGAAAAATCAGATCGAAATGATGAAAAATCCAGGAATACGCTTTTAGGAAGCATCTTTTTCTCGAAAAATTTTTACTGCAGACTCATTTTTTTTTCTTCCCCTGTTACCTGGATTTATGAGAAACCTAGTCACAGGTAAAAATTCCCAGGTACGGAAAAAAATACTCAAGTGGTCACTAGAAGATACAAAAAATCCCTTAAGGGGATTCTGATTCCTAACTTCAGTGACACCACTGTATTCACAGTTGGGACAAAAAGAGGGCGTGGCCTGTCTGCGCTCTCCAGCAACCAGACACTATCTCGCGCATTATCGTGTCAGGACCCATTTTTTTCGATGTCTCAAGCCAGCCGCGAAGCAGTTATAATAAAACTTTCAAATCCAATTTCTAAAAAAATGTTTTTCATCTTATCCTAGTGAGAAATAAGGCATGAAAAATAACAAAAAAACAGTTTCTTACACGATTTTTCTAAATTTTTTTGCAAAAAAATCGATTATTTGAAGCTAAAGCTTGAATAATTTGATCAATATAATTGATTTCGACTAGTTTTCAACTTACAGTTCTGAAAATTAAGGTAGGGACTTCAAAAATGAACCAAAATCAAACGTTGGCTTTTTTTACAACTTTCTATCCATTTTACATAGAAATCCTGGGCAAACCACTTTTTATTTTTTTAACTAACCGTTCCATCATCTTCCACGCCAAAAAGTACAACACAGAATTTCCTAGCGTTAAATGCGTTGCGAATAATTCGCTGCAAGTCGATCGTCTCCAAATTTGCGATTTTCTCGCTTCCCCTGGTGATAATAGTCGTATTTTCCATGTTTGGAAACTGAAAATCATACAATTTGCATTGAAATTATTGAAAAGAACCTTCAATTTGGTTCCGAATTGAATCGGAGACCTCATCTCAACTTTTTTAGGGAACGCTTCAGTTTGTTTCACTTTTTTCAACTGAAAATTGATTAAAATAAAAAAAAAATGCTTTTTCTTCCTAAAACTGACAGCCACTTTTGCATAGTCCACCCAGCACTCGGATTTCGTCACGGCGTCATCCTGAAAACTTGGAAAATTATTGATTTTTATAGACTTTTGGAAACTCGAAGAGGTTTGAGTGGTCCGCCGTTCATCACGTTGTAGGCGAGCCCGTAGACGGTTCTAAAATTCAATTTTTGTCTCTTTTTTCGAAGATTTGAAATTTTGAGTAAGTCAAGAACCAAAAATTTCGAATGTTTTAGCTGCAAAACTAACCTTCTCGTCGTAAACTGAGGCAAATCATCGCGATTCACACATTCTTCTTCCATCGCCGTGATTTTCTCAATTTGTGCAATTTCATCAAGCTGAAATCTCTTCATTTTCCGTGCTCTCCTCAAAATTTATCACTTCATCCTCAAAATCAGCGTGATTCCCGACTTCAGAACTCGTGCAAATCACGGTTTCAGCGTCAGATTCGTCACTAAGTTCCTCATCTTCTTTTATTTCTTCATTTACATGTTCTTCTTCGACTTGTTCACTTGTGACATTATCCTCTTGAATTAAGGCGGGCTCTCTGAAACTTCGAAGTTATCATTTATCTTATTTCATACCCTCACGAATTCAAATCCAATTTTATTTCATTTAACAGTGAATCCAAGAAGTTATCAATCTTTTCTTCAATTTCAACAGCTTTTTCCTCGCTTTTCTCTTCTTGATCGGCGGTACTATCCTCTGTAATCAGAAACCAACAAACGATACGATTGAATAATTTATTTACGTGTCGGACCCCATCCGTCTCCGATTTCCTCATCGTCGCTGCCAATTATTACGTTCTCATTGTCAGAGTCAGAATTAAAGCCTAAAAGTTCTTTAATTAACGAAAGTCTTTGAAAATTACCAAAATCTCGATTTAAATATATATCCAATTGTTCGTCGTCGTCTGAATACTGAAAAATTGGCAGTCTGTTTTGATAATCCACTTTTCACTTTTACCTGGTCATCGTCGTCGCTGTCGTGTAAAACTGGCAGTAAGTGCGGTGCCATATTAAAATTAAACCTGAAAAAAAAAATGAAGCAAAAAATGAAAAAAAGAATTGCGTAAAAGTAGCTTTAATCTCTTCGTTGCAGGACAATCGCTCGACCAACTATAAACACCCTTTAATTAGGAACTTTTTTTTCTATTTCGCTTTCTATTTTTTTATTTTTGATACGAATTCTTAATTTTCAGAATTTTCAAGGACGTATTATACTTGTTTAAGAAATGTGCAAAAGGTTCACGCATTAAAAAAAGATTTTTAGGGAAAACTCACTTTTTTCAATTTCGTAATTTGTGAATTTTCGTTTTTTTTTAATTTCTTATTTCTTATTTTTTTTTTCAAATTCATACTTATTACTAATTTTGAAGACTAGAGCTTTGAGACTCAAGAGGCGCGAACAAAGCTATATTTTTAAAGGCGCAGGCTCCCTAGTGTCCTGAAAACTTTGCCGCGATTCTGTGTGTCGATTTACGGAGGCGCTTGAGGTAATTCAAATTTTTCGTTGCTTCTTCTTTTTGTTCTTTTTTCTCTGAATTCTCTCCGTGATCCTTTATTTTTGAAAAAAACTTCTTTATTAACAATGATCTTTGAGAATTTCTTTCATTTCGCTTTGATATTTCGTTCGGTTTCAGTTTTTAATATTATTTATAAATTGTTTAAATTAAGAAATGTCGATCGAAATGGAAGTTGATGAGCCACAAGTGGCCGCCACTTCAACTCGTTTGGCTCCAATCGAGGAGGTTTTGAATTATAATCATAATTTTCACTGAAATTTCAATGCTCTAGGTTAAATCGAGTGCTCGTCAAAGTAAACGAATCGCTGCTCACAGTCATGTGAAAGGCTTGGGACTTGATCAGGATACGAAGGAAGCTTTGCCTAAGGTAAGTTTTTTTTTATCTGTGAAAAAATATCATAAAATAGAGTATTTTTATATATTTTTGCATTCAGGCCGCCGGCTTCGTCGGTCAGCAAGACGCACGTACCGCTGCCGCTGTTGTCGTTGATATGATTAGAGGAAAAAGTATGGCCGGAAGAGCTGTACTGCTTGCCGGGCCTCCTGGAACTGGAAAAACGGCGATCGCCTTGGCCATGGCCCAGGAGTTGGGCGACAGTGTGCCTTTCGTGCCGATCGTGGCCAGTGAGGTGGAGTTTTTGAATATAATATGATAGAAATTAACTAGAAAGATGAAAATTTGCACATTTTTCTTGAAAAATTGTTTTTTTATGGATTTTTACTTTAATTTCATGGCTTTTTTTATCAGGGAATGTGGGATTTTTTTTTGAAATTCCATCGCCGAAGCCATCATTATGCCTATTTTTCCAGTTTTATGACAAATCCTATAAGTTTAACGCCCTTTTTTTTAGTTTTTCGGTCATTTTTGAAGGTGAATAGGTTCTTTTTTTCACGTTCTTGAAAGAGTTTTTTTAAAATAATGATTTTAAAGACCGCAAATTGTGTTTTTCCTATCAAATTTGAACGCTTGCAAACTTTCAGAGGTTGAAATTTTTTTGCTTTTGAGTTTTATTTTTTTATTCTTTCCTGTGTTTGTTCCTTTAAAAATTTTTTTGGCATTTCTCGAAATGAAAAAAATATTCATAAGAAGTAGTGGAATTCACCTATCAGAACTTCAGATTTGAACCTTCGGAAAGCCTTTTTTGAAATTTGCCATCTTTTTTATGACCTTTAAATTTTCCAGGTGTACTCAGCGGAGGTGAAAAAGACGGAAATCCTCATGCGCAACTTCAGAAGAGCCATTGGTAGCAATATTACTTGATTTTCCTAGAATTTTATGGATTTTAGGCTTGAGAGTAAAAGAAAAGAAAGACGTTTATGAAGGAGAAGTGACAGAATTGACGCCTGTCGAGACGACCAGCACTCAGTTGACCGGAATCGGTGAGTGCAGCCGACTAGGAACGGTTTTTCGCCTGGGGGAACTGTTGATAAAGAGAAAAAGGGCTAAAAAAAACTTTATAGATAAAAAGTCCGTTGCAAAATTTTTTATCCACGTTTTCTGTGCTTTTTCCATGTTCTTCATTGAAATCCATGAAATTTTTTATCATTCAAAATTTTTCCTTCACCCTTTTCCATGTTATTTTTACATCATAAAACTCAAAATTTCAATTTTTCATCAATTTTTTCCAGGAAAAACAATTTCCCACGTTGTCGTTTCGATGAAAACCGCAAAAGGCAGCAAACAGCTGAAATTGGACCCCAGTATCTACGATTCGATTCTGAAGCAAAGAATCGAAGTCGGCGACGTCATCTACATTGAGGCGAATTCTGGAGCCGTCAAGGTTGGTTTTCCTTCAATATTTTGCAGGAAGTTATTCCTTAAGGGTACTGAGGTTTTAATATATTTCTGTTTGAAATTTGTAACATTTTTTTCTGGGCAGTTTTTGAAGAGAATTTTCGCTTAATTTCGTTAGAAAAAGAGGCCTTTTTTTCGATTTTTAGATTTTCAATATTTTTTTAGGAATTTATCCCGTAAGGGTGGTGGTATGAAAAAAACATCATCGAAAATTCAAACGGCGACTTTTCCGATTTTTTCATATCGCTAGGGAACTTTCCGACGAATCTTTTTCCGTCTTTTTTCTCGATAAAGTCTTCGTTTTAAATCTTCCTATATAATGTAGGTAGTTGGTTCATGATTAAAACACAAAGAAGTAGGAAAAAAAAATGTTTATAGAAGTTTTATAAACCGAAAAACATAAGGGAAAAAAGTCGGAAAGAGATCCGTCGGAAAGGTGGCCATCGGAAAGTTCCCTAGTGATATGTAAAAATCGGAAAAGTCGCCGTTTGAATTTTCGCTGATGTTTTTTTCATACCACCGTAAGGGTATTGAAATTTTTCATATATTGCTGTAAAAAAAGGCTAGAAAAAAATTTTTTTCTGTGCAGTTTTTTTGAAAGGTTTTTTTCAAGAATTTTTATTAGAAAAGATACTTTTTTTCGACTTTTTACTTCAATCTTTTTCCAGTAAGTGATCCCTGAAGGGTGCTGAAATTTTTATATAATTCTGTTAAAAATAAAAAAAAAATTTCCAGGCATTTTTTTCAAGAGGATTTTTCACTGAATCTTTTTAGAAAAAGAGGCTTTTTTTGGTATTAAGTTAAAAAAAGATTGGTTTCTTTTTTTAGATTTTTTTCAGTGAGTACACCTTAAAGGTTCTGAAAATTGCGTATTTCTGTAAAATATAGGCTGAAAAATCTTTTTTCTTGGCAGTATTTGAAGAGAATTTTCACTGAATCTTGTTAGATTTTTGTGAAAAGCTGTGAAAAATCTCGTTAGAATAAAGATCTTTTCGTTTAAAAAAAAGGATGGTTTTTACAATATTTTCCAGTAAGTGATCCCTTAAGTGTACATAAATTTTCCATGTATTTCAGTTCCAAAAGCTGTGAAAAATTTTTTTTGGCTGTTCTTTAATGATATTTATACTGAATCTCGTTAGAAAAGACATTTTTCTCCGATTTGAGACGGGAAAAGTCTTTCATAATCTTAGATTCTCGAATTTTCCACTTATTTTTTCATATTTCGTGAATTTTTTTAATCAAAAAAATTTCTGTTAAGTCGTGCTTCATTTTTCAGTTTAACGAGTGAATTTTTTTCTTAAAATATTTTTGTTTGACGTGAAAAAAAATTTGCAATACCTTAGATTTTTAGTTGTTCCCGCTTGCTGAAAATTCAATGTTTCCAGAGAGTCGGCCGTTGCGACGTCTACGCTTCAGAATTCGACCTGGAAGCCGACGAATACGTCCCGATGCCGAAAGGAGAAGTCAGGAAGTCGAAAGACGTCGTCCAGGACGTCACCCTCCACGATTTGGACATCGCGAACGCCCGGCCCCAAGGCCGCCAGGGCGACGTCAGCAGCATCGTCTCCCAGTTGATGGCCCCCAAGAAGACGGAAGTGACCGGTTTGCACACGTCGTTCAGCAACAATCAGCCCCCTTGACTCTTCCAGATCGTCTTCGAGCGGAGATCAACAAGGTCGTCAACGAGTACATCGACAGCGGCGTCGCCGAACTCATGCCCGGCGTCCTGTTCATCGACGAGGTCCACATGCTCGACGTCGAGTGCTTCACCTACCTCCACAGAGCCTTGGAATCGCCCATCAGTCCCATCGTTGTCTTCGCCACCAACCGTGGTGTCAGTGCTGTTAGGTAAGTGGAGATCCGATTCAGTTTCAGGGCTTTAAAATGCTTCTTTAGACTTGATAAATCTTGAATTTCTCCAAAATCCGTGACCTCAAAAATCAATTTTTACAAAATAGATGTAAGGAAAATATGTTTTCGAGCGTTTTCTCCGAAATTAAACAAAGACCGATTTTCTGTTGATTCAAAAAAAAAGGACCGAGTAAATTGAGCTTTGGGAATACTGAAAAGGTTTTTATTGACTCAATAAATTTTTTAAATGTACCCAAAATCTTTGGCTTTGAGGAGACCTAAAAATTTGAACTGAAGAGGTTTTTCGTTCCTTTTTTAAAACTTGAACAGATTGTGACTGATTTTTCGGATATTGGGAAAAAAAAAGAACCGAGTAAATTCAGCTTTAGGCCTTTAGATTACTGAAAATGTTCTTATTGACTCGATAAATTTTTAAATTGTCCTCAAAATTATTGCCTATGAAAAAGTTCTAAAAAAATTGAACTGAAGAAATTTTTTTCGACCATGTCCTAGAAGTTGAACAGATATTTATCAATTTTTGGAATTTCGAAAAAGAAAAATATGTAAAATCAGTTTCAGAGCTTCAAAATACTGAAAATGTGCTCTTTCATTAGAATCTGAATCCTTGGCTTCGAAAATGTATGAAGAATGAATAGAAAAAATCTTTTGAGCCTTTTCTTGGGGGCGTGGCCGTTTTCTCAAAAACTTGGAAATTGATAACGCGTCTCGAAGTCAATTAATCACTTAAAGAGTGCTGACGCCGCTTAAGGGATCACTAGAAATGCTTGGAATAGGCCGGGGCGCGTTAGAGAGGTCCGAGAAGTGTAAAAGGATCTTTTATTTGAAAAATAAAGGTTCGATTAGCTCAAGGCTGTGATTTATTATAATGTAAAGCATATAATTAGTGATAAAGCCTCCTAAAAAATCAAAAAAACAGCTTTTACCCATTTTTGCAACGCTTTGCAAAACATTCAGAGAGGTTTCATGAATGAAAATTTCCCTTTAAAGATTTTTTTCCAATGTTCGAAAAATATTTTCTTCACATTTTCTATAGAATCAAGACGATTGAGTTGATAATTTGTTCCCTTAAAGAGGTCTCGACACGAAATCGCCACATGGAATCCCAACTGAAATGCTCGATCGGCTGTTGATCATCATTACGATGAAGTACACTCCTGATGAGATGAGATCGGTGATAATTTCTTTCATTTTTCTGAAAAACAATCAGTTTTTTTTTTAGATTCTGGCCCTCCGAGCTGAAGCAGAAAACGTTAAAATGGAGCCGGATGCTTTGGAAGCCATGACTCGTGTGGCCTCTGAACGGTCTTTGAGGTGGACCTTGAGTTTTTCGTAGGATTTTACAAGATTTTTTTCAGATATTCCCTTCAAATTATCGCCCCAGCCAAGCTGTCGGCGCAGTGCAGTGGTCGCGAAACGATCAATGTTGGTTTTTGGAAAAATATATATTTAGGACAAATTTGAACCAAAAATTCAGTTTTAGTGGTCTTAGAAGCTCCAGAGAGGTCCCTATAGGGGTCCGCTCTAGGGACCACTTTTATTAACCCCTATAGGGGCCTCTAACGCTTGAAAAAGTGGCCCCTATAGAGGACATTTTAGATTTTCATGAACTCTATGCGAGGAAGCCTTTCCATGCGAAAAACGGTATAAATAAGCGTTTTTAAATGAAATGGAAAGGCCCCTATAGGGTCCACTTAAGCTTCAGGGGCTAAGGGGGCAGACCCTAAACTCCTAAAGGGAGCACCTTGATTTTAACCTTATAGGGATCACTTTTTCGGCTCCTATATGGGCTGTTCTTCCCCTGAACCTCTATAGGGATCACTCTGAAAGTCAGAAATGATTTAGAAAAAAGGACCTCAAAAAAATGATGTTTTTCTTGTGACTTTTTGAATTTTTCCGGTTCAAGCTGGACCTTGTTTTGAAATTTTTACTAAGGTAGAAGTTATTTTTTAATTTTCAAAATTTTCAAAATGGAATTTTAAGGATCCGTTGACATTCCAGCTGTTTCGGCTTATCTTAAGAACTCTAGAGGGGTCCCTATAGGGGCTAGGGGGCCCACCCTATAAGGGTAAAATTTAGGTGGTCCCTCTAGGGGTCTGACCCTTAAAGCTCAATGATCTCTAAAGGGTCTTTCCATTTTTTGATTAAATTTGAAAATTAAAAAGACAAGTTCGATCAAATCACGACTGATTATCATGTCCCCTATAGGGGCCACGAACTGAAATCCTTATAGGGACCACTTTTCAAAGCTTTGGTGGAGGTAAATTGGTCCCTAAAGGGGGCCCTTTAAGGCTAAAATGGCACGCTTTTCCAGCTTGAAATTAATTTGGAAACTTTGATTTTTATTTCACAACTTTTGATTCAAGAATTTTTAATGCTTGAACTTGAATAACGGCTCTCTTTGAAATTTATTAGGAAACCAGCTTGTATTGGACAGATCGAGGTATATAAATCAATTAAAAATCAAGAATTTTCAACCAGAAAACTCTCAAAATTCGAATAAAAATAATTTTTGAGGCCGCCGACATCGCCCGCTGTGTTGATTTGTTCATGGATCGCACGGTCTCAACGAAAAAAGCCCTCGAAAAACAAGCCAAACACTGAGTTTCAGCTTCTTAACTTCATATTGTTGAGTATTTATCCGCTTTTTTTGTTACAATTTCCTTTCCACTCACCCCCTTGTTATCTTCAGATGTTCTCGAATTTTGCCGGTCTCCGTTGTTAAATTCCCATTTTTGTGCACTTTATTGATTGTTCAGTTTGAAATGAATCATTGTTTTAGCTTCGGGAAACGTTTCGAAATGCTCCAAAGTCGCTTGAAATTGATATTTGTGGTTTCCAGAGCACTCTTCTCGGCCTTTTTAGTGTTGCAGGAACGTCTCAGCATTGCTCATGTTACCTGGAGTTGGCATCGATCTAGGTATAAATATTAAAAATAATTCGGTTTCTGAAAATATTGCTCATGTTAAGATAGGCCAATTGAACTTTTTAGCAGCTCTAGACGCCTTAGTCTTGCTCATGTTAAAATAATTATTGCTCATGTTACCTAACATTAACGTCGATCATTTCCAGGTATAACAGATTTTCTAACTATTGCTCATGTTAAAATAGGCCAACTGACCTTTTTCGCAGCTCTGGACGCCTTAGTCTTGCTCATTTTACATGCTATATTGCTCATGTTACCTAACATTGACGTCGATAATTTACAGTTTTTCTAAATATTGCTCAGGTTAGGATAGGCTTACTGGTCTTTTTTGCAACTCTGTAATGAATTTTAGAGCTTGTGAAGCATTTGGAAGCCCCTCATGCATTTAAATGACGGAAAATTTCTCATTATTGCTCATGCTAGAAAGAAAGGACGGGATCTTCCCGCTTTAATTTTTAATTTTTGCACTTTTGAAGTTGGCCGTTTTTATGTAGATTTGAAGTCCCAAAATTTTTTAAATCCTATTTTTTGACGCGTTGAAGCTTCTGAAGAAGTTCGGAGGTTTCAGAATATTTTAAAGGCTGCCCGGAAAGCTCCCAAAAACGGATTATAGCTGCCCGAAATAACTCCTATCTTCTCATTATCGCTCACTCTAGCTTTTCCCGCCGTTTTAAGCTTTGAAAAACTTAGTTCCGCCATTTTAAACTCAAAAAAAGACTCGATTCCCCCAAAGAGTGCAGAAGCTCTAATTAACGCTCCGAATGACCTCCAACTTTTTTTTTTATTGCTCAGGCTTCTCTTGAATTCACTACTGCTGCTGCTCGGAAACCCTAAGAATTTCTCAGTGTTGCTCATTTTAGCTCATTTAATAAGTTTCGAAGTTTTTTTGAGAGCTTATTACTGAAAAAAAGAGCCCTAGGAACTTCTCAGTGTTGCTCATTCTAGCTCATTTCTAAGCCCAGAGATTTCTTGCTGTTATTGAATTCACCGCTCCTGAGTTTCGAGAACTTCTCAGTGTTGCTCATTTTAGCTATTGATAAGTGTAGAAGTTTTTTTGAGAAGTCATGCTTCTCCATAATTCACTACTGCCTACCCTGAACTTCGAGAACTCCTCAGTGTTGCTCATGTCAGCTCATTTGATAAGTGTTTTTTTGAGAACTCTTGCTTCTCTTGAGTTCACTACAGCGGCTCCTGGGTACAATGTATTTCTCAGTGTTGCTCATTTTAGTTCATCTAATGATTGTAGAAGATTTTTCAGATTTCATGCTTCTCTACAATTTGCTACTGCCGCCACTGGTGCTCTTGAACTTCGAGAACTTCTCAGTGTTGCTCATTTTAGCGTTTGATAAGTGCAGAAGTTTTATTAGATACTTCATGCTTCCTTTGAGCTCACTACAGCACATCCTGGTCACTAATAACTTCTCAGTGTTGCTCATTTTAGTTCTTTTAATGTTTGTAGAAGATTTTTAAGATCTCATGCTTCTCTACAATTTGCTACTGCTGCTCCTGAACTTCGAGAACTTCTCAGTGTTGCTCATTTTAGCAAGTACAGAAGTAGAGACTTCATGCTTCTTTTGAATCCACTCGAGCTGCTCCTGAACGCGAAGAACTTCTCAGTGTTGCTCATTTTAGCTTTCAATAAGTTTAGAAGATTTTTGAGAACTCATGCTTCCCTTGAGTTCACTACAGCGCATTCTGGTCACTAATAACTTCTCAGTATTGCTCATTTTAGTTCATCTAATGATTGTAGAAGATTTTTGAAATCTCATGCTTCTCTATAGTTCACTACTGCTGCTCCTGAACTTCGAGAACTTCTCAGTGTTGCTCATTTTAGCTTTCAATAACTGCAGAAGTTTTTTTCAGAGACTTCATGCTTCTTTTGATCCTACTACTCATGCTCAGGAACACTAGGAGCTTCTTAGTCCATAATTGCTTAATATTACTTTAAACTTCTCAGTATTGCTCATTTTAAAAGGCTCCAAGCTTCAAATGTCTCTGAATGCTCTCGAAAGTTGGTAGTGTATCTCAATTCAGCTAGTGAGTAAAGCATTAAGCTTTTGATGAATCATAGTCATTCCAGAAGGCTTAGTAAGGCTCAGTATTGCTCACGATAGCTTTTACGGCGTTCGAAAAGGTTCTGATGAGCTTTAGTTTCTCCAGATGGCTCAGAATGGGTCAGTATTTAGCTTCTAAGGCTTGTACAACTTCAAAAGAGTCTTAGAACTCTCAGGCTTTAAAAAACTAGCTGATGAATCTCAGAAATTTTTGGGAGAAGTCTGAAAATTTTGTATATGTTCAAATGTCTTAAATCTTGCTTTTAAGATGGGTAGAACGTTTCGGAAAACCCTCGATTCTTCAAACGGCTCAAGTTTGCAGCCTCAATCATTCTTAACATCTTTTAAAAGAAGCAACTCTCGGTTATAAGGAAAATTCTATCAAATCCCGAGGAAAATGACTTGAAATGTTGAAATTTGCTCAATCTAGGTTCTGAGAAACCGTAGACGTTCTAAAGGACATCGAAGTTCTCAGAACTTTCAAATAAAGTTTTTGAATTGTCTAAATAACTTTTCAAGGAATTTCGATCGTCTCATGTCCCTTCAAAATGTTCAGTTTTGCTTAATCTAGCTTTTAAGGAACTTCTTGACGTTTTAAATGACACCAACTATTCAAAAGAAGTTCTAAACTGTCTAGATAAGGGAATTTATCGTTACGAACTTTTTCAAAAGTTCAAATTTGTTCAATCTAGCTTCTGAGAAACCCCTTGAAGTTCTAAATGACTCCAAATATGGAACAGAAATTTTAAAAATTGTCCACATAAGGAAATTAACCGTTTCATATTTCTCTAAAGGCTCGATTTTGCTCACCAGCAGGAACTTCTGAGAAATATTTGACGCTCAAAATGACATCATCTATTCTTGGAAATGTTCAATATTGCTCAGTTCAGCTCATAAGGCAGGCAGAACCTTTCAAAGAAGATCCCTAGACCCTCCGAATGACTCAAACCCCCCAAGCCAACCAAACCTCGGTGTCCGATGCAAATCCCGTTAGCGGAGTTGGTCAAAACGCCTTGGGAGGCCTCCGAAATTCGCCGCCACCACCAGAGGCTCCGCCATCGGAAAGCCGAGGCCTTCCCGTCTATCGATCTGACGAAGCCGCGAGGCCCACACAACGGCGTCTTTTCTCCCGCCCGTGTGTATTGGCCAGCCCCTGCTTTTTCCCCCGTCTTCTTTTATCCCTTTTCTCGTCATTTTTTCATCGTGAAAGCTTAATTTTTTTGGTCTTTAGGGCGAGATTTGGGGCTTTAAAGGGCGATTTAGTGATGATTTTTGGAGTGGAGATAGCCTTTTTGGATTTTTTGTCTTTTTTGTCCCTTTTCTCGTCATTTTTTCATCGTGAAAGCTTAATTTTTTTGGTCTTTAGGGCGAGATTTGGGGCTTTAAAGGGCGATTTAGTGATGATTTTTGGAGTGGAGATAGCCTTTTTGGATTTTTTGTCTTTTTTGTCCCTTTTCTCGTCATTTTTTCATCGTGAAAGCTTAATTTTTTGGCCTTTGGGGCGAGATTTGGGGCTTTGAAGTGCGATTTATTAATGATTTTAGGAGTTGAGATTTCTTTTTTTGGATTTTTTGTCTTTTTTGTCCCTTTTCTTGTCATTTTTTTCATCATAAAATGTTGATTTTGTAGTTTTAAAACCAGATTTAAAAGTGTTCCAATGATGAGAATGGATCAAATTTGAAAAGAGAGAAAAATTTGTTTGCTTCTGAAAATTTCATTTAAGCTCCATTGATGGCTGCAAGGCTATTTTGGGCTCGAAAGTTCGCTCCATTGATAATTATGGTTCATTTTTGTTTTCAACGGCGATTTATTGCTCAAAATTATGCTCCATTGATAATAATGGCTCATTTACAATTTTTGGAGTGAATTTTTAGTTTTCAGAGGCAATTTCATGCCTAAAAGTATGCTCCATTGATAATAATGCCTCATTTTTCATTTTCGGGGTGAATTTTGAGTTTCCCAAGGCGATTTCTTCCTTGAAAGTATGCTCCATTGATAATAACGGCTCATTTTTGATTTTTGTGGTGAATTTCGAGTTTTCAGAGGCGATTTCTTGCTTGAAAGTATGCTCCATTGATAATTATAGCTCAAAATTTTTTTGATCAAATTTCAGGGTTTATTTTGCTTTATATTCATATTTTATGAGAAAAATAAGAATTTTATAATTTTCTTCGCAAGATCTGTAGGCGTCTAGAAGATCTTCAGCTCAAAAGTACGATTTTATGAAAATTGCCTCAATTTTTGAAGGTCTTGAGAAAATCTATGTGTTAATAATGACGGCCAGGAATGGATCTTTGAATTTTTTTGCAGCTTTTTTCCAAGGTTGATGGATTAATTTGAGACTTGAGAACTTATTGAGGCCAGTTGGAGCTTGAAAGTGTGCTCCATTGATAAAAAAAAAATGAAAAAAATGGGTTCAAAGCTTTTTCTGAAGGTTAATTGTGCTCTATCGATAAAAAAATGCTTGGATTCATGTTACATTACTTTTTCTGCTCCGGCTGAAAATGAGAGGCTTTTTTTGGGGCTTAAATGTGCTCCATTGATAAATTTTGATTTTTCTTCGATTTCATGATTTTTCAAGCGCTCAAAGGTTGCTCCACTGCTAATTATAGCTTTTTCTGAAGGTTAATTCTGCTCTATCGATAAAAAAAATGCTTGGATTCATGTTACATTACTTTTTCTGCTCGAACTCAAAAAAGAGGCGTTTTATTTCGGCTCAAACGTGCTCCATTGACACATTTAGCTTTTTCTATCTTTTCAAGCTCTCAAAGTCTGCTCCACCGATAATTGTAGCTTTTTATTTAGGATTCTAATTGAACACAGTTTTTCTTCATACAGCAAGGATTTGAAGCTCGAAAAGCTGAATTTTTAGCCGCGGAGCAATCATTGCCGTCCCCAATAATTGCCTGGAAATGACACGTCCTTTTGCGCGCCAAGTGCAGACCTTTCACTGCGGTGATTGACAGACGTTTCGTCGTTGTTTTTCCCCGAGATTTTCTTGTTCAGATAGGGGAGACCGCGACGCGACCGCAACGCGTAGCGATTTTATGTAAATTTGATCCCGCAATTGATCTTTTGTTATAGAAAGGACAGTTAGAGATGATAAAATACTCATTTTTCATTTTTCGAGGCCGAAAATATCTTTCGGGATAGATAATTTGGGAAATAAGTGTTTTTATAGAACTTCAATGAGGTTCCGAAGTGTCTTTTCTAGGGAACTTTAGCAGATTTTTAGATAATTTTGAGATTTTGAAACGATTTTCTTGGCCGACTATAAGTGATTTCGACAGAGAATTTTTCAAATTTTTTTCATTTTTTTAAAAAAATGAGCTGTAGAAGCTTATGTATTGCTCCAAGAAGCTCTAACGAGAAAAATGATTTGAATAGAAAAAAAAATGGTTAAATGAAGGCGTTTTTATCATCGGAGCGCTTTTTGGCGTGAAAAAAGAGTTCTGCAATTGAAAAATTTTTTTTCAATTTTTAGAAATAATCTGTAGAAGCTTATGTATCTCTTAGAAACGCTTCAACTTGAATGAAAAAAAAAAGATTTTTCGAAAATCGTAAAAATTGGCTATATAAAGGAATTTTTATCAATGGAGCGCTTTTTGTCATGAAAAATAAGCTCTGCAACTCATCAGAAAATTAATTTTCCCATAAAAATGTGCCGAAAATCCGTTTTTTTACCTTTTAATTCACTCTACCTATAAAGCGTCCTCTCACTAAAAACAAGAAAAAGAGTAATCCGGAAATAGGAATCCACTGAATTTGCATATATTTTTCCCTTTTTTCTGCCGCCGAGACCCACTCCAGAGGGCCTCGAGATCATTTTTCATTCGCCCCTTGACGAGCTCCTTTTTCTCGTTTCCAGCCCGTTTCTTTTCTTTTATATGATATGCACTTGGTGTTCCCGGCTTTTTAGTTTCTTTTTTTTTGGAGAAATATTGGGATTTTTGAGGAATTTTCGTCATATTAACCTCCATATGCAGTGTGAAAAAAAGATGGAAAAAAGGCACTTTTTTGCTACCTTTTTGCGCCTTTTCATAAGCTTTTATGCACCTTTTAACCATTCCTTGAGCCTTTGAAATCCCAGAAATGGAAAGCTCGATGAAGGGAGTCTTTTTGCTGCCTTTTTGCAGCCTTTCTGGGGCCTTTTTGCAGCCTTTTTGCGACCTTTTTACTGCCTTTTTGCTGCCTTTTTTGAGCCTCTTCCTTTTAGCGTCCATTATCCACCAATCTGACTTTTCCCGAGTCATATTTCTTGGTTTTTACCCTTATAATTTTATTAAATTCGTCACTGAAGTATAAACTTTCATGCCAAAAAAGCCTTGTTTCTAAAATTTATGAGCCAATCAATGGTGCGAAAAAAACGTTTTCTTATCATGGAAGGCCTGGAAGAACCATGATCAAAATTTGAGTTGGTTGGCTCAATAAAGGGCTCAAAAAAGGCTGCAAAAAGGCTGCAAAAAGGTAACAGAAAAGCAACAAAAAAGTCCCTTTATCGAGCCTTCCGTTTTTCTGGGATTCTCAAGAAATGGTGGAAAAAGAGAGAGGCAGCAAAATTGGTGCATAAGGGCCGATGAAAGGGCGCAAAAAGGTAGCAAAAAGGATTATTTTTATAGAGCCTTTTTCCATTTTTCCGACTTTGCCTTTGCGAGAGAAGCCTCATCATGTTGAAAATTTGTTTCTGTGTTGAATTTGACGTTTCGAAATGCGAAATTAGATGAATGAACTGATTTTGTCAATGGAGCATCCTTTCCCACCAAAAAAAACCGCGTCAGTTTTTTCATCAAATTCGAAGTTAACAGTATGATTTGTCTTGATTTGGCTACAATGAATGAACAGGACATCTTTTCGCTATCAAGTCTCTCTGAAATAGAAAAATGACACAAAAAACAAGGGTTTTTATCTCAGATCTGCCGCGCGCGACGGAATGTCGCGCCAGGACGGCGAGTTCGACAAGCACGGCGGCCGCAACGCGTTTCGCAACGCCGCCGATGACGTCAATCTCACCTCCACAGGTACTGTATCTGCATTGGAGCATTTTCGCGATTTTTTAGTTCATTTAGGGTCCTTTTTAGAAATTGCTCATTTTCGAGGTTTAGATTAAGCTAGAGACAATTTTAGGGGCTGTAAATGATATATTTATAAAATTTATGATTTTCGAGGGGACTCCTTCAAGTTTTTTTCAAAATCAGCTTGATTATCATGTAAAAGTAATAGCAAGCCAAAAATAGAGAGCATGGTAAAGTGGCTAGAAGCTCAGACTATAAATTTGAAGGTCAGAGGTTCGATCCCTGATAGCGGAACTTTTTTTTTGCCATTTCAAAGTTCGAACTTGGATCGTATGGTTTGGAAAAAGCCAATAAAAGGCTAAAGATTAGGAAACCAGGAAAATTTTCAATTTTTTAAGAAAGTTGATTTTATTTTATTTTTTCAGAAAGAGCGGCTTCCCTTCGAGCGATGAGATCGTTCACTGAGTCGATCGAAGACGACGTCGGACCTCCAGAATTGCCGCCTCATCTCGACATAGACGTCATCGGATGCTCGACGTCGGGCATGAGCGCCTCCAACACCACGGACACCATCATTGAAGTGGCCACTGGAGCGGACCCGATGACGTCATCCACGTCTTCGGATAAAAATCGGCCGTCGAAGGTAATTTAGAGGCGCTTTTTCAAGGAGCTGTGCGAAAAATATATCCGCTTAAGTTTTATGAAGAAGAAAGGCATAATAGAGTTTACTTTGGAGCGTGAAGAAAAAATGGCCGCTTGAAAATAGCTTGAAGAACTGAGCTTCAATAGGAGCTCTATTGAGAACGATTTAAGAAAAAATACCCGCTTAAAAGTGACCGGAAAAACTGAGCTTTAAAAGGTGCTCTATTGAGAGCGAGTTGGGAAAAAACAGCCGTCTAAATGTGACCGGAAAAACTGAGCTTGTGCGCTCCATAGAGAAATATTTTAGCCGCCTGAAATTAGCTTGAAGAACTGAGCTTCAAAACGTGCTCTATTGATAACTAGTGAGGAAAATGTAGCTGCTTAAGAAAACCGGAAAAAAACTGAGCTTTAACAACTAGCCAAACAAAGAGCTTGTGCGCTCCATAGCGAATATTTTTAGCCTTCTTAAAAATAGCTTGAAGAACTGAGCCTTCAAAAGGTGCTTTATTAATAACTAGTAAGGAAAAACTAGCAGCCTAAAAGGGACTGGAGAAGCTGAGCTTCGCAGGTCGCCAAACGAAGAGCTTGTGCGCTTCATAGAGAAAATTTCAGCCGCCTGAAAATAGCTCGAAGAACTGAGCCTTCAAGAGATGCTCTATTTGATAACTAGTGAGGAAAAAATAGCCGTTTAAAGTTGACTGGAGAAACTGAGCTCTGAAATTTAGCCTAACGAAAAGCTTGTGCGCTCCATAGAGAATATTTTTAGCCGCTTTGAAATTAGCTCGAAGAACTGAGCTTCGGAAGGAGCTCTATTGGGAAAGAGTAGGGAAAAAATAGCCGCTAAAAAGGGGCAGGAAAAACTGAGCTTGTGCGCTCCATAGAGAATATTTTTAGCCGCCTGAAAATGGCTGAATTTGAAGAGCTTCAATAGGAGCTAGGAAAAAAGAGCTTCAAAATTGAAAAACTTCAAAAATAGCTGAAACCAATTTCAAATGGCTCTAACTTCCGCTTTGCATAGAGAAGAAATATCGAAAACAGATAATTTTTAAAAATGCGGAAGAAAAATATTTTTCACTTTTACATCCTCGATTCTTCATCTGAAACTTCCTGGTCGCATTTGGAATGGCTCACCTTTATTCGCTTCACCAAAAAGAAATTTCGAAAAATGTTGAATTTTTGCAAAAACCCATAACTCAACTTGTACACTAGAAACTGGTCGAAAATTTGACAACTCGGCGATTTTCCAGAAGCCCAAAGTAGACCCTCAACTGGGAGAGACTCAAAAATACAAGATGGCCGTCCCTGGTCCCGGACACTCGGAACAGGAGCAGGAACTCCACAAAAGCCTCATCCGCGACAACGACGACGACAACGACGCCGAAGTCGAAGCCTTATTCGGCAAGGGCGACATCGCGCCGCCGACCAGCCTCCCCTTCGAAGAGCCGCCCACACATGAACAACTCCGACGCGAGTACAGCGCCGCGGCCGTTCAGCGACGTCGACCCACGACGCCGACTTCCGGCTGCGTCCTGGACGGAATCGCCTTCTTCGGCGGCGACGAGCTTCCCGACGTGCCCAAGGAGGAGAAGATCAAGGTCTCGATCCCGGCAGGTGAGGGGGTTAAATTAAAAGTTCTTCTGAAGATTCTAAAAGGGATTTTGTTTTTGGAACCTCTCCGAGAAGCTTGGGTAGATTAACCAGGGTATAATCTTTGGACACAGTGGGACCAGCTTTCCCAGATTCAGTTTTCCACGCTGATTTCAAATCTGTCCTCAAAAGTTGTCTAATAAGTCTGTGAAAAAAGTTATGGACCCTCAAAAGTCCCAAATTTTCACTGTCTCCTTGACCCTCTGGACACGAAAAACCATAAATTTTACTTTTGAAAAATTTGGTACCAAGAAAAAAACCTTTCAAAGCCTAATATGGTGGTAAGAACAAAATTTTTAAGCGCTGGAAGATTTGAAAACTTTAAAAAAGCTTAGATTATCAACATTTTTTAAATCAGAAAGTGTAAAATATGGTCAGAAGAAGCATAGAGAAAATGAGGGCTGAATATGAATTTTTTCAGGTTTTTGAGAATTTTCATGATCCTATGAGGTCCTAGAAGCTTCTGGAAATGGTTTTTTTTAAGAGTTTAGGATTTTTTCAGAGAGATTCAGAAGCCTGGAAGTTTTGGAAAAGTTGAGAAAATCTTGAATTTTCAACATTTTTTTAATCAGAAGGTTTAAAAATATCGTCAGAAGAAGGATAGAAAAAATGAGGGCTGAATATGAATTTTTTCAGGTTTTTGAAAGTTTCCATGAGCCTATGAGATACAAGAAGCTTCTGAAAAAAAGGTTCATCATATTAAGGATTTTTGAAAAAAATCAGATTTTTTTATTAGGGGAATTTAGAATCCTGGAAGTTTTGAGAAAAAGTTTTTTTAAAAATGATAGAGAAATTTTTAAAAAGTTCGGAGTCTTCTGAAGGCTTTTTAATGAGCTTCCAGAAGCTTCAGGATATGCAAAAAAATTGATAAAATTACTAGAAAAAAATGAATCTGAATTATTTTTTTAGTAGGAGTCTGGAGTTTCTACAGCCTCCATATTAGAGCAATTTTTTTCGAAAAACTAACCAAAAAAATGGTCCCTGGTTCAATCCCTTTCAAGTTCCTATGAATTTTTTTGCCATTTTTTTCAGATATATAATTTTTTTCATACGCATTCGGATCATTGGAATTTTGAGATACTTTGATAGAAAATTTTTAAAAAAATCCTAAAATTTTTTTGAAGGCTCCTCATTGATTCACGCTTTTTAAAAAGTTTGGAAAACCGCAGAAGTTGAAAAAAATCTATCTAATATTATTGAAAAAAATTCAATCTGAACTATTTTTTTCATAGTGTTTTTAAAAGTTTCTACAGCCTCAAAAAAATTGAAAAAAATCAGTTTTAACCACACCGAAAAGGTCCCTGGTTCAATCCTTCCAAGATTCGATGATTTTTTTGCCATTTTTTTCCAAGGATATAACTTTTTTTATAAGAGACTTTGAAATACTTAGGAATCTTAGAGTGGTCCCTGTAGGGGTAAGAGCCGAAAAGTGGTCCCTATAGGGGTTCAGGGTCTGAAATGTAAAACTTCTTTGAAAATTAGCTGTAACCACGGTCCCTGGTTCAATCCCTTTAAGATTCGATGAATTTTTGCCATTTTTCCAGGCTCCCGAACTCGCCGCCGCTCCGACATGACCTACTCGGATTTCTACGACCAAATGGCCGCCCAAATGCCAAATCAGGTCATTTTTAACAAGATTTTTACCAAGATTTTTGGATTTCAGATCAAAAGAGCCAGTAATTCCGGTCGAACCACGCCGTTGAACGATTACGATGGCGATATTTTGGAGGAAAATCCGAATTATAAAGATAAAGTCGGTTTCTTGAACCTTTCAAAGTCTAAAAATTACAATTTTCAGGTTCCTCCAGCTCCTGTGATCCACAGGAGATCCAGCGTCGAGTGGGAGAACTTTGAGGACATGCAAGGTGAGTCAGATTGAGCTATTATGAGCAATAATAGCTGCTTTGACTGAAAAATGGAACTCTAATTCAACTAGGAGGTGTAGAAAACGTGAAAAAATGACAGAAACTGTGGATTGGAAGGTCGCAGGTTCGATCCCTGACCAGGGAGATTTTTTTTGCCATTTTTTAATAAGCCATTTTCGAATTTCAAAGTCATTATTTGATGTAAAACTACTGGTGGTGAGCTAGGCTAAGCTAATATGAGCAATAAGAGCTTTTTGAGTCAAACGTGGAACTCTAATTCAACTAGGAGGTGTAGAAAACGTGAAAAAATGACATAAACTGTGGATCGGAAGGTCGCAGGTTCGATCCCTGACCAGGGAGAATTGTTTTTTGCCATTTTTTAATAAGCCATTTTCGAATTTCAAAGTCATTATTTGATGTAAAACTACTGGTGGTGAGCTAGGCTAAGCTAATATGAGCAATAAGAGCTTTTTGAGTCAAACGTGGAACTCTAATTCAACTAGGAGGTGTAGAAAACGTGAAAAAAATGACATAAACTGTGGATCGGAAGGTCGCAGGTTCGATCCCTGACCAGGGAGAATTGTTTTTTGCCATTTTTTAATAAGCCATTTTCGAATTTCAAAGTCATTATTTGATGTAAAACTACTGGTGGTGAGCTAGGCTAAGCTAATATGAGCAATAAGAGCTTTTTGAGTCAAACGTGGAACTCTAATTCAACTAGGAGGTGTAGAAAACGTGAAAAAAATGACATAAACTGTGGATCGGAAGGTCGCAGGTTCGATCCCTGACCAGGGAGAATTGTTTTTTGCCATTTTTTTAATAAGCCATTTTTCGAATTTCAAAGTCATTATTTGATGTAAAACTACTGGTGGTGAGCTAGGCTAAGCTAATATGAGCAATAAGAGCTGTTTTGGGTGAAACATGGAACTCTAATTCAACTAGGAGGTGTAGAAAACGTGAAAAAAATGACATAAACTGTGGATCGGAAGGTCGCAGGTTCGATCCCTGACCAGGGAGAATTGTTTTTTGCCATTTTTTAATAAGCCATTTTCGAATTTCAAAGTCATTATTTGATGTAAAACTACTGGTGGTGAGCTAGGCTAAGCTAATATGAGCAATAAGAGCTGTTTTGGGTGAAACATGGAACTCTAATTCAACTAGGAGGTGTAGAAAACGTGAAAAAAATGACATAAACTGTGGATCGGAAGGTCGCAGGTTCGATCCCTGACCAGGGAGAATTGTTTTTTGCCATTTTTTAATAAGCCATTTTCGAATTTCAAAGTCATTATTTGATGTAAAACTACTGGTGGTGAGCTAGGCTAAGCTAATATGAGCAATAAGAGCTGTTTTGGGTGAAACATGGAACTCTAATTCAACTAGGAGGTGTAGAAAACGTGAAAAAATGACAGAAACTGTGGATTGGAAGGTCGCAGGTTCGATCCCTGACCAGGGAGATTTTTTTTGCCATTTTTTAATAAGCCATTTTCGAATTTCAAAGTCATTATTTGATGTAAAACTACTGGTGGTGAGCTAGGCTAAGCTAATATGAGCAATAAGAGCTTTTTGAGTCAAACGTGGAACTCTAATTCAACTAGGAGGTGTAGAAAACGTGAAAAAATGACATAAACTGTGGATCGGAAGGTCGCAGGTTCGACTCCCGACCAGAGCGAGGTTTTTTTTGCCATTTTCGAGATTTTTTTCAGAAAGTTAAGTACATTGCGCATGAGTTAGGAAAATCTTGAAGTGGCTGAAAGTTTAAAAAATAGAATTCAACGTCAAAAGTTCAATTCCTACCAAGAAAAACTTTTTTTGCCATTTTTGGATCAAGCTGAATTTTTTGTTCGGTAAATTTTTGAGCCTTTTTCTTTTTTCAGTCATAATTCAGTGGCTTAGAGACTTCATTAACACTAGAAAGGTCCTTGGTTCGATCCCTTATAATATAAATTTGCCATTTCCTATATCACATTCAACTTTTTTTCTTCCTTCAGAAAAAAACCCTATTATTTTTTTCCTATTTTTCCGCCGGAAATCGTTTCGTTTCTATGGGTTACAAAGCCAATAACACGCAATCAAAAAAGAAAAAAAAGGATGCAGCCGACATTTTTTCCTTTTTTTCTTATTTTCGTATAGCTTTTTATCAGTTTGGAGACGGAAAACTTGATAATTGATGAGAAAAAGCTGGGAAAAATCTCTTGGGAATCGAACCCGCGACATTTTGAACGGCAGTCGAAGTTTTGAACCACTTGACCACAAAAAAAAAACACTTTTATACGCTATTTTGTTTTCTGATAGATTTTTTCGGAGGGCTACTATCAACTATATAAACCTGAAAATTGAAAGAAGTTTGAGCTACCGTAACCTCAATAAAAATCGTTGCAGGACCCTAATTTTTCTAAAGAGCCACATGAAAGTTTCAAAATATTGGATTTGACCCAAAACTTTGCAAAATATTTTTTGGAATCTAATTTTTGTTGATAATTTCGAACCTACCGTAGTCTCATCCAAAAATCGTCTAAAGACCTGTTTATTGATGGTAAGCTTCTTAAAATTTAATTCGACTTCCTGCTTCTTGTGTCAAATAAAAACATGTTCCAGTAGGTCCGAAATCGTTGTGACATCTATTTTTCTCAAAAATACAGATTTATTACTTTTTTCCCCTTGTACTGTAGACTCGCCAAAAATCGTTGCGAGACCCAATTTTTGTCAAGAAAACCACTAAAGTTCAAATATTCGAATTTGGCGCCAAGCTCATTCTCGAGGAAACCCATCAGAATTTTATATGATATCTTTCGAAAAGCCTTAGTCACTTTGAACGTACCGTAATCCTACCGAAAATTGTTGCGAGACCCAATTTCGCCAAGAACAGCACCAGAAGTCCAAATATTCAAATTTGGCGCCGTGAAAAAGGCCCATTTTTTAAAAATCCATTAGAAATTTCTAGTTTATCTTTTGGGAAGACTAATCACTCGAAGCGTACCGTAATCTTTCCGAAAATCGTTGCGAGACCCAATTTCGCCAAGAACAGCTTTATAATTTTAATTCTGTTTACATATGTCGTCCCAATCATAAAAAAGGTGGTGGTCTACTCATTCTTTATCCAAAAAACTATATACATTTCAAGTCCGTCAGAACATTTCCGAAGCACTCGAATCCATTACCATCAAAATTACAAACATCAATAGCAAAAATTCATGGTATTTGTCAGTTTTATACAGGCCTCCCGGTTGGAATCCGCATTTCATATCAGAATTTTTCATCATATATGTTTCATATTTACGAATCAATTGGAGACGGGCGCCACATAATTGCCGGAGATTTCAATTTTTCCGAACATAAACTGGAACAATTTGAGTGCAACCGACTCAATCTCAAAAAGTTTTCTTAGAATAGTTTGTGATTATGGTCTTACACAGAAGGTTAGAGAATGTACAAGAGGTGACAATATTTTGGACTTGGTTTTCGTATCGGACAAAAGCCTTATCAGTACTGTTGATATAGGAAAGCCCCTGTCAGACCATAACACGGTTGAATGCACTTTGAACATCGAAAAATCCAGTTTTAACAAAAATTCTTCAAAATTGGTTTATGACTATGCAAAAGCAAATTTCGAAGCTCTTGAACTAAAGTTGTCATACATAGATTGGAATTATCGGTTTAGTACTTGTTGTTCTCCGGAGGCTATGTACCAACTTTTTTTAGACATACTCAACCCACTTATAGCGGAATTTGTTCCACAAAAAATCATAAAACCTTTTAAATTCCCTCCGTACCTCATTAGGCTCAAAAGAAAAACTGAGAAGAATTATATAAAATATAAAAAGTCTTGTACCGAGAAAAAAATTTAAAAAAATTTACAAAGCCAGCATGAGATCTTATCGGAATTCCATAAAAAGAATATAAAATAAATCAAGAAAAAAAACATTCTTGAAAAAAATCGAATTCGAGTAAACAATTCTGGAATTACGTCAAATCAAAAAAACACGTGTAATCAAAGAGTCTCCTGCATTACTTTTTTGAACGATGAACTGATCACAAATGACAGGGCCAAAGCAAATGTATTTAATGATTACTTCAGCAGCGTATATACAGTTGATGATGAAAAATCTTTCGATCCAGTTTTCAAACCTCAATTCACTATAGACAACGTGAGCGTAGAACCTCATGTTGTATATGGAGCATTGAAAAAATTAAAACCTCTTTACTCATCCGGACCAGATAACTTATCATCAATTTTATGTAAAAAACTTGCCCTTCCCCTAGCGTTGCCTTTATCATTAATATTCCAGAAGTCATTGGATACCTCAATATTGCCTTCTCTTTGGAAGAAATCAATAGTTAGACCAATTTTCAAAAAAAATAGCCCTCAAAAAGCGGAAAACTACAGACCTGTGAGCCTAACATGCGTTCCATGTCGTGTTTTCGAATCTATTACTGTCCGAGCTTTAAGAAATCACTTATGGAGCAACAATATACTCTCTGATTCACAGTACGGCTTTTCTCAACAATAGAAATACAACGACGCAACTTCTTCAAAAAAACAGAAGTTTTTTTAATCGAGTGCGCCAGTAGAAATCAGAATGTGGACGTTGTATATTTAGATATTAGTAAAGCTTTCGATTCAGTCACACATAGGAGGCTCATTAAAATGTTAAAAAGCTTATGGGTGTGTAGGTCGCTTACACAAATGGTTTTTCACAGTACTTAACAAATAGAACTCAATTTGTCCGCCTCAATGATGAGGTATCCAACGAAACCGAGGTGTTGTCTGGGGTTCCACAAGGAAGCTGCTTAGGACCGTTGTTTTTTTCTTGATATACATAAATGATATAACTAGTGTCGTAAAAACATAGCAAAATGCTCATTTATGCAGATGACGTAAAATTATTCATAAGCTCAGAAACTGATAATTATAACCTCAAGCTGCAATCAGATATTAACTCAATAAGATACTGGCTTTTTAGAAAGGCAACTATCTATTTCTAGCTCTAAAAGCGTCTATGTGCGGTATGGTAAAAAGAAGGGGAATCTGGAACGACTATAGAATAGGAGAGGAATCCATCCCCAAACAAGAGGTGATTAGAGATTTAGGAGTTAATTTCAGTTCCGATCTGAAAATGCATCATCATATTGACATAATACTCAAAAAAAGCATTCGTATAATCAATAATCTTTTCCGTTGCTTCACTTTTTCCGTTAAAAACTTTATGAACTGTTATAAAGCCAAAATTCTACCAATTTTAGAGTATGGATCGGAGCTATTCTCTCCACTAACCCAATCTGACATAAACAGGCTAGAATCGGTTCAAAGAAAATTCACCAAACGGCTTCTCCCAAAAGAAACCTATGCTGTAAGACTAAAATCCCTTTCTCTAGACACTCTATGGACAAGACGTCTGCGAAAAGATATCCTAATTACACATCAGTTCATATATGGCTATTATTGGTGTCCATCTCCATTCAAATTACAAACGATATCAAATAGACGAAACCAACTGAGAGGCAACGGCCTTAAACTCGAACCACCACCAATCCATCATGTTCACTATAACTTTATTACGCAACGCGTGTATAAATACTGGAACGGCTTAAACAGAGTTATGGTTTTTTTGAGGATGACCAAAGAAGATTTAAAAAGTTGTTTGAAAAAAATTGGTTTTTTTGATAAGGAAGCTGCAAATTTCACAAAATGATTCAACTCGTTTATAGATTACTTTTTCTTTTTGATTCTCTTCGATTTCGACCTAAAAATATTTTTTTAGATTAAAGTGGAACTTTATCGAAGTGGAGGCAAATATAACTTCCATGGTTCTCTTCCTCCACGCCACAGATCTGTCTGTGAGCGAAATAAACATTCATTCATTCAAACATTCATCTAATATGAAGCCTAATCACTCCAAGCGTACCGTAATCTCACCGAAAATCGTTGCGAGACCCATTTTCGTCAAAAACAGCACCAGAAGTCCAAATATTCAAGTTTGGCGCCTTAAAAGAGCCCTATTTTCGAAAAATTCATTGGAAATTTCTAGTATATCTTATATGAAGCTTAATCACTCCAGGCGTACCGTAATCCTACCGAAAATCGTTGCGAGACCCAATTTTTGTCAAGAAAACCATGAAATTCCGAATTTTTGAATAATTCATCAGAAATTTCTAGTATATCTTTTGGGAAGACTGATCACTCTAAGCTTACCGTAATCTTACCAAAAATCGTTGCGAGACCCAATTTTTGCCGAGAACAGCACCAAAGGTCCAAATATTCAAATTTGGCGCCCCTGAAAAAGGCTTATCCGCCGAGAAACCCATTGAAGTGTAGACACACGAGAAAACCCTCTATTTTTGCTTTCGTCGAGCTTTTCAATTTTTGGCCTCGGCAAGGGAAGAAGAAGAAGAAGTAGGGGGAAAAGCCGAGGCCCCTCGTTCGATTGATTACTTTTTTTTTCGCCTACTTTTTCTTCTTCTTCTTCTTCTTCCTTTTTTCCTCGCCTTTGGCTACTCCTTGGGGCTTATTTCCTGCAGTGCACACGTTCATTCTTCACACACAAATACACTTTTAATGTCTTCCATGATGTCGATGATGATGTCATCGGGAGGGAGGGGAAAAGAGCGCGGATTTTGGTCCTTGCACTCGGTTTTGCGACTTGCATTTGGTTTTCTGCACTTCTTTTGAGCAGTTTCATCGAGTTTTGAGCCTTGGATTTGGTTTTCTACACTCTTTTTGAGCAGTTTTACTGAATTTTGAGCCTTGGATTTGGATTTCTTATGTTTGAAGCCTTGGATATGGATTTCCACATTCATTTTGAGCAGTTTTACTGAATTTTCAAGCTTTGGATTTGGATTTTTACATTCATTTTTTATAGTTTTACTGAACTTTAAGTCTTCGAATGGATTTCTACACTTCTTTTGAGCAGTTTTGACGAGTTTTAGACCTTGGATTTGATTTTTTACATTTATTATGAGCGATTTTGGATTTCAACACATTTTTTGAACAGATTCTTTGAGTTTTGAGCCTTAGATTGGGATTTCACAACTTTTTTGAGTAGTTTTATCGAGTTTTAGGCCTTAAACTTGGTTTTCAACACTTTTTTCAGCGGTTTCACTGAATTTTGAGCCTTAAATTCAGATTTCTACATTCATTTTTAACAGTTTTATTGAATTTTTAGCCTTCGATTTGGGTTTCTACATTTTCTTAATAGTTTCATTAAGTTTTAAGACTTGGATATGGATTTCCACATTCATTTTGAGCAGTTTACCTGAGTTTTGAGCCTTGGATTTGCGTTTTTATGTCTTTTTTGAGCAGTTCTATTGAGCTTCAAGGCTTGGATTTGGATTTCGGCACTTTTTTTGAGCATTTTCATCGAGTTTCGAGCTTTTCCTGTCCATTTTGTCCTCCTACAAGGCTTAAACAGATCTTCAAAGCTAATTTTTCGATTTCTAGCGGCGGGATTAAGCTTTTGATGGGCTTTTGACAATTTAATACGGTTTTTATTCTTGAATTTTGTGCTTCTTCAAATTTTCACGCTTTCTCAATTTCATGGAAATTGATTTTTCTTCTCAACCTTTTAAAAAGATTTTTTGAGGTATCTTATCAGCCAAAATCAGCCTTTTTCTTACCTTTTTAATATTTAACATGAAGCATCCCGCAACTCTGTGAAAAAATTAATTTTTGAAAAAACATGGCTATTGAATGGCTTTGGAACGTTTTCAATCATAAAATTTCAATATTTTCAACATGATCCGTCAAAAAAATAATGACAAAAAAAAGTTAGCGGCCAAAAGATTCGAACGTTCGTCATAGGCTTCGCATGTTAGCGCGCTAGCCTTTGCACCACGCTCTTAGCTGTCGTGCAATAGCTGATAGCGCGCATAGATTCCTTCCAAACGGCGTCACATGATTCAGGACAAAAAATTGAAAAATTCATATCTCCAAAACGAGAAGTTTGCGCAGATAGCGACAGTGGGGGATCGATTCTCAATTGATCAAAGATTTTTGAGCAAAGTTATAGATAATTCCAAACTCTACGTAAAAATGACTTTCCATGTATAGCTGATTCACGGATGGCTTGAGCCATCGAGAAAAGGGTCCTGCCACGAAAAGAGACGAGACAGTGCCCTGGTTGGTGGAGAGTGCAGACAGGCCACGCCTTTTTGCGTCCCAAGCTAGCCGTGAATCGTCTATAACTTTCAAACCTTCACGGCGTTCCCAAACGGGGTTGGAAGACGTCAAAAAAATTTTAGCGCGAAATTTGAAATCTCAAGTACGCAGCCAAATGTATTCTTCATGCCGTTGAATAAGTTTAAATTGCAAAGATTCTTTTTTTTTCATAAATTCAGAAACTTTGACGCGTCGCTCATCTTCCCTCACCCCATTAAGAATGCTCTTCGAGCTGAGATTTGATTTTTCCAAAAAAAAAAAAATTTTTCAAATCTCTAGATTCTTATCCATAGCATCTAATTCAAAGAAGCCGATGCTCCTAAATAGCTTCGTTTGGTTTTTTCTCTCCCCTAGCAGTTCAACAAGGGGACACTTAAGAGGTCAGCAGGAGCGAAAAACGCCTAAATTATTCAAAATAGCAGCGCGCCGAGCAATTTTCTCCACGCGGCTTTTTCCCCCCTTTACTTTACACTTTCCTTTCTTCTTCTGGAAATTTTCCTCGATTGGGAAACTTTTAAGTGGCTCTTCCATCCAGAAAAGGTGGTTTATAATGAGAAGTTTCATTGGAAAATTCACCAAAGTGGTTAATTTGAGTAAATTGTCAATGGAGCACATATCTTTACTGAAAAAAGCCGTCTCTCTGAAAAGTCGATGAATTTTTTTTGCTTGTTCTTGTCTTTCTTTTTAATATTTTCACGCTAATAATACATTTTTCGAACAAAATACTCTTTCTAGCAGTTTGAGTAAATTATCAATGGAGCACATATCTCTACTGAAAAAGAGCCGTCTCTCTGAAAATCGATGAATTTTTTTTTGCTTGTTTTTGTCCTTCTTTTCAATATTTTCACGCTAATAATACACTTTTTCGAACAAAATACTCTTTCTATCAGTTTGAGTAAATTATCAATGGAGCGCATATCCTTTGTAAAAAGAGCCGTTTTTTTATTTTTTTTTTGTCAAAATTAGAATTTTTGGAATTTTTTTTTGTCTAATGAAGCACTCTTTCGAAAAAGCCATATATGTATATTTTTTTTTCCTGGAAATCGCGCTCCATTGATAAATTTTCCAACATATAAATATTGTCTTCCTCATAAATATCTTGTCATTTTTGCTGGAATAACAATATTTCTCTTTCCTGGGAATAGAAAAAAATTAGCTATGCGTATATTTTATCCATTATTTTCTCACAAAAAAATTTTTTTTAAAGGTGAATCTCTGTTAGAAAAGCTCTGGTGACCTGAATTTTTTTGGAAATTCGGAACTTTCTCATTTTGAAATATCGGATTTTTTTCAGACTTTACTACACTTATAATCTTTGAAAACTCTATTTTTTTGCGATTTTTCAATTTTTTTGAAAAAAATGAGAAATCTTGAATTTTTCAGCCAATTTTTTTCTTTTTTTGATTTGATTTTTTTGAAGAATTAATGATTGGACTTCTACAGAAAAAAATGGACGTCGCTGAGGAATCGGAAAAAGTCGAGGAAAAGTTGGAAAAAAAGCGGCCAATGTGGAGGTAAAACCAAAAACGAAGAAGCTGGGATTCCATGCGAAGGTTGGATTTTTTTAGAAAAAAATGATTTTTTTCAGCCTCCAACCGTGGAAAATCACATCGCCAGATGCTCCTCATTCGGGGGTGATTTTTTTGATTTTTAAAATTTTTTAACTCGCCTAAAAAGTTTTTCATTAGTCTTGAAATTATCAAAAAGGTGGAAAGAACATTTTTTTCGATTTTTTTCCCCCAAGGAAATTTGATCCTCCAGCTCCGGCTAGACATGCATTTTTCGTCATTTTTTTCTCTTCCCTTTTTGTTTCTTTTTTTCTATATTTTTTTCAGTTTTGAAGCTTTTTTTGGTTCGATTTTTTTCAAATATCTCGAAATTTCATAGTACATTTTGCATTCAAAAAGTTCGTTTTATGCAGTGAAAAAAAGGTAGAAATTCATGAATTTTTGAATACTTTGGGCTTTTTTTCTGAAGAAAAAAATAGTATGTGGTTGCTTAGAAGTACGAAAAAAAACGTCTGATTTAAATTTGAAGAGCTGAAATTTTTTTCTATGTATTCTGAAGGTTCTATTCGAAACCCATACTTTTCCCCTTTTTTGAAAATTATCTCAAAGGATGTACTGTGCTGAAAAAAAAAAATTTCTGCGGAAATTTGTAGTGGCCACTATAGTGGCTCGCCAAGGACTACTTGAAGAGGACACTAAAGTGGCCACTAAGCGTATCTCTATAATGGCCACTATTTTCCGTTTCAGTGGCCACTTCAGTAGTTTTTCATCCAGTATTTCTTCCAGTAACTCTTATACAGATTGGACCAGTTATGTTAATCCATTGACCCCTAAAGTGGCCACTTAAAATTTTAGTGGTCTAGTAGTAGCACTTGAACCCCTATAGTGGTCACTTATTTTTCAACCCCTCAAGTGGTCACTAATTTGACTACTATAGTGGTCACTAAAACGTCAAAACCCTATAGTGGCCACAGAGTCTCATTTGGTTCCAAAAATAGTCTTCCAGGCCTTCCACGACCCCGTGGCTGAAGACAACGACGAGGAACCGACTTTTTCGGAAGACATGGTCGAGGAACGGAAGCGGCTGAAGAAGGCGACGAAGAAGAAGCCGAACGACGGCGTCGTCGACGAGAAGCCGTCGCCGGTTCCAGAAGAGGAAGAAGTCGACGTCGTCCCGCACACGACTGACGTCATGGTCACTGACCAGGGGCAGATCCCCGTCGAGCAGGAGTCTGGAGAAGGGCAGGAGGTCCAGCAAGAGCAGCAACAGGAACAGGAGCAGGAGTGTGATCCCAATGCTTATCCTGGTGAATGGTGATGACGTCATTATTACAATGGTGACGTCTTTTTGGAGAGTTAAAAATATTGAGGCATAAGTAGAACCTCAATGTTTATCACGGTGAGTGATGGGAAGGAATGACGTCATTATTAGAAAAGTGACGTCATTTTTGAAGAATTTGAAAATATTGGATCAAAAGTAGAACCCTAATGGTTATCCTGGTGAGTGATGAGAAAGGATGACGTCATTTTTGAAAAGTTAGAAAATATTGTAGCAAAATTAGGGCCCTAATGCATATCCTTGTGAGTGATGAGGAGGGATGACGTCATTATTAGAATGGTGACGTCATTGTGCGTCTTAGAAGGGAGTTTGACGTCATTTTTGGAGATTCAGAAAATATTGGAGCAAAAGTGGAACCATAATGGTTATCCTGATGACTGATAAGAAGGGATGACGTCATTATTAGGATGGTGACGTCATTTTGAATAATTTGAAAATATTGGAGCAAAAGTAGAACTCTAATGCTTATCCAAAAGATGACGTCATTGTCAGAATTGTGACGTCATTTTTGGAGAGTTAGAGAATATTGGAGCAAAATTAGGACCTTATTGCTTATCATGTTGAGTGGTGAGAAAGAGATGACGTCATTATCAGAATGGTGACGTCATTTTTAGTCTTAGAAGGGGGTTTGACGTCATTTTTGGAGAAATGGAAAATATTGGAGCAAAATTAGGACCCCAATGCATATTCTTGTGAGTGATGAGAAGAATGACGTCATTATTAGGATGGTGACGTCATTTTTGAGAAATTAGATAATGTTGAGAAGCTGTAAAATGTGATGACGTCATTATTAGAATGGTGACGTCATTTTCTGACATAGAAGTGAGTTTGACGTCATTTTTGGAGAGTTTGAAAGTATTGGTGCAGGAGAACGGCCCCGATGCTTATCCTCTTGAATGACGTCATTGTCAACTTGATGACGTCATTATAAACCTTGAAAATTTCAAAAAATGAACCACAAAAATCCGTTTCAGTGAGGATTGCTGAAATTTCTGTAGCAACACTTCACAAACATGGAAATAAACTTGCAAAGCGAAAATAATTGAAAATGATTAGTTCACCGTCACGTACTTGACCTATAGACGACGTGACTTAATCGCTCATTTCTATCGTTAAATGGCTTGGCATTGCTGTCGTGCCCTGGGATGCTTTCGGAATCCTCAACCTCTGACGACCCCAAGGATCATCACAGTGAATGGTGAAAAATGTCTCGTAGAAGCCGCTTATAGCTGATTCACGGCTAGCCATCGAAAAATGGGTCTTGACACGATAAGAAAATATTGCCTGGTTGATGGAGGGCGCAGACAGATCTCCTCTTTTTGCTTCCCAAGCTATAGCCGATTCACGGTTAGCTTGGGACGCTAAGGGGGCGTGGCCTGTCTGCGCTCTCCACCAGCCAGGCGCTATCTCTTTTATTATCGTGTCAGGACCCTTTTTTCGATGGCTCAAGTTGGCCGTGAATCAACTATACCTCGTTTATGAAGAAGGGGTATTCGAAAATGCTCTTTATGAAACTTGGAAGTTATGTTTTAAACTGGTTTGACTTTTAATGACGTCACTTAGCTTTAAGATGATGTCATATATAAATTTGCAGGATACATCTGGAATTACGACACTCAACAGTGGGACGTCGATCTGAACTATGATCACAGTCAAGGTCAAGCTCAAGCTCAGAAGTGAGTTCAGAGTCGACGTCTTCTGATTGAAAATTTTGATTTCAGCGAAGAAGCGCCGACGACTTTAGAAGCCCCACAAGCGGCCCCAGAAGCGATTCCTGGCGAGTACGACTACGACTACACGGAATACGGCGGCTACCACGCCTACATGGCCGCGCACGGCTACGTCTACGATGACGTCACCGGCTCGTACAGTTATCCTAACTATGAGGATCCCTACCATGCCGGATATGACCAGGGACAGTACACAACTGAAGCTGTGGGAGCTGCGGAAGCCTCCCCGGCTGATTATAGTCAGTACTATCAAGACCCCCAGTCGAGCCAGTACTACCCGGATCAGTACTACCAAGACCCCCAAGCCGTACCAGACACCGCGGGACAGTACTACCAAGATCCGAATGGAGCTGTGGATTATTACCAAGCCTCCCAAGCTGTACCAGACGCTTCCGGACAGTACTATCAAGACCAACAGTACTATCCGGACCCCAATGGGACCTCTGACGCCGCTCAGCAGTACTACCAAGACCCTCAAGCAGTCCCTGACGCTTCTGGACAATACTACGAGGATCCTCAAGCTTCCCACCAGTATTACCAAGATCCTCAGGCTGTACCAGATGCATCAACCCAGTACTACCAGAATCCTGACGTTGCGCAGCAGTACTATCAAGATCCGCAAGCTGTGCCGGATCCTTCTAGCCAGTACTATCCCGATCCGAATGGTACTGCACAACAATATTATCAAGATCCCGCCTACCATGCCGGCTATGACCAACCTGAGGAACATCATCCGCCGCCTCGTCCAGCTGTTCCCGTCTTCACCGAGCCCCTTTTCAAACAGTTCGTTCATTTTTGAAGTCTAGTGGAGTGGTCACTATAGGGGCGACCTTAGGGCCTGAAAAAAAAACCTGACCACGCAAGCTTTAGTGCCCTCTATAGGGGGAGTATTCTAGTGGTCTCTAGAGGGGTTTCAGTTTTCAACAAGCGTTATCTGAATGAGCAACTTTGGTTTTTTAACTTTCAAACCACAACGAAAAGTTAAAGACACCTATAGGGACCACTTGAGTTTTAAGGACTTTGGGGTCAGATCCTAAGCCCTGTAGGGACCACTATTATGTCCCCTAACCTCTCTAGGGACCACTCTAGAGCTCCTGAGACTGAGCCAATAAAATTAGTGACGTCATAGGGTGTTTTTTTTTTTTGAAAAAGTCAGATTTTTGAGATAAAGTTTGGTAAAATTAGCCCATTCTGTGATGGTGACGTCATCGTTCGTCATAAAAACTAATTTGAGTGACGTCATGAATTTTAGTTGATTAAAAAGCCGATTCACGCGAAATAAAAATTTCTGACTACGAAAAAAATAAAATGATTTTTAGACAACAAAACGTGCAAGATCCATACGCCTGGGACTCTTCAGCAGTGGCCCAAGCGCCCGCCCAAGCTCCGGTCCGACCCGCCGCTCCTTCGAGACCTGAACCGCCAAAGCCTCACGAAACGACTTATGACGGTTGGTTTTCATTTCGTGGTTTTGTGTTTTTATGTTGTTTTCTCCTTTTGTTCAGTTTATCCAACTCCGCCGCTCCAATTTTTCTTCATCCGTTGAAATATAGCGATGTTTCTTCCAAGGACTCGTTCTCTGTTACTCGAAAAAGGAAGCTTCTTCCAAAGTTTTCTGAAATAAAAATTGATTTTTTCCTCTTTTTTTTGTTTCTGTATGAAATTCTGATTGAAAAGTGTGTTCTGGAATGTATAATTTCTAATTTTTGTGCTGAAATGTGGGAAATTGGCCGATGAGGCAAATGTTGAAAAAGTGTCTTGAAGGCAAAAGAAAACGTTTAGCCCCAGCTCCACCCCGACCTCCTCCCGCTGCACGACCACCACCACCTCGTCCAGCTCCCGCAGCTGCCCCCAAGCCGAAAGAGCCTGAGCCAGCTCCCGAGGAAGACGCCTGGACGCAGTTCAAGAAGATGACCGAGAAGGTATGGCGGCGCCAGCGCTATGCACGCCGCCTAGTGTGCGTGGCGTAGTGGCGAGCACGTTTGCCTGCCACTGCGCGGGTCGCTGGATCGAGTCCCACGCGTGGCGATGAATTGTGTAGCACAGACCTGTTCATAATAGTACTTGATGAAACAGCTATCATGAGCCTTTTTTGCAATTTTAACATTTTCCAGGTCTCCGATGTGGTGAAAAACACGGAAAGTACGCTAAAGAACCTCTCGGAGACGTCGGCCACGAAGGATATTAAAGATGAAAGCTATTTGGCCGAGATTGGGTTGGAAAATTTCGGAAAATTGATTTATTTTGAAATTGAAGAGGTTCGCAAGGTTTTGTGAATGAGTCGACGCAGCGGGAAATCCAAAGATTGACGGAGGAGAAGAAGAATGAGAAGCTCTTGAAGAAGAAGCTGAAACAGCAAGGTTGACTTTTCAAAAAAAAAAACCGAAATTTGTTAATTTTTTTCGTGGCAGAAGGAAGTCATGAAGAATCGAAGATGTAGAAAAAAATCATGGAAAAAGGCAAAAATTATAAAAATGACCAAAGGAATTGAGCCTTTGATCTTCTATCTTTTCTATGTCTTCCACCATTCTTAAACATTTCATATTTTAATATTAGACAAAAAAAGTCTTGTAAAAATGAAATATGTAGAGTAATACACGTGCTTGGAACTTGAGAAAAATTAAAATTCAAAAAAAAACCCCTTGTGGACTTGAACCTTTGGCCTTCCGCTCATTAACTTTTATCCACTTGGCCAAGTTTTCATTTAAAATTATTTCAGGCAAAAAAGTCCAATCACCGACGTACGACCCTGATGAAGAAGACGCCATGGACAGGGCAGCTCAAGAATTGGCTATGAAAATGGCGAATAATAGGACCGATATTGGGGTAAAACTATTATTTTCAAATATATTTTGACGACTCATGGCTCATTTTAGGACTGGAAACCGCCTCCGGGAGTCGCTGAAGAAATCAAAAAAGCCCCAGAAAAACCAGCTAGAGAAGAAGATTCGATTTCAGCGATTCCACCAAGAAAAAAGTGAATTTTCCTCCCTTCTTCCTTGTTTAATTTTTCCTCAGGAGCTCGATAAAAGACGTTCATCAAGACTCGGGCGGCTCCCTGGAACTCCCCATGCACTTATCCGCTCAAAAACAGGATTCAATCAGCCCGAAAGGCGATTTGTAAGTCACAAACGTCTAGTAAATACAACTGCAAAACGGCAAAAACGTTATGGAGGTATGGGGAATTGAACCCCAGCCCTCTCCCATGCTAAGGGAGCGCTCTACCACTGAGCTATACCCCCAGCTGACGTTGCAAAGGCGCGTCGCCGAGATACCGCCGCGGCAGGTTGAAGCTAGTGTGTGGAGGAATTGGGTGAAAACTTAGAATTTTGATTTTTATCAATTTCAGGTAATCAAGGTATTTTCAGTGCACCTGACGATCCGATTTTATCAGCCCCCGCCTGGGCCGATTTTGAATCAACCGATCCTGTACTACCGCCAAGCGAATCAGGGTTCTTCTCAAATAAGGTTATTTTTACAGGCTACTGTAGCATGGGATGATTACTGTAGGACAATGCAAACGACACGTCGAACGATATTGCGGACCCATTCCAAACTGCGACCTCTACAGTAACCACCAATGGAAGTTCCGATCCGTTTGCGCCGGTTGCGCCGAGTTTGATCGATGACGTGAGTTTGATTTGGAATGACGTCATTTTGATTAGGAATGACGTCACTTTGGTTTGGAATGACGTCATTTTTGAAAAACGCCTATTTAGTTTGAAAACTTTACAAAAGTTTTTTTGATGGAGCTGGAATTTATGACGTCATAGGCTAGACAAAAACTTGATAATGACGTCAAGAACCTGAAAATGACGTAATTTGAACCGTTTTCCAATTTTTTCAGAGTCTTTTTGCACACGAAAAAGTGGTTCCTTGAACTTTTGGTTTTTATTTTTTATCTATGACATCATACAATCGCGACTTGAAATTTCTCTTTTTCTCTCCACGTCTCTCGAACTCCCGTGCTGTTTTTATGTTTCGCTGACCTCGCCGGTGAGGGAACAGAGAGACGCAGACAATCGAGAAATTTCAAGTTGCGGCGGATGGGCTATATTTATTATTGAGTGACGTTTGAAGTGGCGATTTGAGTTATGCCAAATGAAAATTTAAAAAATGTTCGACGGATTCTAATTTTCATGATGCTACTTAGTAATCAGTACAGACTCAGAAGATTTCTGGACTTTTTCCAGAGCTACGACCCCTTCGCAGTACGACCAGTAGAAGACGTCGTGGCGATGGCCAAGGCGAAGGCGGAAGAAGCGGCGGCGGCTGCGGCGGACGACGACGACTTCTTCGTCGGCGACCGACATTCTCCGGCCCTCTCCACCCCGACTCCAGAAGGCGGTAGTCCCCTCAGCCAACGACCCAACCGCTTCGAGGACGACTTCAAATGCGAGGGGATGGGTCTCGACACGCCGACGCCTCTCTACGACGAGGACGACACCGAACCTCTCACAGAGTACCTCCCAAGGTTCTCCGGCGACGGCTGGGACTTGATGATACGGTAGACCTACTGTATATCCTGATTACTGTAGCATTTCCAGTCATCCGATCAAGAAGAAGTCCTTCATGGCGGAGAGGTACTGGAAACCCTGCTTCGTGCGGTTACACGGCACCACTTTGTTGGTTTATAACGACCGGAAGGATTCTTCCCCGATCCAGGTGGGGATTTTCAGAGATGTAGTTGATCCATAGGCTTCCTGAAAGTCTCAGATTAGGATGAAGCGTCAAGATTTCAGAAATGTAGTTGATCCAGAGGTTTTCTAAGAGTACCAGGTGAAGATGAAGCCTCAAGCGTTCAGAAATGTAGTTGATCCATAGGCTTCCTAGAAGTCCCAGTTGAAGATGAAGCGTCAAGCGTTCAGAAATGTAGATGATCCAGAGGCTTCCTGAAAGTCTCAGATTAGGATGAAGCGTCAAGATTTCAGAAATGTAGTTGATCCAGAGGTTTACTAAGAGTACCAGGTGAAGATGAAGCGTCAAGATTTCAGGAATGTAGTTGATCCATAGGCTTCCTAGAAGTCCCAGTTGAAGATGAAGCGTCAAGCGTTCAGAAATGTAGATGATCCAGAGGCTTCCTGAAAGTCTCAGATTAGGATGAAGCGTCAAGATTTCAGAAATGTAGATGATCCAGAATTTTCCTGAAAGTCTCAGATTAAGATGAAGGGTCAAGCGTTCAGAAATGTAGTTGATCCAGAGGCTTCCTAGAAGTCCCAGTTGAAGATGAAGCGTCAAGCGTTCAGAAATGTAGATGATCCAGAGGCTTCCTGAAAGTCTCAGATTAGGATGAAGCGTCAAGATTTCAGAAATGTAGATGATCCAGAATTTTCCTGAAAGTCTCAGATTAAGATGAAGGGTCAAGCGTTCAGAAATGTAGTTGATCCAGAGGCTTCCTAGAAGTCCCAGTTGAAGATGAAGCCTCAAGCGTTCAGAAATGTAGTTGATCCAGAGGCTTCCTAGAAGTCCCAGTTGAAGATGAAGCCTCAAGCGTTCAGAAATGTAGTTGATCCAGAGGCTTCCTAGAAGTCCCAGTTGAAGATGAAGCCTCAAGCGTTCAGAAATGTAGTTGATCCAGAGGCTTCCTAGAAGTCCCAGTTGAAGATGAAGCGTCAAGCGTTCAGAAATGTAGATGATCCAGAGGCTTCCTGAAAGTCTCAGATTAGGATGAAGCGTCAAGATTTCAGAAATGTAGATGATCCAGAATTTTCCTGAAAGTCTCAGATTAAGATGAAGGGTCAAGCGTTCAGAAATGTAGTTGATCCAGAGGCTTCCTAGAAGTCCCAGTTGAAGATGAAGCCTCAAGCGTTCAGAAATGTAGTTGATCCAGAGGCTTCCTAGAAGTCCCAGTTGAAGATGAAGCCTCAAGCGTTCAGAAATGTAGTTGATCCAGAGGCTTCCTAGAAGTCCCAGTTGAAGATGAAGCCTCAAGCGTTCAGAAATGTAGTTGATCCAGAGGCCTCCTAGAAGTCCCAGTTAAAGATGAACCTGTTGAATAATTTAGTTGGTCCAATCGATGACCTCAAAAGCTTCAAAATTTAAAGGAGCATAGGGTACTTCCTCGAAAATGTCTCAACAAGATCCGGCTTTTTTTGAGTTCTGAGAAGGTTTTCTTGTCTATCAAACCATTGTAAACCATTTACGAAAGTACACTTTCTTCACAGAAAGAGAAAAACTTACCGTATTTAAAAGGTTTTTGTATTCTTAATTGGACTGGTCCTCGAGAAAAATTCAATTTTTTTATAAGAATTTTTTGCAGTGTTCCTTTGACATTTACGTATCGAAAAACTACTTTGACTTGAAAATCCAAAAAAAAAAGGGGTTTGATCATTTTTGAGGCTACTAGTTGGACGGTCCAAGGAGTCTTCTGAAAATTTGAAAACCCCTTACTTTTGTTTTTTTCTTGTTCAGAATTTCCCGCTGAATTCAAAAATATGATTTTTATTGAAAAATTTGCAACACGAAAAAAGTTATGTCGCTTTTAAGACCGATAATGACTGGGCCGAAAAGCTATTTTCGAGAAATGGAAAATTCTCATTTTTCAATTTTTTTCGAAATTCTAATGATTTTTTTGCACAGTGAGGATGTAAGAGGCGATTCAAATCCACTAGGTGAAATTTGGTACCAAATAATTGAATTTAGAGAACCTACTGATTGCGTTATGATTTTTTGAAGTTATTCAAAGAATGAAAAGTTGAGGTATTGCTAAAATTTGAGCGGTTATGAATGAATTTTGATGTGGAAACTGAGGATTTAATTCAAAAATACGCTTTGGGAATATTTCCTACTGCTTCTGAAGTGTTTAAAGGAGCAGCATAAGAAGTTTTGGCGCGAAAAATTAATGAAATTACTGTCAAGGCTTGATAAGCGGTTGTGAATGTAATATGAAGCTCAAATTGCAAAAAATATCAAAAATTCGGCTTCTAAGGCCTCAGAAGGTTTCAAACTAGATACAAGGATCTGTAAGCGATTTTGAATCGACTATAGTCTGTTCAGATTTTGAATGTCAAGTGCAATGACGTCATTCAAAAACACTCTGTGGATGGCTTGCTCTCTGATTGGTTTATCGCGCCATTAGGGGCGGAGCTTGAGCGACGACTTGACATTTAAAATCTGAATAGACTATATTATAGGGAAACTGCAAAATTTTGCTTCAAAAACTTCAGAAAAGTTCATAGTACATACTTGACACCTCAAAACTGTCCGCACTTTCCAGGAGCTCCTCCTCCAAGCCACCTATTCTCTATCCGACACTACTCTTCAAGCCTACGACGTCTATGGGAAGATCCACACGGTCAAGCTCCAATTCGTCGTCTACAAGGAGAAAGTCGGGATTCGGCCGGGTAGAATTGCCCGCTCTCCACGAATTCAGTCAAGTTTTCAGGCCAAATTAGCCGGCTCGTCGAAGGCCACGTTACCAAATACGGCCTGCCCTTGGAACACTCGGCCCAATGCACCGTCCTCCTGAAATTCGGATCCTTGAACGCCCCGGAACTGCAGTCGTTCGTGACGACCGTCGAGGACATTCTGTTCAAATGCCACATCTCGAGGACTACCAAACCCGTCTACAAGCAGGATGAAGTTCAAGTTTGTTCAACTTGAAGAAAACCAGAAAACTGAAATTTTTCAGATCCATTGCTATGACGAATACTCGGCGTTTGTCGACAAGGATGGCGTTTTGTCGGATCAAAAAGCGCGAGTTCGAATGTTCTGCCTGGCTTTCCTGACCGGAACGCCCTTCTTGGAGATCGGCTTGAATGACAGGAGACGACAGGGAAAGGTAACTTATCAGTTCCTCGAGGTATATTCAGAAAATTTCGAAGTGAACTTGAATGAAACAGTTTTGAACCTTTTTTGGAACCCTTTTGAGGCCCTTTTGGTCCCGGAGCCTCTGAAGTTTTTTTTTTGAGCATTTTTAGCATATTTTGAGCTAGTAGAGCTTCAATGATAGCATACATCGAATAGTCTCGGTGGGACCTGAAAAAAAGAGGGGACTTGGCAAAAAAAACGAGAACATGACAGGGGGTGGGTTTGGCAAAAACCGTAGAAAAAAATTTTTCAGGGGCTTGGCTGTGTTTTTTTGAATTTTTTTAAAGGTGACGGAGTCTTAAAAAGACGCCTTTTTCGGTCTTTTTCATTCCTCAGTGTAAAAATTGAATTTCAATGGCTTTTTGTGCAAATTTTTCATTGACTTTGATAGCTACTAAACGTTAAAAATGAACTCTGACTGTTTTAAGTCGTAATTTGATTTATTATCTGAATCCAAACTGGATTTTCGGTCTTTAAAAAATCGATTTTTCAGGAAATCGTCCGCCGGAAAGACATCCTCCCAATGCACACGGAAAGGTGGATCCGATTCGAAGCCTTGGAATTCCATTCGATCGTTGATCGGAACGAGTTTGATAAGGAACAAGTTATCAGATTCAGCCCTCCTGATGGCTGTTTCTTCGAGGTTTCTAGATTATCCAAAAGTTCAAAAAGTCTAAAATCAACTTGAAGATCATGAGATTCCGAATAAGGCCCCCAAGAAATCGCGAAAAGGCGATGACTGTCAAGTCGATCATGAAGATTGCCGGATCCAAGGTGACTAATCAATAAATTTTCAACCTATTTTTGAGTTCTAAAGGTGGAAATCCGGATCGAAGCGATGGCGGCGGCGCAAATCCAAAGAACCCGAGGGGCCGAAGAACGACGGAACATCCCCTGTGAAGATATCGCCATCAGATTCCCGATTCCCGAAGCTTGGATCTACATTTTTAGGTTGAAAGGATTCTAAGAATATTCTAGAATTTTTACTATCATTTTGTCGGATGAGTAGGGTTTAGGGGGTCTTTAGAGCCTCTAGAGTCTTTAAGGTTCATAAAAAAAATAGGTCTTTTAAAAATCTTCCTGCTGGCTTATAAAGGTTTTCATAGCTTCTAGGAGCTTTTAAGACAGTTAAAATTGATAATTATTATCTAGACAGTTTAGAAAATCTAAAGGGAACCTTCCATAGGCAAAGGCTCCATAGAAATTTTCCTTTTAGGTTCCTTTTTTGCTACCTTTTTGCGCCATTTCATCGGCTCTTATGCACCATTTTGATGCCTTTTTGACGCCTTTTTGGAGCCTTTTTACTGCCTTTTTGATGCCTTTTTGCTGCCTTTTTGCGACCTTCTTGCGACCTTTTTGCTGCCTTTTTGCTGCCTTTTTGATGCCTTTTTGATGCCTTTTAGCTGCCTTTTTGCGACCTTTTTGATGCCTTCCTACGGCCTTTTTTGAGCCTTTTTGATGCCTTTTTGATGCATTTTTGCAGCCTTTATGCGGCCTTTTTGCAGCCTTTTTTGAGCTTTTTTTGAGCCTTTCTCTTTTGGCAGCCATTATCACACCATTTAGACGTTACCCAAGTCAAAATAATGAAAAGAGGCTTGAAACTTTAACAAGGCTTTTGTGAACTTATTTTCGAAAAAAAATAGTTTATCTTGTCTTTTTTAGAACAGAGAACTCAATAATTTCGAGAAAAATGATATTTTCAATCAAGATATGCCCTTTTTCAGAGAAGAGCGACATTGGGGAGTCGGATCGGTGCATTCCAAAAAGTTGAGGCCCGGAAAAGTCAAGGTACCAGTTCTATATTCTGTAAGAATCTCCAATTTTTTGATTTCCAGAACCTCAAAGATCGACTCCTTGGCGCCGTTCAAACCCATGAAGCCAATCTGATAGAATGCGCGATCGGAGAGGCCAAATACGAACACGTCTACCGGAGTCTCGTTTGGCGGATACCTAGGCTACCTGAGAAGCATCATGCCGCGTACAAGTCGCACCTGTTGAGGTGAGGGAGGAGCTGGATTGATTATTATACATTGTGGAGCTGTAGGTGAAGGTGTAGGAACTTTATGAGGCTTCTGAGAAGCTTAGAAGCTAGAAATTCTAATGAATCGTAAGAGAAAAGTTGAAAAACTCGGAATAGCGGATATGTAAGTTTTCTGAGAAGAATTCGCACCTGTTGAGGTGAGGGAGAAGCTGGATTGATTAATTAATGTTCTGGAAGGTGTAGGAACTTTATGAGGCTTCTGAGAAGCTTAGAAGCTAGAAATTCAGATAAATCGTAAGAGAAAAGTTGAAGAACTCTGAAAAGCGGATATGTAAGTTTTCTGAGAAGTAGTCGTACCTGTGAAGGTGAGGGAGGAGCTGGATTGAGGAAAAAGGGTTCTGGAAGTGTAGGAGAAGATTCAGTTGTCTTTAGGAAGTTTGGAAGCCGTTTAGAAGCTGGAAATCCAGAAAAATAGTCGAGAAGAATCGTAGAAGTTCCAAAAGAAAATACCTAGGCTTTCTGAGAAACATCATGCCGCGTATAAGTCGCACCTGTTGAGGTGAGGGTGAAGCTGGATAATTAGGAAAACTGAGAGAGAAGATTACAAAGCTCCTGGATAGTTTCGAACCTAGAAATGGTGGAAAATTCTCAAAGCATGTTCTGGAATTATAGAAGAAGATGTAAGTCAATTGAAAGTTAGGAAGCTCTTAGAACCTAGGGAGTTCGGCGGAGTTGTCTTAGTTTCCTAAGAATATGCCGCTCATAAGTTGTAGCCTGTTGAGGTGAGGGCGAAGCTCGATTGATAAATTGATGTTCTGGAACTGTAGAAGGTTTTTGAAGGGTTTGAAGCCGTTTAGAAGCTAAAAAGTCAGATGTATCGTAAATGAAAAATTGAAGAAGTCTGAATAGCGGATATAAAAGTTTCCTGAGAATATGCCGCGTAGAAGTCGCACCTGTTGAGGTGAGAGAGAAGCTTGATCTTTTAAAAAATGTTATGAAACTGTAGGAGAACTTTTGGTTGTCTTTTGGAAGTTTGGAAGCGCTTAGAACCTAGGGAGTCCGGTATATTGTAAGAAAGGGCTTTAGAAGTTTGAATGAAGGAGAACTAGGCTAACTGAAAAACATCGTGCTGCTTAAGTCACATCGGTTGAGGTGAGGGAGGAACTGGATCGATAGGAGATATTTCGGGAACTCTAGGATAATTTATAGGTATTTTACAATGCTTCTCGACAGCATAATTGCTAGAAATTCAGATGAATAGTAAAAAGGAGTCATGGAAGTTTGACTATTAGATATATGAGTTTTCTGAGAACGTGCCGCGTAAAAGACGCCCCTCTGGAGGTGAAGAGAGCGGTTGAAAATTGAAATATACTAGGACTGTAGGATAAAATATAAGAACTTTCTGAGGCTTTTGAGCAGCTTGAAAGGTAGAAGTTCAGATAAATAATGGAAAGAAGTTGTACAAGTTTGAATGAATCATGCTTAAGCTACCTGAGAAAAATCGATGCTTATTAGTTACCTGTTGAGTCTAAGGAGAAGCTTGATCAATAAAAATGTTCTGAAACCATGAGGGAAGTTCCAGGAGTTTAATGGAGCTTCTGAAACGCTTATAATTGGAAGAAGCTCGAAGAATAGAGTGAAAAGCTGTAAAATTTTAATAAAGGAAGTTTAGGGTCTTCAAGAAGCTTCAAGCTGTTTATGTTAGACCTTTTGGGGTGAGGAAAGTGATGGAGGTTCAGAAGAGACTTCTGGAACTGTAGGAAAAGAGATAGGATTTCTGAGGACTCTGAAACGTTCAGAAACTAGAGAAATGAGGAAATCTGAATGATAAATCGTAAGTCTGAATAGAGAACTTGTGCTTAGGGGGTGAAAATTGTCGACAAAACTAAAAAAGAGCACCTGGACTTCTTGAGAAACAGCTTATAGAAGGATATTCTGTATTGATCGATTCAGATGTCGCTTCGAACTGTCCTCCTTCGACCTGATGCCGGAGGAATTCCTCCCCAGGTGTGAGGTCGACTTCACGATGCCCCTGGCTACCGTCTCCAACACCGTCGTCAGATCGGTCTCCGTGGAACAACACGAGGACAGCGACCGCGTGGAGAAATTCGTCCGCTACGTCGCCAAGTACCAGTACAAGGTACAACTTCACAAGAGATTATATTTCAAAAAGGACATCTCAGGTTGAAATCGACTATATCCAATGCGCCAACCTCGACATCGACACGGCCGATCCTTCAGTCAACCCAGAAGCTGCTGCGGCTCCCGTCCCGGACCTTCATGCTCCACAGATTCATCCCGACGGCGTCTCCAAGATGCACGAAGGGTAAGGGACCTTGACAGAATTTGAACTCGGAACCCTTAGATTGTTAGACAAGGTTATTAGCCGCTGAGCTATCTTGAGATTTTAGAAACTGTGTCGGCATCGACTAGTTCGGCCCTTTCACCGACTCTTTTTAGCCCTTGACAGGATTTGAACTCGGAACCCTTAGAATGCTAGACAAGGTTACTAGCCTCTGAGCTACCTTGAAATTTTAAAAACAACTTGATTTGACTAAAACTGTGTCGGCATCAGCTAGTTCGAATCTTTCAGACCGACTTTTCTCAGTCCTTGACGGGATTTGAACTCGGAACCCCTAGATTGTTAGACAAGGTTATTAGCCGCTGAGCTAGCTTGAAATATTAGGTACTGTTTCGGCATCAGCTAGTTCGAATCTTACAGACCGATTTTTTTTTTCAGTTCTTGACAGGATTTGAACTCGGAACCCTTAGAATGATAGACGAGATTGTTAGCCTCTGAGCTACCTTGCAGTTCAAAAACTGTGCCGGCATCACGTAGTTCGGCTCTTACAGGCCGACTTTTTGCTCAGTCTTTGACAGGATTTGAACTCGGAACCTTCAGATTGCTAGGCAAGGTTATTAGGCTCTGAGCTACCTTGAAATTTTTGAAACTTTGAATGGACTATCCCTGTGTCGGCACCAGCTAGATAACTTCTTTCAGACCGAACTTTTCCGTCCTTGACAGGATTTGAACTCGGAACCCCTAGATTGCTAGACGAGATTGTTAGCCTCTGAGCTACCTTGAAATTTGTAAAAACTGTGGCGGCATCCGCTAGTTCGGCTCTTTCAGACCGACTTTTCTCAGTTTTTGACAGGATTCGAACCTTGCACCCTCAGATTGTTAGACAAGGTTGTTAGCCTCTGAGCTATCTGTGTCGGTATCAACTAGTTAAGATCCGTCGGACCGAATTCTCAATTTAATTAATCTGAACTTTGCGTTTTCTTTTTGCTGGCTCCTGTATCATGAGTGGCAGATGTTTTTCGAGTTCAAATTTGATTTTTACGGATTTTCGCCGAACGAAAACCTGCGTGGGGCTTGAACCTGCCATTGGTCAGTGCTAGGCAAAGATCTTAGCCTCTGAGCTATCTTCATTTTTAATTTCGAGCTTGTAGACCAAAAATTCTGCCGGGATTTGAACCGTCGGTCGTTTGAGATTTTTTGAAAAGGTCTCATTTTTCTTTGCGTATCGAGTTTGATTGATCATCTGTAGTTTTTCAATGACGCTTGACAAAAAATTGAGCTTTTCCCAGCTTTCTTCAACAAAAACCTTGACAGGACTCGAACCCGCGACCTTAGGATTGATATATAAGAGCCCTAGCCTCTGAGCCACCTGTGCAATAGTATAAATTGCCAACTTGCAGGTACCGAATCGACTTTGACGAGTCGGAGATGGGCCGTCATGGCCGGAAAGACGACGATTCGTCTTCGGATGATGAAGTCGACAGCCACAAAATGCCCGTCATTCAGATCGACATGAAGAACTACGGATATTAGTCTTTTTTCTGAGGGTTAAGAGGTCAAAATGTCGTTTAGTGGACACTTAAGGGCACTGAGAAATTTTTCAGAGCGATTTGAAGAGCTTTGAAGTTTTCTAGACGTCCTAGAAGGCCTCAGCTCTCAGCTCGCATTGCTCAAGTGGTCCCTAAAGTGAATTTTCAGCTATAGATTTTGCTAAAGAGCGCTCACAAACTCCAAAGGAGTGTTTTAAGTGGTCCCTCTAGGGAAATTTACAATTTTTGGAAGGTATCAGTTTCAAAGTGATTTCTTAACCAAAATTTTCGTTTTTCGAACAAACTCCATTCACTTTTCATTGCTTCAATCTCAGCTCGGAGCACTCAAGTGGTCCCTAAAGTTAAATTGTAGCTATAGCTTTTGCTAAAGAGCGCTCACAAACACCAGAGGAGTGTTAAAGTTGTCCCTCTAGGGAAATTTCCAGTTTTTTGAAGTTATCAGTTTCAAAGTGGCCTCTTAACCAAATTTTTCGTTTTCTGAACAAACTCCATTCACTTTTCATTGCTTCAATGCTTGTTTTTTGAATTTTTATCTTCCAAATTTAATCAGACTTTTTTTTCTGCTTTTTTTTGTCCCCATTGCCAAGCTTTATCATATTTTATCCCTTCATAGCAAGGCTATAATTTTTTTGTCCCGCTGCATTTCATTCCAAACAGTCACTTATGTCATAATAGATTTTTTTCAAATATATTTATTTATTATAATTTATTGACTTTTTCCTTGTACCTTCCTCTGTGTGGCAATAATTCTCATTCGGTTCGTGATCTCATCCTAGCAAATAAAGTGTTAATAGGCTTTTTTTGAATGTATTACTCGAGTTTGTTGGCTTTTTCCACAGTTCATTTAAAAAATTGTTTCAGGAAGAGTTTTGGATTTGAAGGTGAATCTGAAAAATGGCTTTTCGGAGTTCGCATAACGGTTCTTGGGTCATTGGCGGAAAAAAAGTAAATTTTTTTGCTTTTTTTCAAGAGGTCACTTAAGGGGGAATCTTCAAGCGGTTCAGATCAAGGTTATTTTTTTGAAAAAAATGCCAAAATTTGAGCTCGAAAAAAAGGTTTTTTTCTAATAAAGATGAAAGAAAATAGATTTTTCAAGGCGTTGACTTATCCCAAGAGGCCACTAGAGGGTTCAAGAACCCTTTAGTGGCTACTTTAAGTATTTTCAGTTTTCAAAACCGCAGAGCGTTTGAAAATCCTTATTTTCAAGATCATTAAGGTTTTTTTTTTGATTTACGATGGATTGCTACCGATTTCAAACTCTTTTCAAGTTTAAAAGATCCCTATAGGGTTCGAAAGCCCTTAAGTGACCACTTCAAGGGTTTGAAGGCATTTATGACGGCAGGAATCACAAAAATTCAAGCTCAAGGAGTTTTTTTTTGATTTTTTTGAGATTAAAGCGATTTTAATAGCTATGATTTCATCCAAAAAGTTCCTAAAGCGTCACTTAAGTGCCCCCTTCCAAGCTTTAAACTTCATTATTTGAAAAATTGAAAAAAAAAAATGAAAAAAAAAGTTAAGCCTTTGAGCTCTAGATTTTCCTTCTCAGTGCTTTTTTTCAAAATGTCAATTATAAATCCCTTAAGTGACCCCTCAGTACGACCCTCAGCATTAATATCACCGCGAAACGCTCGAAAATCGCGCAAAACGCTACGAATCGAAGGCGGAGCGAGTGCATCTGCGTCTCCAAACGCCGCACGCTCTCTCGCCGATTTTTCTGGTGCTCTCCGAGAAAAGCACACTGCCTCGCCGCTCGTAGTTCTCCGCAGTTGTCGCTTGCGTATCCCCTGCGTTCCAGCAACGCCATCGATTCGTTACTCTTACTCTCTGCGCCACAATTTCCCTCATTTTCCTCCTCTTCTCCGTCTTTTCTTTGTAGGTAATGCAAATGGATCCAAATTTGCGGCTTTTACCGATTTTTAATGCTCCAAAATGCTCCAAATTCACATAATTAGCTCTCATTTCTTGGCAAGGAAAGCTGAAAATTTGAAGGAGTCGTCTTGAACTTATTCTTTTTGAAGTTGAAGAAATTCAAAAGGTTTTTTTCTCACTTTTTTGAGTTTTTTTATTAGAATAATCTCATTGGCAAGCAATATTTTTTTGTCCTTGAAGGCTTTTTTTCGAGTTTTTTTAATGTTCTTCTTCACTTTTTTTCGGGTTTTTGAAGCTCTTTTTTTCAAATTTTTGAATTATACACTCTATTTTTAAAACAGCTATCCGATTTTTTTTTAATCCGATCATTTCCCAAAAATAACAAAACTGAGGAAAAAAATGAGCTTCATCAATTGCTTTTCCAATATTCGAAATTCTTAAAATTTCCCGCATTCATCCTTTTTCATTTTTTTCACCAAATTTTTTTGCCAGATTCAAGAAAAAAAGAATCAGAGAATTTACGTTTTTTTCAAATAAAAAGACATTTTTTTCAAAGTGAAACGTTAATTTCACAATTTCTCATTTCTTCATCATTCCGTTTCTTGTCTCATGTCTTCAAAGGTTTTTGTTCCCAAAAAAATATAATAATCATTCAAATTGAGCAATTAGAAAAAGAATTAATGCAAAGAAGAGAAGCAAGCAAGAAAGTTTTAAAATTTGTCGTAGGGTAGTGTGTACGCAATATTGCGTCGCGGTGTACTGTTTTTTTCCTGGGTTTTTACGCAGAATTTTTTTGAAACCATTTTTTTGATTTTGTTGTTCTTTTTTTGTTTTTCTATGATTTTCTGCAAAATTTTTTTGCGTTTTAATAGCATTTATGTGTATAGGGGCTTGAAATAATTCATCCGAGTCAAAAATTTTTCTTGAAAAATCCAACTTTTTTTAGGCGATTTTCCGGTCAATATTAAAAAAATTATTTAGGTTTATATTTTTTTCGCATAGTTTTTGTGTGTTCTTGGAACCATATTTTTGATAAGTTTATGATTAATTAAAAGTTCAGTGCGTTCTAAACTTTATTCGAATTCCTGAAGCTTTCTTTGTCATGGGAAGTGTTCAAATGACTCATTTTAAAATTGTTCCTTCTCAAATTTTTAAATTTTTAAAATTATTTTTCAAACGTCCCAGAGGTCTCTTAACTTTGAAATTTATTGAAAAACATTTTTATTTCAGAAAACAGCACGAATGATGAAAGAAAAGGGTCAGAAAGTGAAGGAAGAAGAGAACGACGAAGTTCTGGCCGGTTCAGGCGACCACAAAGACAAGGATCAGTTCTCCGGCTGGGCTGGGGTATTGCTCAGGATAACCGATGATTGCTGAGTATCACCAGCTTTCAGACGTACCCAATGACTCCTGAAGAACAATTCGAAATGATGCTGATCGGCGTCGTTGAAAGCCACCAAAGTGTTTATAACAGGTTTATTTGGAGTTGATTTGTTGTGTTACTGTATCTCTCAATTACGGTTACAGTATCCTCAGAAGCTGGTCCAGTTTATGAGAAAGCAAGATAGTGGGATTGAAAACTCAAATTATGGTTTCTGATTGATTTTTGTTTTTGAAAAAGTCCTGGATTTTTTAAAGTTATTAGAAAAAAAAAAATGAAAGAGAGACAGTAATGATAAAGTTACATTACACGAAAAAAATAGGATAAAAAAATTTTTTTTGCCAATTTTCGGCTCGTTTTTTTGAATTTTTTTCCTTTTCCCGCCAAAAAAATTTTTTTCAAAAACTGCTTCTTGTTTTTTTCAGTAATTGTGCCATTACGGCGATTTTTCTCGAATGAAATTTTTGAGAAAAAAAATTTTTTTATTAAAGAAAATCAAAGGAAGAGCCCCTTTCGCCCCTGTTCTAGGCGGCTGGTATACGGTAGTTTAGAAAGTACTGTATTTTAAAAAAGTGTGGATTTTACTATTTTTTTTTATGATCTGACTTTTCTTGTTACCTTGCCAGATAGATTATAAAAAATTGCGAAATTCCTATAGGGACCAGTTGAGCTTTAGGGGCTAAGGGGTCAGACCGCAAACCCCTAGAGGGACCACCTTGATTTCACCCCTATAGGGACCACTTAGACTTTGGGGACTAAGGGGTCAGACCCCCAAACTTCTAGAGGGACCACTTTTTTTGGCTTCTATAGGGGCTGTTTTTTTCTCCCTAACCCCTAAAGGGACCACTCTAGTATTTCTAAGAGGTAAAATTACCTTCCCTGTGAACACTGTATCAAAAAAAAACGTGTTTTTTTGATTAAAAATATGAATTTCTTTACCCTTTTTTCTGCCTAATTACAACGATTATCTTCCAGATGCCATCCGCTGCACAAGGTGACCGACTACCGTAACCACGTCTGGCAGGAAATCGCGACAGAAACGGGTTTCGCCGGTGAGCCAGTCGAGTTGGAGCGCAAATGGCGTCACATGCGCGACCGCTACGTCCGCCTCAGGAAACAGAACAAAACCTCGAATCCGATCAAAGTCGGGGATCGATGGTAAGGGGAAGGGAGGGGCTGATTTTTCCAATTTTTAGAGTTTTCGCAAAAATTATATGCCTCCTCGAGCATTTCTTAGAAACTCCAGAGTGGTCTCTATAAGGGTTAGGGCACAGGGGACGGAAAAGTGGTCCCTAGAGGGCTTAGGGTCTGACTGAAGCTCAAGGGATCCTTATAGGGATTAGAGGAAGGACAGTCACTATTAGGGCCGGAAAAGTGGTCCCTATAGGGTTCAGGGTCTGACTTAAGCTCAAGGGATCCTTGTAGGGATTGAAGGGAGGACAGTCACTATTAGAGCCGGAAAAGTAGTCCCTATAGGAACCAGGGTGCGACTGTAGCTCAAGGATCCTTATAGGGGTTAGGGATAAAACAGTTCATAATAGGAACGAAAAGTGGTCCCTATAGGGTTCAGGGTCTGACTGAAGCTTAAGGGATCCTTATAGGGGTTAATGAAAGAACAGTCCATATTAGGAACGAAAAGTGGTCCCTCTAGAGTTCAGGGCCTGACTGACTCTCAAGAGATCCCTTTAGGGGTTAGGAAAAGAACAGTTATTATCAGGGACGGAAAAGTGGTCCCTATAGGGTTCAGGGCCTGACTGACTCTCAAGAGATCCCTTTAGGGATTAGAGGAAGGACAGTCACTATTAGAGGCGGAAAAGTGGTCCCTATAGGGTTCAGGGCCTGACTGACTCTCAAGAGATCCCTTTAGGGATTAGAGGAAGGACAGTCACTATTAGAGCCGGAAAAGTGGTCCCTATAGGAGTCTTCTAATTATCTGAAGTATGTGAAAAGGTGAACTTGACCGAGACACAGACATGCTCTCCTAGAAACCCCTATAGAGACCACTTTTTCAAGCTTCACTGGTTATTAAGAGGTCCCTAGAGGGCAATCTTAGAGGGTCCTTCACATTTTTTTTTCTCCTAACTTTACCTTTTTTCAGGTATGACTACTACAAGAAAATGTCCTTTTTGGACCCGTTTGTCGAGCATCGGAACCGGAAAAAGCGCAATGAGCCGGAAAATGAAACGAAGAATGGTAAAGGAGTGGAAAATTGAGCTAATTTTAGAAGATTTTTCTCAAAAATTGACGAAAATAAAGTTTTTTGAGGAAAAATCCTAAGGAAATTTGAGAAAATCATGCTTTTGTACGGATCTTTTGAAAGGGATGTCGAGAAAAATGAAGATTTTTAAGCTGGATTTTGAAATTTCTCTGGGAAAGCTATGGATTTCCAGAGAAAATTTTCATTTTTAGCTCACTTTTAAATATTTTTCCAACTTGAAAAAATTCTTAAAGACAACGAAATCTGCCCTGGAAAGCTCGACAACGAAAGCGATTCCGGAGATGAGGACACCCTCCAGAAATTCTACGCCAGTATTATTAGCAACGCGACGGTAGCCAATGTGACGGCTTCTCCGATTCAGGTTAGCAAAAAAAAAAACACCGATAGGAATCGATCCAACGACCTTTTTAGTCTGATTTCGTTTACTTAGCCACTCTTCCAGGGTTCTGGTGAGAGCTGCTCAAATCCGGTGACGTCATCGCAGCCGATGACGTCGGGCAGGAAGAGAAAGTTCGACGACGTGTCTTCTGAAGCCGATGAGGAGGATACTGAGGTGAGGATCGTGGTTTAGTGGTTGAGGATCTAGGTTTTGAGAGTTATGACGCAAGTTCGAGTCCTGTCGAGGGAAATTTGATTTTTGCCGTGAAAGAGCCTTGCTGAGGTTGCTTAGCGTAATGGTTAGAGCTTTGGACTGTGAATATTAAGATCAAGGTTCGAATCCTGCTTAGGAAAAAAACATTTTTTTGCCATTTTGAAAAAATAAGTTTGAGCTGAGCTTTCATGTTATTTTATATGAACTGAAAGTTCAAGCCGGATGACTCAGAGCCCTGATAGCGTACTGGCTGAATGTTTCAACTGTATTTATTGCTACCAAAGTTCGAGCCCTATGGAGGGAATCCCAATTTTTGCCATTTAAAAATAAATTTTTGGAAAACTTTCTCGATTTCTCGTGATCCGCTTCAGAATCGAACTTGAGATGAAATATAAAGTTAGAGGCGCAGGTTCAATCCCTGTCAAGAAAAGCTGATTTTTGACATTTTGCCTCTAGATCTTGGGATATTTTCCAGATGAACAGATTTTCAGCCAAACCCATTTTCCAGGTCTCACTGTATGTTCGCTCCATCGCCAAATCGCTGGAAGCCATGGACGCGAGAACATTCGCCCTGGCGAGAATCGAAATCTCCCGCGTACTCTTCGACTGTCAGTACGGGAACGATGCCAAGAAGTGATGACGTCACCCATGTAAATTATTGCTCATGTTAAGAACTTTAAGCATCATCAACAGCATGTTTTTTCCATTGCTTTTTCAACTGTGAAATAAGGAATCCTGTGCCATATGACCTTTTAGTTCAAGATTTGCTTCATACGATCTCATAATATTGAATTTTCACATTTAAAATGATCTTACTGACGGGTTTCGCAGCACGTGTAAACTTTTACTCGATTTTTTTTTTTTAGTAAATGCTTTTTTTTGTTGCACGTTTGAACTTGGAAGCTCCGAGAGGATCTTTAACCTGGAAATCTTCTCAAATTTCCACAGTTTAAACTGCCACGCGGAACGATGAGCTCATACACACAAACGAGAGCACGAGCCAACTTATGAGTGATGACGTCATCGATCACTTTTTTTTCTGACCTTTTCTCTCGAACTTTCTCTCACAAGTACTTTTGAGAACACTATTTGCAGATTAGTCTTGGTTAAAAGTACATAGAAAATTGAAAAAAGGTCGAAGTGGAAGGGGAAAGAAAGCATGGTAAATGTAAATCTTTTGAATTTTTTAAGGGGGGCTTGGGATTTTCAGATTTTCAGTTATACGTTTCTAGCCACTTCGCAATTAATTTTGTAGCATATTTTCAAAAAGATAATACTTCAAACGTTATAAATAGCACATTTTAAGGATTTTACAGAAATAGCGGCGTTTCAAGAAAAAAAAACTATCAATCAGTATTTTCTACAGAAAAAAAATAATCAAAGTGAAATCCCCTGACCATCAGACTTTCAAGGTCGTTCAGCCAATACCAACTTTCAAAATTTCAAAAACCCTAACCTAAAGATCCCTTCCAAAAGCTCCTTTCCAATCAAAAATCTAGTGTTCTTCGTCTATTTGCCAAATTTTTTTTCCTCTGACTTTTATTTGATTAATGTTAGCTGTGAGTGTGTGACCCCGTGTTTATATAAACATTCGAAAGCGATCAGGAAGCAGTTAAAGAGTGGCAAAAGTCGTTTTGGAGGCTCTGGAGGGGGATCGTTTTCTCGTTGAAATCGGCGCCCACTTGACGCGTTGCAACTCGTTCTTCGTCGTCTTCTTTTTTCTTCTCTTTTTCGTTTTTTTGCTCTTTCACGTTGTAAATAACAATTGTGCTCTAGCGCTACGTGACTTTTTGCAATTTTCCCCCGTTCATTTCGAATCGTAAACATCCTTACAAAGCTTTAAACAGATTGAAAAAAAAAAATTTCAACAATAATTCTCACTTTATCAACAAAAAAAACCTCAAAATGCAGTGAAAACAAAAAATACAGGCAAAAATTAACTCTCACATATCCCACTGACTATAATAACCTTCACGCCCCCCGCAATATGTCTCCCTCGCGCTGCGAACACCTCCGGAGCCTCCTTAGCTCAGTTGGTAGAGCGTTAGACTTTTAATCTAACGGTCAGGGGTTCGAGTCCCCTAGGTGGCTTGAAACTTTTTGCCATTTTTGAAGGGTTTTATTTCGGCACAACTCTCTTCTATTTACATATTTGTGCTTCTATTTTTGTTATTTTGTACTTCTTTTCACGTTTCATATAGCATACAATATACAAGTCAATCATGAACAGGAAAAAAAGACACCTTCAGTTGCTTTTAAGAACTTCCAGTGCATACCTGTTTCTTCTTGTGAGATTGTATACAATTGTATAGTTCCGTCTGGAGAAGATCAGTTTGAGCTTTGGTGTTCATTAACTAAAAAAATCATTGAGTTTAAAAAAAGAAAAAAATTACATAACATAACATATTTTTGGAGTATCATTTTTTTCAACCGATTCATTGATTTTTTTTTTTCAGACTTATTCTCAAACTGAACATAAAAATAATTATTGAACTGTAAGATAAACGAATTTTTAAAAAAACCATTTTTAGTTCTACTTCAAAAATAATGTTTTAAAGTCGCAACTGCGAAAAAAATCCATTTTTTTCTTCTGGCTATTTCTCAAAAAAACCATATTTCTGCAGGTTCACAGAGCGTAAATTGGTTCGTTAAAAAAATATTTTTTTCTAGAATTTTTAATAAACTAATGAGACTAAAAAAATGAATGGGAACAATTTTTTTAACACGTGGCAGGCTAACTTGAAAAAGCCACGTGGCATCTTCCTTTTTAAGTTGAAAAAAATTGACGAATTTATAAAAAAATGCCCTGAAAGGCTGTTTGCAAAATGAAAAAAATTCATAACTATACAAAAATATTAATTTATTTTTTTCCTTGTTGGAGTATTTGACAAAGCACTTTTTTTCGCGTGATCAAAAAGGTCACCTTAAAATAATTAAGAATCTTGAATATAAGTTTCAAATACCCCCAAGAAGGATTTTCGAATAGTAACATTGAGATAACAATCCTTCCATTCGGTTAATCAATAAAAATCATGGGAAAATATTTAAATAAAAAATTGAGTGCAAAAAATGCCACGGGGCTTCATCATTTTTTAAATAAACTTTAAAAGTTGTTTGAAATTTTCCAATATCAAAACAATTGTTTGTACAAGCTTTCAAACTGAAATTCAAAGGGTTTTAGGCCGAGAAAAATGTAAAATTGAGGGAAGCGGACCTTTTAATCGAATCTGATGACAAATTTTTGAATAAAACGAATGGAAATATATTTTTTTCATAAAAAAAAAACCGAGTAATTACTCACCGAAATCCCATTTCATTCAATCGACAATTTAACGCTCTTTTTTTTGCTTCAAGCGTATCTTTTTCCAGACTTATTTGATCCTTGTTTCGCGGTTGAGTCTTTTTTTCTGAAAAACAATTAAACCACATTTTAAAAGAAAATACAAACTCTACAGTTAGAAGAGATTAGTGAAGTTCCGCAGCAGTCGCAATTCAAAAGCTTTCGATTGAACGAATCCAAAGATTTCTGCAAAATTATCAAATTAGTAGAGAAAATAGAGTTTCTTTCATTTTAACATGAATATTTTTGATTTAATAAAGCTAGTCTGTATTCAAGTCAAAGTTATTTAGGAGAACTAAGTAAAGTTAGGAGAACAAACTAGGCGGTGCGCTAGAGCTCCACTCGGCTTTGTCAAGATAAAATACCTACACGCCGAAGACCGTAACGGCATTTTCCGTGGGGGTCCCATCATCGCTTTGCCAGCATCGCGCTGTCAACAGTTTCTGCTTCGGCCACTGGAATGGGCTTCAGCGTGACTTTGCGTATTCAAATGCACTGAAAAGCGCAGGAGGATCGGCACTCCGGGAGTCCCACGGGCCTAATCTACTAGCGCTTACTATCTTAGGTCATTTTTAATTATTCTAATACGAAAATTATTGATAAAACAACTCATCTTCTGGAGCTAATTGAGCACAACCACTCGCGAAATAAGTGAAAAATGAATGAAAGTTTGATCGAGGTCATTTAAAAAAAAATGAGATGCCACGTGGCATCTCTTTTTTTTTTGCCATGGCAACTGTTTTGACCAAGTGGCGTGGGATTAAATACCGATGGTGTAGACACTGAGACGTACAAATGCATGATACGAAATTTTAAAAGTATTTGTTTGTTGATTTTATTTTATTTTTTTCAACTTTGGATTAAATTTGAACACTTTATGAGGAACACTTAACTCATATTCAATTTTTGTCGTCTGGGTGAATAAAGGTAAAAATGATTTATTTTGAACTTTTCATCATTGAATCGCAAAAAATGAATTTTACATGGTTTTTAAGCTAAATTCATCATTTTCAAGGCATTTCCTTCTTTTTTTGAATATTTTTTTATGGAGGAGAATAGAATTGAAATATCCAAATTATCTTCGTTTTGAACTTTTATTTCAAAGAAACAGCGAAATTTGAGAAATGATGTATTTTGAACTTTTCTGGTAAATATTTGGTTTTGAAGCCAATTTATGTATATTTTGATAAATTTCGAGCATTTTTTCTTTCCCGAATTTTTCTTTCATTGTTTTTCTTTCCTGTTTTTTTTCTATTTTGAAGAATGCGCTTAATATTTTTGAAGAAATTGATTTTGCTGTCGACTTGTTTTAGGTTCAATGGCATTATTTTACACCATAACTATAGCCAATTTGTACTTTTCTTTCAGGTTATTAGTGCACAGCTGACGAGGTTTTATTGTCTGTTTCTTTCTCTGGACCTCGAAATCCCTGTGGGGAGAAAAAAGCTGGGCGTGGCGATCGGAACGTTCGAGAAGGCGGCCGAGAGGCTGAGCCGAGCAAAATCTCTCCCTAGGAGCCCACCGAGTCACCGGCTCAGCGGCTCTCGTCGGACCTACGAACGCAACTTGCAGCTGCATCTTTCCGCAACACATCTTTCCGCTGCTTTACGATCGTTCAGGTTTCTATTGCACTTTTATTCAGTTCAAAGTGAGATAGAGAGGATACTGAAGAGGGTAGAGAGAAGCTAAGAAAAATCCTGTATTTTTTGAGGTCGTTAGAGTTTGTAAAGAGCGGGTAGATCGATGAGAGTTTAGAGAAATAGGAAAAATTTGATTGCTTTGAAATTGTTGACTAGCAAATTGGGCAGAAAATATTCGAAACGGATAAAGAACATGCAGATCGAGGAGAGGTCAGAGGAACATAGAAAAAATAACCTTGAGATCAAGATTTTTTGTAGAAATACTACATGATGCAGAAAAAAATGTTCACTTTTCAAATTTTGATTATTTTTTCAGAGTTTTGAAATCAGAGAGAGATGACCTGAAAAAAAAAAATCATTTTTTGTATTTCCAAATTCTTAGTTTTGAGCTTACCTTTTTAAATTGAAGACGAGACAGTGTGCAGATCGAGGAGAGCTCTAGAGAAAAAGAAAATGTCTCTAGTTTGAACCCAAGCTAGAACCTTCAATCAAACAGAGAGCATAGAGAAATCAGAAAAAAATCCAGTTCAATGTTGATTTTCGGATCATTTCAATGGTCACTGAAAATGCTCAAGTGGTCCCTTGAGATTTTATAGGGATCCCTTGAGGGAAATATCATGATTTTTCAGGAGCTCCGGTTCCTGAGTGAGCAGAACTACACTACAAACAATGACGATTGAAACTAATAATCAGGTAAATTTTTCCGATTTTTCGCCCCTTAAGGGATCACTTTGAGGTCGAAGAAGCCGAAAAACAGCAATACGGCGAGAAATTGCTCGACCGGACGAGTTTCTTCACGGAATTCTCCACGAATGCCTATCTGGATGTGGGTTTTTCTCTAGCTTCTCTGGATTCTCGAGGATTTTTGTGCTCTCTCGGAATTTCTCTAACCTCTCTAAATTCTTGATATGTCTCATAATCAGCAACTTCCTGGTCCCTATAGGGGTTTAAGGCCTGGCCCCTTAGCCCCTAAAACTCAAGTGGACCCTAGAGGGGTAACAGTTATCGACTAGCATGACCCCTATAGGGAACACTTTTGCAAGCCTTAGTGGCCACTATAGGGGTTGGTATCTAGAGAGGACCCTTCAAGGGCCCCTATAGGGACCATTTTCGCAAACCTTAGTGGCCACTATAGGGGTTGTTAAAGTGGTATCTAGAGAGGACTTTTCAAGGGCCCCTATAGGGACCACTTTTGCAATCCTTAGTGGCCCCTATAGGGAAATTAAAGTGGTATATAGAGAGGACCCTTCAATGACCCTATAGGGGCCACTCTGGCGCTGCTAAGTCTCTTCAAATTTTTTTTTCTTCACTGATGTTCTTGCCAGACGTCACTGATCATCTACAGCTCCAAGAACTGTCATTTTTTTTCCAGGACTTCTACACAAAAGTCGATGATCCGGCCATGCAAATGGTCCTCACGTTCTTCCCGAACATTGTCGCCCGAGTCGGCAAAATCCATCGCCTTCTCGATTTTGGAGCTGGACCAACTATCCACATCGCCGCCGCCTATCGCAATCAGGCCGATGAGGTTTGGAATTTGGAAAAAAAAATTATAGCAGATTCCAGAAGAATTTCAAAAAGGGACCTGAGAAGTTAGTTAAACTGAAATTTGAAGAGGGCTAACTTACTAAAAAAAAACTCTAGAGTGGTCCCTATAAGGGTAACCTTTTGGACCCTTTAGGGACCACTTCACCTCTTAATTTTCAAACCTCAACAAGGAATAAAAAGATCCCTGTAGGGATCACTTAAGATTCAGAGGCCTAGGAGTCAAACTATAAATCACTATAGGGACTACTCAATTTTTACCACTATAGGGGCCATTTTTTGTCCCCTGTGGAAGACCCCAAGACCGTTCTAGGGATCACTTAAGCTTTAGGGGCTTTGGAGTCAAGCTCACTATAGGGAATACTCAAATTTTACCACTATAGTGGCCATTTTTCGTCCCCTACTAGTCATGTCTTCCTGCTCTTACTCCTATAAGTATTACTTAAATTTTATCCCTATAGGGAGCACTTTTTGTTCCCCTATAAGGGTTATTTTTTGCTCTAATCCTGTAGGGACCACTCTGGCGTTCCTAGGTAGTTTTGATTATGGAATTTTTTCAAGAATAGTCTTAGATCGATTTTTTTTTGAGGTCAGTCTCATCAGAAAAAAAAAGATGAGCCGGATTTTTCAGATCTTAGGGCTTATAACTTCCTCCAACGTTATTTTAGGAATTTTTAAAGCTAAAATTCAAAATCTGCGTGAAAAACTGTATCTCGGGAATTTTTCTTGAAGTTTTTTCTGAGAGTTGAGCCAGAAATACCGACTGAAAAAAATTTTTTGAAAAAAATTCGAACATTTTCAGATCTACCTGGCCGATTACCTGCCACAGAACCGGGTCGAGCTCCAGAATTGGTTCGACGGAAAATCGCGATTCGACTGGTCCGTCCCCCTGAAAACGATCCTGACCAGGGAGGGAATCGACTGGTCCGAATTGGAACGGGTTCAGCCCGCCACTAGGGAAAAGGTCTCTTATTTTTATCATTTTTCATGTCCTAAGGCTGAAATTAAGCGTGTCAATGTCCAAGTTAGTGCCACAGTTTGACAAAAAAAGGTACCAGGATTTTTTTTTCGACTTTTCTCTGTGTTCAGCTACGTCGGGAAGTTCTGTTTGTGCGATTTAAAGTCAAAAAGGGGCTTTTTTCCCCTGACCCCTCTAGGGACCACTTGAGCTTTAGGGACTAAGGAGTCGGACCCTAAGCTCATATAGGAACTACCTGAACTTCACCTCTATAGGGGGCACTTTTCGTTCCCTATAGGGTCTCCTCTAACCCCTATAGTAACCACCTTTACGTCCCCTGCAGGGGCTGTTTTCTTCCTGACCTCTAAAGGGATCCCTTGAGATTTAAAGGCTAAGGGGTCGACCCTTCACCCCCACGGGAACTACTTAAGCTTTACTCTTATAGGGACCACTTTTTCCTCCCCTATAGGAGCTGCTTCTCCACTTAAGCCCTATAGGGACCACTTGAGCTTGAGAGTGAACGAATCCATCTCTGAACCCCTATTGGATCCATCTAAGTTTTACCCCTATAGGGGCCACTGTTTGGTACCGTATGAAAAGTGTTTCATCTAGCCCTATAGGGACCACTTTTTTGTTCCCTATAGTGGCTGCTTCTTCCTCTAACACCTATAGGGACCACCTTTTCGTCCCCTAGAGTGGTTGTTTTCCCTCTAACCCCTATAGGGACCGCTCTAAGATTCCTAAAAGCTTGTTTAAATCTGAGAAAAGTTCAAAAGATCTAGCCTTTTCTAATTTCTTTATAGTCGGACCTCGGTAACGAAAACAGGACGTATCTGAGAGACTCTAGGGATCACTTAAGAGGGATGAAACCGCTTAAGTGGTCACTAGAAATGCCCAGGGCGCGTTACCGAGGTGCTACCATACTAACTTCCAGGGTTTTTATTAAAATAGCGACTTTTGGGAAAAGGATAACTTAAGACTAGGGGAAGTTTTGTAGATAAAATGATGAAAATTAAGAAATTTCCTGGTTGATTCATTGAAAAAAAATAGTAAGAATAAGATTTTTCCAGGTCCGAGGCATTTTCCACTGCGACTGCTTCGCCGACCCCTCCGTCGAATGTCCCAAAGAACTTCAGAAGACTTTTGACGTCCGTTTTTATTGATCCAATCAAATTATGACTGATTAATCGATATTTTCAGATGGTCGTGACGATTTTCTGCGTCGAGTACTGCTGCAACACCTACGAAGAGTACAAATTGTCGATCAAGAACATTGCCGAGCAGATCAAGCCGGGAGGTGGGCCTTTAGACTTTTTTCCCGTTTCAGAGATATGATTAATTGCTGGTAACTCAAATTTGATCGTTTTCCTCTCTAGTTTCATTGATCATGCTGGAAAAGTCGGTCGGTCGATTTGGAAAACTAGGCCACGCCATAATTTTGCTCTATGGATTTTTCAGAACCTTTATCGTGGATTTATCACGATTTGAAGCTTCTAGAAGCTTTTGCGCAGCTCTGAGCCCTTCCAAAAGTTTTAAATAAGTCCTGAAAGCCTTTTAGTAGCTCTATAGGTTTTCTCAAGTCTCCTAGTAGATCTGAAGGTCTCCAAGAAGTTTTGAGACCTTTTGAAAGCTTACAAAGTTACCTAAAACATATTCAAGCTACCTGAGAAAAATTTTAGAAGCTCTGTAGTTTTTCCCAAGTCTTCAAGAAGTTGTGAAGCGATTTCAAAGCTTGAAAAGTCACTTAAAACTTGTTCTGGCTGCCTGGAAATTTTTCAGAAGTTTATTCATTTTTCTAAGCTCTCTAGAAGTTATGTAGGTCTCCAAGAAGCTGTGGGACCTTCTGAAGGTTCAAAAAGCTCCTTAAAACTTGTTTAGGCTACCGGAAACTTGGAGAATTTTTTAGAAGCTTTCTAGATTTTGCTAGATGTTCTGAAGGCCTCCAAGAAGTTTTGTGAACCTTTCAGAGCTCAAAAAGTTACCTAAGAGTAGTTCAGGGTAGCTGAGAAAGTTTTTAGAAGCTTTATGGGTTTCTTTAGAACTCCTAGAAGTTCTGAAGGTCTCCAAGAAGCTGTGGGACCTTCTGAAAGTTCAAAAAGCTGTCAAAACTTGTTCAGGCTACCTAGAGAGCTTCAAGAAGCTCTGTAGATTTCCCCAGATCTCTCAGATATTTTGAAGGTCTTCAAAAAGTCGTGGGACCTTCTGAAAGCTCTGAAAGTTACCTGAATGTTTTTCAGCCCCCTGAAGATGGGGAGCGTTTCGGGGAAGTTTTTAGTAGCTTCAAAGCCTTTTCCGAGTCTCCTAGAAGCTCTCAAGGTCTCTAAGACGTTTTGTGACTATTTTTTTTAGCTCTAAAAGTTACCAAAAACTAGTTCAGACCACCTGGAAATCTTTCAGAAGCCTATAAATTTTCCTAAGCTTCCTAGAAATTCTGAAGGTCTCCGAGAAGTTGTGGGACCTTTTGAATGCTCAAAAAGCTACCAAAATCTGTTCAGGCAACTTAAAAAGTTTCTAGGAGCTCTGTAGATTTTTTCAAGCTTCTTAGAGGTTTTGATGGTCTTCAAGAAGTTGTTCTGACCGTTTTGAAGCTCTAAAAGTTACATTAAACTTTTTCAGGCTGTCTAAAAAAATTTTTCTAGTAGATTTATATATTTTATCAAGCCTCCTAGAAGTCCATAAGGTCTCTAAGAAGTTGTGCGATACCTTTGAAGCTCAAGAAGTTACCTGAAACTTGTTTAGGCTATCTGGGAAAGTTTCTAGAAGCTCTATAGTTTCCTTTGATCTCCTAGAAGATCTGATGGTCTCTAAGAAGTTGTGGGACAATTTTGAAGCTCTAAAAGTTACCTAAAACTGGTTCAGGCTACCTGGGAAAGGTTTCAGTAGCTCTATAGTTTCCTTTGATCTCCTAGAAGATCTGATGGTCTCCAAGAAGCTGTAGGACAAGTTCGAAGCTCTAAACGCTACTTTGAAATTGTTCAGGCTACCTGGAGGAGTTCCTAGTAGCTCTGTAGGTTTTTCCAAGTTAAGTAGAAGTTCTCAATTTTTCTAAGAAGTTGTGTGGCAATTTTGAAGCTGAAGAAATTACCTGAAACTCGTTTAGGCTACCTGGAAAAGTTCCTAGTAGTCCTCAGGGTCTCTAAGAAGTTGTGCGACAGTTTCAAAGCTCAGAAAGTTACCTGAAACTTTTTCAGGCTACCTGGTGATGGGCGGAATCCTGGAAGAGACCTGGTGCTCCTTCGGAGGCCGAAAGTTCACCTGTCTCTACATAACCAAGGAGATGATGCTCTCGGCCCTCGAAGAAGTCGGACTTTTCGTCGAGAAAGACAGGACCTGCGTCCTCTACGAGATCAACGGCATGTTCATGATCTTGGCCAAGAAACAGCTTTAGTGAAATTTTATTTCTATGCACCAATCTTGTATATTATCCACGTCTCTATGTAAATTTCTATTGCTTTCTCGTGTACAGGTACTTATAAATATTTGGCTTTTTCCTTGTATCAATTTCTTGACGTTCTTTGCATCGGAAGTACTTGGAGCTTCAAAAAATTCATTTTTTTTTTCACATTTTTCAGCTCGAAATAGTTCGTAAAAGCTGATCCTGGCCTTTTCGGAAGCATTGGTGAGTTGAAATGAAGAAAAAAAAAAGTGGCCGCACTTGGAATGGCTCAGAGCTTCTGAAGGTCTCGCTTTGATAGTTTCAAATGCGTCAGGGCGCAAGTAGTTTTGGTCGGGTGCACTTGGAGCGAGCCATTCTAAGTGCGACCATGTGTTTTTAAGAGAGCTAGGTAATTTTTAATTTTTTTTTGACCCTAGAAAACATTTTTGAACTTATAAGTCATCGTTCCCTTCACTGATATCCATTATAACCATCACTATAACATCAGACGACCATTAGCCGGGTGGTTAAAGCTATTGTTCATAACTGGAGCATCACAGGTTCGAGTCCGCACGGCGTTTTTTGCCGTTTTCCTCTCATTTTATCTGATTTAAGCCTAGATACTGTTTTTCAAAGGAGCTTCCTGTCGTATTCCTCCGTTAAAAGGGTCATTATGAATATTAATTCGCTCTAGCCTAGCGGTTGAAGCTCGTAGACAGGATCCTAGCGACCCAGGTTCGGATCCTGCCGGCGTTTTTGCCATTTTTTTAGTCTTCTCTGATTTTAGATAGTACTGCACTTCAAAGAGACGTTTGTCATAGTCCATAAAATGGGTCATTATGAACTTTAAGTCATCTAGCCTAGCGGTTGAAGCTCGTAGACAGGATCCTAGCGACCCAGGTTCGGATCCTGCCGGCGTTTTTGCCATTCTTTTTATTTTTCTCTGATTTTAGACAGTACTGTTCTTTGAAAATAGTTCTCATAGTCCGTAAAATGAATCAATATAGACTTTAAGTCATCTAGCCTAGTGGGTAAAGCTCGTACGCATGGCTCTAGCGACCCAGGTTCGAGTCCTCACGGCGTTTTTTGCCGTTTACTTCTCATTTCTCTGATTCAAGACCGAGTACTGCTTTTTCAAAGAGCTTCTTGTCGTACTACCCTATATTAAAAAGTTATTATGAATTTTAAGTCACTCTAGCCTAACGGTTGAAGCTTTAGTTCATGACTCTAGCGACCCAGGTTCGAGTCCTCACGGCGTTTTTGCCATTTTTTCGTCTTCTCTCATTTTAGACAGTACTGCACTTTAAAGACGTTTCTCATAGTCCGTAAAATGAATCATTATGAACTTTAAGTCACTCTAGCCTAACGGTTGAAGCTTTAGTTCATGACTCTAGCGACCTAGGTTCGGATCCTCACGGCGTTTTTGCTGTTATTTTTTCGATTTCTCCGATTTAAGACCGAGTACTGCTTTTTCAAAGAGCTCCTTGTCGTATTACCCTATATTAAAAAGTTATTATGAATTTTTAATCACTTTAGCCTAGTGGGTAAAGCTCGTACGCATGACTCTAGCGACCCAGGTTCGAGTCCTCACGGCGTTTTTGCCAATATCGTTTTGCTCTGATTTCCGATTCGCGGCAAGTTTTCTTGTTTTCCTGCTCTCGGACAAAGTCCCATTCAATCAAGAAGCAATTTGAAAGCTTCGAGCCGTCGTTTATGAGCGATTCGTCGCAAACAACTCGAAATCGCGAACATTTCCGCGTTACGCCGAGAGAAAAAAGCAACTGACAAGGGGGGTCAGTTGGCAACAACTGTCAGTCGTTTTCTGAGACTTTGCCACGTTTTCCTGAACCGAGTTCTTTTGGAAGGGCAGTTTGACAATTTCGAAAGAAGGGTCCTCGAAAATTGACATTTTTTGATTCAGATTTTGAGAAAATTAAGAGGAGAGCTTCATAATGACACTAGAAACATAGTGAATTTTTGGGAAAGTCCATTTTTCTAAAGTTTCAACGAATTATTACCATCTAAGAGTCTGAAATTTGATAATTTTCAACCAATTTTGATGATTATGGACCTATTAACAAATTGAGATCAGAAAAATTCAAAAATTTGTCTTTTTTGATCAGAAAAGGAAAATTCTAAAGAAGCTTAATTCATTATATCTAGTCGAATAAAGCTCTCAAGATCTTCTAATCTGAGCAATATCTCTGAGAAAGTTTGCAACCGTCTTTAAAAGGAAAAAACTGAGTCAAGAAATCCGTAATTCTTTTTTGAATTGATCAATCTTACACCGGAAGTGCAAAAATTTGAAATATTGAAATTTGATGAAACTTGGTATATACGTACTTTCGGACACCCTGGATTCAAAAAAGCTGCAAAAAAGTGGGCTTTTATGGTTCTAGTAGAGTTATGGCGCCTCAAAGTTTGGAAAAATGCATTGGATGGAAGGAGGGAATGTCTTACTGGGAAAATTTCTAGTGGCCACTATAGAGGCTCGCCAAGGACTACCTGGAGAGGACACTAAAGTGGCCACTAAACTCACTTCTACAGTGGCCACTATTTTCCGTTTTAGCGGCCACTTCAGTAGTTTTTTATCCAGTATTCCTTCCAGAAACTCTGATATTTACAAAACAAACATATTGGACCAGTTATGTTGATCCATTGACCCCTAAAGTGGCCACTAAGTGGTCTAGTAGTAGCACTTAGACCTCTATAGTGGCCACTAATTTTTAACCCCTTAAGCGGCCAGTAATTTGACTACTATAGTGACCACTAAAACGTCAAAACCCTATAGTGGCCTCTAAAATTTTTTCCAGTACTGCGGCTCACTTCATCGCCCATCAGGTGGCATGGTGTAGTGGCTAACAGTCTAGTGCTTTGTAACTCACGATCCAGGTTCGAATCCCTTTCAGTGAATTTTATTTTTGCCATTTTTTCTTGGAAAAAATGAGAATTCCTCCAGCTTTTAACTTAAAAATCAATCTAGAAACTCCTCCAGAAACCCCAAAATAACTTTCTTTACACCAAAAATGACTCAAGGTACCCGGAAAAAGCTCATTTCGGAGCCCGACCTAATCTCATTCCCTCTCCCCAACTACGACGCAATTTGAAGCTTAATCCGACGACAAAAAGGCGGGGAAAAAAAAATCCAATCAAACTTTTCCCACACCACTTGCTATGGCAACCGCCACCGGCAATAAACACTTCCTCAGGAAAAAAAAAATCTTGTCATCTGAAAAATCCTTGTTTTTTCATCCACAATCATTGACTTCTAGGAAATTTGATATTGCTCAGTTTTTCTGGAAAATCATTAAATTTTTTTTTGTTTTTTTATTTCAAACTGGCTTGTAGAAAATTTTTTAAAAACTCCTAAATCCCTAGAGGGGTCACTTGCTCAACATTTTGGACCGATTCTGAGCTTTTGGAGGCTTCTTAATGTTCAATGAGCCCCCTAAATTGCTTAAGAGGACACTTGAAGGTTATTAAACACTTTAGTGGCCTCTTGAGAAGCTTCTAGACTTTTGAAGGGATCACGTAAGAGAGTTTCTCTTTCTTTAACGCTTCACAAGAATCTGACGCTATTTTGAGCTTCTTCAGGCTATTTTGTGACAAAAAATGAATCTTTCTGACAATCGAAGAGATCACTTAAGGGTTTTCAAACCCTCAAGTGAACTCTTGTGGCTCCGCTTTCAGAAGAAGCCTCTTCATTGTCAGTATAGTTTAATTGACTTCTGAAGGGATCACTTAGGAGGATTTATGTCTTCCAAGAGGTCACTTAAGCATTCATGTAATCTGACACAATTTTGAGTTTCTACAGGTTTTTTAAAGCAGAGAATCAGTCAATTAATCAGTGAAGAGATCACTTAAGGGTTTTCGAGCCCTCCAGAGATCTCTTGAGCTCCCAAGGGATCACTTAGGAGGATTTCTGTCTGCCAAGAGGTCACTTAAGCATTCATTAAATCTGACACAATTTTGAGTTTCTACAGGTTTTTAAAACAGAAAATCAGTCATTTTATGAGTGAAGAGATCACTTAAGTGTTTTCGAACCCTCCAGGAGACTCTTGAGCTCTCAAGGGATCACTTAAGAGGGTTTCTGTCTTTTCAACATGACACTTAAATCTGACAATTTTGAGCTTCTACAGGTTTCTTTGAAGCAGAAAATCAGTCATTTCAGTAGGTGAAAAGATGACTTTGGGGTCTCAAAACCCTCTAGTGAACTCTTCAGACAACTGAGAAACCTCTTAAGGTCCTTCATTTTTATGATTGTTTTCTTCATTTTCCTTGATCTCCTCGTCAAAAAATCCCTGTTTTTCCGTACAAATACCCCTTCACCTGACAATTAACTAGTTCCAAAACATTAGATTTTGTATCAAAACCCTATAATCAAAAATCTAATTACATGTTTTGTAGTATAGCGAACTTTATTTTTTTCAATACACCCTCAATTTTTTTACTGAGAATTTCAAAGTTACTACTTTTTTTAAAGTTCATTCACTAACCATTATTGGATAAAGATTAAGCTCCGCCTTTTTTTGAGCTGAATAAGTGGGTGGAGCTTTTCCTTAGGAGCTTCGAGGTCTTTGGGATTTTATTGCAATTTTTCTGATTCCTAATGAGCTTTTCAGTTATTTTACTAGTTGAGTACACAGTTGAGATTTAAAAAATCCATAAAAAATGGCAAAAATCTGATTTTCGCCGGTAGGATCCGAACCAGTGATCTTTGGACCAGACTCATTAGAAAATAGGCTCAAAAGTTTTTTTCAAAAATGGCAAAAATCTGATTTTCGCCGATAGGATCCGAACCAGTGATCTTTGGATCATGATTCATCACCTCTATCCATTGAACTAGAAACACCATCGTCATCTTTTCACTTTTTTCTCGTTTAATTGCTCATTCTCGCCACTTTTTTCTCCCACCAAGTTCCTCTTCCACCCACTGATTACGTTAATAATCGTGATTCACAATGTCTAATGTCGAGAGTGCAGGTGATAATTTTCCACCTGAAGCTTTTCCCCTCCCCTCCCCGTTTCAGAATGTCTTTCAGCTGTTGAGAAATTATTTTTGAGGTTAAAATGGCAGATATCTGAGAAATTTGATCGAATTTCCATTTAGGTTTCAGCCTTTCGGCTACAAAAAAGTTTTTCTTTTCATTTTTGAAACAGTTTCGGCTCGAAAAAAATGGCAAAAAAGTTTCTCGGCGCCTAGAGGATTCGAACTAGAAACCTCCAGCTCATCAACCAACATTTTCAGTTGTTAGACTGTTAAAAAAATTAAATTTTTTCTTTTTTTCCAAATTAGAAATCATATTAAGGCTAGTTATTGCATTTTTTTACACTCCTAAAAAAATGGCAAAAAAATTTCTCGGCGCGGAGAGGACTCGAACTCGTGACCTTGTTATTACCAAGTGAAGGAATTTTTCTGAAGAAAAAAATGAAATTTTTTTACTTTTTTTCTTCTCAATTAAATATCTTATTCATGTTAACTTTTGTTCTAATTACGCTTCAAAAAATGGCAAAAATACTACCGCCGCCGAGAGGACTCGAACTCGTGACCGTTTTTTTACTATCAATAGTGAGAATTTTCTGAGGAAAAAAATGAAATTTTTTTACTTTTTTTGAATCAGAAATCATTTTAATGCTAATTTTTTTGTACTATTTACGCTTCTAAAAAAATGGCAAAAAGTTCTCGCCGCCGAGCGGACTCGAACTCGTGACTTCTTTACTACCAAAGCAGTGAATTTCCTGGAAAAAACTGTTCTTTTCATTATTTTTAAGCCTCTGTCTCCAAATAAATGGCAAAAATATTCCCGTCGCCGAGAGGACTCGAACTCGTGACCTTTCGATCCCCAAGATTACATCGATTTGAAGCCAAAAAAAGGCATTTTCCTTAAAGATTATAGTCAAAATAACATGAGATATTAATCCAGTCCAGAAAATCCCCGACAATTATTATTTTTTTCGGGCTTCTTCTGCCCTCCTTTCTCCCTTTTTGTTTTCCGTCCCGCCCGAATTTCCTGGTACGTCACAAAGAATGTCGAATACTAAGAAAAAATAGACTAATTGGGACTTGAAAAATTGTTTTTGGCCCAAGTTTCCTTTTTGGAGTTTTGAAAATTTGATTCAAATTTGCTCTTTTCGGTCTGTTTTTGCTCATTCGAAGCTCTATTTTTGCCATTTCCCGAGAGGAAATCGGTCATTTGTTCTGCAGAATTTCGATTTCAACCTATAATTTTTCTATTTTTCAGCTTCCAAGAATGAAAGACAGCCCAGCAGTCACTGTTCAACGAGAGACGTCCATTGAGCCGGCGCCGTCAGTTTTTTTAAAATTTTTTTCGAATTTCAAAAAGTTTTCTAAGCATATTTGAGCTTGAAATCATCTTTGAAGCTTAAAAAAACTTTTGAAAAATGGAAAAAACGATCCGCCGCCCATAGGACTCGAACCAGTGACCTTTCGATCATGTTCTAACACACTTTACCACTAGACTAGCCATCGTTTCACTTTGATACCGAAAAAGGCATCAAAGATCTTAATTTCCAGGAGCTGATTTACTCACATACAGGTGAAAAATTGGAAAAAAAATGGCAAAAAAAAGTCCGCCGCCCAGAGGGCTCGAACCTGTGACCTTTCGATCATGATCTAACACTCTTAACCACTAGACTAGCCATCGTTTCACTTTGATACCGAAAAAGACATCAAAGATCTGAAATTTCCAAGGTTTTAGCTGATTAGTTTTGCTCAGACTAATGATGATTGATCATTAGGGAAACGTCCGCAATTTATTAATTTATTTCAAGTTTTGAAGGGGAAGCGCTAAAATTATTTTGTAATTAGGAAAAGGCGCAATAAGTGACATGTGAATTGTTTTACATTTATAAACTCCTTGAAACGTATTTTTTCCTTTTTTTTTTCATTTCCCTTCAAATCCCAATCATTATAAAGATAAACAGAAAAAAAATCCTAGACAGTTCAAAAAAATATTTTTCATGGAAATTGGCCTTTTTCCGGTGCTTCCGGAGGTTTTTGAGGCCTTCGGGAATTTTTTTTTGGAAAAAGGGTTTCTCACCGGAAAAAGCTTATTTGTAGTCGGGAAAATCTGAATTTTGCTCGTTTTTGCGACTGACAGAGGCTTGTGAAGCTTCTGGTCGCACTGAGAATGGCTCAAAGAGTCGCAGTCAGCTTTGAAAGTGCGCCCGACTTGAAACGACTTGGGAAGCTGAGCTTCTTTGAGTAAGGAGGAAAATACCGATTTTCTGACGGACAGAAAAGTCTTGTGAAGCTTCTGGTCGCACTTGGAATGGCTCAAAGAGTCATGGTTAGGTCAAAAAGTGCGTCCGACTTGAAACGACTTTGAGCTTCTCTAAGAAAGGAGATAATAACCGATCCTGCGACTGACAGAAAAGACTCGTAAAGCTTCTGGTCGCATTGAGAATGGCTCGGAGAGCTCTCAAAGTGCGCCCGACTTGAAACGGCTTTTAAATCTGATCTTCTTTAAGTAAGGAGAAAATAACCGATTTTCTGACCGGTAGAGAAGACTTGTGAAGCTTCTGGTCGCACTGGGAATGGCTCAAAGAGTCATGGTTAGGTCAAAAAGTGCGCCCGACTTGAAACGGTTTCTTGAGGTTAAAAAAAACCGATTTTCCGACTCCAAAAATAACCCAAAAACGTCAAAGAAGCCAAAAAACCAATTTTCCGAGCAAATCTCCAAGATTTCCCGACTACAAACGTGCGCTTTCCTATGAGAAAAGTCGTTTTTTTATTCCAAGAAGTTATTTTTTCCGCGAGATTTTTTTTTCTGATAGTCCTAGAAAATGATGTCTTGATTTTCTTAAAAAAAGTTTAATTTCGTGAAACGTTTCGAAATGACAATTTCAGGTTCAAAAAAACAAGCTGGCAGAGCAGGAAAAATCGTTCATGAGCCAGACGTTCACACTGGATACCAACAAAAATCAGCGATTGACCGAATTTCGCTCCATTGAAGGTTGGGAATTTTTTTTTCTTGCCGCATGGGGAATGGCTTAGAACGCGTCGCGGTCCGTAAGTTTTCAAAATCCGTCGCGCGCAAGTCGTTTCGTGGTCGGACGCAGTTTTCGAGAAACCGTAATGCGACCGCGACGCCTTGAGCCATTCCAAGTGCGACCATATTTTTTTAAAAGTCCAAAAAAGGTTCATTTTCGATTTTTGAAACGGTAAACTTCTTTTTCTTTTAAATAAAACCAAGTCTGAGCGGTCTCATGGCTGTCTGCGCTCTCCTCGAACCATATACTATCTCGTCTTTTATCGTGTCAGGACCATTTTTACGATGGCTCAAGCCAGGCTATATAACTATAAATCAGGCCACAAAACCTGATTGAAAAAAAATGAAAAACAAAAACTGGAAAAAAGAAAAAAAAAATAGTGCTCCTCACAGAAGGGCAACCCAATCTACTGGATGCTTCAGACGCGATTCGGGGATTCGTCCCGCGCGCCCGCAGCAGCGGCCCTCGGCGATCTTTCCGCGGCGACGAGAACGTCAGAAGGTATGAATTTTCAAGTTCTCCAAGCTTCAAGCTTCAAGAAAATGTGAAATTTGTTGAAATTGGTCCACTTTGAGCCTTTTGGGGTCAATTGAAGTTATTTCATCGGAAAAATTTGAAAAAAATCTCTTTTAATGCATTTTGAGCCATATTTGAGGTCAATGAATCTGAGAAGTTTTTAAGAAAATCTCCAATTTTCAAAGAACCGATTAGAGTTTTGAATAGTCTTTTTAAGAAAAATTTCCATGCTTCTGGCAAAATTCAGAAAGAAAATTTGACAAATTTGGTTCGATTTGAGCTATTTTTGAGGTAAATGAACTTTCTGAAATGAAAATTTGGAAGGTTTTCGAGAAATGGACTATTTTCCAAAAATAGAGTGTTCAGTTGGAATTTGAAGGCCTTCAACTACAAGAAAACGGGAAATTTTTCAAAAAAAAAATGTCCAAATGTCCAAATCGCGCCATTTTAAGGCATATCCAGCTTTATTTGTACCAAAATTTGAAGAAAAGCCTTTTTTCAAAGCCAATATATTCTAAAAAGTTTACCAAGCTTTGAAAATTACCAAAATCCATCCGTTTTGAAGTAAATTGACCTTCTCGATCGGAAATTCTAGGGAAAAGCTTTGAACACCTAAAAAAAAAATTCAAATTTCCTGCATCCAAAAAAAAATCAAATCAGCATTGAATTGACTATTTTAGGCTGTGTGGAAGATTCGGGAAATTTACCAAAAAAATTTTATATTTGACTTTATTACACAACATTGCTCATGTTAGCGCATTTAGCTTTTGATTTTTTTTTATTGAGGCGGGGGTTTACGGGTAGAAAGCCGAAACTTTCTGCCCATGCGTCCCACGCCCAAATAATCCGAGAAATCGCAAGTTTAATACGAATCTCTTGAAACAGACAAATGGCGGCCGGGGAAAATGGGAGAAAATGGCAGGTTTTCGCTTGGTTTTTTGACGTTTTTGGGAATGAAATGGATGATTTAAGGTTTGAATTTCCTCTTAGGACAACTAGGGTTACGGTAGAAAGTTGATTACAGTAAGATTTTATTGGTTTTGCCATGAAGTTCTTGTAAAAAGCTTGTTTTTTTTGACGTTTTTAAGAATTAAATGGATGATTTAAGGTTGGAATTTTCTTCTTAGGAAAACTAGGGTTACGGTAGAAGATCGATTACTGTAAGAATTTATTGGGTTTTCGCAATAAGCTCATTTTTTGGGATTTTTCCGAAGTTTTTGCGTCAATTTTGACTGAAAGAACAGCTTAAAAGTTTAAAGAAGCTTTGATTTTGAAGAAATAGCTAATGTGAGCTGCAGAAAGTGCGCTGCAGTGAAAAAAGGCTGGTTCATAATATCTTAGGAACTCCAGAGTGGTCCCTATAGGGGCAAACTTAGGAACCACTATTTAAACCCCTATAGGGGCCACTAAAGCTTGCAAAAGTGGTCTCTATAGGGATTTCAGTTAGTGGCTCTTATAGAGGAGATGCTATTCGATGATTGGTATGAACTCTTATCCCATATAGGGCCCACTTGAGCTTTAGGAGCTAAGGGAACAGATCCTAAACCCCTATAGGGACCACTTCAAGTTTACCCCTATAAGGACCACTTTTTCGGCCCCTAGCCCCTATAGGGACCACTCTGGAATCCCTTAGATAGTTGTAGCTAGAAATCTTGACATTTTTTCTCGTTATTTTTGCTTTTTCCGCCCTTATTTCCAAATTTCCTTCCTCTTTATGCTAATTACTAATTAGAAATCTCCGAAAGTCTCAAAAAAATGATGTCAAAAAGGTTGATAACAGACTGGCCCTAAACTTGACATTTTTCGTGTCTAATGAAACCCCTGAAAAAGGCGGGAAATTGCCCGTTTCACACACACCCTTTTTGACTACGATTTTGCTCACAAACGCCTTTTTCCCCTCGCTCAAATGGACCAGTCGGCGGTGAAAAATCGGCCCAAGTTGTGAGTTTTTTGGAGATTTTAGGCATATTTACCCTTTCATTTTTTTCAAATGTTCATTGGTCTATTAACTGTTTAACTGTTTATTGCATCTTCAATGTAAGAATACATGTGCAAACGACTTTCATTGATTTCAACTGTGTTTAAACGGCGGCAGGAGCTGTGGCTTAGGCAGAGAAGTTGTGAATTTCGCTCGTAGAACATCAGGTACAAGAGAGGTCGTAGGAAGAGTTACGGTGCCGGCTTTCCAAAGGCCGATGGCAGAGATTGGTCTATTATGAATATCATTTGATCCCTAACACTAAATATAGACAATAGAAAATAAATTGAATTTTAGTACAAGTTCTATTATTGTTGTCCCCATTCTAGAACCTTGAAAAAATTGAAAAACCTCTACAGGGACCACTCAAGCTTTGGGGTTCAAGGGATCACACCCTAAACCCCTAAAGTGACCACTTGTCCGGTCCCTATTCGGTTTTTTCCCTCTCACCCCTAGAGGGACCACTCTAGAATTCCTTAGAGACCAGAAATATTGACAGTCTTTCCTGTTATTTTCTGACATAACTTTAGGAGGCGCAAAGCCCCGCCCCTTCACGCCACCAAAATGAAGACGCCATTATAGATAGCACTCCCAAAAGTCTCCTCTTGGCGCATTCCGCGTGCGTGCGCGCGCCAATTCAAATTTCGTCTCTTGGACTAGATTTACAGGCTTCCAGTATATTGTTCTTTTTGTATAATTTTTTTCTTACTTATTCATTTCCAGTTTTTCTTTTTATTTAATATTGACTCATTTAGGGAATCTAACTTTATTTAAGAAAGTTTTTTTCTTGTTTTAGCGCACATTCAAATTTTTCGCCTTCACTCACTTGCACAGGCAAATGGGGAAGGTACCATAATGTGCCCACAAATATACCTCTTAAAATGAATCTTGAATATTCCATAACGTGTCCATCATGAGACGTCGAGCATAAATTTTAGCTCTAGCTGCCCAGGGAATGGTGTCTGGTCGCGGTTGGATTTCAGAATGAGACCCAGTTCACTAAATGAAGTTTTTTTCATGCTATTTCCGAATCTGTTCTCAAAAAAATGCCGCGCAGGTCCGTGAAAAAAAGTTTTTGGAAAAGTTTTTTTGAGCGGAGACACGATTTTTTTCAAAGCTCCTCGCATGATAAGGAAATGTGCTGCTGAAAATTCATTTTTTCGTTTCTCATGAGCGAATGGAGAACAACGTGTACAGCTTATACAAATTTCAAAGGAAGTCTGAAAAACAGAATGAATAAAAAAATTAGAAAACGGAAGTGACTAAAAAAATAATAATAATAAAAAAACCTGGGAAGCATTTCCAGGCTACTCGGTAGCAATCAAAAAAATTTCAGGTACTCTGCCCGTATATCCAGTTATCATAGATATGATACCCGGGTAAAATTAATTGGAAGTTTTTTTAATGCAAGAAAAAAATTATACAAAAAAAGAACCATATACTGGAAGCCTGTAAATCTAGTTCAAGAGACAAAATTTGAATTGGCGCGCACGCACGCGGAATGCGCCAAGAGGAGACTTTTGGGAGTGCTATCTATAATGGCGTCTCCAAAATGACGATTTTTTTTGTTGCAAAAACGGTTTTGAGGCGTTTATACTAGCTAAAGTCCCACTTTAAAAATCAACTGTTTCTGAAAACCTCTGTAATCGACAACGCTCTACAAGACTGAATATTTTTTTAAAACTATGTATTTTTTTCAAAAAAATAAGCGAAAAAGTAAGATTTAACACGAAAAAAACTGACAAGTTTCACAAAAATCGTCGCGTTTCAGAAAACCAAGTGAGGAACGCTTCTAAATTTTTTTAGTATGTTATACATTAACACTTTCTTTATTTTTTTGAGTGAAAATTTTTAAAAAAATCTAACGACGCGAAAAAATCGAAGCTTGTAAAGTGACACCAAACTTTGAAGCTGAAATGCGAAAAAAATTTCAGCGACATGGTATACTTTTTTTATTTGATTTGAAAAACTAACAGTGTGTCCAAAAAAATAAAAAAATTCAAAATGAAAATAATTATTGGGACAGCGAATCAAATTATATTTGAGTTTTACCAAAACCTCCTTTTTTTCGCCTGCCTCGTTGACGCATGAGAGAATAGGATCGCGTCTATACTTTTTGTTTATGTTATTAAGCGTTCAAAACTCTACCAATGAAAAAATTATGAAAAAAATCGATCGACGCGAAAAAAATAACGGCTTTGAAAACCTCGTAAAAATGGCAATTTTTTTTGAAATTTCGGAAGATTTCGTGCAAGTGTCCGTAGCAGTGTTTGCGTCAAACACACCGATGCGCCCCTTTTAAATGTCGCAGGAGCCGTTTTTTTCGGAGTCAAATTGTACTTTTTTTCCTGTTTTATTTCGAAATAACATTATTTTTTTCCTTTTTTTCTTTTTTTCCAAATCGAATGATAATAATTTTTTTCTGAGTAGAAAAAAAGAAAAAAATAAGCTAAAAAAATCCCTTTGACCTTTTTTTCTAGGTAGTTTTTTTGATATTGTATCAAAAAAATTCTTATGAGGATTGTACAAAAGATTCATACCAAAAACATGAGGCTCATTTCGGACAACCTCTCAGAACAGAAAAACCGATTTAAAAAAACGGTTCAGAAACGCGCAAAAAAACATTTAAAAAGAAAGCGTGCGGCAGCGGGTAAACCGTGAGATTTTGCCTCCAGTTGTACGCCGCGCGCGCTCGTTTTTTGGCCATAACTTTTTTCTTAGTGAACCTTTTTTCAAAAACTAAACGGATTATGAAAATGGACAGTCTCCTCTATCGAACAATGTGAAAAACATATGTTTTGAATCATTCTGAAGAAATGGCTTGCGGACCCTACATAACTTGGAAATTTTTGAAGAATTCACTTAGGAATTTCATAGTGGTCCCTATAGGGGTTAGGGGGAAAGACAGTCTCCATAGGGGCCAAAAAAGCGATCCCTACAGGGGTCAAATCAAGGTGGGCCCTTTAAGAGTTTCTTTTCAATTTTATTCAAAAGAGGTTAATTTTTTAGTTTTTTGCATGTAAATTCTTCTTCGCATAACAATTATTGGATAACTTGTACCCTATAGGGGTCACTTTTTGCAAGCTTAGGGGCCCCTATAGGGGTTAGTAAAGTGGTCTCTAGAGTATACCCTCCCAGGTCCCTATGGTTGAGCTTCTAAGCAATATAGCAAATATCTATCCCTTAAGGGACTTCTTGAGGGCTATCTTCAGACACTTGACCCTCCCCCCCCCAATAAGAATGTGAGCTGAAGCCATCATTCAAGGGTTTTCTTTAAGTTGAAAAGTTTTTTTTGAAGAAAGTTTTTACATGAAACATGATCGATGCCTTTTTAACAAGTAAAAATTTTCAGAGTCCGCTCGGAAACCTCGACTCTCTTCTCTTCAACGTGCAAACTGCCGTCTCTCGACAACAAGACGTCATCTGGAGAGAAGAAGACGTGCACGATGCGTCCGTGGAGCCGAACCCAGGAGGAGCTCCGAAAATTCAAAGAGACCCTCAAGACCACTTAAGAGGCCACTTTGCGCTCAGATTTTTATGTTTCTTTCACTTTCCCCTTCAGTGATCTCTTGGTTCTCATCTTACATTTTTGGGCGGAGCTTTGATGATAGCATGAATTTATCCCCATCCCAATAATCATAAGTGAGAGCTTTCTACCTCTCTAAATATCCCAATCTCTCCAATCAAAGGGTCGTCGGTTCAATCCCCGTCGCCACACCTTTATTTTTGCCATTTTTAATTTTGTACATTTTTGAGCTTATCATCCCACTGACTGTGTTAAAACTCTGTACAGATAATTTTACGTGTTTTTGATATTATTTTAATGAAAATTTAAAAGATAAAAATGGTTTAGTCACTTTGACCCGTTATGGGGAAAAAGTCCAGATCCAGAAAAGGAAAAAACTTTTTGTTATTGATTTTTCTGAGTAAAATCGAGCTATGAGATGCCTTTATCTCAAGCGTTTCCAAAAAATTAAGTTAAAAGCTACAGCAAGTCTGAAGCTTCTGGATGGAGCTCAATCAAATGGTCAGTTATATCATTGAAAAGCTGACGACGAGACAAATCGAATGGTATAATTAGATAAGCTGTAGCTGCTCTGGAAGCCGAGATATGAAGCATCAAAGTTTACCAGTAAAATTTGAATAGGCGTCAGATAGAATGCATTTGGTGGGCAGCACCACGGTGTACTTTTCTCGCGAAAAAGGAGAAGCTCAAAAAAAAGTTCAGCTTTTTCAACTTTCTTCTAGTGTAATCGATAGAGCTAGCTTCCATATAGTACTTTATCATATCGCTTTGGAGGGAAAAGCTCAAAAATAAGATGAGAAACGGATCTGTGAAATCGCATTTTTCAAGATTGAAAGCCTCATAACTTTGTTCATTTTGAAGCTACAGAAGACTTGATTATATCAATCGATTCGTCTCGTTATCAGCTTTCTAATGATTTATAATTTCAAAAGTTTCCATCAACGTGGATGACGTCATAGACTTTTCCAGCTTTCATCTCAGCTTTTCCCTCAATCCAGATGTTATGATCATCAATCGATAGAGCATTCATAGACGGACAAATTTGTGTATTTTTTTAACTGATAACTTATCAGAACACCGTGTTACAAGCCGAGGCGAGTCTGAAGCTTCTGGATGGAGCTCAATCGGATCAAAACTTATATCATTGAAAAGCTGACGACGAGACAAATCGAATGATATAATCAGATAAGCTGTAGCTGCTCTGGGAGCCGAGATATGAGGCTTCAAAGTTTACCAGTAAAATTTGAATAGGCGTCAGATAAAATGCATTTGATGGGCAGCACCGCGGTGTACTTTTCTCGCGAAAAAGGAAAAGCTCAAAAAAAAAAATTGTATTTTCGAGTTTTAAACTATATGAATCGATAGAGCAGCTTTTATATAGTGATGTTATCATATCAAGTTTGACGGAAAAGCTCGAAAATAAAGTAGAAATGGGTTTGAAAAATCGCGTTTCTCTCATTTTGAAGCTTCATAGCTTCGTTCATTTTGAACATACAGAGGAACTGATTACATCATTCGATTCGTCTCGTTATCAGCTTTCTAATAATGTAGGACTTCAAGAGTTTTCATAAACGCGGATGACGTCATAGACTTTTCTAGCTTACATCTCAGCTTCTCCATAAAACCGGATGGTAGAATTATCAATAGATAGAGCATTCCTAGACAGACAAATCTGTGTATTTCATTCATTGATAACTTGTCAGAACACCGAAATAAAAGATGAAGAATGCCTGAAGCTTTGCCATGAAGCTTAATCAGTTGACAGCCCATATCATTAAAAAGCTGATAACGAGACAAATCGATTGATATAACCAATTCTTCTGTAGCTTCGAAATGAACAAAGTTATGAAGCTTTAAAGTCCGAAAAAGGTGACTTCTTCGGACCTATTTTTCATCCGATTTTTGAGCTTTTTCCTCCAAAGTGATAAGATAACAGTACTATATGGAAGCTGCTCTATCGATTAAACTGAAAAAAACTTGAAAAGGTCAAACTTTTTTTCAAGCTTTTCCTTTTTCGCGAGGAAACCACACCGATGAGAGCCTCAGACGGACACTTGACCCGACGCGCAACCTCAGTCAAAGCGTTTCATCCGACGCGCAAATTTAATTTTTAATAAATCTTTGGAAGCTTATATCTCGGCTCCCAGAGCAGCTACAGTTTATCTGATTATATCACTCGATTCGCCTCGTTGTCAGCTTTTCACTGATATACGTTATGAACTGGTTTGGCTTGATCCAGTGGTTTCAGACTTGTCTCAGCTCTCATTTCTGCGTTATGATGAGTTATCAAAGATCTGATTATACCAATCGATTGGTCTCAAGTCGCCCTATCGATTGATAATTACTACTTTCAATTTGAAGTAGAAGCTGAGATGTAAGCTGCGAAATTCTTTGATATCTTTGCAGTTGAATTGATTATTATATCACTAGAAAGCTGAAAATCAGATGAATCGGATGATATAATCAGATAAGGTGTAGCTGTTCTGAGAGCCGAGATATAAGCCTCCAAAGATTTTTTAAAAAATCAAAATTGCGCGTCTGATGATGCGTCTTGACTGAGGTCGCGCGTCGGGTCAAGTGTCCGTCTGAGGCTTTCATCGGTGTGGTTTCCTCGCGGAAAAGGAAAAGCTCGAAAAAAAGTTCGACCTTTTCAAGTTTTTTCCAGTGTAATCGATAGAGCAGCTTTCATATAGTACTGTTATCATATCACCTTGGAAAGAAAAGCTCAAAAATCGGATAAAAAACGGGTCCGAAAAAGTCGCCTTTTTTGGACTTTCGAGCTTCATAACTTTGTTCATTTTGAAGTTACAGGAAAATTAATTATATCAGTCGATTCGTCTTTTTATCAGCTTTCCAATGATGAAGGTTGTCTACAAATTGAGCTTCACCCAAAATCTTCAGGCATGCTTCATCTTTTATTTCGGTGTTCTGATAAGTTATCAGTGATTAAAATACACAGATTTGTCCGTCTAGGGATGCTCTATCTCTTGATGATCATAACATTCGGTTTGAAGGGAAAGCTGAGATGTAAGCTGGAAAAATCTATGACGTCATCCACGTTGATGGAAACTCTTGAAGTCCCACTTCATTAGAAAGCTGATAACGAGCCGAATCGATTGATATAATCAGTTCCTTTGTATCTTCAAAATGAACAAAGTTATGAAACTTCAAAATGAGAGAAACGCGATTTTTCAGACCCCTTTTTTACACCACTTTTGAGCTTTATCCTCCAAAGTGATATGATAACATTACTATATGAAAGCTGAGCTATCGATTCATATAGTTAAAACTTCAAAAATACGAAATTTTTTCTCAGCTTTTCCTTTTTCGCAAGAAAAGTACATCGCGGTGCAGCCCACCAAATGCATTTTATCTGACGCCTATTCAAAATTTAATGGGTAACTTTGATGGCTTATATCTAGGCTCCTAGAGCAGTTACAGCTTATCTGATTATATCATTCGATTTGTCTCGTCGTCAGCTTTTTAATGATACTAAATATCATCCGATTGAGCTTCATGCAGAAGCTTCAGACTCCTCTCGGATCATAGCTCTTTTCTAGGAAATCTGCTTGATTTTTGACGCTTTTTTCATGTCATTCTTGTCATTATTGCGGCCTCTGATCAAGTTGTCTTCTTTGGAATATTTCTGAAGCATTTCGATACATTCTGTGCGAAAGGTAGTTTATTATTGTGGGAAAATGGCAGGTGAACCCGTTGGAATCGGCAAAGGTTTGGGGCGATTTCAGAGAGAGAAAGGATTGGTGCAGTCTTCTTTCATCGAACACCAAACACGGCTTCCCTGTAATTTGCAAAATGGATTAAACACCAACAATCTGAGGAAAAAGCCAGAAAAAGAAAACAAGAACCGTGCAGATGCATTCGGTGCAGAATTCGCCTCGTGGGGACCATTTGGCGCCTTCCGGACGCCAGATTCCTTCGTTCGTGCATCCATGAAGACGTGAGCCACGGTGGCGACTGAGAAATCACATTTTTAAAATGGCAAAAAGGTTTTGGCGTGAGCGGGATTCGAACCCGGGTCCCAGGATTGACCGGCTAAATGCCTCAAAGGAGTGGTTGTAGCATTTTGTTCTTGTGTCACCATTGATACATCTGATTTCCATCACTCCCCAATGAAAATTCTACATAATCAAGTCCTTAAAACCACGGTAACGTTATTTTGAAAAATGGCAAAAAGGTTTTGTCGTGAGCCGGATTCGAACCCTGGTTTGAGGATTGACCGGCTAAATGCCTCAAATGAGTGGTTTGTCGCATTTTTTTCGTGTTATTTTTGATATCCCCAGTCAAAATTCTACATAATCAAGTCTTTAAAACCACGGTAACGTTATTTTAAAAACGGCGAAAAAGGTTTTGGCGTGAGGGGGATTCGAACCCGGGTCCCAAAATCAACAGGCTAGCGTACAAAAATGCCTCAAAGGAGTGATTTATAGCCTATTTTCGTGTCTTTTTTCATTTTTCATAAATTTCATATTCATTTCTGCCGATTGAAGTGCTGAAAATCACGGTTCTAATGCTTCAAAAAATGGCAAAAAAGGTTTTGGCGTGAGCGGGATTCGAACCCTGGTCATTTCTCCAAACCATTTTCAAACCTTTTTACACCATTTTGCTGCCCTTTTCCAACCCTTTTTTCAATTTCGATGTGAAACAAACCTTCTCAAGACGTTGTCCCGCATGGTCGGACAAATCGTATCGCAACAATTTCTCCACGGGTCGAGGCTCATTTCGACGTGCGCCGAGCACCGTTCGTAAGCCAGGATGTTGGTTCCAGGGTAGGCAAAAATGTCCTTCTGAAAATAAGTATCGGTAATTTTTGTGACGGAATTTTTGCATTCTAGAGTAAAGTATTAGACCTCATACATAGGCAAAGTCTCCATAGGAATGTTCCTTTTTTGCTGCCTTTTTTGCGCCATTTCATCGGCTGTTTTGCACCCTTTTTGCAGCCTCTTCCTATTTCCACCATTTCTTGAGCCTTCAAAATCTTAGAAAAAATGGAGGGCTCGCAAAAGGCACTGTTTTTGCAGCTTTTCTGGGGCCTTTTTGGGGCCTTTTTGCTGCCTTTCTGCACCCTTTTTGCTGCCATTACGCGGCCTTTTTTTGAACCTTTCTGCGGCCTTTCTGCGACCTTCCTGGAGCCTTCCTGCGACCTTCCTGTGGCCTTTCTGGGACCTTTTTGCTGCCTTTCTGCGGCCTTTCTGGGACCTTTTTGCTGCTTTTCTGCGGCCTTTTTTGCTGCCTTTCTGCGACCTTTTTGCTGCCTATCTGGGGCTTTTCTGCGGCCTCTCTGGGGCCTTTCTGGGACCTTTCTGCGGCCTTCCTGTGGCCTTTTTGCTACCTTTTTGCTGCCTTTTTGCTGCCTTTTTGGGGCCTTTCTGGAGCCTTTTTGCTGCCTTTCTGCAGCCCTTTTTTGAGCCTCTCTTTTTTAGCCGCCATTATCTACTAATCCGACTTTTCCCGAGTATTTTTCAAAAGTAATAAGTGTAGAAAGATTTTAAAAACTGCTTTTTGAGGTCTTTTCCGTGACTTTTTCAAACTTCAAGTTGGAAAGAGTTCCGGATTTAAAACGAAAATTGATTTTCCGGGTTCCTGCACTTAAAAAGCCACTTTTCCTTCTCCAATCATGTTCCAGACTAAACGAACCAATAAGCAGATACTTTCATCATCTTTCAAGAACCTAAGGTTTCTCACGAACTTGAACTCATTATAAATCCTGCTGTGAACTTCTCCGGAAACTTTAAAGGTACAAAGATTGTTAGAACTCTTGTTTGAGCCTGAATTTATTCTAGGAACGTGTAAAATATCTTTTTTTTTCTCGATTATTTTCCCATGGAAACGGTTTTCCTACCATAAATCATGTACAAAGTTGCAAAAATTCGGCTTTTCACATCATTTTCTTCTCCTGAGAAACTCAAAGGTACAAAGATTATTAATAAGTAACTAAAATAGAAAAAACTGCTGGAAATTTGTATTTTTCACATCATTTTTTGGTCTTATTCAACCTTCTGAGCAGGCCAATTCATGAGGAAAAAATAGTTTTTCATATTTTTTTTGAGGCTCCAATTCGTTAAAAACTGCTATTCTGAAGCTAAAAACGCCTGAACAAGACCATTTTCCATGTTTTTTGCAACTTAAAACGAAAATTTATGAACTTCAATCTTCTCCAAAGGTGTTTCGATATGTCGAATTTGAAAATCTTGTTCTAAAGGAGCCTAGAAAAATCCTATAAATATTCAAATTTCACCTGCACCCGATCGATATCATCTCCATTGTCACAGAGTAACCGGGGCAGGTTCACTTTTCTGATTTCGGCGAGTTGAGAAGCCGTGAAAACACCTGTGTTCTCGTGCCTGAAAAAGGTGACCTTTCAGAAAAAGTTTTATATCCTTAAAAAGCAGGTGATTTCGTGTCATTTACTCAAGATCAAAGGTAAACTTTGGTGTTAGCAGGTGGAAGAAATTGAGAAACTGGGTTTTGAGCTTCCAATGAGATTTATCGGAAAGGGAAGCTTTATTAAAAACGGGACTAAACATTTTTTAAATTCTGAAATTGTGGAAAAACTCCATACAACAGAAAGAATATATTGAGAAGCATGAAAAACTGAAAAAAATGCTATTTTTCGCCGAAATATTCAATATCAGCAACAAATCGCTACTCTGAGCAATGATGAGCCATCATGAAAACCGACCAGAATCGATCGCCATCACGAAGTCTTTTGAACTGTTCGCCGATAATACACGCGAAAACCGGTCCAAACAACGCGTTGGGCAGTTTTTCTTCGACGATTCCGCCGACCCAAAGGTCAATATTGGCTGGAAAAATGTCATTTGTATCGAAATTACCAAAAAATGCGCAAAAAATGTATTGAAATACAAGCGCTCAGCAAGGAATGGGGTATTGGCATCAAGAGACTTCAGCCGAAAGATGGTTATTCACCTTCATCGCGCGCAACATCTTTGCTGAGGGCGCCGAGGCGATTATATACCCCCCCGTTAGTGGTGCAACCGACTCGCCGCGGCTTGCGCGTCCTTGCACTCTAATGCGTCGTTTTTCTCCTGGCTCTTTTCTACTTCATTTCTACTTCTTTTTTTTCGGATTTTCGCTTTTCCTACTAGTTTTTAAGCTCAGGATTCTGAATTTTTACCAAAAAATAAGAAATTGAAACGAAATCAAGGAGAAAACCTAGAAAAATTGGGGAGTATCGAGAAAAGTCAAATTTTTGTTGAAACACTTCGAAATCCAGTATTTTTATATATTGAATCTTCAAAATCAACTCAGTGATTCAAGGAACGACTAAAAATCATCAAAAAACTCCCAAAATCGATGTTTTTCGTTCCGATTTAACCATATTTTTCGATGTTAAAATGAAATTTCGCGCGTTTTGTACCAAAATATCCAACTTTTCAACTTCTAAATGCGTGTCAAAAGCTGAAAATCAGAAGACAAGTCCAAAAAACTCGATATTTAAAAAGTTTCAATTGATTTTCGAGGCCTTCAACCTCTTTTTTGACCTTGAAAACTGAATTTTATCCTTTTCAAAACCAAAATTTTCAACTTCCTGAGAAAAAATTTAGTGGGCAACTACTTGGAAAAAACACTAGAGTGGCCACTAGAATAAACTCTATAGAAGCCACTAATTTTTAAAAGTTTTAGTGCCCTATTAGTACCACTTAGACCTCTATAGTGGCCAGTAAATTTGAACCCCTTAAGTGGCCACCAATTCGACTACTACAGTGGCCACTAGAATGTCAAAACCCTATAGTGGTCACTGGAAGACAAAAAAACCCACCAGGATCTCCATACAAGGCCTTCATCTTCATCCGAATCTTATCATCCGGTATGTATCCTCTCATGTCGTCCCAAGTCTTCGGGACCGATAAACGACAATATTTTCGGTACTCGGTGTAACTGGAAAGTATAATGAATCAAGAAGAAGCTTCGATATAAATGTTAAAAAATATAAAAAAATAAAAAAAATTTGAATACAATGCTTCAAAAAAACCACGAGAAAAAAACTATAAAAACCAACATTTTTTTCGAAACGCCAAAATGGTCCCTGTAGGGACACCTCTAGGGACCACTTTACCGACCTCTATAGGGGTCACTGAAGCTTGCAAAAGTGGTCCCAATAGGGGGCATGCTAGTCGATAAGTTTTATGTAGTCTATGCGAAGACGCGTTTCCATAGGAAAAACTGAATAAAATTGAAAGACCCCTATAGGGACCACTTGAGCTTCAGTGGCTAATGAGTCAGCCCCTGAACCCCTATAGGGACCACTTTGATTTCAACCCTATAGAGACCACTTTTTCGGCCTTTCTATGGGCTGTTTTTTCCCAAAACCCTATAGGGACCACTCTGGAATTGCCGAGTAGGAATCACTTCATCTCACCCTATAAGGGCCACTAGAGCTTGCAAAAATGGCCACTAGGCATCACCTATCCCTATAGAGGTCACTAAACTTGCAAAAGTGGTCCCTATAGGGGGCATGCTAGTCGATAAGTTTTATGTAGTCTATGCGAAGACGCGTTTCCATGGGAAAAACTGAATAAATAGGCTTTTCTGAATAAAATTGAAAGACCCCTATAGGGACCACTTAAGCTTCAGTGACTGATGGGTCAGACTCTGAACCCCTATAGGGACCACCTTGATTTTACCCCTATAGGGGTCCCCTTTTCGGCCCTTATATGGGCTGTTTTTCCTCAAACCCCTGTAGCGACCACTCTGGAAGTCCCAAGTAGGAATCACTTCAACTCTCCCTAGAGGGGCCACTAGAGCTTGCAAAAATGGACCCTATGGGGGTTTCAGTTAGGGGCTGCTTTAGGGGGAAATTCCAGTCGTTCATCGAAAAAAGTTAAAAGACCCCTATAGGGACCACTTTAGCAATAACAAGTAAAGAAGAAGGGTCTGACCCTTGACCTCCTACAGCTTTTTAACCCCTATAGGGACTTTTTTCCCCTAACCCCTAAAGGTACCACTCTGGCTTTCCCAAGCTTTTATAGGAAGCATTTCTCACCTGGGCAATCCATGGTCCCTGGACCGTTGGATATTCATGACAGCCAGGTCCAAGGCAACCTAAACACAAAAAATTCATTTTTTTCAAAAATTTTCCCACTCACTTCATGGCCCTTGTGGAAGAGCTTCTCGATGAGCTCCATATTGAGGAGTTGGGTCGGAAGGGGGTGCTTAAGGGGCGAGGCAAAGAGGCCGCGGAGGAGCGGATCGACGCCGCCTTCTTTCAGCACCAGTTCGGGGGTGAAGAAGGCCTTGAATGAACTTTTTTTCTTTTTTTCATGGATTTTTCATTTTTCCCAAGCATAGAAAAAGTCGGAAAGGGTGGAAAAAGGCTCCGTAGAAATTTTCCTTTTTTCAGCCTTTTTGCGCCATTTTCTCAGCCCTTATGCACCATTTTTGCTGCTTTTTCATTTCTGGAGCTTTCGAAATTCTAGAAAAATAGAAAGCTCGATAAAGGGACCATTTTTGCTGCCATTTTGCTGCCATTTTGCGGCCTTTTTGCAGCCCTTTCGCTACCTTTCTGCAGCCTTTTTGCAGCCTTTTTGCAGCCTTTTTGCAGCCTTTTTGCAACCTTTTAGCGGCCTTTTTGCAGCCTTTTAGGGGCCTTTTTGCTACCTTTCTGCTGCCTTTTTGCTGCCATTTTGCAGTCTTTTTGCTACCTTTTTGCAGCCTTTTTGCAGCCTTTTAGCGGCCTTTTTGCTGCCTTTTTGCTGCCATTTTGCAGTCTTTTTGCTACCTTTTTGCAGCCTTTTGGCGGCCTTTTTGCTGCCATTTTGCAGTCTTTTTGCTACCTTTCTGCATTTTTTTTTTGTTTTTTTTTCGCTTTTTTTTTGCTCTTTTTTGGGCCGCTCCTTTTTAGCAGCCATTAACCACCATCTTTCAAAGTTTCACAAAATCAGACGTAATTAATATAAAAATAATAACCCTGTGAAGAGAAATATGGCCATGTTGGATGGGTTGGAAAGTTTTGTCGAGGCGGAAAAGCAGAGGATTGATGATCGTGTGGCCGAATCTGAAGGAAAATGTTTGGATATTTCGTCCGCGTCATAAAAAAGTTACATAGAAAAACATTTTCCTTCGTTTTTTCCTGTAGTCTATTTTAACCCGTTCTTCAATGCTAGTCATTTGTGTTAATTAAATAAACATTTTTTTAACACGCTGTCTCCGTTATTCTCAAAAAAACAACGGGTACAATAAAAAAAATATTTTTTTGATTTGGATGAAACTTCACCCAGTGTGATACCCCATCATCAGAAATGCGGACCCAACTTTTTTTGAGCCATTTCCTCTTACTGTAGCCGGGTTACGGTAGGCAGGTGGGCACCTGCGTATCTCAGTATTGAAGAGTTTTTTTACTAGGCGAGTGATATATCAATCGATAGGTAATCCAATTTCAAGAACTTTTTACAGTACATACCATCTTGGGTTACGGTCGAAAAAAATTTTTGAGTTACGGTACTTTTTTTGTGTCTGCCGAGTCAGTTTTTCGACCACCATGAGCTTGAGCCAGGAGATCCATTCTTCCTAACTTCTCAAAAGATACCTTATGAGAAGCTGTACAAGCTGGTACTAGTTTGAAAAAATCCTAGGTGGACCATCATTTCGTAAAATCGCCCCGAAGGCGCGCAATCGTGGTCTTGCGGCGGCCAAGTGGGTGAAGTCCATGATGCCGGACGGCTCATTTTTCACAGATCCATTCCAATCTTTGTTTCCATTTCACTCATAGATGTCTATTATTGATTTTTATTTCAATTTGAGATGTTTTCGGGTTGACCATCATTTCGAAATTTCATTTTGAACCCAAATTTGGCCTGAAATGGCCGACTCGGCCTTTTTCACGGGATCCCTGACCCCGTATGTGACCGTTCTCAACTTTTTTCTTTCTTAAACATGAACAAGAGTGCCTGAACAACAGTTTTATAACAATCGGAAACCCTTTTGAGAGGACCATCATCTCGAAATTCCATTTTGAACCCAATTTTTTTTTGGTTATTTTTTCACAAAAATAGTCACATGACGAATGTCTTGTTTTTTAGGTATGAAAAATTTTGAAGATTTAGAACTACTATTTAGGTTATAATAAAAACATTTATAAAAAATCACCTTGAAAGTTAAGTTTCAACCTCACCGGTGGTCAGAGTGTCGGGTTTTCTCTTTCATGAAAAAAATTACTTGGTATTTCACATTTCTCATTTTTGATTACCTGTTTTGAAAATAAATTGGCAGAATAGATTTTGCTGTAAATGATAAAAACTTCAAATGGGGAAACTAAGCCGATATTTGAGTTCAAAATGGAATTTCGAGATGATGGTCCTCTCAAAAGGGTTTCCGATTGTTATAAAACTGTTGTTCAGGCACTCTTGTTCATGTTTAAGAAAGAAAAAAGTTGAGAACGGTCACATACGGGGTCAGGGATCCCGTGAAAAAGGCCGAGTCGGCCATTTCAGGCCAAATTTGGGTTCAAAATGAAATTTCGAAATGATGGTCAACCCGAAAACATCTCAAATTGAAATAAAAAAATCAATAATAGACATCTATGAGTGAAATGGAAACAAAGATTGGAATGGATCTGTGAAAAAAATGAGCCGTCCGGCATCATGGACTTCACCCACTTGGCCGCCGCAAGACCACGATTGCGCGCCTTCGGGGCGATTTTTACGAAATGATGGTCCACCTAGGATTTTTTCAAACTAGTACCAGCTTGTACAGCTTCTCATAAGGTATCTTTTGAGAAGTTAGGAAGAATGGATCTCCTGGCTCAAGCTCATGGTGGTCGAAAAACTGACTCGGCAGACACAAAAAGTACCGTAACTCAAAATTTTTCGACCGTAACCCAAGATGGTATGTACTGTAAAAGTTCTTGAAATTGGATTACCTATCGATTGATATATCACTCGCCTAGTAAAAACTCTTCAATACTGAGATACGCAGGTGCCCACCTGCCTACCGTAACCCGGCTACAGTAAGAGGAAATGGCTCAAAAAGTTGGGTCCGCATTTCTGATGATGGGGTATCACACTGGGTGAAGTTTCATCCAAATCAAAACATATTTTTTTTTATTGTACCCGTTGCTTTTAGAAATTTTTTAGAATAACGGAGACAGCGTGTTAATGATTATGTGAATAAAATCACCTAAAAGCAGCCGTCGCGAAGGAATTCGTAACCGAAGCGTCGACGGATGGATCGTAGCCTTTATAATCGCCGATATATTTTCTCAGTTGGTCCTAAACGTTTAATTTTTCCTTTTACGGTGTTCAAAAAGATGTGGCCGCAATTGGAATGGCTCAAACGCGTCGCGGTCGCGTTGCGCTTCAAAAAAAAGTTATAATACTCGAACTTTGAAACTTTTTTGAAGACTGTAAAAACTCTTGAGAAAAATAAGGGATCTTTTGTTCTTTGCAGCTTGAATTTCTGTGGCCGCACTTGGAATGGCTCAAACGCGTCGCGGTCGCGTTGGGGTTCAAAATAAATGCTCTAATACTCAAAATTTCAAAATTCGTTGAAAGTCTCCTAGATAATGTTCGAGATTAAGGTTCTGTGAGTTTCAATTTGAAATATTTTTAAAAAAAAATCAAGGTTCAAGTTCTCGAAATAGCCTGTTTTGGTGGTTTTCTTTTCCTGTAAAAAGTCGTTTTTTGAGAAAACTATTGAATCTCCAGGCCGGGACATTAAGAAACTCTACTTCAAAAACTACCCAGACCAATTTTTCCTGTCAAAAATTGACATGTAAGGTTTCTCCTTGTTATCAGCCTGACCTAACACTTCTCCATGCTTCAGCGCGCAAGCCGTTTCAGGTCGGACGCCTTTAAAAATTGAGATTTTTCAGCCATTCTCCATACGGCCTTGTTAAAGGTGACTTTTAAGCGAGAAAAACTCTTAAGAAACCAGAAAAAAAAAAACCAACTTTTCCTCCAAAAACAATGGGTAACCATTGATTGTAGGTGATATGTTGCATTACGGCGCCGATGATTTTTCGCGTTTCTGAAAATTTTCGGATCCTCAGCCTCAAAATTATCATCGCAGATTTTTTTGATTTTTTGAAAAAATTGAACGGTTCAGGTACTAAAAAATAAGAAAAAAAAATCTGAAAACTGAAGAAAATTGATAAAATCTTGAGAAGTCGATTTTTTTTCCTTTAATTCAACCAACTCCGAGCATATGAACTTCCAAGAGGTCCCTATAGGGGCAACCTTAAAGGCCCTTGCAAAAGTGGTCCCTATAGGGGACAAGCTAGTCGATAATTGTTATGAACCCTAAGCAAAGAAGCATTTCCATGCAAAAAACTGAATAAATAAGCGTTTTTGAATGGAATTGAAAGACCCCTATAGGGTCCACTTGAGCTTTAAGGGCCAAGGGGTCCGACCCTTAATCCCTATAGAGACCACCTTGACTTTGACCCTATAGGGACCATTTTTTCGGCCCCTACAGGGGTTGTTTTAGCCCCTAACCCCTTTAGAGACCCCTCTGGTTTTCCTAAGAATGCTTGGCTCTCCTTCGATTAATAAAAAACCAATTATTTTTCGAAAAATAACGTGGTAAGACCAAAAAAGCTATTCCTCCAAGACCTTTTGAGGCCAAATTTTGACTAGAACTTTTCCGAAACCTTTGAAAATTCATGGCTTCTTTCCCTAATGGTTCCCGATGTTCATGGTTGAAGTACTATAAAATTAGGATTTTCCTGAAAAAGAAGCCCCAATTTTCCTTAATGTATAGGTCATTCCGCGCCAGCTTGTCACGATTTCCAGTTTATTTGGAGATACAGTAGCCTTTTCGGTGCTTCGCTTCGATGCTCTCGGTGTGCCCCCTTGCGTGCGCCTTCAATGAAACTCATTATTTCCGAACTTTGGGATTTTCTTATTCTAGAAAAACAGTTGTAACATCAAATTTTATATCAAACTAACCAAAAAATTATATGCAAAAAAAACAGCCGGTTTCATTAATAAAAATTAAAAAAATAGTATTTTTCGTTTTTCTTACAAATCCAGCACAGAATCTGAGTGTGTATAGTTCAAGCGAAAAATGAAATCATTCCATTGAAAAAAATCTTGTAAATTGGAGCAATATCTTAATCAGAAATGATGTTTTATTGAATGCGCACGCAGGGGGGAACACCGAGAGCATCGAAGCGAAGCGCCGAAAGGAGTTCTGTAGCTCCGAGGAAAATTAAAATCATGACAAACTGGCGCGGAATGGCCTATATCTCTATTCCTTGAGACCCATCTAAAGATACCCTAAAACCACTAATCACTGAAAAAATGATAATATTACAGCTTCTCCCTCCAAAAGCTCCACCCACCGTGGTAGATGACCTCGCCGTCCCAGTTCTGGTTCATGGCGAGTAGTTTTCCGGCGATTCGATTGTGTTCCCGGAGGAAGATCGTGTGGACAGCGGTCAGGGCCAATTGCTCGTTTGCCCGGAGGTCGCCGGCCAAAAAGCATCGGATCGGATTCTCTTCGGAGAAATTCCGGCGGCAGTCCATTTTGGAGTCTTTCTCGAAGGGTAGGTACGGCTTGCCGGCTCTGGAATCGTGGTTCTGGTCTCTTTCTTGGAAAATTTTTCGAAACCCTCATTTTTGTCTTTTTTTACAGTTTTGTAAACCAGAGTTTCCCAAAAATACATGTGTCTTTTAAAAGTATAAATCTGACTTAAAAACCCCCCCAAAAACAAAAAAATCGATCATTTTCAGACCACTAGTTGGACTGGTCCAAGAAGTCTAGGGAAAAATTTTTTTCGAAAACCCTCATTTTTTTTTTTTTACAGACCAGATTTTTCTCATAGTACATGTGTCTCTTAAAATTATGAGTTTTACTCGGAAATCCAAAAAACAAAAATCGATAATTTTCAAACCATTAGTTGGACTGGTCCAAGAAGTCTAGGGAAAATTTTTTTCAAAACCCTCATTTTTTTTTTTTTTTACAGTCCAGAATTTTTCCAAAAAAACACATGTGTCTTTTTAAAATTATAAATCTGACTTGGAAATCCGAAAAAATCGATCATTTTTCAAACCAATAGTTGGACAGGTCCTAGAAGTCTATGGAAAATTAAAAAAATTCTCATTTTTTTGTTTTTTTCAAAGTCCGTAAAGCTGTTCCTTGTTCAGAATTTCCCGCTGGATTCAAAACTAAACTTTTCATGGAGAAATTCGCAAAGCGAACAAAGTTATATCACACAGAACAAAGTTATATCACATTTTTGAAAAATGGAAAATTTTCCACGTTTTTTTGAATTTCAAAGCTTATGCACATTTTCCGCTGAATCCAAAGTTCAATTTTGTAAAAATAGCGTCAATAAATCCCTTTCAGTTTTAAAATTTTAATTTGGCAAAATACGATTCTGAGCGCTTCATTTTAGTTATTTTCGAGTTTTACTACAGTTTCGCTACATAAACTTTGAAAAGCTGTCTTTTGGATAATCGATTTTTTGGCTTTTTTTAACAGACGTTCAAACGAGACCAGGTTCACTAGATATGATTTTTTACGTTAATTCTGAATCTGGTCTCAAAAATTGTCTTAGATTTCTGTGGGTAAAGTTAGGGGCACCTGGAGATCAAACATTTATGGAGAGTAGTTTTTTTATCTTGTTGTTACAAAAAACGACTATAGTCTGTTCAGATTTTGAATGTCAAGTCGTCGCTCAAGCTCCGCCCCTAATGGTGCGATAAACCAATCAGAGAGCGAGCCATCCACAGAGTGTTTTTGAATGACGTCATTGGACTTGACAATCAATATTTGAACACACAATATTTGGACTGAAAAATGTAAGGCTCGAAAAAGGGACTATTTTGCAGCTTTTCTGAGGCCCTTTTGCTGCCTTTCTGGGGTCTTTTTGCAGTCTTTTTCGGCCCTTTTTTGAGCCTCACTATTTAGGACTATATAAACTTTGATTTACAAAAACAGGGGCCTTTAAAAATGGTCAGCCCATGTAAGATCCACCCATAACTCACTCCGACAGGATGTCGTACCGCAGAAGACCTCTATCATTATATCGTTCCCTCAACTCCTGAGCTTGAACCTCGTTGCTCCCGTAGACATTCGAAGCGTCGATGTAGGAAGTGAGCTGGAAAAAGGCGCAAAAATCATTGGGATTTTGTAGGGAAACTGACGATATTCATCTGTTCCCTGTAGGTGACCCTCTGGAAGACCAAAGAAGTCTCGCCGCTTCCGCAAACCGCCGCGCTTCGTTCAAACTCGATGCAGGGGAACTTGACGTGTCTGGAAACGATTTTTCCTATGACTGGAGCCGAAAACCGGTTTTTAAGTGATCACTTAAGAGGGCGGATGCCGCTAACGATTCTGCGCATCTCAAAAAATCACTTAAGTGGGCTGACGTCGATAACGATCCTGAGCTTTTCAAGTGATCTCTTAAGAGGGCTGAGGCGGCTAACGATTGTGAGCTTCCCAAGTGATCACTTAAGAGGACTGACGCCGCTAACGATTCTAAGCTTTTCAAGTGATCACTTAAGAGGACTGACGCCGCTAACGATTCTAAGCTTTTCAAGTGATCACTTAAGAGGTCTGACACCGCTAAAGGGATCATTAAATCTATCCGGAAGCGTGCAGTTTTCTTCAGAGAGCTCTAAGAGAATAACAATTTTCCATGGAGCAAACTTTATTCGATTTAAAAAAAATCAGCAATCCTTTTCTCAAGTTTCACATGATAAAAGTATGCGCAGGTTTTTTTTTCTGAAAATTAACATTTTGTTGAAGATCTCAACTCAGAATTTGGACAGAGAGCAAACTTTCTTCAAGGAAATCAACTTTTTGAAGTTCTGGACCCTAAATTCGACTTGGAAACTCTAAAATTCGCCATGGAGCGCACAAGCTTCTTTATTTCCATGGAGCGCGCATGTCAAAGCCTCTCGCGGCTAATTTTTCCCACGCTGAAAAAAAAAAAACTAACACTCCGGAACGCATGCGGGGATCATTCGGAGAGAGCGGAATATTGAAACAGGGATCCAAATTATCGCAGGTTCGATTACAGAACGCTCCAGTCGCGTAACTGTGTCGCGAGAGAGCCGTTGCAGTATGCGTCAGGTCGTGATCTGAATGAGAACGTTTGAAGAGGTTGCTTAAGTGATTTAAGGTTACTGAAGCCACTACTTAAGTGTTTTTTGAGTTTCCTAAGGTCACTCAATGTCATAAGGCATGTTCTAAAACAATTCTTAAAAAAAGGGTCATATATTAAAAAAGTGGTCACTCGAGGGATTACGATTTTGAGAAAAATCTTTGAAACTTACAAGTTTGTTTTGGTTCTTTTAAAATTAATGTATACTCTGATCCCCGCGAATTTCGGTCGCACATAGAATGGCTTCATTTAAACAAGTTTCTCTGGGTGCGCCCGACCCCAAACAACTTGCGCGTAGAGACATCGGAAACCGTTAAAGAAAGACTTCAAGTCATTTTTAGTATTGTTTCTAACCGCCACGCGACCGCGTCGCTTCGATATATTCTCAATGCGACCAGGGCCTTTCGGATAAAATAATATTTAGACTTTTGATCAAGATCAAGCACCAGAAGCTTTTAGAGAAAAATCATGAACATTCCAGTTTCTTAAGTGGTCCCTTGAGATTTTTTCTAAGTCACTTTGAAGTGATTCGTGTATCTTTGGAACGCCAGAGTTATCCCTAAAGGGGTTAGAGAAAAACGGCCCCTATAGGGAACAAAAAAGGGGTCTTTACAGAGCCAGGCGGTTCCTATAGGGATTTTGAATCTGATCGCTAAGCCCTAAAGTGGTCCCTCTATTGGCTCTTATAAACCTAAAAAAAAGCGTGGAGATAAAAAAGGGGTCTTTACAGATCCATTATTGAATCTGATCCCTAAGCCCCTAAAGTGGTCCCTATAGTGGCTCTTATAAACTTAAAATGACGTTTGGAGATCAAAAAAGGGGTCTTTACAGAGCCATTATTGAGGCGGTTCCTATAGGGATTTTGAATCTGATCCCTAAGCCCTAAAGTGGTCCCTCTAGTGACCCTTATAAACTTAAAATGACGTTTGGAGATCACTATTCTGCTTCCCTAGAGTGGTAACTTAGGCAAGCTTCAGTGGCCCTTACGAGGGAGGATAAAGTGGTTCCTACAAGGGGGGATAAGGTGGTCCCTAGAGGGGCTATCTCTAAGGGCCTCTCTAGGGACCATTCTGTCGTTCTAAAGAGCTTCACTCACCCAAAAACTGCCCCCACTGCATGACCATCGACGAAAGGGAAGTGTGAGGGGTGATGGTTTCAGTGGCGACCAATTGGCGGGATACCTTCAATAGATCCTTCTTCCTATCAAAAACTATTCATTCTTCACCTCCCGAACATTGGGCAAGGGAAATCCGTTGTACAATCGGCCCTTCTCCCAGCCAACCGGCGTGTTGAAGCCATTTTCATAAACGGGCGGCAGAAGTCGAGCCAGGGGCATCTGAGAGACGCCCCACATGTGGTGTCGCAGGTTGTTGCACTGGCCGTCGAAGGACCTTCAGAAAAAAAGTATGTAGTTTGATCTGAGGGGTGAGTTGAACAGGATAGTTTTGATCTCAAAAAAGGCTGAAAGGTGCCGTTAAAAAACTCACAATCACCTTCATCTTATTAGAGATTTAAAAAATCGAACTTTTTCTTGAAAAACACGATGTTTTGAATCGATTAATGCTCAATTTTCATACAGAAGTACAAAACACACCTTTTCTGGATCGAAAAAAATCCCATGAATTTTCGAACCATCTTTGATCCATTCTTGATTATTTTATAACCTCAAAGAACCAGAAATCTATTTATTGATTGGTACCTCCTTTTTCAAGCGAGATAAGTGATTTTTAGCCTACTGTACTAATTATTTAGAGCAAAAATTTCTGAGAGGAATCTGAAACCCAAAAAAGTAAGATTGAAGACCATGACACCTTTTTGAAAACCTATGGGCGAAAAGTTGATTTCGGCAAGACAAAAAAGTTTTTGCATTAATTCCTCTTTCGTTTACCTGTGATTATTGTGGGAGCAGGTATCGGAACAGTTCTTCTTGAACTATCTACTGCCTCAAATTAGACCCGATCCCAAAAAAAAGCTCAAAAAGACGGCTATTTTCAACTCTCAATCTTACTGTTTACTGAATGAACTAAATTGACTTTTTGCATTTTTCAGGTTCAATTTACTTGTTCTCATTGCACTTATAGGTGTCGTGACTGAAATTTTTCACTTATTTGAACTAGACCCGATCGCCAAAAAGTCAACAAAACAGCTTATTTGAACCTTCAATTCCCATTGCCTAATAGACGAAATCCCTCGATTTTTCGCATTTTTTTGCTGATTTTTTTTACCTGTACTCATTATGAAAACAGGTGTCGGTACATGGATACTGTAACTATCTACTAATCAGACCTAAACCGCAAAAAAAAAAACTCAATAAGATAGATTTTTCGAACTTCCAATAATCATTCCCTCTTACCAGGCTGACTCCCAAGTTTTTGCTTCTTCTTCTCTTTGCTTTACCTGTATTTAACCTGCTTGATTCACCTGTGCTTACTGTACTTATTGTAGAAGGTGCAGGGGTTTGATAAATATCTACTGATCAGACCTAAATCGCAGAAAAAAACTAAATAAGACGGATATTTCGACCTCTCAATCTTATTTTACTCTTACAAGAATGAATGATAAGTTTTTGAATGTTTTGTTCTTTGATTTTTCTGTATTCATCCTCCTTGATTCACCTGTATTTACTGTAGTCATTATAGGAGCTGGTGTCGGTGCACGAATTTTATATCTATCTACTGATTGAACCTAATCCCAAAAAGGTATCATAAAATGGCCATTTTGAACCCTCCATTCTACTTTCTACTGTCTTATAAATCCCCGGATTTTTCCCTTTTTTTCACCTTTGACTCACCTGCACTTATTTTGGAACAAGGTTTTGGTAGATAGATTTTTGAAATATGAGCCTAATCCCAAAAAAGGTATCGTAAAATGGCCATTTTGAACCCTCCATCCTACTTTCTACTGTTTTATAAATTCCCGATTTTCCCTTTTTTTTTCACCTTGATTTACCTGTATTTAACCTCCTTGATTCACCTGTACTTACTGTACTCCTTATAGAAGCAGGTGTCGGTACATGAATTTTCTAACTATCTATTGATTGAACCTAATCTCAAAAAGGTCCAATAAAATGGCCATTTTGATCTTTTCATACTGCTTTCTACTGTCTTATAAATCCCCCGAATTTCTCCTTTTTTTCACCTTTGATTTACCTGTACTCATCCTTTATTTTTTCTTTGACCTACCTGTACTTATTGTGGAAGCAGGTGTCGGTGCAGGGGTTCTTGTACTTCATACTGATTGGACCTAACCCCAAAAAAAAAGGTTCATTAAAATGGCCATTTTGAACCCTCCATCCTACTTTCTACTGTCTTATAAATTCCCGATTTTCCCTTTTTTTTTCACCTTGATTTACCTGTATTTAACCTCCTTGATTCACCTGTACTTACTGTACTCCTTATAGAAGCAGGTGTCGGTACATGAATTTTCTAACTATCTATTGATTGAACCTAATCTCAAAAAGGTCCAATAAAATGGCCATTTTGATCTTTTCATACTGCTTTCTACTGTCTTATAAATCCCCCGAATTTCTCCTTTTTTTCACCTTTGATTTACCTGTACTCATCCTTTATTTTTTCTTTGACCTACCTGTACTTATTGTGGAAGCAGGTGTCGGTGCAGGGGTTCTTGTACTTCATACTGATTGGACCTAACCCCAAAAAAAAAGGTTCATTAAAATGGCCATTTTGAACCCTCCATTCTACTTTCTACTGTCTTATAAATCCCCTTTTTTCACCTTTGACCTACCTGTACTTATTGTGGAAGCAGGTGTCGGTGCAGGGATTCTTGAACTGTCCGCTGGCGCAGCCGGACAAGCCCATCAAGGTCTGCATGTGGGTGACGTGGAGGAGCGCCTCGTAGGAGACGTTCTTCGGGTGGAGTTCGTTGACGTTCAACGTCATGCCCTTCTCGACGTGCTCGTGGACGAGTCGGACCGATTCCTCGTAGATTTCCCTGGCCTTGCTCAGTTCAACAGCCTGAAAAGGTGGGAAGGGTGCTCGAAACTGTCCAAATGGAGCACCTGAGCAGGTACAGTGAATCGGAAAAGCCGCTTCAGGTCGTTGGTATTGTTAACGCGGTCCTGCGAAAGTTGAGTTCTAGTTTTGGCGACGGCTTTCTCCACGTTTTCCCTGGCTTTTTGGGCGATTCTGTGGAGAAGGGCCTCGTCGATCACGGGCTTCTGGAGTTAGGTTGTTTCAGGAAAAGGGTTTTGATGTTTAGAAGATAAATGGACAACCGGTAATGCTTTTCTAAATTCTTCACGATTTGAATCGTTCCGACGACTTTCCAGGGATCTTTGAAAGGCACCTTCAGCAGTTTTCAAAATTATTTTGATGATTCTCAGCTTACCTAACTGAAAACTGTCAAAAATATCAGTCTATACATTTTTTTAGGAGCCCCTCAAACTTCAAAATTACCTAAAAAGTCTCTCTAGGGTCCCTTAAGGCCTAAAACAACATAAAAATTCTCTAAAGTCTCAAAAGAAATTTAGAAGTCACTCTAGGGATTCCTCAAACTTTGAAACTACCTAAAAAGTCCCTAGGAGTCTCTTAAGGCCAAAAACAACCTTAAAAAGACCCTTAAGAAGTCTCTGAAGTCTCGAAACAACCTAAGAAGTCACTCTGGGGGTCTCTCCAACCTTAAAACTACCTAAAAAGTCCATTAAAAAGTCTCTCAAGTCTCGAAAAAACTAAGAAGTCTCTAGAGGTCCCTCGAGGCTCAAAAATACCAGAAAAGTCTTTTGAGAAGTCTCTAAAGTTTCAGAACAAACTAAAAAAGTCTCTTTAAAAGTTTTCAAGCTTCAAAATCACCTAAAAGTCTCTTAAAAGGTTTTTAAAATCTCAAGACAAACTAAGAAGTTTTCCTGGAAATGATATTACCTAAAAGTCTTTTAAAAAATCTCCAAGGCCTCCTAAAAACCTAAGAAGTCTTAATGAGTCCCTCGAGGCTTGAAACTACCTAAAAAGTTCCTTAAGAGGTCTCCAAAGTCTCGAAACAGCCTAAGAAGTCTCAAGGGTTCCTCAAACTTCAAAATTACCTAAAAAGTCTCTAAAACCTCAAGAGATACTAAGAAGTCACTCTAGGAGTCCCTCACACCACAAAACTAAAAGAAGAAAGAAAAGTCTCTAAGTCCTGAAAAAATTTCTGGTAAAAAAAACCCAAAAACTTAAAACTACTTATAGAGTCTCTTGAGAAGACTCTGAAGTCTTGAAACAACCAAAGAAGTCTCACTAAAAATCCCTTAAGTCTCAAAAAACTCTAAAAAGTCCGTCTAAGGGTCCCTAAAGTCTTGAAACTCCCTAAAAAAGCCTCCAAAGTCTCAAAATGAACTTGAAAGTCTCTAGAAGTCCCTCAAGGCTTAATAATACCTACAAGGCTCTTGAGAAGTCTACAAAGTCTCGAAAAAATTAAGAAGTCTCTTTAGGGGTCCCCACGTCTCAAAACTACCTAAAGAGTCCCTTAAGAAGTCTCCAAAGTCTCGAAACAACATTAAAACCACCCAAAAAGTCACTAACATTGTCCTTATTCCCTCCAATGACGGTCAATTTCGCTTCGGCGGTCATAGCTCCGACCGGATTTCCAGCCATACAAGAATAAACGCCTTCGTCCGCTTTTTCCACGTTATTGATCGTCAGTTCGGATTCATCGTCTGACACCTTCAAAATTCCTTGATTAATCATCAAAAATCAGTCAGAAAATGACCATGACTCGTCCTTTAATATGAGCAATTATCGATCCGTCAAACGACCAGGTGTAGCCGGGAGTTGGCGTTCCACGCGCCTTGCAGACGAACTTTGCCTGAAAATCGAAGAAAATGGCAAAAATCTAATGACGAGGGGAGGAATTGAACTTATGACTTCAAAAACAAGGTCTTTACGGCAAAGAAGGTCATCTGAATTTTCAAAACTGAGGCTTTGGGAAATGGCAAAAAAATCTACTGCACTGAGGATCCGAACTTGCGACCCTCTGCCTCTAGATCTAGAGCACTACCAGTTGAGCCATTGGCGTAACTTCATTGAAATTGAACGGATAAAGGCAAAAATCATCAACTACTTGAAGGGTTCGAACTTTTGACCATTTTAGCATGATTTTTGAGGTTTACAATTGAGCCATGTACACATCAAACTTCAGAGAATGCCTTGAAAAAAAGGCAAAAAAGAATCTACTGCTCTTAGGATCCGAACTTGCAACTCTCTGCCTATGGACCATTCTAGCATGATTTTTAAGCTATACCAATCGAGCCATGTACACATCTAACTTTAGAAAGCCTAGATTTCAGTAAATCACTAATCGAAAAAAAGCAAAAATCTATCTGCTGCTATCAGGATCAGAACTTGCAACCCTCTGCCTTTGGCTCTAGAGCACTACCAGTTGAGCCATGAACGTAACTTCATTGAAATTGAAAGGATAATGGCAAAAATCACCAATTAATCAAAGGATTCGAACTTTTGACCATTTTAGCATGATTTTTAAGCTCTACCAATTGAGCCATGTACACATTTTACTTTAGAAAGTCCATAAATCAGTGAATCACAACTTGAAAAAAAGGCAAAAATCTATCTGCTGCTATCAGGATCAGAACTTGCAACCCTCTGCCTTTGGCTCTAGAGCACTACCAGTTGAGCCATGAACATCTCTTCTAATCTTGCGAAAACAAATACAGCAGAACTTGCACCAGACATTAAAAAAGGCAAAAAATCAACTCCCAACAGGGATCGAACCAAAAACCCCCAATGTGCCAGCCTATCTCTTCCCCAACTGAGCCAAACAACCGACCTGTCCTCCAACATGGACGGTCTGCGAGCGCGGATCATCGTAGATGTTGGGTGGTATGCTGGAAGTTTTTTTTTAAAGGTAAATAATCAAAAAATTACCTGGTGATTAGTTCAATGACCGCCGTGTGTTCCACCCGACCGAGAGGATTGGAAGCCGCACAGGTGTACCTGTAATTAATCAATAATCACCTGATTAATCAGGTAATTTACCTTCCAACATCAGATTCCAAGAAAGGATAAATTCTGAGCACATTATTGGCCAGACTCATTTCGTGTTTCCGATTTGAGGTGAGACGCTGAAAATCGGGTTCAAGTGATCACTTGAGGGCTTATAAATTTAGTGTCCTCTTAAGTGGCTTCTTCTGGTGCTCTGGAACCCTCTAGGGGTCACTTAAGTCTTCTTCAATCTCGACCAAGTTCTTCCATTAAGGGCAACTAAAGTGAAAAAACCTAACCCCTTAAGTGACTACTTGCAGCTCTTCTACTGTCACACGAATTTTCAATAAAGAACTATTTTATACAGATTTTCAAGAGATTTTTCGAGTGATCCCTTGAGTGCTTATAAAGTTAGTGCCCCCTTAAGTGGCTTCTTTTTATCATATTTATGGTGCTCTGGAACCCTATAGGGGTCACTTAAGTCTTCTTGATTCTCGACCGATCTACTTCCACTCAGAGGCTACTAAAATGAAAAGCCTAACCCCTTAAGTGACTACTTGCAGCTCTTCTACTGCCATACGAATTTTCAATAAAGAACTATTTTATACAGACTTCCAAGTGATTCCTCTAAAACTGTCTAAAGCCACTAAAGTGATCACTATATCACTAATTACTTACCTGTCCATTATAATACCAGGTGATGGCCGGTTTCGGAGATCCCATCACTTCACAGTTGAGCTTCACTTCTGATCCTTCTCTGAAACAAGAAAAAAATATGTCAGTGGCCACTTTAGGGTTTTGACGGTCTAGTGGCCACTATAGTGGTCTCATAAGCGGCCCCTTAAGTGAATAAAACTCAGTGGCTGCTTTGGAAGCCCAGCTGGTACTACTAGACCACTGGAAACTACTATAGTGGCCACTAAGACGAAATAGTGGCTTCTATAGAGATATTTTTGGTGGCCACTTTAGTGTCCTCTCCTTGAGGAACCTCTTAAGTGGTCACTAGAGAAAAAAAAACCTATAAGAATTATCCTTGGGCTTGTAGGTGAAGCTGGGCGGCTCTTGTCTCAAATATCTCGTTTTTCGAACCTTCCTGAAAATTTTAGCTTGTCCTAAAAAATATTCAAGAAAAAATATTCATTTGAAGACTTTTTCAAAGCTTTATATGCCTGAAAAAAATGAATTTCATGCTTAAAAACCAGAAAACTTTGGAAAAATATGTCAAAATAGCAAATAAATTAAATGAAGCTCTTGAAAATGGCCTTATAAATCTTAAAAATAAACATAAAAACCTTGAATGAATGATAAAAGCATAGTCGATGGCACAGGAAATCAAAGAAATCTTCTCTTTTTCATCGACTATCAAGTCCCCATCATCGTGAATCGAAAAGTCCTCCAATTCCGAGTACGGCAGTTCAATATTTCTGTAATTTTCAATCTTTAATCTTTTTTTCCCGCGACATCTAGCGTGAATAATTGAAAAACAAAATATAAAACGGACATGTCTCGAAAATAAAAATTACAAAGTTTCGAATTTATTGAATTGATTCACAAGAAAGTTGGTTCTATACAAAAATACGTTTAGAAAAGTATTTTCAAACCGATATATTGAAAGGAAATCAAATAATGACTTTAATAATCTCATAAGAAAAAATGTGAAAAAAAAAATTTAAAATTTTTCGAAATTCTCGAGAGTAAAATGCACGGAGTTGCAGAATCACGTAACTTTGCACACTTACGCGCAAGTTAAATTTTTTTCTTAAAATTTCTATTTTTTTTTTTTTATTTTTTTAAATGTATTTTTCTAATTTTTTTAAAGATTCTGCTCATAATTTTTACTTCTTTAGAAGCTCTTGATGTCTAATTTTGTCCAAAAAAAGATTTTCGGGAAATTTCAAGCTTTGAAATCCGTTATATCTAAATTTTCTATGTTTAAAAAAATGATATTTATTAATTTTTCAGTGCAATTTTGCGTTTTTTTGAATCCGTTTTTTATTCAAAAACAACAATTTTTCAGGATTATCGCGTCCAACTCACCTGTAAAGCCAAACGGGTCGACGATAAGAAAGTGGCTGCTCGGGACACTTCAGTCGTTGCTTGGGACTTGAGTCCGAGTTGTCAATCTGTACTTCGGGTTGTATACAATAGCCGTCGTTGACCTTAAATACGTATGAAATCATTTTATTTTCGAAAAAAACTGAACCTCATGAACCGGAACGCCCCGAAGCTGCTCCGGGTTCATACAAATCGCTTCCTTCGATTCCGGTTCCAGTTTTTGGATCAGGCTGCTCAGTTTGTTGATTCTAAACACTATGGGTTATCAAATCACCATTTTACTTTGAAAAAAATTTTAAAATTGAACAATTTCAATCCAAAAAAGCGTCCGCTATCGCTATTTCTTTATTAAAATCAGTAAAAAAATAATTTCCACCTGAATTTTTTCATTTTTAATCAATTTTATTTTTGTTTGAAATCTTAAAATGATCAATTCAGCTCTAAAATGCCTTAGGGAATGTAGGCTGTCCTATAGGGACCACTTCACCTCCCCTGTAGGGGCCACTTGAGTCTGAACAAAAATCAAAGGCCCCTATAGTGGCCCCTTGAGTATAAGCGGCAGACTTTAAACCCCTATAGGGACCACTCTGACCTTTCCCGGTCATTTTCCCACCTGCAATCGCAATTCCAGGGATTCCCATGGATCCTCAGAAGCGAAATATTCTTCAGCTCATCAAAAGTCGTCGTCGGGATCGATTGAATGTGGTTATGGGCCAGGTCGAGTTGAACCAACGACCGGAGCGACTTCAACGCCTCAAAATTCCTCATGTTAGCTCAAAATGTCTCATTCTAGAGTGAAAACCTGCGCTTCGATCCGCTCAATGCGATTGTTGCGAAGATCCAAGGAGACCAAGTTTGATGGAACGATTGATGACGTCATCGGTGGAAGGAATTTCAGGCGATTGTTGGTGAGCGAAAGCCGTTTCAGGTCGGGCAGTGCGTCGAGGATATTCTAAAGTTTCAAAAAAATGTGTATTCCTTTAAAGTGCGAACAGTTTCAAACAGTTATACTCGTTCTTTCGAGATTCTGTTTTTTTCTGCACCCTCCACGTCTCTAGGCGACGCTCTCATGTTGACATGCTATTTTCACGTTTCTCTGACCTCGCCGGTGAGGGAACAGAGAGACGCAGACACGCAAAAAATGTCAAATCGCGCCGGACTATAACTTTCCGAAAAAGGGTTAGCTTGAACTAAAAAATTACCAAAAACGGCCAAATTTGAAATTTTGAGTAAAAATAAATTTCTACGCCATTTCTGCATTATCTGGGAATGTTTCTAGTGGCCACTTTAGGGTTTTGACGTTCTAGTGGCCACTTTAGGGTTTTGACATTCTAGCGGCAACTTCAGGGTTTTGACGTTGTAGGGGCCACTTTAGGGTTTTGAAATTCTAGTGGCCACTTTAGGGTTTTGACGTTCTAGGGGCCTCTTTGGGGGTTTTGACGTTCTAGTGGCCACTTTAGGGTTTTGACGTTCTAGGGGCCACTTTAGGGTTTTGAGATTCTAGTGGCCACTTTAGGGTTTTGACGTTCTAGGGGCCACTTTAGGGTTTTGAAATTCTAGTGGCCACTTTAGGGTTTTGACGTTCTAGGGGCCACTTTAGGGTTTTGAAATTCTAGTGGCCACTATAGTAGTCGGATTAGTGGTCCCTTAAGTGGCCAAAGTTTAGTAGCCCCTTTAGGAGTCTAAGTGGGACTTTTAGACCAAAAAAACTACTATAGTGGCCACTCTAGCGTCCACTCCTTGAGGAACCTCTTAAGTGGCCACTGAAGTTATTCCCAGGCAAAAAAAAATGTCCAAACCTCCTCGATCCTGGAAATCCGATTGTGGGATAGAATCAACGTGTGGAGGTTTTTCAAGCCTTCAACATCCGTTTTCCTCAAATTTTTCAGGGGATTCCAGCGGAAAATCAAAGTTTTGGCATTGTCTGGAAGCTCCGTGGGTAGATGGGTGAGCCCTAAATAAATTATATAATTTGGAAGATTTCAAAGATTTTTCCACCTGATTTAGAACAATCGACGGTTTCTTCGGAACATTTGCATTTCCCGGGACAAACGGAGGCCCAAGCGATCTGGCCCAAGCACGTCAGTAACACGAACAGTCGCATTACCTCAAAAATGAGATAATTGGTTTTCCAATACTTCAAATATTTTTCAAAAAAAGGGTTTTTTTCAGAAGCAGAAAGGGCATAGGTATCATATAAAATGTCCGAAAAACGGGTTTTTTCCAGGAAAAAAGGAATAAATAAAATATATCCAATCTGAAAGAACCTTTGGGAGTATGGAAAAATAAATTTCGGGCGGTTTACAGCCCATCGGAAAGGCGAAAGTGTAATTTTTCAAAGGCCAGATGTTTCAGAAATTGATGGAAGACGTTGGATTGTTGAAGGTTTATGGGATAAATTGGCAGGAAAAATATTGATTTAGATAATTTTATAGTTCAAAATTTGAAAAATTGAGAATAGTTTCTTTTCCAAGCAAAAAAAAAAATCGATTTGAAATTTCTAGCTTCAGAAAAAAAATCTTCTAGAGAGGTAACTTCAACGGGAAATAACTATTGTGAACATGGTGACCAAAAAACCAACTTTTCAAACACAAAAAAGAAACCGTATCTCGAGAATTTCTACAGTAACCCGAGATGATATGTACTGAAAAAATTTTTAAAATTCCATAACCTATCGATTGATATATCACTTGCTTAGAAAAAAACTCGTTAAAGCTTAGATACGCAGGCATACCGTAACCCGGCTACAGTAAGAGGGAATGGCTCAAAAAGTTGTGTCCGTAATCCAGACCTAGTTGAAATTTCATCAAAATCAAAAAAAAAATTTTTTCCGTACCTTTGATTTTAAGAATTACATAGACGCCGGAAATGAAAAATTCGCAAAAAATCAGCGAATTTTCTCATTTCGACGCACTTATTTGCGACTAGGCTGATAAGAAATCAATGGGAAACCTTATTTTGAACGGCGAGGGTACGGGAGAAAACGAAAAAAGCGATTCAGAAGGTGCGGCGATTCGACCGCACTGTACACTATTGGGGTGGAAGAAACACCGGTTCCGCAATGATATTTTCATTTTTTTTTTTGCCTTTTCCATCCATCAATAGAGGCTGTCCATTGTTGCAAAATGGAAAGAGTGGGAAAAAAGGGCCGTCTGACCATCTGCGCTCCGTGGGAATTTCAAGGTTAGGCGGATGTTCTCGAGAAGTTGATCAAATTTGACAATTGGTAATCGCACTGATGTTCTTAGTTTCAGAAGAAGAGATCCTAGAGGAGAAAATGATAAGTTGAATCAGCAAGTTTGAAACTGCGCCCGCCTTGAAACGACTTGCGGCGGGCAAATTTTCTTGAGAAATCGACAAATTTGAAACTGCACCCGACTTGAAACGACTTGCAGGTTAACGTTTTCAAAAATTTGTTCAAATTTGGCATTTGGTAATAGCGTAGAAGTTCTGATTCTCATATGGAAAGTTCTCGGAATGGATAGGAGAAAATTTGCATTTTTAATTTGCACCCGACTCAAAACGACTTGCGCAAAGATGCTTTCTAAAAGTTGGTCAAATTTGACATTTTCTTATCGCGTAAAAGTTCTGATTTTCAAAAGTAGAGTTCTCGAAAATGATAAGAGAAAATCGGCAAACTCAAGCTGCAGCCGACCCAAAACGACTTGCGGAAAGATGCTTATAAAAGTTGATCAAATTCAATTGCGTAAAAGTTTTGAACTTCGGAATATGAGACCCAAAAATGACAAGAGGAAATCAACAATTTTTAACTGCACCCGACTTGAAACGACTTGCGCAAGGATGTTCTTGATAAATTGATGAAGTTTGACGTTTGTTAATCGCGTAGAGGTGGCTCTGACTTTCAGAAGAAAAGTTCTCGAATTCGATAGGAGAAAATTGGCATTTTTAATTTGCACCCGACTCAAAACGACTTGCGCAAAGATGTTCTTAAAGTTGGTCAAACTTGACGTTTTTTAATCGCGTAGAGGAACTGATTTTCAACACGAGAATTCTAAAAGAGGAGAAAAAGATCTATAGCTCAAGTACGGAATAGAACCAATATTTTTCCAAATAATATTTGAAAAGCTCAAATCAAAATCTTTAGAAAACGAACAGAAGGCGTCCGAGAAAAACGAGTCGAAATGCTTAATTGAATTGTTGGCCGGCCAAAAATGCGGTTTGGAATGACCGCCGCCCATTTTTCTCCTTTTTTCATGGTCAGAGGCCTTTTTTAGTGAAGGAAAACGGAGCTTTTTGGGAGCTTCAGAGTGGTCCCTATAGGGACAATTTAAGGGGTTCTTGGAGGGTCTCCTTTATAAACACCTATAGGGGCCACTTAGGCTTGAAAAAGTGGTCCTTTAAGGGACATGCTAGTGGACAATTGTTATGAACTCAAGGCGGAGAAGCATTTCCATGGGAAAAACGGAATAAATGAAGTTGAAAGACCCCTAGAGGGACCACTAGAGCTTTAGGGGATGTGAGGTCAGACCCTGAACCCTATAGGGACCACCTTCATCTCACCCCTATAGGGACCACTTTTTCGACGCCCACAGGGGTTGTTTTCTTCCCTAACCCCTACAGGGACCGCTCTAGAATTCCCAAGTTTATTCGATAAAATAAAGAACTCTGGGATACGTCTCGTAGAGAAAACGAGGCAGGAAATTGAGCAAACCTCTCAATTTCAGGAAATCCCCTCTGCAAATTATCCTTTCCCAAAAATATGAGCTTTTTCAATGATCCTTGGGACCTTTTCTGAGTGAATTACTCGAAAAACCACAGCCAAAAAAGGAAAAAAAAGAAACTTCAGAAGAAACAAGGAAAAAGCTGGAAAAAAGGACTGCAGATTAGTGTTTCCAAACAGAGAAGCACTCAAGAAAAGTGAGGAAGGAGACGGATAATGGAACCCTCGAACAAAAAAAAATGGGAGAAAAAGATTTAGCCTGGAACTTCATGTGAAGGTCTTGCTAGCGACAAAAAAAGCTTGGAAAAAAATTGAGAAGTGCCAAAGAGAAAAAAATGAACTATTTCAAGTTTTCCACTAATCGAATATTTCGTGACCAAGGAGTCGTGAACTTTTCAGATTATTTTTAATATTATAACTCATTTTTAAAAATGCCTTGGAGCTTCATAATGTTCCCTATAGGGCAATCTCAGGGCCCCTTAAGGTTCCCCTTTAAGAACCACTTTACCTCCTCTGCAGGGGCCACTGAAGCTTGCGAAAGTGGCCCCTCAAAGGAGCATATAGTCGACGTCATCGTTTCAGGTCTTCTGATGAAATGAAGCTACAATCTCAACTTCTTGGAAAACTGATAACAGATTTGGAATCAGCGGAAAATTCTGAACAAGCTAGTTCCTTTACTTCGGATTTATCTATTGAAATGGAGAATTTTGTACGGTGACTTCACATTTTCAGGTCTTCTGATGAAATGAAGCTACAATCTCAACTTCTTGGAAAACTGATAACAGATTTGGAATCAGGGAAAAAATCTGAACAAGCTAGACCCTTACTTCGGATTTATCGATTGAAACAGAGAAATTTGTACGGTGACGTCACATTTTTTTGGTTTCAGATGAAATTGAGCTCGACTTCTGAAAAAATTGACATTCTGGACAGATTTGGTATTCATATCAATTAGCATAGGCAATGTCGGAAGGATTCTTTAGGACCCCCTTGAGCTTCCGTTATGGATCAAAAAGTTTCCATCCGGGGGCAACATTTTCCATTTTACTGCCTTTTTCCGTCCTTTCATCGACCTATATCCTCCCTTTTTGGACCCTTTTGAGAAAACAATCACTTCGAACACGGCAACAGAAAAATTGCGTTTTTACAAAAGTCAAATCTATTCGTCTCATGACCCATTGAACATGCGCCTTTAATGCTCCTTGTCGTTCACGCTTGGTTCCCATGACGTCACAGGAGTACGGTGGAGGTTTTGACTCCGCCCTCTTCGTTTTTTGGTTTCGCATTTTCTTCCACTAACAAAACTGCCGTGAAATGTCATTCCACAGTAACCCCCAATGCATCAAAACACTTATTCATCAAAATCAAAGAATATTTTGTGGAAGTCGCAGTCGGAAATCGGAACGCAGGTATTATTGTCTCTTCCTGTTCTCGCATAGCCAGGACGACAGCGGCAGTTGAAAAAGAAGCATTTCGAACAATTTTTCTGCAAGTAACAGCTTGATTAGTTGTGAAAAGGCGCAAACCGGGGTGAGTCGGCCGCAGATTGCTTCGTTGGGTCCACATTTCGGGAAGTATACAGAAGAAACTGGGTTAAAGTTAAAAAAGGGAAGTTTTTATTGTAAACCTGAGGAAATTGCGAAAGAAAGAATAAGAATGTATAGTAACTTCATGGAAACCGTAATATGATATAGTTTCTGCCTTTCAAGACCCTTTATAAGGAAAAACGGATAATTTCTCATGGTTTATTTTTCAATTTCCCTAATCTTGGAATGGGAACCATTGAAAAGAGAAAGAAAAACTCAAACTTTGTCAGCTATAGTTTCATGAACGCTATCCGAAAATCTAAAAAAAACCATTTTGGATAAAATTGAGCGACCCCCATAGGGACCCTTTGAGCTTTGGGGTCTAAGGGTTCAGGCTCAAAACCCCTAAAGGTTTTACCTTGTATCTATCCCTATAGGGCCCATTTTTTCGTTCTCTATAGCCTAGGGGCTGTTTTCCCTCTAATCCCTATAGGTACCATTCTGAAATTCCTAGTACGAGTTTTTTTGATTTATGGCTCTTAAAGTTGACATTTCTTTACAAAAGTACAAATAAGCCAAGCCGCTATCTGTAATAAAGCACGTATAGATATAGTCCGTTAACATTTTGAATGTCAAGTAGGATGACGTCATTCGAAAATGCTCTGTGGATGGTTCGCTCTCTGATTGGTTTATCGCGCCATTAGGGGCGGAGCTTGAGCGATGACTTGACATTCAAAGTCTGAAAAAATTATAAAAGGCTAGTTGTTGTGCTTCTGAGAAAAATTCATGAAGATGCAAGTGGTTTATTAATCATTAATTACAGGGTGGAAATGTACAAGTGGGGTTCTTTACAAGGGGACTGGCTGAGGTCGGAGAGTCGGGCTGATGTGGGAAGTAGGTGTGCAGCGAGGCTCACTGCCAGGGCAGGGAGGACGGATACATTGGAGAGGGGATCGACACGTCCAGCCACGGGGACACTTTTGGCCATTGCAGAAGACAGAACCGTCGTCAATGATGGCGCGCTTCTTGCGACCTGGAAGGTCGTCTTTTTGTTTCTAGGAAGCTTTTCTTATCAACCGGTTGAACTATTTAGGCTGGAGTACTTTTTCCATTCAAAAATTCAACCAGATCCTCCTTGAATTATTTTAAACTAACCAGAACACTGGCCGGCCGGGACACATTGATTTTCGGAGTTCCTCTGGAATCCGGCCATGCACATGCATTTGTTCAGGTTGCACTGGTACGTGCAGATTTGCTATCAACATCAATTATCAAGGATTCTGAAGCTTCAGGTCTTACTCCGACGAGAGGAAGGCCGCAACGAGGCTCGCAGGTCGAACCACAGGTCTTGAATTCTTCGTTAGGACCGCAGGCGGGGGCTTGGCGGCGTCCACGGACTGAAACAAATTGGAGGAATTCAGAAATCGAGGAACGTTTCAACTTACCAATGTCGGGCACAATAGGAGACTCCGAGGTGTTTCCTGTTTCTGGAAGCTGAACTCGACGACATTCTGAACGACGGACGCAAGTTTTGTTGTCCGAATCGCGGACGAATCCTTCCTCACATTGACACACGTTGTTAACGCAAACAGCGGGGCATGCTCTCTGAAACCTTTTTTTCAACTTTCACATCAGAAGTTTGACAAACCGGGCGTCGATCATTGCAATTTGGCTCACAAGCGGATCCACAAGTCTTGAAAACTTCATTCTCCCCGCATCTTTGAGGCTTCATCAGCTTAATCGCTGAAAGCCCACCGTCAATTATTCAATTTAAAAAATCAAAATCAAATACCTTGAGAAGTAGCGACGAAGGTTAAAAGAAGAATAATAACGAGTATTTTAGCCTGAAATCAAGCTTACGCAATAATTTGGATTTTAAGGACCCACCATATTCGATTTAGAAGGAGAATCCCAAAACCGGATGATTTCAAATTGATCAGAGCGGCCTTTTATACAAGGTTGCAGACTTTTGTGTGCAAATAAACAGTTACAAAACGTGTGAATGTTTTCCGGTTTTGAATAGGAACGGCTCTATTTATCGAATTTGGATCGATGTTTGGATGCGAAAAAGTTATTGGATTCAACGGAAAAAGATATTTTTGTGATGAATGACGTGTCTGGCACATTTTTTGGATGGGGAATCCCTAGTCGGGACGTATACTTCGATTCCCAAAAATGACTCATCCGAAATCAATTTTGTGCGATCTTTTTGTCAATATGAAGATTTTTACCGAATGAGAAATTACGTATATACGGATAAAATTATCACTCTTTTTTTTTCAATAGAGATAAAAATGGGATGCATTTTCAACAGAATACTAATCATTTAAAATTATTCAATATTTCACGACCAAAGATATCGTTATCTTTTATCATGGGAGTCGATTCATAAAAATTTTTACGATCTGAATTATTAACGGAACTTCTCATTTTGAAGCGATCATACCGCCTAAGAAAAACGGCGGCTTCATCGGGCTTTTTTTTTCATTCCTTTCAAACTTGCTCTTATCAGGTCCGACTCATGACGCTGTTCCTATTCTTTGCCTTTTTCGTGGCTTCTCAAGCCGTTTCTCTGCTTACTTTTACCTTGATACTTAAATGGTGCGTCTACGCTGATGGTCTTCTTACTAGGGTCCAGTTTTCCCCGTTTCAGTGCGAGACACACGTCCCCATGAGTCCCGATCTCTGACGACGGTCATCCAATGACCTCCATGGAGTCTGATGTTCTTCTGCGTGCCCATCGGGTGCGCCTCGTTTTTTTTTGGGAATCCAAGTCGTTACTCTTGTGCTCCAAAGGTCGTCTGTCTTCTGATGACGTCGATCTTTGGCAGGGCTTCAATATCCCTGATTTGCGATGTTTGTCGGAGGTCTGTGCTTCGCTGGTTTCGGTCCCATTGTTGGTAGCGGGTGGTGCCGAGAAGAGCTCTTCCCATTTGTCGTCGCTTGATGAAAATCAAAAGTTTGGGATAAACGGGGCAAAGAGGCCTGCGAATCGTTGTGAGACTTTATTGGAGTAATTCTCACGATTTTTTGAATCGCAGGTTGAGAAAAACGGTAGTTCTATTCGCAGTGAGCTGTGAACGAACATCTATTATTTTCACACCTGTAACAAAAGTTGCAGTGCACCCCGCGTCGAGCTCTCGGTGCACCCCACAGTTTGAGCAGAGGTGCACCGAGATTTCCGACCGGTTGCCACAAGGGTGCAAGCCATCCAGGCTGGTGTGCACCAAAAACATCAATGAAAAGTTCACTTTTTACGGGGCTCACTGGGGGGTACAACCTCATTTCCGCTAAAAGCCCTAGGGGTGCACGTCATCCAGGTCCAACGCGGGGTGCACCGAAGCATTATCGAAAGGTTCACTTTTTTGGGGCTCACTTTGGGGTACAGTACACCCTCATTTTCATTAGAGGCCTTTCTCGGTTGATTTCGAACGCATATTAGTCTGCAACTGCGTTTCGAATCCTCCATAAATAAAACAACCACTTTGTCTTTGCAAAAAGTTGACTTACAGAAAGCCCGCGATGAAATTGAGTGCATTTCTAGATTCTCGAGAGACAAGGAGTCGAATCTATGCGTACCCCACGACCAATGTAAACCTAGCGAAAAGTGGACTAACTTTGGAGTCAGAAGACGGAATAAAATTATGATGTGTTTTTCGTGGAAGTTAAAGTTTCTTAATCTTCAAGTACGACTCGAACCACTGAACATGAATATGCAATAATTTATTGATACAATAAATACAGTGGTGTGAGGTCAGTTGATAAGTTTTTTACATGGGCTTGCAGCGGTAGTTCGACAGGCACATGAAGCCTCTGGGACAAGGTTCAGTCTCGCAAGTTGGAAGAGAACGAGCCGCACGAGCTGAAACAAAACGAGTTTTCTTTAAGTAATTATCGTGCTGTAAAGCGGAAATTATCAATAATGTTCCGTTAAAAGTTCTGAGTGATATGATGGATTTTAAAATCACCTGATGCGGCTGAGCACTGGCCGGCTGGGACACATTGATTTTCGGAGTTTCTCTGGAATCCGGTCATGCACATGCACTTGTTCAGGTTGCATTGGTACGTGCAGATTTGCTGAAATCAACAATTATCAGGGCTTCTGAAGCTTCAGATCTAACTCCGACGAGAGGAAGGCTACAGCGAGGCTCGCAGGTCGAGCCGCAGGTCTTGAACTCTTCGTTAGGACCGCAGACGGGGGCTTGGCGACGCCCACGGACTGAACAATTGGGAAGAATTCAGAAATCGAAGAACTTTCTAACTCACCAATGTCGGGCACAATCGGAGACTCCGAGGTGTTTCCTGTTCCTGGAAGCAGAACTCGACGGCATTCCGAACGAAGGACGCAAGTTTTGTTGTCCGAATCGCGGACGAAGCCTTCCTCACATTGACACACGTTTGGAACACAATTTTTGGTACAGGGTCTCTGAAACTGAATTCTCAACTTTCACATCAGAAGTTTTACAAACCGGGCGCCGATCATTGCAATTCGGCTCACAAGCGGACCCACAAGTCTTGAAAACTTCATTCTCTCCGCATCTTTGAGGCTTCATCAGCTTAATCGCTGAAAGTCCACCGTCAATTATTCAATTTAAAAAATCAAAATCAAATACCTTGAGAGGCAACAACGACGGTTGAAAGAACGATGAGAACGAGTAATTTAGCCTGAAATCAAACTTACGAAATAATTAAGAATTCTGAGAACCCACCATATTCGATAAAGAAGGAGAATCCCAAAACCGGATGGTTTCAAATTGATCCGAGCCGCCTTTTATACAAGGCTGCAGACTTTTGTGAGCAAATAAACAGTTACAAAACGTGTAAATGTTTTCCGGTTTTTGAATGGGAACGGCTATATCTATTGAACTCGGAGTGATCATTGGTGATTGGAAATCCAAAATATTCTGGATTCCATAGAAGGGGATATCCCTTATAGTATATGACGCGTAATATTTTGCTTGCTCTTTTATGTCGTGTTTTGAATGACATCGAAATTTCGAATTATCACTTCGAAAACAGCTTAAAGTAGCCACAGATCAATTGTTTTCCAAATGTTTTTCTTGAGGACGCTCTTAGGTGTCTCTTGGAACTTAAAAGATTGTTTTTCTTTAATATTTTATCTTGGTGCTAATAGAATAGGCTTTCACAATGCTCCAGAATGAACATGAATGTAGTTATCAACGGCATGTAATAATTTTTTCAGACCATCTTCATTCCGTGTAAAGTCTTGACTCGAAGTGGCCGCTCTCATTGCTTGCGCCTAGAGCAAGGTTTCCGGGCTCCATCACAAGATCAGCTACATTCTGAGCTTGTGACGGAGCAACTGGATGGATTACGCACAGAAGAACGAGGCGGAGGACCGTAAGATCATGTCCAGCAACATTCTGAGCTCGTCAAGGCGCAATTGGATGGACTAGAAGAACGAGTAGAAAGACCCTAAGATCATCTGTAGCACGACATCAGCTGCACTCTGAGCGTCACGGCGCAACTGGATGGACTACGCTTAGAAGAACGAAGCGAAGAGCCGTAAGATCTGCTCCAGCGACATAAGCAACATTTTGAGCTCGTCATGACGCAACTGGATGAACTAGAAAAACGAGGCGAAGAACCGTAACACCACTCTTTCAACTTGATCAACTACACGTTTGAGCTTCTGGTTCGCCAAAGGCAGTTTTTTATTATTGCTTTGAAAGTTTTTGTTCAACGCCTAGTCGATTACCTTAAACTAAAACAACAAAATAAATGTATTGATTGATTGCCCCGATTGTTTTGAAGAACGAGAAAAATCGATTTATGAATTTCCTTCCAGTTTGAAGCCCTTCTTTCAAGCTTCTTCTCAAAATTCTAAGTATGTCATTGGAATCAAACATAGGAAATTTCGTAAAGGCCCTCCGAGTGTCCATTAAGGCTGCTAGAAGGCTCCTTAGAAATGCTCCTTTCAGGGAGACAAAGGTTCCTTTTTTGCTGCCTTTTTGCGCCATTTCATCGGCTTTTGTCCACCATTTCTGCTGTCTCTCCCTTTTCCACCATTTCTGGAGTCTTTAGAATTTTAGAAAAATGGAAGGCTCGATAAAGAGACCCTTTTTGCGGCTTTTTTGCGGCCTTTAAGGTGCCTTTTTCGAGCCGCTCCCTTTTAGCGGCCCTTATCCACCATTCCGACTTCACCAGAGCGGATAGATTTAGCCCCTTTGTGATAAATTCAACGTCCAGAACTACTAAAATCTTCAAATTGGCTGAAAATTTACGTTTTTTTTTGCGTCCTTCGGCTAAAACTGTATAACTTCAAATAAGCACATTCAAAAGTTTATTGACACGCATTTACATTTAATTCTGAGGGGTTGAAGTTTCAGACGATTAGATTGGTTTGCATCGTTTGTTGGAAAGGCACATGAAGCCTCTGGGGCAAGGCTTCGATTGACAGGTCGGAAGGCCGCGAGCCGAACGGGCTGAAAAAGTTTCATTTTATATGAAAAAGGAAGAATTGAAGAGAAAATTAGCTTTTTTTGTATAGGTTTATTAAGCTGATAACTTATTTTTTTCGGAATAATCACGAAGGGGAAAAAAATTTACCTCGGTAAATTTCCGGCTCCAGGTTGCCAAATTGGGCTGAAAACGACTGATTTCTAAAGTTTTTTTCTCGGAACCTACCTTGAACGGCGGCGAAAAATGATGGCAAAGGTGGCGAGAATGAATAAAAAAATTCTGAAATTTGAAAAAAATTTTTGAAAAAGTAAAACTACACTCACCATGGTTAGAAGAGCTGTTGGTTGAATATGATATTTCATTTTTCGCTTAAATACTCATTTTCCGTCCATATTTGCATGTAAAACCTATTGTGTAGCGTTTTTCAATCGAATTCAAACAATAACAAGTTCAAAAAGAACATTTCGTCAACATGAATTGAATACAAAAGACCATGCAAATTTTTTTTTCGGACGAATATTCAAAGCTCAGAACTTTTGATAAAATTTTTCTGTTTTTCAATTCATTTTTCTCATTGTTTCTATATGGAAATGTAATAGCGAACATTGTAAACCGTTTATTGCTCATGTTAACTTAGAATGACCACATTTGACTTTTATCTCCAGTCTTGACGTCGCTCCCCTTGACCCAAGCGGTTCTGTCGACGAAGAAATAGTCAGGAACGCCCCTGAGGATCAGTATTGCTCACGTTAGCTCATAGAAGCTCACATTTCGTTATCCGAACTCCGATCACTTGAGGGCTGGTCACTCTGCTCGAATTTGAGTTTTAGTGATGTCCGGATGGCAGTCAGCGACGGCCGACGTTCCCAAATACGCTGAAGATCAACATTTGGAGTTTTAGGCCAGGGATATTTGTAAAGCAAGGCCTTGAGGACGCTATTTAAAACTTGTTGTATATTCAACCACGGTCTTCAATTCTTCAAGCAAATAGTCTAATCTTGAAATTGTATTTGGAAAACTCGACCACGGATTAGCACATTTGGAAAACTAGGCCACGGTATGATATATTTGCAAAACAAGGCCTCATGATTTGGTAAACCCGGTCGCAATTTAAAAATGTAACAGAGAGGTAATATTTTTTTTTTTTCAGAATCTGAAACAAGGCTCATTTGACAAGGGAATCCAACTCAAAAAAAGCATCGCGGGTTCGACTCCCCTCCTGGTTTTTGCCATTGAAAAAAACCTTGATCTCCTGCTTGAAAGACGATTTGCGTCTAAACAGGTCGACGACACTTTGTCTGCGGCTTCGATCAATTTTCTAAAAATCAATGAATCAATAAAAACGTTGTAAAAATTACCGGAGGCATCGGAACGATTTTTGGGGCGTTTGGCGGCTCGCCGACGTTAAGTTGCGCAGAACTCGACCATTTCTTTGATTGAACTACTGAAAATATGGAAAAAAATGAATCTATTTTTTTCAATAGGATCACTATAAGAAAAAAATCAGGAGTGAATCAGGAAAACCGTCTAATAATTTTTTTCTTGAAGAATCTTCTATCGTCTGGCGTCTAAATTGAGCGCCGTAAGGAAAAAAAAATTTTTAATCCGTCAAAAGAAACATTTTTGATAGAAAAAGTCGAAGTAAAAAAATGGAGAAAAATTTCAATTTTTTTATCTTAAAAAAATCCTTATAAAGGGATATAAAAATTTTCAAGCGTCAAAACGGAGCATCGTACTCAAAAAATGCCAAACTTTCAAGATTATTTAAATTCAAAACATCGTAAAAAAAATTTCGGGTTAATAAGTTCTTTTTCGCCTTTTGCTCTAATTTATACTGAAGACAGAAAACTGAATTTCAGCCTAATTTTAATCTAATTTTTCATTGACTCAGAAGGCGTCAATTAAATTCAACATGAAGGTCATTTTTCAACGTTTCATGCCCTTTTTCGGTCGATTTTGAAGCCCATAAACCTATATTTCTCCTCACAAACTCACACGGGACGACTCCAGGGATGTTGACCGTCTCCTGAATCTCCGACGTCTTCTGAGGCGCCAGATCGACGGTCGATTGCCAGCGTCTTCTGTCGTTGGCCGACATCATTTCTAGAAATAAACCCGAAATTTGTGAGCCCCAGAGAAGGTGGGAAACAGACCGAAAGCTTATGAGAAAAATTTGCCGATTTTCCCATCGAAATACCAAGAAGCCACCAAAAGCCACAAAAAAATGGCTAGCTATTTAAAAAAGGAGTCGTGGGAAAGCACTTTTAGGGGAAAGAATAGACTAAATAAAAATGATTTTCTGCAAACTTTTTGGTTTTATTGGAAAAATTGAGAGTTCCGTGGGAAATGGAGCATGATTTTTTAGTCTTAAACTATACGAGGAAGTAGAAAAAAATTGCTAAAGGGGGGGGGCTCCAAAAATTGCAAGAAAGAGGGGGTAAAAAGCGTTACCCAGTCAGAAGAAGAGGAAAAAAACTCCCTTTTTTTCGAAAACTTCTTGAAATATTACTGAAAAATGTTGAGCCCCCCATAAAACCTCTCAACGACTACTTGAAAAGGTCACTCCAGGGGCCACTAATACCACTTCTATAGAAGCCATTATAGTAGTTTTACTGCTCTAATAGTACCAATTAGACTTCTGAAAGGCCATAAGTTTTAGCCACCTAAGTGGTCACTAATTCGACTACTACAGTGGCCACTAAAACGTCATAACCCTAAAGTGGCTACTAAACATTTTCCTAGTTAGTTCAATTTTTCAGGATTCCAGAGGACAAAAACGACCTCAGATTCAGAAAAATGAGGATTATAAAATTAAAAAGGCCTTGAGATTCCTAGAAACTGAAGCTCAACCCGGAAAAGCTCACGTTTCAGAGTGAACTTTACTCCTGATAAACACCTTTTTCTCGATTTTAGTGATGAGCAATTGAAAAAAAAGGTCCCATGAGGCTCTGACAAGTAGTATGACTACTAGATTCTCATCAATTAATTAATCAACTAATTAAACGATTCATGGGAAAGTACAGAACCTTATTAGTCCAGGAGGAGGAGTCGACGGGATTATCATCAAAACTGTGATTTCAAAGCTCAGGGGGATTTTCAACTTCAGGGAGGTGGTGATGACTTTGGAGAAAGTTTGGGAGGAAGGATCTTGAAAAACGGTCTGTCCATGAATAGCCTGTGTACCAGGGCTTGGAATTTCACGGAACGACATTCCGCTGTGCCGTTGCGCGCCTTTGCAAACCTCGGTCGCGCTTTTAATTTTTTTTTTCTTTTATTAAGGTACTCTACTTTCATGTGGTCCCACAGCAATAAAAATGAATTGAAAGCGTGGCCTAGATTCGAAAGACGTTTCGCGAACGCACGCAGCGAAACAGCGGAATGTCGTTCGGTAAAATTTCAAGTCGTGGCACACAGACTATATGGTTTGCACGACCTAACCAGAAAGTGTTTTCAAGTCCCATTTTATTCTGTGTTTACCCGGGAAGTGAAAAAATTGGTGGTTTGAGAATTTGATGAAACTTGGTATATAGGTACTTTAGGACACCCCGATTCCAATAAAGTTGAAAAAAATATTCGCCTTTTTGGTTCTAGTCGAGTTATGGCATCTCAAATTTCGCACATTGGATGGAAGGAGGCATTGTCTTGCGGCGGCAAACCTCTACCGCCAGCACGTGGCGTGGCGTAATGGCTAGCGGCCTTGCGCTGTGGAGCCTATGATGTAGGTTCGATCCCTTATTCGTAAAATTTATTTTTGCCAATTTTTCTTTCGAAAAAATTGATGAAATTTTGAGGATACTGTTCAAAGTGTTAAAATTCACGGTTTTCTGTCCTTTTGAAAATTTTTTCTTATATTTTCCTCACCAAGTTTTGTCAAATTCTCAACCCACCACCTCTTGCACTCAACAATCTGACCTGTCTGCGCTCTCTTGTCTTTCGCCTGAGAAGCATGAAAATAGTACTTCAAGAGAAGAACCAGACTTCTAAGAATCAACTGATAGGAACCCAGAAAATAAAACAAAAATCACAAAAAATTTAATGAGAAAAGAAGAAATTTGAAGCGACATATTCGAAAAATACTCGCACGTACAGAATAAAAAGGGAGTTCTTCTCTCCGTTTTCAGGGCAATTTTCGGTCCTTGCATCCTTTCTCGATTTCGGCAATCCTTTGTTTCGTGTCCTGGAATTTCGATGATTTTACAAAAAAGGTTGGAATGAAAATCACCGCTGGGGTATTGGTCCAGCCGCTTTTTTCGGCGATTTTCAGAGCCAAGCAGAAGGCGCTGCACACCATTTGGTAGGAAGTAAACGCGCCAGGACGCATCCTGAGAAAGTTAAAAAAATTGCAGAAAAAAATGCGCACCAAATGCATTTAAGACACGCCTTTGCTCAAACAAGCTTTAAAATGAGAACTAATCTCAAAAGCCACTGAAGTGTCCACTTGGCTTCTTTCAGGATCTTCAATTTCAAATAGTTAAAGTTTAAAAGTTCAATTCTACCAAAGCCCATTAGAATCTGCCCGCCTTAGAAAGTGCGCCCACAATGCAAACAGGCCACGCCCACAATCCAAAAGTGAAGAAATCAAAGCCACTCAAGTGTCCACTTGGCTTCTTTTGGGTTTTTCGATTTCAAATAGTAATCTTTCAAAGTTCAATACTAGAAAGTGTGCCCAAGTTGCAAATAGGCCACGCTTACCTGATCGGCTTGAAAACCACTCAAGTGTCTACTCAGGTTTTTCCAGGTTCTTTAATTTCCTCTTGAGTTAGCCAAGAATTGCAATAATAATAAAAAATCATTTTATGCTGTACGCGGAAGAAAGTGTGCCCACATTGCAAACTGGCCACGCCCACTACTCAAATGCGAAAAAATTAACTTTTACAGATTGGAGATGCTTTCCAGAAAATCCGCGACCTATCCATACGTATTTTGCACAGAGGCCACGCCTCTTTTACTGTGCCTCTTATGATACTTTTACAGTCCCCATTTTTTATAATCACAGCCCCGCCCACTTTTCCGTGCTCACTTTGCAATTTTCCTGACGTATTCCTCGACGTCAAAGCAGTCGCGTTTCTCGGTGTCCTTGTAAATCATGCAGCCGACCCAGGCGACGGCGGCTCTCAAAATTTGTCAATTAATTTTTCAATCAATAAATCGATCGATAAACCTCCCGACCGCGTCATGACTTTGGATGAGGACCGGCGCCGTGTAGTTGTCCAGAGACTCGCGTAGAAGCTAGAAATGATTCTGATTTATTGATTTTTTTTTTCTTTAACGAACCCCCATTTCGAGCTTGAAAACGTCATTCAACAAATTGGTCAGACAATCCAAATCGGGCCAGGTATTTTGCGGCCAGCTTTCCAGGTGGAATAAGGTGATGTTGTTCTGGAATTTCTGCAGTTTCTTTATGGCGATTTGAGCTTGGAATACTCGCTGATGCACCTTCAAACTAGAGGAAAAATGGTAAGTGAAAACTGCGCTTCCAAACAAGGTATGCGCCCTTTAAAATAATTGGAAACGCGCCTTAAAAATAACTGGGTATGCGCCTTTAAAATAAATGGGTATGCGCCTTTAAAATAACTAGTTATGCGCCTTTGAAATTACTGGATATGCGCCTTTGAAATAACTAAAAAATAACTGGGTATGCTCTTTTAAAATACTGGATATGCGCCTTTAAAATAACTGGGTATGCGCCTTTAAAATTACTGGGTATGCGCCTTCAAAATAACTGGGTGTGCGCCTTTAAAACAACTGGTTACGCGCCTTTAAAATTACTGGATATGCGCCTTTAAAATTACTGGATATGCGCCTTTAAAATTACTGGGAATGTGCCTTTAAAATTATTGGGTATGCGCCTTTAAAATTACTGGGTATGCGCCTTTAAAATTACTCGGTATGCGCCTTTAAAATAACTGGTTATGCGCCTTTAAAATAACTGGGTATGGGCCTTTAAAATGAGATACCTATCAACATCTAAAATTAATGTTAAATAATACTTTCGAAGTCTCCTTTTTTCCAATAATGAAGGGTAGGTAGGCGCAAATTTACTGTAGCAACGCGTTACGGTTACGGTCGCGGTGCGGTTTTTGGCGGGAAACTTAATATTCAAACGTCAGATTTAACTTATCAAGCTAAACGCATCACAGGGGAACTTTTAGTGGCCACTTTAGGGTTTTGAAGTTTTAGTGGCTACTAGAGCAGTCGAGTTAGTGGCCAATTTAGGGTTTTCACATTTTAGTGGCCACTATAGCGGTCGAATTAGTGGCCACTTGAGGGGCTAGGCTGTTCAGAAGTCACTAAAACTAGTATAGTGGCCACTAAGAAGCAAAGTAGCGGCTTCTATATAAATGATTCTAGGGGCACTATAGTGTTCCCTTCAAGTAGTCCTTGAGGAGCCTTCTAAGTAGTCACTAGAGTACTTTCAAGAAAGAAAAGACCAGAGTGATAACAGAAAAGGCGAAAGGAAGTGTTATTTCGCATCTCAGGTCAAAATTTTCGAAAAATTAAAAAAAACCTCGCAATTGGAGTTTTTCGGAAGAGTGGTCTCCTCCTCTTTCTCCTGAAAAAAATCGATATCAATCAATAATTTGCCGACGAACCCCTTCCTTGACAGTCTCCTCCGGCTTCAATTCGTTGTTTCTGAGCTGAACCTTGTAGACAGTGTAGCCCTTGTTCACCGTCTTCGATTGGTAGACAACCGTCATTTTGCCACTCTGTAATGTCTACAGTATTCCTGGCCGCATTTGGAATGGCTCAAGTAGGATAAATTTTCAGAAGTCTCGAAAAATCGTCAAGAACCGTCTTGGGGCCATGTTAGAGTAGTTTTTCATATTTTCTCTATTTTTCTCAGAATTTTTTTTTTTGCAGAATAGGTCATCCTTAATCTTCCTGGCCGCATTTGGAATGGCTCAGATACGATCAATTTCAGTAATTTTCGAAAAAGTCGTGAAGAACCGCTTGGGGCCATGTTATCGTAGTTTTTCCTTTTTTCTCTACTTTTCTCTAAATTTTTTTTGCAAAATAGGTCATTGTTAATCTTTCTGGTCGCACTTGGAATGGCTCAAGTTTGATAAATTCCAGAAAAACTTGAAAAAATGGTCAAGAACCGTCTTGGGGCTATGTTAGAGTAGTTTTTTTTTTCCTATTCTCTCCACTTTTCTATTTTTTTTTTTGCAGAATCGGTCATTCTTAATCTTCCTGGCCGCATTTGGAATGGCTCAAGTATAACAAATTCTAAAGATTTCAACGAAATGTCGTCCAGAATCGCTTTGGGCCATGTAATATTCGTTTTTCTTAATCTCTTTACTTTTCTCTATTTTCCCTAGTCATCCTGGTCGCACTGGGAATGGCTCAACATTGACAAATTATGAACATCTTATAAAAAAAAGTGGTTCAACAACCCCTATAGAGGTCCAAAAAGTGGTCCCTTTAGTGGTAAAACTAAGGTGGTCCCAATAGGCTTAAGGTATGATCCCTTAGCCCCTGAAGCTCAGGTGGAACCTATAGGAGTCTTTGATTTTCTTCAAAAACGCTTGTTAATTCCGTTTTTCATATGGAAATGCTTCTTCGCTTTGAATTCATACCAATTATCGGCAAGCGTGTCCCCTATAGGAAAATTGAAAATGAAGGACTCTGTTGTGCGTCAGAGCGTCTATCTAGAGCGTGTTTCAGAAAACTTTTTTCCGGCATATATTCAATGTCCCCCACAGCATGACATGACAAAAAACAGCTCAAAAGTGATTTTTGTCCATGGAGCGCACTTTGCTCAATCTGGTGGGGTTTTAAGTTTCTTGCCCTCACTTCAACTTGAACCGGCGACTTGGAGTCAATCGGGAAGTAGGGGTAGCACAATGTCGCATCCGTGGCGCTGAGCTTGTCGCTCAGGCAGATGATGACCCGAAGTTGAAGCTGAAAATTTGAGATTCTGAAGGGTTACAAAATTTCAATTATTCATCATCAAATCAGGTACATGACAAGCAAACTTTAATAAAACCCCTATAGGGGTCGCAAAAGTGGTTCCTAGAGTGGGAAAATCAAGGTGATCCCTATAGGGGTTTAGAGTCAGGCCACTAACTGAAACCCCTATCGGGACCATTTTTGCAATCTTTAAGGGCGCCTATAGAGGTCGGTAAAGTGGTCCCTAGAGGGATCCTTCCAAGAGCCCCTAAGGTTGCCCTTATAGAGCCCACTCTGGAATTCCTGAGCACTTTGAAGAAAAAAAGCTATGAATGTCACGTTTTCAACTTGAAATTCTCTTTAATTTTTTTTTGTCAAAATGTTCAGCTTTCCCTGGAAAACTCCGAGAAACTGACAATCCAGGCGAGACGCCACAGATTCTGATAGTCGTCTTTTGTCGGCGCCTGCAGGAAAACGTACTCTGAGTTGTCCAACTTCAAATATTGCCCGGGTACGTAGTCTTCCTTTGTTTCTTTGTCATCCTGAACGAAATTCAGACTTTTGACGGGTAAATGCGCTCCAGCGTTCAAACTGGAATCACTCGGAGCTCGCTCGGACCTTGGTAACGGAAACCGGACGTTTCTGAGCATTCTAGGGATCATATAAGAGAGCTGACGTGACTAAAGTGGTCACTAGAAAGGCGTCAGTACCCTAGAAGTTTTCAGAAACGTCCGGGGTGCGCATCGTTTGCGTTGCTAATGTCCGAGCAGTAACACGAACCGGACTGAGCTTTTTTAGGGACCATTTAAGCGGCGTCAGTACTCATAAGTGGTCCCTAGAACTGTTCAGAATCTTCCGATTCGCGTCCGTTCCGCGTTACCAATGTCCGAGCGGTAACACGAACCATCCTGAGCTTTTCTAGGGACCACTTAAGCGGCGTCAGTACTCTTAAGTGATCCCTAGAACTGTTCAGAAACGTCCGGGGCACGTCCGGTCTGCGTTACAAATGTCCGAGCGGTAACACGAACCATCCTGAGCTTTTCTAGGGACCACTTCAGTAGCCTTAGTACTCTTAAGTGATCCCTAGAACTTTCCAGGCCGCGCCCCGTTTGCGTTAACAAAGTCCTAGCAAAAAAAATTTTTTTTTTCCTCTTCCGGATCGATTTTTTAAGCTGAACCTTGGTACAAAATCATCAAACTTTCCAGTTTCCTCCATAAAATTTTTGAAAAGAAAAGGGTTGAGAAATCTTCAAAAAACGGCTCACTTTGGCGAGTTTGACGCGTCGTTTCTCTGGGATCGGCACTGGGAGTCGGGTGTTTCTATCCTGAATCTCAATGATTTACAAAGAAGTCAAGCAAATCAATCATCATTAATAGAAAAACATATTCAAAGTAACTGAATTATAGTTCATCCGCCGCGTCTTGAAAGTTTTCTATAGTGTCTGCGTCTCTGTTCTCTCGCCGGAGAGGTCAGAGAAACGTGAAAACAGCAGGGCCACATGAGAGGGTCGCCGAGAGACGAGGAGGGCGCAGAGAAGTGTCTTACAAGTCGCGGAAAATGGACTATAAAAGCTTTGGAATGGAAGTCCTCATAAAGACTATTGACCAGTTCTGATGCTATTTTGGAAGCTCCGTTTTTCGACTAGTAAGACAATTTTGAAACTCACACGGTACTGAAGAAAGCCGTCGGCGACGATTCTCGACGAGACGAGATGCTCGAAAATGGACTTTTTCGTGTTGGGTTGCAGTGTGAGGTTTCTTTGGATGAAGTCTTCCAATTTTTCGCCCTCGGCCATTGCGCTCGTCTGATAAAAGGGATCATTTCACTGTTTGAAAATTTCTCTCAACACTCTCGAAAAGGAAGAAATTTTTTTTCAAAGAATTCTGATAGAATATGGTATGATATATACATAGGCGAAGTCGGAAAAGATGGAAAAAGGCCCCACTTTTACTGCCCTTTTGCACCAATTTCTTGGCCATTATGCACCATTTTTGCTGCCTCTCCCTTTTCCACCATTTCTTGAGCCTCTGAAATTCCAGGAGAAACGGAAAGCTCGATAGAGGGACTTTCTTTGCTACCTTTTAACGGCATTTTTGCAGCCTTTTTACGGCCTTTTTACGGCCTTTTTGCAGCCTTTTTGCTGCCTTTCTGCAGCCTTTTTTGAGCCTGTCTCTTTGTGCAAAATCAGTCTTTTCAACAATAATTTTTTGATTCCTATTCTGATATTTCAGAACTAACAAAAGGTAATCCAATCGATTTCGAAATATTTTATGAATGGACTAAAAAGCTCAAAAACTTGAAAAGAAAACCAAAAAAATTCTGCTATAAAAAACAAAATTCGCTATAAAGCCTTAATCAAGACCCTAAGATAATAAAGGGCGTTATAGTAGCCACTGGAGGGATTATCTGAAGTTTTTTGAGTTATCACTAATATGAAAAGGATTGAGGCCGCGACGCGACCGCACGCGGCTAAATGACGTCATCTATAGTCTGTTCAGATTTTGAATGTCAAGTAGAATGACGTCATTCGAAAACGCTCAGTGGATGGCTCGCTCTTTGATTGGTTTATCGCGTCATTAGGGGGCGGAGCTTCAGCGAGGACTTGACATTTGAAAACTGAACAGACTATAACGTCTTGGAAACAAGGGAACAAGCTTGAAAATAATAAGATATTTTATAATAATTTTACTTTTTGAACTTGAAATAGTAAGCTCCGAGAAGTTTTATACTGATTTGATGGCTCCTGAAAACTAACCAGATCCTTCTTTTTCTCGCGCATCGAAAGGGTCTTGCTATTCGGGAGCTTCGCAGGAACCATCTTCGAGGCGTTTCCTTTGGCCCCCTTCGATCGAAGAGACGTCATTCTTGGATGCTGTTCGGGGTTCGGTCAGAGCTGTGAAATGACTTGAGCTTCACGGATTGTTGAGTTGGATTATTTTATCATCACGTTTCGTAAATTTTCATTTCAAAGTCATAAGGTCAACAAAAAAAAAGGATTAAATGGAGCAAAAAGTGTGTCATTATGTTTAAAAAAACCGTTCAAATCTTCTCATTTTGACAAAAATATAGTCTGTTCAGATTTTGAATGTCAAGTAGAATGACGTCATTCGAAAACGCTCTGTGGATGGCTCGCTCTTTGATTGGTTTATCGCGTCATTAGGGGGCGGAGCTTCAGCAAGGACTTGACATTTGAAATCTGAACAGACTATATTCCCTTAAAATCGTCCAGAATCTTGAAATTGTGAGCCCATTCAAAGAAAAAGTCCCGGGTCCAAAGTACATTGGCCACCTCTCAAGAAATGAATCATTCCCGAATTTCGATCATCGGAATCAAAAAAATTTGCCTCTCAGACACCTTAATTTGATAAACGGTGACACCGGTGTGGAACAAATTTGGTTAGCCGATACGAGGATTCCGATTAGCACCCGATTTTCTCGACACGACTTTCGCCGAAAAATCAACGATCTCGTAAATTTACGCTGATTGTGAAGAGAGGCTCAAGAAAATCTCAAAAAAGCCCTTTTGAAAAAAAAATCTAGTTCAGTTTCTAAAGATTTTTTATTCATTCAATGCTTTCAAACGCAATTTTTTCAAACACTTCACGGTCATTTTTTCCCATATTTTTCCATATTTAGCATTTACGGGCCAGTAGACTAACTGAATTTGTTTTTTTAACAATGTTAGAAAAATATTTAAAATTAAACAGTTTTTAAACACTCAGAAACGTCTAGCAAGGAAGGTCATTCCAATTTGAGACAGGAATTTTTCTAAATCTTGACCAGAAAACTTTTTAATGTACCAGAAAATGAAAATGACCCTCGGTGGTATATGGCCGCTGAAAGGGAGAGGCTCAAAAAAAAGCCGCAGAAAGGCAGCAAAAAGGTAACAAAAAGGTAGCAAAAAAGCAGCCAAAAGGTCGCAAAACGGCAGAAAAAAGGGTCCCTATTTCGAGCTTCCCATTTTTCTGTGATTTCAAAGGCTCAAGAAATGGTGGAAAAAGGGAGAAGCAGCAAAAATGGTTCATAAGAGCCGATGAAATAGCGCAAAAAGGCAGAGAGAAGGAACCTTTCTATGCAGCCTTTTTCCACCCTTTCCGAATTTTCCCATGCCTGTACAGCTTTCTAGTTTTTGAGAAAAGACACCTTAAAGTCAAAGAAAACCTTGAAAATATTTTGAAATGGCTGTTTCGGGACCTTGGATCTCATTTCTCGAAAACTAAGAAGTTGGGCAGATTGAAAGTTTCAGGGTCATTTTCTGGCACATCAAGGAGTTTTCTGGCCAGATTTCAAGGAGATCCCAAGTTCAGATTGAAATAACCCCCCTTGTATACAAGGTCCTTCACTTGCGAATCAAGAGGGTACTGTAATGTGTCCACAAAAGTAACTCCACAGGCGAATCAAGAGAGTACCATGATGTGCCCACAAAGGTACCTCCACAGGCGAATCAAGAGGGTACCATAATGTCCAACAAGGTACCTCTCAAAATGGATCATGAAGACCCCATAATGTGTCCATCGTGAGACCTGCAGCATACCTTTTAGCTATACCTGAGCCATCTCGGAGGTACTTCAGAGTCTCTCTCATATCCCTCTCTTTTTTCTCAAAATCCTCAGAGGTATACTCGAGGTACCATCGTGAGACTTCAGATCCTTCGATATACCTCAGAGGGTCTCGCGGTACCTTTTCTCGATTCGCCTATGTTTCGTCCACATTCCTATTCAATGTAAACCCAAAAACCAGCCAAAAAAGATCCAAAACCCGCATCGAATTCATCCAATTACATAATCGAATTGGATTTTTCTCGTCTTCCCCCAGTCAGGACGGGAATCCCGAAGGTCTGGCTTCAAAAATGCCCAACGATGCGGCAATTCAAATTAGGCATTTTCACATGGATCCCCACCGGTTGGATCTTTTATATATCTATCTCTGAAATTTTTTCCCGATCCTTTTCGATTTTCCTTTCCTTGCCCCATTGAAGAAACGCTTTCTCTATTCTTTTCAGCGTGTGGCTTTTACGACCCTGATCTTTTTTTTCCCGTTCATTTTTCTGGTCGCGTACCATTCGCACTTTTGTTGTTCAGAAAAACAGGTCGCTATAGAGAAAAAAATAGATTTTTTTGAAAATAATGAAAAAAAGCGACAAAAACCACCTAAAAAAATGATGTAAGAAAAGCAAAAAAACTTCTAAATTTTTTTCTTCAAAGTTTTTATGATCTTTGCAAAAAGCTTCTGAAGTTCAGATAAACTTTCAGGTGGTTTTTTTCGAAAAAAATATTTTTTTCAATGAAAATTTTTAATGGAAGAGCGATAAAAAAACCACTTCAAAAACTAGGTAATAAAATCAAAATTTTTCAAAATTTTTTTCTTGAAAGTAACAAAAATTTTTTTGGGAAATTTTTTTGGCTTCTGTAACAGAGAAAAACCTATAGATGACCCAAAAATGACCTTAAACAACTTTCTGATTCTCAAAAGTCCCAGGAAAATTTTCTCGAACTTATCGTTTGAAAATTCAATAAACCTCGTCTCGAACCAATTTCGTAGATTTTTCACTTTTTTCATACTTTTTCTAACTTGAAGAGAGGAAGGTCATCTAAATTGGGAATTTTCTGAAAATCGAGCAGAATATTTCTTTTTGTACCGGAAAAAGGTTCGGGAAGTTCCAACTTGCAAAAATTATTAATTTTCGAGAAAAAAAGGTCTGAAAGCCCAAAATTACTTCAATTGGTTTTCAGGGCTTTTTTTGACTTCTAAAGTTTTTTCGAAAATTATGAAGTTATGTGTTGAGACTTACAGGATCTTCCTCTGAGACATCAAGAAATATTCTGGCCAAATTTCAGGAAACTCTCAACCGCATAGTGAAATGAGCTCCCTTGTCAGTAATTTTTTCGATAGATCTTCAAAAGATAATCCAAAACTGAAGGATCGACAAAATGTCTTCAAATATTTCCTTGGAATCATCAAAAAACGATATAAGGAAACGGTCCAGCTTTTTTCTCCTGTCGAAAAAGGGCAGGTGAAATCCCGCTTGATTGATGAGTTAAGAAACAACTGAAGGTGATGAAACGATGCGACGGCTAATCCGATAAGGAGAAGCCGGGGATCGTATTTCGTCGGTCAGAACCGCCCTTTCTCCTGTCAGTCACCACCTGCGGCAAAAGCCATTCCCGAAATGATTTGGATTGCGGTGGCGCAACTTTTTTGCTTTGATTTACCGCCTGGGCGTTCCAATCTTGATCATTCCTTGGCCATTTTCCAAGCCTTTGAGTTGAAGAGCGGTCGAGAAGCTTTTTGCTCTGATTTTTGCCCTTTAGAGGTCACTTTTTGGAATAAAATTGTAGTGCCGAAAGTTTTTTGCTTTGATTTACCACCTGGGCGTTCCAATCTCGGCCATTCTTTGGCTATTTTTCATTTTTTTTTTTTTCAGGAAAGCGCTTCAACAAGAACTTTTCAAACTTCTCTCTGATCCTGGCATTTTTTTGATCTCGATTCCTTTCCTAGAATTTTCTTAAACTAAACCAAAGATTTCTTCGCCATTTCTTCCATTTCTTGATCTTAAGACCGCTTAAAAAGCTTCTCTGGCTATTTTTTAGCTTTTTTCTTTTGAGGTTTTTTAATTTTTGGCCTGGCGCACTATTTTCTTTGTGTCACCGCCTAGGCTTCCCAAGCTCGGTTTTTTTGGCCACTTTTGAACTTGATGAGCTGAGATGCGGTTGAAAACGCTGTTTTGGTTTTTTAAGCTTCACTTTTTTATTTTCTCAGTTTGAAGAACCTTTTCTGTAGCTAATTTTTTGATAAATTCCTATACCGTTCCAAAATCTTAGGGGGTTTTAACCGGACAAAGTTTGAACGATGCCCTATTCACATTTTTAGGAAGTTTAGCACCAATGTCAGTTGCGATATTCTCTGCTTCTATCCCACGGCTAGTGAAATCCATAACCTTTTTTCAATCTTAAAAATGCTCAAAACCATATTAGACTTGAAAAAATTATAGTTAGGTGTGTTCTACGTTATTTTCATTCCTTCTTGGAAGTTATATTTCCTGAGGTTTAATTCTTCTTTTTACCACGTCTCCTTTATTTTCAACACCTATACATTTCTAAAGTAGGAAAAAAATTTGCAGGCTCATATGCACCATTTCTCCTTTTTGGTACTTCTGATCAGCTTCCAACGTTCCACAGATGCTTGGTTTTTTGGATCGGTTTGTTTCATTTTTTTTTACTACCATAAAAATTATAAAATATTGCGTTCTACTAAAATCTGGCTGTTGTGTATCTTTTTCTTGACTCACCATATTTTTGGGAATTCTTCAGAGACGGTATTTTAACTGTGTGTTTTTTTTTTCGATTGTAGAGCTCTAGGTAAAGAAGTGTAATTTTTAAAGCTTGTAGGAGCTTTATGAGTTTTTTTAAAACTCCTCAGACCTTCTAGAAAAGTAGAAGCTTCAAAAAAGCCCCATCAAAACGACCAACTCCTTCAAATTTCAGTTCGTCTGTCCTCAATGCTGCCCTCTACCTCAATGCAGATCTCAACAGACATACTACCAGCCACCAATGTACCCGATGATGCCTCCGAACCAATATGCCCTTCCGCCACCTCCCCCAGCTCCAATGTACGCTCAACCGCTGCCAATGTACCAAATCGCGCCCCCGATGTACGCCACTCCGGCTCCGAAGTACCCGACAGCCTACGTTACTCCTTACGTGACTCCTTACGTAACTCCTTACGTCACTCCCTACGTCACGATTCCCACGACCACCACTACAACTACTACTACGACGACTACGACGACTACAACGCCACCTCCCCCAAAATGCTTCCGAAATATGGACGGTCAGTTTTTTTCAGCTTCTTGTCATGAAAATAAGGCCGACTCTGTAGACAGGCCCGGACTTGCTTTTCCAAACTTTCTCAAATAGAAAAGTCATTAGGACCGGTAAAAACCTATGAAAAACGTTTCAAGCGATAAAAAAACGACAAAATTATTTTTTAAAACGTTAAGTCTGAAAAAAAGTTTATTACGCTAATTTAAAACATATTTTCCGACACACCCAGTGGTAATCAATTGTTCAGCCTCGAATGAAATTAAAGCAGGATAAAAACAATGAAAAACACTAATTATTGACGTGTTCATCAAAAAAACGTAAAATGTTTCGAAACAAAAGAAAATTGCTCCACAACAAAAATTTAGTACTTTTTTAAAGAATTTTTTGTGCGCCTATGAACAAGTTTTCGCATTTTAAAACATGTTCTGTTTCTCCGATGAAAACGCTAATTAAAACAATTGAAAAAATAAATTTACAAAAAAGGCGTAAAGTAAATGTTTTCGGTGGAAAGAATATGTTGCGTGATCGCGTAACTCGCACCTACAGAAGTTTGTTAAATTATTTTTTTTTCGTTTTTTGAGTTTCATTTAAACTTTTCCTTTTTTTTCCGTTCCGTTTTCAACTGTTCATTGAGTACTTTGCATGTCTCAAACCTAATTTGAATAAACATTTTCAGGGTTCAAGTGCTGCAACCCGGAATTGGACCAAATTCTTCAGGAGCACGTCGCCGTCGACAATCCTTTCAATAACCGTTTCACTGGGTGTAATTTGCAACGTCTTGCCAACGCTGTTGCGGTTTTTTTAAAACTTCAATAAGGAAAATTTTAAAACGTTTTCAGGGGCGAATTCAAAACAAGTACGGCCGCAGTTTCGAAGGCATCATCGGCAGCAGCAATTTGTTCCACAGAACTCACTACAGAGGAGAGCTTTTCTGCCAACGGAGGACACTTAATGGAAAGGTGACTAGAAGAAAAGTTTTGGACAAAATTCAGAAAATCGATCGATTTTTCAGAGCATTCTGGTGTACGCGACGCCTGTTCCCTACACGTTGGACCAGGAAAATTCGAGGCCGATGACCCCGGAAGAAGTTCAAAGACAGAATTACACCGCCTCATGGAACCACATGGACGATTATGATCATAATGGTCTTTGGTGATCGATTTTTTTGAAAATTACTATCGTTTTTGTATGCAATATTGATCTGAAACTGGTTGTGAAAAGTAGGTTTTTGGTTTTTTTTTAATACGCTTCCAAAAGTCTCACTCTATTTTTATTAATTTTCGGCGAATTTCGTACATTTTTATACTCAAAAACCTAACTTTCTTCAGTCAGTACTGCGGGTTCACAATCCTCTTTATTTCTTGTCTGTAAATTTGAATCTGTATCTTTTCATACTTGTGCAATATTAAAATATTTCCGTGTTGCAATTGCGCTCCGCCGGTCACTCGGTGTCATTTTATTCACTTTAATTGCTTTTATTTTTTTTTTGTCGCTAATAAATGAGTTCAAAGTTTTTAATAGTTTTTTGGGTATTCAAGAACATGGTTTTATTGTGTTCTATATCGTTTGATTGATAGTTCTCCGTGAAAATATTCCGAATCAAGATAAATTTTTAGAAATTTAGTGACGAAAAACAGCTTTTTCAATAAAAGCTCTAATTTCTTTATTTTAACCTTCATTCAAAATAATTTCTTTCTTTTTATCTTATTCTCAATTGCTTGATTAAAAGTCCGCTGTGTTCCTTTTTCAGAAAAAAACAGTTTTCAATGTTTTAAAGCAAAAATTGATTTTAAGAAAGTCGTTAATTTTTTAATCTTTATAAGCTCACATTTTTTTTTTGCGTGTCATCTTGTTTTTTTTCGTGAGATGAACATTTCCACGTAAGATTCTCTCAAAAAAACTGTTTTTTTGAAGTAAAAAAACGTGTACATAATAGCGTAAATCTACGCGGAGAAACGTCTCCTATAACTGCGCGACAGTTGCGCTAAGCCACGCCCACTAACCTAACAAACTTTTTTCAGCGCAAAATCAAAAAATATCACAAATAATTTCAACACCGAAGGAGTATTCATTCTCCAGCCTTTTTAAAAAACCATGAATACTCCTCCGGTGTTGAAATTTGCATAAGAAGGCGGCAGTTTTTGTATTTTTTTTTATTTTTGCGCTGAATGAAGTTTTTTTTTTCTGCCGCCATTTTTTTCTTTTCGTACTGTTTTTCACCGGATGTCATCAAAAACTTTTATCACCAATAATCAGTATCAAGAGCTTCTCGTTTCTCGAACACATCTTCGGAAAATCCAGTCGCGGCCGCAAATGAGCCCCGGCGCACAGGGTTTCTTAGCCGGACAGAGGTGTCCAAGTGGAAGATAGATGTCTAAATTTAATACTTTTACTACATTTTCTCATAATCAAAAAAATCACCTTCATCATGGGCTTGTATAAAAGTTGCCAAAAGTAGGATTATAGCCAAAATCTGGAAAAAAAAAGTTGTAAGAAAGCTAGGAAAACCTCACCTTTAGCAGCATTTCTCTCTCGGTTTTAATTATTTGGAAATTGAGAATAATTTTTTTGCGAAATGAGGGATGATTTGTTTTGTTTTTAAGTGGAAACATATTGAGAACGTTCATCAAAACTTTAAAAAAAGGCGATTTTCGGGGTAAATAACGAAACCTGACCTTCAAAGGCTTAGTGAAAAAGCATTTCACCGTATTTTTATTCAAAAAAACTTCCAATATTTTTAAAATTTACACGAAGTTCCGGTAAAACAACTTTGCTGGCCAGGAAATTCAAAAAAATATGAAAAAGGCCTTTTTTCTGACAGGCGTCCTCCTTTTTCAAACTGATCACTAAGCCCCACTTAAGTGATCACTTAATGTCTCACAATTGTGCCAAAACTTCTTCGGGTTAGTTCTTTGACGCTCAGACAAAATGTAAAATCATTCCGAAGCAAATATTTTTCGCAATTATCCTATTTAAAAAAAAGACTGATTCCCACTGTTATTTTTCCAATCAACTTGTTGATTGGATCATGAGAAATGAAAATGTCTTCAAATCGAAGAATTTTTCGGCTTTTTCGTGTTGTTCCGACAATGGTTGATAAGGTAAGAAACGTTCGCACTTTAAAGATTTTTTTCCCTGTTTTTTTAGATTCTTTTTGGTATTTCTGCTGTCGGTCGTTTTGGCCAGCGCGGCTCCAGTAACGGAAGAAAAAAAGCTGGAGGTTTGAAAAATTCAAATTAAATTAGAAAAATATACTTTCGTTCAAAGTATTTTTGTAAATATGAAAAAAATATTTGAAGGCATAGGGGCAGTAAAAAAACGGTGTTTTAGTTCAAAGCAGTACTTTGTAGAGCTTTTCATTGCGAATCGAACGGTGAACTTGGAAATGCCCAGAACTTCCTAGTTTTGGGGAAAAAATAATTCAAAGTCGGAGAGAGGAAAGTTTGAGTTCCCGCGAAAAGGGCGCTTTGCAGTAAATTTGCTCTATGGACAACAGGCGTCGCCATCTTCCGGATATTCGCTTTTTTCTTCGTTTCTTTCAATTTTCATATTTTTTTCTGTTGTCACCAAAGTTCTTTTCGTCACAACAGCTTTCTATTCATGTATAATTTGCAAACTTTGATTGCAAAAATGCTTTTCTGGTGAACATTGATGATTTTACACAGGTTTCGATTGGGATAGCGATTATTTGTGTTTTCTTTATTATCAATGTGTGTTTTCTGTTTTCTTAATCGATTTTTCAGAGAAGAAACCCTTAATTTGAAGCAGATAGCCGGTTATATCTCCCAAAATGCGAGTCTAATGAGACGTCCGCAACATCGCGTGCACGACTACTGTAAACAGTTGTCTGCATACCGATCCAAAGCTTTTTTTCAAAATTAATGGCGGGAAAGTAAAATCGCGTTTTTCTTCTAAAGTTGTCACATCTGTAATTTTTTTGAGTACACCATTCGATTCGCAAAGAAAAACTGTATAAGATACTTCTTTCACCCGAAAACCCATTTTTTACTGCCCCTATGCCTTTAAGTTTTAAGATCCTATATGCGCCCCCAAAGGCCCTATAGGGGCCTCTTGAGATTTAGGGGATTAGAAGTCAGACCCTGAACCCCTATAGGGACCACCTTAATTTATAGGTTGCCTATTTTGAGTCGTTTTTTTCCAGTAACCCAATAGAGACCACTCTGGAGTTCCGAAGCAGAAAATTAAACAAATTTCGAGGAAAGTTGTGATTTTTACGCAAAAAGGGCTATAATTTGAATGGTTTTTTTTCGAAATAAAAAATTTCTTGATCCTCCCTCAACTACAAGAAGCTCTCACTCATAATGCCGTGTTCAAAGTAATTTCCGCGGAATGCGAAATTGTCTCTGACCCTCCAAAATTTAGTTATCTTTCTCTTTCTCTGACGGCTATTTTGAATTTCGCGGAATCACTTTGAACACGGCATAAGTTTCAGTGGAAACCCAACGAAAATTCTCCTTCTCGTTGCCGGAATTGCCGTGCATCTGGAACTGCCGGAAGAAGGGCCAACCTTGCGGAGGAGGACATGGGAAATGGTGCGACTACGGCCTCAAGTGCTACACTCTCGATTGGAACCCGAATTATGCTGTCTGTGATAAGCCGCGATAACTTTAACCATGACCTTAATTGGAGCTGGAATAAATATTTCGATAATTTTTGGTCGAAAAATCAAAATTTCATTTGTTCAATCGCAAGAAAGAGTATTTAGAATTTTTCTAGTCTGTTCAGGTTTTTCAAGTCGTCGCTTGAAGCTCCGCCCCTAATGGCGCGACGAACCAATTAGAGAGCGAGCCATCCACAGAGCTTTCTCGAATGACGTATAGTCTGTTCAGATTTTGAATGTCAAGTCGTCGCTCAAGCTCCGCCCCTAATGGTGCGATAAACCAATCAGAGAGCGAGACATCCACAGAGTGTTTTTGAATGACGTCATTGCACTTGACATTAAAAATTTGAACAGACTATAACACGTCGTGTTTGTTAGTGGAAGAAAATGCGAAACCAAAAATGAAGGGGCGGAGTCAAAACCTCCACAGTTCCCATGTGACTTCATCGGAAACAAGCGTCAACAACAGAAGATATTAAAGGCGCATGTTCAATGGGTCATCAAATCAATCAAATCATTTATTTTGTTGTTTTAGTCTGATGTAGTCGACTAGGCGGTGAACAAGAACTTTCAAAGCTATAACGAACAACCGCCTTTGGCGAACTAGAAGTCCAAACGTGTAGTCGAAAGAGTTGAAAGCATGGTCTTACGGTCCTTCGCCTCGTCCTTCTGCGCATAGTCCATCCAGTTGCGCCTTGACGAGCTCTGAATGTAGTAGGTGGTGTAGCTGGAGCCCGGAGACCGTGCTCTAGGTGGAAGCCTCAGAATGAGAGCGACCACTTCGAGTGAAGATTTTACACGGAATGACATTAACATGCATCACAAAACATTTGTAGAAAAAAGAAGTCATGAGACGAATTTTTTTAATTTAAAAAAACACATTTTTCTTTTGTCGTGTTCGTAAATCCTCGAAGTTCAAAACAGCCGGCAGAACGTGAAAAAACTGAATTTCCGAAATTCAGAGATGAGGGCATGTACGAAAGCGCCGCAGTGCATGCACACTACACACTACACTTTACGGAAAAGAGCGTTATTAAAAAAACGCCGAGGTATTTGCGCATGAAATTGAAAACCAGAACTGACTATAAATCAGGCTTAACTAATTTCTAGGTCCTTTCGCGTTAATTGAATAATTTTTGGTCAAGGAAGATAAAATTTTGGTTTTTCGACGTCAAAAAGACTGAAAAGCCCAAAATAAAACAGGAAGACGAATTTATTGAGGTGTTGTGAAATTTTCAAAATGTCTTTTTATTAGTTTTTTATGTGAAGATGGGAATAAAAGAACATAGGCTTCCTCATTGCATCAAAATGAAATTCTTCTTGGCCTTTGTAGGCCTTTTCCCACTGGTCGACGCTTTCGCCTCCCAATGTTCAGTTCTGGTGATTTATTTTTGGGTTTTGATTTTTTTTTTTCAAAGTGTATTCATATTTTTCAACCAATCAGATGAAGTATTAATGAAATAAGAAAAAAAAAACGGCTATAGAATTCTTGATATTTTCGTTTCGTACACTTGAAATGCATTAGAAATTTTCAATTAAGCATGAAAAACTAAAAAAATAGTTTGCCTGGGAACTCCAGAGTGGTCCCTAGAGGGGCGACCTAAAGGCCTTAGAAGGCTCCCCTCTAGAAACCACTTTTCAAGCGTTTCGACCCTATATGATTCTTAGTTAGTAGCCCCTATAGTGGGAGCACGCTAGTGGTCCCTAGAGTGATTTAAGTCCTCAACAAATGAGCGACATTTCAATGAAAAATCAACTTGATCGAGTTTTTTTTTCATGTTCAAATCATCACAAAAAATTTGAAAAAACTCTATAGGGATCATTAAAAAGTCAGGGGTTTGAAAGTCAAACGCTAAACCCCCTCTAAAGAACACCCAAACTGTACCCAATGGGAGTCACCATTTTTTCCCCTCTAGTGACCCCCTGAGAGCTCTAGATGCTGTTTAGCCCCTCTAGTGACCCCTCTGAGGGCTGTAGATACTGTCTTGCCCCTCTAGTGGCCACTCAGCTCCCAAACGTCGACGAATCGACTTTTATTCAGAAAAGCGGGAGAGTCTTCGACGAAGAAAGAACTGTCAAAGTTTCATTACCACTGCGAATCGGCGATCTCGTTACCTTCCAGGCTACTCCCGGACCCAATACTCGAAAGTAAACTTTTTTTTTTCATTTTTTTATATTTTTTAAATTTAATCGGTCAGGAAAAATGATAGTTAGATTAGGTACACTGTAGCCTGGAATTTTTGTAGGGTAGGTTTTTTTCTAGATTCATTTTGACTAGATTCGGCGAGGCTGGAAGTCTACAAAAAAAACTACAAGTTTTAAAATTCTAAATTTCCGGACCGTTGATTTTTTTACACTCTGCATTTTTTAGAAGGTTTCAACTTCCTATTTTTCAAAAAAGGACTACTCAAATTCAAGGAAAACCCTTGAAGTCCATTAAAAAAAGCTAATTTAGGGCTTTGATCCCTCCTAGTAGTGTGTAGCCCCTCCAAACTACAGATTGGAAGACTACAATACTACTACAGAATCCAAAGCTACCGTAATACTACAGTAACACCAGACGTTGGAAAAGACTATGGCGAAAAATTGCGATTTATTCGGAATCAGAAAGTCCTAAAATACCTTTTAAAGTTATAGTCCGTTACTCCCGATTTAAGGGTAAGACTTCTCTGCGCCCTCCTCGTCTCTCGACGTCCCTCTCATTTTTACATGCTATTTCCATGTTTCTCTAACCTCGCCGGTGAGGGAACAGAGAGACGCAGACACTCAAAAATTATCCAGTCGCGGTTTTTTCGATTTTTGAATCTGAGCACCCCCCTTATCTTAACCAGAATGATTCTGAAGCCGAGATTGTTGTTCTACAGCGCTGTCCTCTACTTTGCCAAAGGGTCAGCCAATGAGACGGACCGAAGATTCGTCATTCCTCTTTACATCCGCTTCAACTTTGTCAAAGGCACCGTCTCCTTCAATTCATTGATGGTGTGTTGATAAAATTCGAGATTATACGGTATAGAGGTGCACGAGAACTTCAAGGAAAACTTCCCCACACAAACATTTTTTTTCCTTGAGATCTTTGCGCTTTAAAACCAATTATCATGGAGATGAGCAGCCACTGCCAAAGTCGAAAGTGCGGAAAACGGGTGCAAAAAGGGAGTGACTACAAAATGGCCGTTAAAAGGGTCCCCTTTTACTTTTCATTCTTGGCATAGGCAAAGTCGGAAGGACCCTTCACGGGCCCTTTGAGCGTCCGTTACGGATCCGTGTGTTTCCATTAATTGTTCCTGAACGGATGGCAACAATTTCCTTTTTATTGCCTTTTTGCGTCCGTTCATCGTCCTTTATCCACCCTTTTTGGACCCTTTTGAGAAACACAACATTTTTTCAAATTGAGAATGATCTTTACCAGGGACTGTGTATCAACCAAAATGTGCTACAGTAATGAAATCGTAAAATATCAATGGCCGAGCCTTTCAGCACCTTTTTGCATTTTTTTTTTGGGCTGCATAGCCCACCGAGAAAGAAAGGCTCGATAAAGGCAGCAAAACGGAACCCTTTTAGCGGCCATTTTGCAACCGTTTTCCGCACTTCCGGCATTGACAGTGTAATATCGCAAAAAAAATGTTTTCCTCTTGGAAAATTTACAAGTTTCAAATTGAGATTTCGAAATTTTGCAGGAAAATGGTTGGAACAAAGATTGGAAAGAACAAACTTCCATCAAACGGGGTTCGGACGTGAAAGTCGAGATAAGGTAGTTTCCAAATGAAAGTTCGAAATCAAAATTTGTGATTTTAGAGTTCTCCATCGAGCTTACAGGATTAAAATCGGAAGGCGTTCCTACGAATACACAGATCGCTCCGAAGATGATCAAAACGTTCAGACGATTGGATTTCAAGGATTCTACTTCAAGAACAAGATGTAAGATTAGATTGTTCCACCAAACGACAATCCGCCATTCCGCTGCGTGCGGTCGCGAAGCGTTTTTTTCCTTTGCGAAAACTCGGTCACGCTTATTTTCACTTATCATTGCTTTAAACATGTGAAACTCGAACACTGGAATAAAAGGGAAAAAACTGAAGAATCGGAAAGACAAAACCGCGTCGCGACCGCACGCAGCGGAACAGCGGAATTTTGTAAAATTAAATATCAAGCCGTCGCGCACAGACTATAGTTCAAAAACTGCAGATTTTCTTAAAAACCACCGGTTGAAATATTGATGAAACTAACTTGAAACTAAAAAAAACTCCAGAGTGGTGCTGAAAGGTGCAACTTTAGGGGCTCTTGAAGGCTCCCCTCTAGGGACCACTTGAACTATCTTTTCAAGGGTCATTAGAGGCTGCGAAAGTGGTCCCTCTGTAGGGGATGGTCTCTGTAAACGAAAAATTACTGAAGGACCCTATAGGGACCCCTTGAGCTTCAGGGGTTCGGGGTTTGCTCCTTCAGGGACCTCCTAAACTTTGCCCCTATAAAGGTCTCTTTCAAGACCGAGAATTAACTCTAACAGATTTTGAAATTCAAGCGCTTGCCCACCCGAAACCGGTAAACCAAGTAAAGCCGGTGCGAGGAGGATTCTAATCAGTGAAGGCGTCGTCAGAGTGTTGCGTGAGTTTTTCGAACAAAAAACGCTTCTTTTCTAATATTCTCCATTTTCAGCTCGCAAGGCTCCTCCAAAGGACTCTCCTGGCGGGGCTCCTCCTAAGAAGCCTCACTCTCCATACGGGGAATACGTGCACCCAATCTATATAGCACCTCGCAATGTTTCGAAAAAAGTCACGAAATCAAATTGAGAGCGAACCGAAGAGTGAAATCTTATAACTAAAGGGATCAAATTTTGATATGAATAAAAAATTTTGGTCTTCCTGTCGAAGTTTCCGTGTCCAAAAAACCTGTTCCTGTGGGAGAGGAATTGACGGAGAGTTGTGGGTCCCAACATAAAGCCTTCTCATTGAAGATTTGTAAACTCCCCCTCTCACTTGATAAGTAATTTCAATTTGAACCATAGATTCTGAATTGCGAATTGAAAACTGTGAACCTTGACGTCAGCTTCTCAAGGTAGGATGAAGCTTCAATCTCAAAAAAAAAAATTTAACTGATCAAAAATCTTCCTGGTAATGCTTTCTCAACGCGCAATCATGTCTTTTAACGATTTTCTGAGAAATTTGCTGTCCACAATTTTTTTTTTTCTGATATAAAAACGGGTCGAATGAGTAAATTCCCAAATACCTTACGTAAATGGAAGTCAAGGTTAGTGATAATTATGGTTTTGGTCATCTTCTTTTCCAGATTTTGCTTATTTTTCTCCTCTCGACTCTGATGCCACTCGTCTTAGGGGACTACATACCATTATGCTCGGTAAAAACTTCATTTTCATGTGATTCAGAAGGCGTTCATTTACAGTGGGAACGCAGGACCAACTGCAGACGAATTTACGAATTTGACTTTTCGATTTGACAGATCTACAATCGAATAAAATTATTAATCTTCCCGTTGTTTTAACATCCTTATTTCTATTTATACATGAATAATGGAAAAATAGATGACTTAAGGGAAAAAAATTTCTAAGTTTGAAATGGTAAGAGGTCTCCTATATGTACTCCAAAACGGCGTGCAACCGACTCGCGCCGGCTTGCGCGTTTTTACTCAATACATCGCGGTGACGGCAGTATTACCACGGAGAAACGGTTTTTTTTTAAATCATAGTTTGTCTAGCATACTAAAATCGTCTTTGAATTTTGTTCGTCGATAAAATCTTTTTTTCAAGCTGGGCCATTTTTTTCCAGAGATTGTCGCAATTAAAATCTCTATTACTCCGAAGAAGATTATTTGATCTCCTAAAGCTCCCGACCGTAGTGAGAATGACTGAAGGCTTAAAAAATAAACCTTGAACGATGAAATTGAGAAATTAAAAAAATCATTTGTTCACAAACTCCGTGACACTCCGTTTAGTGAAATTTTCACTATATAGATGATTTTCCTGTAATTTTGAACCTGGGGAATAAAGTGCAAATTATTATTTTTCAAGAACTTGCAGTGAAAGTCAGGGTACAATACGGCGCGAACAAAACACCATTTGCGCTCTCCTGCATTTTCCGTAAAGTTTCTGGTCGCGTTTGGAATGGTTCAAGGACCTCAACCCAACCGTGACGCATCGAGCCGTTCCCGTTCAAAGTTCGAACAAGCTTGGTTTTCAGTTATTTTTGCAAGAATGGCAAGCATTGACAGTAAAGATCGAGTACACAGTTATGAAAAAAAAACTGAACCATATTTTTACATTGAAATTTCTGATATGCAGGTCTTACTGAATAATTCTTCCCTTTTTGCACATGTTTTTCATTTTCTTTGAAACGAAAAACGGTTTCTCATGACTCGATGAGGCATTGTATTGTGTTTGGGAAACTCAATCAACATATGAAATTCAAAAATCTGCCTCCAAACAGTTTATTAGACATTCCCATTTCCCAATCATTCGGGCTTGGGAAACCCTTGGAACTTATATTTTCAATTTTTTAAAAGGGATTTTTCAGAGGTCGAGTGAACTGGAAATGCAAGTCAAAGTGAGTATTCTCTTATTTTTCAAGTGTAGATAGGCTCAAAGCGCTTTGCGGTCGATGACATACGATACATAGCCATTCCAAACTTTGGGCCATTATTTTGATGCACAATAATTTTTTTTTAGTTTCTCCTCCTTGTTCTTCTCTCTCTTTCAACCTGTTTTGTGGCAGCGCAGAAGGGTATATCCTTTCAGAATTATTAATTTTTTTGTTGATGCTTCAGAGGAACGAAAATGGTGCATTTTTTGCGCCGACTACGGCCGTGAATGCGGCTATTTCGGGCCGTTCTGCCAATCCATGTACGTTTGCACAATGACACCGGTAAGTATTCAGAAAATGAGATTCAAACTGAAACCAATATTTCAGAAAGGCAAACGGTGCGAACGGAGTGAATTCAGCTAGACGTTGCAGCAGAATAAAGCTTTTGTCATGTCGCTCTTTATGTGCACATTTCACTTTTTTATTCAGTATTTAGAGAGAATCTAAAAAGTTGTTTGTCGGTTCAAGAAACTGTCGTTGATCAAGAACGGCGCCTTTATTGAGATAGTGGTTGATAAACTTTGAAATTTTCAAGATCAGCTTCTACACCATGTGGAAAGAGTACGACGCCCAACTTGTGCAGGGCTGGCCGGAATATAGTCGATTCACGGCTAGCTTGAGATGGAAAAAGGAGTGGCTTGTCTGCGTTATCTATCAATCAGACACTATCTCGTTTCTCATCGCGTCAGGATCCTTTTTCCGATGCCTCGAGCCAGCCAAAAATCGGTCATAAATCTCAGACGAGAGCGGAAGTTGATACCGATCACTCGGGAGGTAAAAATGACATAATGAACCCCAATTGCAATAGAAAACTATTCATCTTTTGAGTCTACCAACGAGAAGAGCTTCCAAACTCAAAGTTACTATATTTCGAGACCTTCAAGCTCTTCTGGGTGACGTGAACGAAGTACCGTAGTTCTCATCAATAAATCAAAAAAAGGGAAGCACCGTACCAAAATCGGAGGCGGGAGCAAGCGTGGGAAATCGAAGAACTCATGAAAATCTAAGAAAAACAAATTCAGTGTATTACATTCAGTTCAATTTTTGTTGGAGATCGTAGCCAAGGCTTTTGGGAATGGATTTAAAGGTTGATTAGCTCGAAATCCGCTCTTCTAGTCATTTTTCTTCAGTTTCTCTTTCGTAGCGTGTGCGTACGCGGTCCTTGGCACGTGTTCAATTCAACCACCCTCGACTCTTTGAAAATCTTGTTTTTCGCTCTTTTCATTCCTTTTTCAATTATTTATTGATTATGTTCATGTATTCATTAAAAATAGCAGAAAACATTGAAAAAGATCGGTTGCCGAGCTTTTTAAATAGTCGGAGGCTATTTAATTGAACTCGTGCCAAGAACCGCGCACGCACACGCTACGCGTCCCGCCCCTCGCCACGCCTCCCTCGCCTTTCAAGTCGGGAAACATTGACTATATCTGGTCATTGAGACATTTTTTCCCTTTTTGTTTTTCTTTTTGACCCTGTGAACGGTAGACAATCACACAACCTGTTGCGCTACTATGTTCCTTCATTGATTAAGCGTTATGTATAAATGCAAACTTGAAACAAACCTGATGTATTTTCTGAACAAGGGCAACGTAAATGGTGCATCTGGTGCGCAGCCTAACGGTGTTTCATTTTCGGCCCCTTCTGTATGCTGGGCACAGAATGCATGAAAGTTGTGAGTTTCGAAGACTTTAAGACTTTTTCATGCGATTTTCTCAGAGAAACGATGGACAGTTCCAGTGGAGCTCAGAGCGATACGTACATGTCTGCAGATAATTCGTGATATAAATAAATGATTCTGCCAATTTCTCTGTTTGTTGAATTGAAAGTTATCGACAGTAACTCTCCAAGCGGTTAATTTATCCAGGGTTTGCCGCTTCGCGACCGCAACGCAGCCAGTATAGTTGATTCACGGCTGGCTTGAGCAATCGAAAATGGCAAGATAAGAAAAGAGACAGTGCCTGGTTGGTGGAGAGCGCAGACAGGCCACGCCCCTCCCATGCAAGCCAGGATTCGGCTATAGATCGTCGATGTTCTGATGACTTTTCGAACCAGAAAGAATGATCATCGATCCTTTTTATGATATTATTAATTTATAGATTGCGTGTATCGATTCATTTAAACTTCTGAGAAATCATTCTGTTCGCGGAAGCTTTTGCAAATGAACTCCAAGGTCAGCAAAATAGAATTTCGCCTTTTAAGCTCATTTTCAGCTTTCCCTTCTGATTCTGGTGTCAATTATGGTGGCCGATATACTTTCGACCGATCCTGTCGAGTTACAGAAAAGAGGTTAACTAATAAAAAAGACTTCTTTGCGTCTTTTTTTTCGGCTATTTTCTTTCATTAACTTTAAAACTTCAAATTCTCTTCTATGATCGTATCTGTGAGGGAACAGAGAGCCCAGACAGGTCAGACTGTTTATTTAGTATCAGGCATTTCAAAAATCGTTTCTAGTATGCTACCAAAACTGGATGATTGAAAGAAGATAGCAAGATTTCAAAAAGATATATAGATTTCTAGAAGTCATCGAACGTAAATGGTGCATTTGGTGTTCGGCCTACGATGAACCCTGCGATGTTTTTGGCCCTTATTGTATGCTGGGGACGGAATGCACGCAAGTTGTGAGTTTCTGAATTTTCAACCTTTCAATAATTTTATTCCCTTTTTTCAGAGAAATTATGGAAGGTACAAATGGTCGACTAAAACCTACGTCTACGCCTGTCGATGATTCATTTTTTGAAATTTAATTTTTTTTGAATAAAAATGTGCCATGTTCATCGGAATGCAGTGAAATTCTTTATTGAAGACCGAAATTAATTATATAGTCCATTCACCGCGACTTAAGGAATGTCTGCGTCTGCTCCATCGCCTGAGAGGTTAGTGAAACCTGAAAACAGCACGATGGAATGAGAGGGTCGTCGAGAGGCGAAGAGGGCGCAGAGAAAACAGCAGTTTCGAGTCAAGAAAAACGGGTTACATAGGCAACGTTGGGAGGAACATTTACAGGCCCTTCAGAATTTGTTGTGGATCAAAAGGTTTCCATTAATTGTTCCTAAACGTAGGGACCGCAACCAAATCTTCAAAAAACTTTTTCGAGCTTCAATATCACTATGGTTGGATAGCTGCTTCGATTCACTATTCAAAAACAATTTAGTTTTTTTCAAAAAAAGGTTGAAAAACAAAAAAAGTTATGGTCAAAACAATAGTGAAAAAAAGTCGCGAAATTTAGTACTGAAAGTTTAGATTTTTACACTTTTGGTCGTTCATTTTTTTCATATCGGATTTAAATTTTTTTAATAGTTTATTTCGGTTTTCAAAGTCATAATAAGTCATTGAAGCAGTATAAAACCACAAGTTTGAAGAGAAAAGCTATTTTTTTCTTGAAAAATAAAAAAATGGCCGCTGCGAGGATCGAACCCGCGATATCAAAACTGTATGCAAGCGCACTTGCGCTGCTCCACACCCATTCCCTATTTCACCCTTTTTGAGCCTTTTTAGCACACCAAAAAAGAAAGGCCCAATAATCAACTCGGTTTTAAATATCTACTTATTATGGTTCTATGTTTCTTTTCTTAGACAAAAAACTTTTTTTTTTCTTCACAGGTGGGGTTAGTAAATCCACCTAGTGGTCTTTTTCCCTCCCTGCAACATCACCATACTATCCCGATGTTGCGAAAAATAAACAAATTGAAATTGAAAAAATTGAAAGGCCGCAAAACGGAACCCTTTTAGCGGCCATTTTGCACCCGTTCCGCACTTCCGACTTTGGCAGCGTTGAATAGTCACCCCGTGAAATTATGAAAAATAAAAACGCGTGCATTTTGAAGAATAAAAGTCATTTCATCGTCACCCAAGGATGAACAAGGTTGGCAAGCTCTAAATTTGGCCATCAAATATTTTCCTTTCAGATTTGCTTTTTATTCTTCTTATCCATTATGTTGGTCAAAGCTATTGAAAATTCAGAATTGACCACTGAGGATGAAGGTTCGCAGGGCCAATCTCGTGTTTTCTTATAAAATCTGGTTATAGTGGAGACGGAGCGCAAATGCTGGATTTTTTGCGCCCAACTCAACGAGCGCTGCAATTTTTTTTACGGGCCGCTTTGCGATGGGTACTTACGTTGCAAGCCAATTGTGATTATCTTTAAAATGTGGTAGTTATCTTGGTTTTTCAGAGAGACAATATTGGAATCTATGGAGAGAAGGGCATAGTTTACTACCGTTGTATCCCGTAATGAAAATAAAATCAACTTGTTAATTGCCGTTGAATAAACAATTTGAAAACTATTCGGTTTGAGCAGTCCGAGTTGCTCAAGCTTCATCATTATTGCTCATTTTATGGATTAGAACTGACTTTTTTGGGAATTGAACTGGCCCGATTCTGTTCCGGCCGCTTGAAAGAAGTGATTCACTGCCAAAGTTGGTAGTGCGGAAAACCGGTGCAAAAAGTGACTGCAAAATGGCCAAAAAGGGCTCCGTTTTGCGACCTTTTTTGAGCCTTTCTCTCTTGGTCGGCTAAAAAGGCTTAAAAAAAGGTGAAAGAAGGGTGAAAAAAAAGTGAGGGTGCGAGAAAGAGTGCTGAAAGTCTCGGCCACTTTGCCAAAGTCGGAAGTGCGTAAAACGGGTGCAAAAGGAAGTGACTGCAAAATGGCCGCTAAAAGGGCCCCTTTTTACGGCCTTTATTGAGCCTTTCATTTTTGATTGGCTAAAAGGGGTCATAAAAGGGCGATAAAAGGGATAAGCCGCAAAAAGGGTGAGTAAAGAGGGAGGGTGTAAAAAGTTTCTGTAAGTTTCTGCTATTGATGATTTCCGATTTTATTACTGTAGCTTATGTTGGTTCATACACAGTCACTGGTAAAGATTATTCTCAATAAAAAAAAAATGTTGTGTTTCTCAAAAGGGTCCAAAAAGGGTGGATAAACGCCGATGAAAGGACGGAAAAGGGCAGTAAAAAGGAAACCGTTGCCACATTTTTAGGAACTATTAATCGATACCTTTTGATCCATAACGAACCAAAGGGCCTGTAAAGGGTCATTTGGTGCGTTATGGATCAAAAGGCTTTGCCTATGATATTACCTTCTCCTCTTTGTAGATTAATTTTGAAGCGGTCACTAGAGGAATTAGCACCTGGGACACTCCTCTGAGTGGGGAACGGACTGTGAGGGAAAGAGTTCGAAAAAAAAAACGTATCTAGCAACTGGCTCTCCTTGGCACCCAAGTGCTCATTTTTCTAAAGTTCCTAGTTACTTTTCGGATGTTTTTTTTAAATACGTTGAGCAATTTCTCAATAACATTGACGTTTGCCAACTTCTTGAGGTGATTCAAAAAACATTTTTCCCGAAGCATTCCCTTCCCATTTCTCAATCAAAACATTAATTCTCTGAGAACCCTTGTCTGGAATCTTTTATTCTTCTTCGTTCGATGCACATCAAGGTAAGAAAAGTTTGAATAAAAAAGAAATTTTCAAAGTTTTGTCTGGTTTTCCTACTGTCGATCGTGGTGACGACATCTGCCAGAGCTTTAGGTGAGATGATTTTGGTCGCATGTAGAATGGCTCAACGCAAAAGTCAGAGGTATCGTTGAGCGTAAGCCGTTTCATGGTCGGGTGGAAGCTTGTTAATAAACTCTTCACAGCCGCCCCGCTTTGAGCCATTCTCCGTGCGGGAATTCGAATCTAGTTCAAGGTGAACAGAAAAAAAATTGATCTTTTAGACGCGACGGAGCGCAAATTCTCCTTCTGTATCCAATGCGCGGGATTGAATGACGAATGCGACATTTTTGGCCCCTTCTGCCAGTCTGGCCTCCAGTGCGAGCTGATTGTGAGCCTTTCAAAATTTGAACTTGTCTGATATTTTCCCGTTTTCAGGGAGATCAGAAACGCAAATGTCTACGCTCCCATTGAAGATGGATCATTGAAGAATAACTATATACTTTGTGGACGAAAATAAATCCTTTTGAAGAACAGAAAAATCCAACATTTTGTTCATAGTTCATTCACCGCCGCTTTAATAAATCTAGCCTCTCTGCGCCCTCCAAAGGCGTTGCGGTCGCGTCGCGGTTTCTGAATATTACTTATTTTTCTTCGTCTCCGGGTCTCACTGTTCAATATTTCTATTGATTAATCAATGGGAACCCTTCCGAAATACAGACTTCAAAAATTCCTTGAACCGAATTTGTACCTGTAAATGATGACTTTCAAGGTGAGAAAACACTTGAAATCTCAAATATTTCCTAACTTTTACAGTTTTTTCTTCTCGCAGTGTTGATCGCGATGTCTTTGGCTTCTTCGAGGCCTGGAAAAAAATTTCAGGTTTTTTTGGTTTGGATGGAAATTGATAGGCTTGATGAGATGCCAGAAACAAGGAATAAGGCTTGACAAAAATAAAATTTTTTCAATTTTTTTTTTTTCGAAGAGAATCAATCCTCAAACCTGGTTATTCCTTGATTTGATATCATATTTCATAAATGACGATTTTTCAGAGATTTCGCAACGAAAATGCTTGATTTTTTGCGCCCAACGCGGCGAAAAATGCAGCGTTGCGGGCCCTTTTTGTGATTTCGGGCTTACTTGCAAGCTCGATGAGATGGTTCTTCATAAAGGTGGACCGGTCTTCCTTTATCGTTGTCGCTGAATCGAAATTTCGATAGATTATTTTTTCTTTTCAGAAGAGAAAAAATTTTTCCCAGTCTTGTTCACTGCCAGGTGCAGAAAAGGGGTGCAAAAAGTGGCTGCAAAATGGCTGCTAAAAGGGTTCCGTTTTGCGACCTTTATTGAGCCTTTCTTTCTTGGTGGGCTAAAAAGCCGCAAAAAGAATGCAAAAAGGGTGCTGAAAGTCCCGGCCATTGATGAATTCCGATTTTGTTACTGTAGCTCATTTTGGTTCATACACAGTCGCTGGTAAATATTATTCTCAATTTAAAAAATATTACGGCTCTCAAAAGGGTCCAAAAAGGGTGGATGAAGGCCGATGAAAGGACGGAAAAAGGCTGTAAAAAGGAAACCTTTGTCACACGTTTGAGAAAATTATTGGAAACTTTTTGATTCCAAACGGACGCTCAGAGGGTCCGTAAAGAGCCCATCCGACTTTTCTCAAGCTTGAACTTTGTAAATTTTATCAAGAGGCCCAAATTATACTCTTTCAAGTTCCCTCCACATTTTCTGGTTTTCTGGACAAGTCTCGGCTCCCACTACTCGATTTACATTCTCATAAATTGATTTGGAGTTCATCTATGTAATAAAATTCTCAAAGTGTTGAAGGAATTTGGAGTCTCCATTTTCCTGTGAAGATGAACTTGAAGGTGGGCCCTTTTTGTGAGATTTTTTAAAATGGTTTCCAACAGTTTCTTCTCCTTTTAATGATCATCATCGTGTCTTCTGACGCTTGTTGGGTTTTCTGCGGTGGGAGAGGCGACAGGTGCGGAGAACTCGGACCTTACTGCGACTTCGGCTACAGATGCATCAAAACGGTGGGCCCAAATTATCAAAATCTGGTGCTTATCAAAGATTTTTCAGAAAGGAGAATGGCGTTGCTACTGACTTGGAACCAAAATTCTTTATTATATAATTTTTTGGGAAGGGAAATAAAGTACTACAAGGCGCATTGGAGTTGTTTTATACACTTTGAAATTTTAGAGTGGTCCCTATAGAAGATAGTGGAAAAAACAGCCCCTATAGGGACCGAAAAAGTGGTCCCTTTATGGGTAAAATCAAGAAGGTCCTTGTAGTGGTTGAGAGTCTGACCCCTTAGCCTCTCAAGCTTGAGTGGTCCCTATAGGGCTCGTGCAATTTTATTCAAAAAATTTTATTTTTATTTTTTTTTTCGACTAGCATTTCCCCTATAGGGGCCACTTTTGCATGTTTAGGTGGACCCTATAGTGACGGAAAAAGTGGTCCCTATAGGGATCCATCCAAGGGCTTCAAAGGCTGCCCCTATAGGGACCACTCTATGAGTTCCTAAGCAGGTTGCTTTTTTTTGAAGTGAGAAAATGAATTATTTATCAAAGAACGACTTTGTCAATCGGAAAGTTGGAGGTGCAGTTGTTTCAATTAAAAATTAATCAGCCGCACTTGGAATGGCTCAAAGATTTGCGGTCGCGTCGCGGTTTTCTATATATCTTCGCATTTTCTCATTTTCTGAACAAATCGTCGTTCTCACTGCTCAATTTGGTCACTGATGAACACATGGGAACTTTATATATTTATTCAAAAAGACAAATTCCAACCGAAAAAGATCTTTTCCTATGAAGATGAACTTCAAGGTGAGGGAATTTTTGAAACCTCTGCATATTTTTTTTGTAGATTCTCCTGATTTTCCTGATGACTATCGTTTCGGCAAACGGATGTTTGGTTTTCTGTGCTCCAAAAGGCGGAGGTTGCAGTAAATTCGGCCCTTATTGCGACTTCGGCCTCAAGTGCCAATGGGTGGTGAGCTCGAAATATCAAGTTCTTCTAATTTTTCTCGTATTTTTCAGAGAACCCCGGATGGTTTTGGGAAAGAGCAACGTTGCGTCCAGAAATGAACTATTTAATTTTCGTTTTTCAAGCTGAAAATAAAAAGTTACAAAGGAGCATTCACAGTGTCTTCATTTTTACGGAAAAGGAGCTTTTTCAGTTTTTTGGGATTTTTCTATGACATCTAATGTCGTCCTTGGAAACCCATCTACCAAAAATTAGGTCAAGCCATCCTTTTCATTATCGCTAATCTGTTGTTCAAAAGTAGAGTATATGCATAAAAACTCATTTTTGCATGAAATCTTCTTTTTCTTCTTCTTCTTCTTCTTCTTCTTCTCACGCCTTCATACCGCTTGAGCGGCGTCGGCGCCCCAAATCGATTAGCCGAGGTCCTATCCTGATGATAATCAGTAGGCTGGCTCCAGTTACATATCCGTCCTTGTGTGTGACGGCTGGGGATTATGAAGCCGTGGTTTCCCACTACCATCATTTCTTTAACCCCTTGGTTGGGTCGAGGCGGGGATCGAACTTGTGACCCTGTGGACCGTAGACAGGCAGACAACCTGTTGCGCTACGGCGCGCGCCTCATTTTTCATGAAATATTTCAATAAAAAGGTATGTCTGATGAAAGGAAAATAAATTGGACGAAAATTTGGATAAGACATCTATAAATAGACAACAAGGAAGTACTAGGCGCTCAAATACAAAAAAAAATGGTAAATTGGTTTTCTTCCAATAGATTTCTAGTTGGAATAGTCTGAGCAAAATTTAAAAATTAAAAATTTAGAAGATTCGAAATTGTCCTTAATTTTATCAGTTCTCTGTAGAATACAGAAGTTTATGGCCTTTTTTTCTCACACTGAGCAAAAAGAAATAAAGATTTTATAGATGTGTCATCCCGAATCTTCTTCAAAAACTTCTGAATTCTCAATTTTTATTGCAATTTTTTTCTTCTATTCAGAAGATTTGCAAAATGCAACGGCTCGGCTTTTTAGTATTTTTGGTGAGATTTAAAAAGGATGAAAAAGGTTCATAACTAATAATTATATGAAAAGCGTAAAAAATAAAAAATGTTTTTCGCAGCTTTTCATCGGAAAAGTTTCAAGATTATTATCACAATTTATTTTCAGTTGTTTAATTTCTATTGAAAGCTTTCTCCTATAGCATTATAGTTGAAAAAGACTGAGAAGATTCTTATTTTCGTTTAAACAAAAAATTAATTTTAATTTCAGCTCCTGTGCACAATCCACTTTGTGAGCTCCCAAACACCGGAGCAATGCTGTTTGAATCTGAGTGATTTATTTTTCTATTTTACAAAAAATAAGGGCCTAAAATTTTTTTTTCATGGCGTTCACGAAAAAAAATGTGAAAAAATTCCAGTTAAAACAGGACTTTTTGAGGAGTTTTCAAACCTTGGCAAAGAGTTACTATGTAGCACGAAATTCGCGTTTTCCAGAGAAAATAAGGATTTTTGTAGTACAGGGTGCAGAATAGGTATCAGTCAACTCTGAACAAACTTTCCAAAATTATTATTTCTGGTCTGACCTTCAAAATCTTTAAAAAGGCCTCGGCTCTCTTTTCGGCTAATTTCTCAAACCTTTCTTCAAAAAATCATTTTTTAGGTCTTCAAATATTTTCTTCAGGAAACGATTGGGCGATTTGGACGGAATGGTCACAATGTTCTTCTGATTGCGGGTATTGCGGTCGGAAGACACGGAATCGGTTGTGCAAATCTAAAATATATCACGGATGTGACTGGTGAGTTACTTTGTTCAAACTCCTATTTTAAAATAGAAGGCTTTGTTTTGTTCAAAATAATTGGTATGAAAAAAAATTTTCTGACACCTCGTTCCAAATTTTTCTACTTTCACTGTTTTTTCAAAGAGAACGCTTAAGTGACCACCAATGGAAATAGAAAAAAAGAAAAAAATATAGAAAAAAATAGAAAAAAAGGGAGAATAGAAAAAAATCCTAGTGACCACTGCAGGAGTAATAGGAAGAAGCGGCAAAATTCATCTTCAAAGGAGAAAATTTTTGATTTTTACGATGCTTTCTGCCTATTTTTGAGCTTCATCTACTACTTCACCGAGTTAAAATCAAAAATAGCCATTTCTTGAATATCAAACCGTTCCGAGACCTTCCTAAGGAGTCAAAATTTACAGTGACGGACCAGAAGAACACCGAGAAATCTGTCCCGACAAAACGTGCTCGCCCGATCAACCCTGCTGCAGGGGCTTCAGCAATGGAACCAGCTGTCAAATTAACTTGGTTTTAACTTTTCAATAATATAAAGAATTATAAAGTTTCTCAGGACTGCCAAGTCAAGCCGCTGCCAGTAGAGAACAGGCCACCAACAACTATCTCTACGACTCCAAAGTCTTCAGGCTGCTGAGGACCGAAATGAATTACTTTGACTTTTTTGGATAAAGCTTGTGTTGGTTGTCAGTATACTTGAAAAGGAATCACAAGATTATTTTTTTTAAATCCGCCTTTAAAACTCACTAATTGCTCAGAGTAGCTCATGTCAACAGTAGATGACTTTGTTAGCTTTTGAAAAATAACATAAGAAGTTCTTAGGGACGCGAGAGAGTAGAAGATCAAAAAGTTCACTTAAAACTTGAAGAAACTACTCCTTTTAATATGCACCCGACCTGAAACGGTTTCCGCCCAGAGACAATAAAAAAAGCCTCAGAGCAAGTTTCTAAACTTTTTGGCGTCCGAAAGTGACGCGACCGCAACGCTTTGAGCCATTCCAAATGCGACCAGGCATTTTGAACTGAGGCAAATAAAATATTATAAAATGCAACCAATCACCTACTTACTTTTCTAAACTAAAAATTTGAAAAATAAATCAAAATTTTTGAGTGTTTATAACTTTTTTTCATTTCTTTACGAATAGTGACATTTTTCAAAAATTTATGGCTTTTTTGAACGAAGGAATAAAAAATTTATTGATCGGGGAATCTTGAATTGCCCTTTTTTTATTGCGACCATTTCCTCCCTTCAGAAGTTTTGCGACATGCAACGATTCTGCATATTAGCCTTTTTGGTGAGTTTTTGATAAATTTAAGAAAAAGGATCGATTTTTATATGATTACATGATTTTTTTGTGAAAAAAATTGATGGGAAATGTTTGATCTAATCTTATTACACCTTTTAGTGTGAGAAATGAATCAAAGTGTTCCCCACCAGTTTTTTGAAAAATTTTCCCGTTCCAATTCAATCGACTTTATTTTTTTCGCAACATCGGGATGGTATGGTGATGTTGCAGGTGGATTAACTAACCCCACCGTTTGAGCCAAAAAATATTTTTTTTACTAAAAAGAAAATGTTTCTTTTTAAAAATTTATTTTCAACTTTAGGCCCTGTGCACAATCAATTTTGTGAGCACCGAAACGGAGGAACACATCGAATGCTGTAAGAAACGGAGTAATTTTTTTATACAATACAATTGCACGATTTTAAAATCTTCGAAACTCTTTTTTTAGCGTTTTGGTAGTTTGATTATATTTGGGTTAACTAGGAAACGAATGGGCCTCATGGTCGGAATGGTCAAAATGCTCTTCGGACTGCGGTTATTGCGGTCGAAAGATACGAACTCGGTTGTGCATATCCAAGATGTATGGCTGTGATTGGTGAGCTACCGTTTTCCTTTTCTCATTCAGTTCTTGAAAAACTGCTCAAGACACAACTAGAAAGTCAGTGATCACTAAAAATGGGCCTTGTGATACGGAAGTGGTACTGGAAGAGGTGTCATTACTGGGATTTCGGCTTATTTCACTTCTCAACGATTTTTTTCAAAACTCTCAGGGCCCTTTTGAAACCCTTGATAACCCTAGTTTTGGAAGACTAATAAAAAATCAGAATTTCGTCTGTCTTTTGGAGCATGAAACAATAGAAAATAACAGGAGGTCAATCTAGAAGTTACCACTATCTCAATCTTTGTTGGGTACAACCGAAAAGGCATGTCTCTGTCATTCAAAAGTGAATCGGGAGGTCGATGCAAGTAGGTGCCAAGTAGCAACTTGTTAGCTACTTTCATGGTACCGGAAAGATACGCTTGTTAGAAATCGTACCCGGTAGCATCACGATACCTCTCCGGTAGTATCCAGGTACCATAGAGATAGTACCCGGTCGCATAAAACTGGTTACAATATGCTGATTTACTTTAAAGCTTCTACTCGGTACCTACTTGTATCAACCTCCCTATTACCCAGTAAGCTCACCCAATCGAAAACTCGCTGTGAAACAAGAAGAGCTTTCAGCGACGGACCAGGGACTCACAGAGAGATCTGTCCCGATAAATCTTGTGATGGGGATCGGCCCTGCTGCAAAGGACACAACAATGGGACCGGCTGCGCCGTCATTATGGTTTGAATTTCGAAATCGAGAAGCATAGTTCATTTTTTCCGACTTGGAAGGCGAGATGGGTAGATTGGCAAAGGTTGAGCGTTGCGTGTGCAGCGCGGTTTTTAGCGGGGACTTGAGTTATCTCTGACAGAAGTGCAATCTAGCCTTTTGCACTTCGGTGCGTAACTTGGGCCTGCACCGTGCATTCTCAGTGATTTTTTGATGCCTCACTGGTGCCTCATGCTGAAAGCACTGGTTTGACACCTATGCACCCGTGTGGCACCAAAAAATCACTGAGAATGCACGGTGCAGGCCCAAGTTACGAATCGAAGTGCAATAAGCTAGACTGCACCGTGCGCCATTCTGGCAGAGAAGTATGATTAAAAAAACTACATTTTTCGTGTTTACATCTGACCTCAAGGACCCCGCCTAAAAGCCAAAGGGTTCTGGAGAAGTTGGGAAAGGGTGAAGTCAGAACAACTCCGGCATCGCATCCCCATCCCCTATCTACCTACCTCGTCTTGCATGACGGGAAAAATTGACTATATTAGAATCTTTCTAGGACTGTAAAGTCAAGCCGTACCACGAAGAGGAAAACGATCACAACTCGCATCACGATCACAACTCCCACCGCGATCACAACTCCCATCATGGGCACAGCTCCCACCGCGATCACAATTCTCATCAGGAGCACCGTTCCCACCACGAGCATCGCTCTCATCATGAGCCAAACCACTATTCTCATCATAAAACCCCCAAAACTCATATACGTACAGAAATGTGATTTTTCATTGAATAAATGTTTTGTTGAGAGAAGATTTATTTCAATTTTTTTTACGATTTCTCGAATGCTGAGCAGGGTGACCCGCGGTGCTAACACGGGGTCTCAGCGGGTGCTCCCGTATTAAACCCGTATAAGCCCAGCTGGTAGAACTTTTGCCAATTTTTAGCCCAACTGAGACCCCGCTTTAGCCCAGCTGGGTTACATATTTTTCTTACACCCGTTGTTCCCCCGTTTTAGCCCAACTTAGACTAAAATAACCTCAGAAACACGGGTTTAATACGGGTACACCCGTTGAGACACCTGCTCAGCATGCGAGTTATTTACTTTTCTGCAGTTCAGATGTGAATATTAGACAAACTCTCACAAAAGTGTGAAAATGATAAAGTTGTGAGCCCGCAAAAAGGATTTCCGTGACGGGGATCGAACTTGAGACCCTTCGGACCGTAGAAAGGCACACAACCTGCGCCGCTAATTGGATAATTTTTTATTTTTCATTTTCCATAATATTGAACGTTTACACAGCGTAAATGAGCTACCTTGAAACTTTACATCTCTAAAAAATTTTGTTAGACAAGTAAAAAGAATTCTCACAGAAAACTTTACGGTTTTCCATTTACGCTGTAAACGTCCTAGTTTCTGCTATCTTATTTTAAAAAAAATTAAAATTCATTCTCGTTTGTTTTTTTGAGATATTGCTCAAAGTTCAAATTTTCCGAAAAGATGCTCAATTTATTTTCCAACAAAATAACCTGAAGAATTCCTCTACCGCGCTTCAAAATAAAACAGGACAAAATAAATTTTCTCGACTCAATATCCCGGTCAAAACAACTCTCCAAACGCTCGAAGAATTCTAATAAAAGGCTGCAAAAAATGAAATAGAACGGATGACGGGAGAAAAAAAAGAATACGAGGCCCTGAGTCGTATCGATCCGAGGCTTGGGCGACGTCGGGGAAAATGAGAAAAAAAAGCTTTGAAAATAACAACAAACGTTGGTTTCGGCTCCATTTTGGAGACTTCTGGGTAGCTACCAGTTTTCTGAGCTTTTGGTGGTGTTTCGAAAGCCTGAAAATTCCATTTCACTGTCATTTCCCGGACCGTTGCTCATATACTTTTTGCTGAAAACTTGCAAAACTATCTCTTCTCTCGATTTCCTTCTTTATTCTGTTTTTCACATGGAATTTTGGCTTAGGGCTCATCGAAAAGTATGTCCCCCATAGGGACCACTTCTGCAAGCTTGTGACCCCTAGAGTGGACCCTCCAAAGACCCCTAAGGTTGCCCCTATAGTGACCACTATGGAGTTCCTAAGAAGGCTATGTATTTTTTTTAGTGAATATTAAAGTTTTTTTAAATTCAGTTTCCAACTTTGCAACCTTTGCTCTTTCTCATTTCGATACACATGTTTTCATCACGCATGAATAAAAAATTTAGTTCCTTTTGCACTCGGATGAAATTTCACGTCTAGTTTCCTTATTTCAAGGTAGACTTTTGCCAAGAAACCCGATAGTTTTTCGTCTTCAAATGGATTGAGAACAAAACCAGGAACTCGTCGCTTTTTTTTTTGAAATTGGATTTTGTGACCTTCTCATTCATTCTGTTGAACTTCTCAGATTTCTTTTTTTTTTCTACTCCGTAAGTATAAAAGCTCTCGACTTGGAAATTTTATTCAGTAAATGTCATAAAATTGACACTTTTTGCGGTAGGCAAAGTCGGAAGGACCCTTTACGGGGCCTTTGAGCATCCGTTATGGATCGAAAGGTTTCTTTTAATTGTTCCTAAATGTTTTCCTTTTTACTGCCTTTTTCCGCCCTTTCTTCGGCCTTTATCCACCCTTTTTGGACCCTTTTTGAAAAAAACACAAAAAAATTAAGAAGGAATTCATCAATCGCCGAGACCCCCCCTCTTTCGTCACCCTTTTTGCGGCTTTTTAGCCCACTAAGAAAGAAAGGCTCAACAAAGGCCGCAAAACGGAACCCTTTTGGCGACCATTTTGCACCAGTTTATCGCACTTCGACTTTGGCAGTAGAACTATAGTCCGTTCGCCGCGACTTGACAATTTTGCGTGTCTGCGTCTCTCTGTTCTCTCACCGGCGAGGTCAGAGAAAAATGGAAGAACACGTGAAAATGAGAGGGACGTCGAGAGACGAGTAGAACGCAGAGAAATCCTTTCCTTTCAAGTCGCGAAAAAAGGAATATATAAACATTTTTTCAAAATTAAATGCAATCATGGCATCGTAATCTGCTATATTTTCAACCTCTCAACTCATTTTCTACTAATTAATTTTTGCTCAAACCTTTTTTTTCAAGCTTCATTTCTGATTATTACACATTTCTCTTGGTTCAGATACAACCAAATTGCATAAAATGATCATAAACGTCTGTGCGTCGAGAATTTCTTCCCGAGAGCCGGTTCGTTAACTTTTTCTATACACATATCAATCTAATTTTTTTACTTTTTTTCCAAAAAGAATCTTAGACAAACTACCAGCCGCCATACTACTACTACATCGTTGACGACACCAAAGAACTTTCAAAAAGATCAGGTGAATTTTTAGAAAAAAAGTTTAAATGTTATCAATCTTTATATTTTTTTAGATAGGGCTGAATAGCGTACCTGCAGAAGAAACGAAGAAAAAAAGGTGAGAAAAATTGGAATTAATGCATGTAAAAAAAGATTTCAAAAATTAATTTTTAAAAAAACCAAATATAAAAAAATCGCCTCTTTTTTTCATCAAAAAGATAATTTTTTTCATTTATTTTATTTGATTCTACTTTCAGAAAATCAAGCGGAAAAAAACTGGATTTTTCATCCAAAAAGTTCGTCGCCTCTATCAGGAAATTCGCTCAATAAATTAATGGGTTGAAAATAAAACATATCGCTTTTTTTGAAATTTTTTTCCTATTGTTAATTTGAGTTATTGAATATTTCGTGTCTTTACTCTTCTTCCATATTATAGGTCGTTATCTTTTTCCAAGGTATTTGAAACGAAAAGCGCGACAATTAAGCTTTTAGAGGACAGGAAATTGAAGAGATTTTTTTGACAGTGGCGTTTTTTTCAGATATCTATTTTTGAATATGAATGTTTTTTTCAATATTTCTATGAAAATCTCTAATATTTTTTTAAAGAGCATCAATTATGCATGGAATATCTCTAGACCCGTTCATTCTGACCTTTAAAAAAACCAAGGATTCTTGATTACGAACCCCTTTGAATTTATGTTGAAGAAAGCTGTCGCAATGAAAGGAAATTGTTTTTAAATCATAATATTAATCAAAAAAATATCATTTTAAATCTAGTTGAACGCGCAAAAAAATGAATCGAACCATGAGTATTGAAAGATTTTTGCGATATGTCGTCGGTTAAAAATGCCGTTGTGCGTACACGGCGACGCTCAACACCATGATCAGAAGAAAAAAATAAAAAAACTTCGATTCGAAATTTTTGATTATTTAAAGTTTTTATACAACAATTTGAAAAAAATATTTCATTGCATGGCTGATAAATAATTGCAAGATAGTGGGAAAATGAAATTATCAATTTTTTTGAGCATTCCAAAAAGTTACAGAATTTTTTTGTCCTGGCATAACCAAAGTAATATTACTATTTTATTACTATATTATATTATAGTATGCAATTCCTGAAGATTATATTCCAGTAAAATACTTTTTGCTGCTTATTAATTTTTTTTTTTTATAGAAATATACTTTACAAAGGTCCCTGATGCCCTACCCTTTATTTTATGGAAAGACCGAAAGGATGTTTTTTTTCCGTGAAAATCGCCTTGTATGAATCGTGGAGTCCGAAAAGGCCGAATGTGTATGGGAAGAAATTTCGTGGGAAAAAAATTGGTATGTGATCGTAAAATTTTTGCATTTGCTCGCCTCATCTTCGGCATTTCCAGCACCTTGCCCTGTGGTAAAATGCGTATTTATTTTGAGGTAAGAAGTACATAAAATTAAAAAGGAAGGTTTTTCTGAGTACCACACGATTTCTTGTCATAGAGTGGATTGTTGCGTTTCAACTCGAATCGCCAAAAAAAACGTCAACTTTTTTTATACTATAGTTTATTCATTAATTTTTTTCACTCAAGTACGAAAATACAGAATATTTGAAAAGGAAGAATTTGAGTTAAAAAAAGAACCCGCTATAAAAAAACTTCCTAACGAGTGATTTACAAGGATGGGAGACACGTATTGAATATTGAGAACAAACATTTCAGATTATTTAGAAAAGTCTGTTGGGCACACTTTCAAGTATAGCCTATTCCGCGTCAGCTTGTCACGTTTTTCTTTCCGCCAAAAAGACCGTATACCAAATTAGATCAAATTCCTGCTTTTATAACGACAAGAAACGAAGGTCTTGAAGCGAAAGTTGGTTAAATTTGACCCGGCTTTTTGGCGGAAAGAAAAACTTGAAAAAAAAAGGCTGGCGCGGAATGGCCTATAGCTCATTGTTGTCGAGAGATTCGAGAAAATTCCTGAAGCGGATGACCGAGGTGTTCATGTCGATTCTTGAGTACAGCCTGTTCCAAATAGGCTGAAGAAACTGTTACAACGAGGGTCTGTCTGTATGAGGTTCATTGGAAAACGAGGTGAATCCGTTCCTTTGAAGAAATTATCTGCGTTTGGAAAATGATAGAAGCCCAGGACTTTTTGGAGAGTTAGTAGAATTCCATCAGTTGATATGCTTCCTGCTCCAGAAGAAAGAAAAAAGTCATCTTTTTACGTTAAACTTGCTCTGATAAAATCGTTTCGAAAAAATCATCGTTCCATATCTTATACAAGAAAAGAAGATGAAATGGAGGGTGCGAGAAGAGGAGATAAATTTGGCTGCTGAATGAGTAAACGCCTTCAGATGACATGGAGCTTTGAAATCAACTTTTCTGATCACAAATTTGGATCCAGCGAAAAATGCCGAACATGATAGACACTTCACTTCAGAGTTATCGATCGAAATGAATGATTTTGCACGGTTACGTCACAGCTTCAGGTCTTCGAATGACATCGAGCTTAAATCTCAATTTCTGTGAAAACTAATTATAGTTACAGACTTCGAATCAGAAAAAAATTTTGCACACGATAGACTCTTCACTTCAAATTTATCTAACAAATTGAAGAAATTTGCTTCGTGACGTCACAGTTTCAGGTTTTCAGATGACACAGTTTTCCCATCAGTAGAGCCAAAATATTTTTACGATGTTCCACTGCGGACGACTCGGCTGTGCGACGCGGCTGAATTTCATCATTATACAATAAAGTCGGTCGCTTTTTTGTGGCGGTATGTGGAGGATATTTTAGGTGATTTTGTTCTGTTCAAAAAATCCTACTTATTCAACAACTTAATGATGCGACTCGGCTAAGCGACGCGGCTAAATTTTCACAATGATGTCATCATTATACAATAAAGTTGGTCGCTCATTTTTGGCTGTATATGAAGGATAATTCAGATGACTTTGTTCTGTTCAAAAAATTCTACTTATTCAACAACCTGACAATGCGACTCGGCTAAGAGACGCGGCTAAATCTCATCATTATACAATAAAGTCGGTCGCTCTTTTGTGGCTGTATGTCAAGGAAATTTTAGGTAATTTTGTTCTGTTCAAAAAATTCTACTTATTCAACAACTTAATGATGCGACTCGGCTAAGCGACGCGGCTGAAGAAGCTGATCATGACGTTACTATTCCTCAACTTTCTACATTACTGGACTTCAAGCTATACGTGTAATTCCTCAACTGTGAATATCCATTGGATGCCCTATCCAGTATAGTCCCTCGCGAGGGTGACCATTCAGAGTCGAGTATTTTCCCAAGATCTCTTTTTTTTATAGTTGTTGGGACTATGGGCTACACAGCCATATGAGAATCATTGAAATCTTATGGTTTCTTGAAAAATGCCTGCGGTCCCTAGGTGACCTTTTATTCATTCTTTTCACCTTGTGGAGGAGTTAATTATTATAAAAGTTGTTCCAAATCAGAGTTGCAGATAAGTTATTTCAGGGGGCCCAAGACTCGGCAACGCGAGGCGGCTACTTCGAACCATTAGAAAGGAAAGCGGCGGCATTGTATTCCCCATCCTCATCAGGGTGCCGCCGGCTCTCCTCCTTATTTTCGTCTGTTTATTCCTGTGTTTATCGATTTTCTTCGCCGTGTTTTTTCTTCGCCACTGGTCATTTTTTAAAATTTTGATGCTCAGAATATTTTGGAGGCCGTATTTTTCATTATTCGAGTTACTCTCTACTCACTCTCAGGTCATTGTGCTCCAAAAATCGAAATTTCAGTTCGATTTAGCCCTGTTCATAAGTGACATTAGGAACGATTCCAAGTTTTCCTTAAAAGTTCTGTTCCAAAAAGGAAATCAAATTCGATACCTATCCTACCTTCGGAAAACCATTACCTTCAGAAATGGACCCCGAATTTGATTATATCGTTACTGTCAAAATGGAAAGGAGTAACGAGTCCGGGCAGGCGACGATTCGCTTCTTTCCAAGGCCCCAATTCGAACGAGTGGAATTGTCTCTGTCGACACCTTCAGCTGATGACGTGGGCTTCAAGGAAACTTCGACTCCTTCTGAGACCGATGAGGAAACTTCTGAGAGGCCGGCGAACACTACCGTGATTCTTACCGATAAGTATTGGAACAGAGCCGTGCTCACCGTTGAAAAGGTCGAGTTTGGCCCGAACGAAGTGCGAGAACTCGGATTGAAGTCCCCAGAAAAGCAGTCAGCCTACTTGAGGAACTTTACGGAGCTTCTGAGCACTTGCGCTGTCACCTGGTCAGACGAAGGTGAGCTTCAAAACCTTAAAATTGACTTGTAAATCGTGATTTGAAATCCTAAAAATCATTCCAAATCTGAAAAAGTCATCCATTCTGAAAATTGATGAAGGCAAAGTCGGAAAAGGTGGAAAAAGGCTCCATATAATGTTTCTTTTTTGCTGCCTCTTTGCACCAATTTCTCGGCCATTATGCACCAATTGTGCTGCCTTCCCTTTTTCCATCATTTCTAGAGCCTCAAAATCCCAGAAAAATGAAAGGCTTGATAAAGGGACTCTCTTTACTGCCTTTTTCCAGCCTTTTTGAAGCTTTTTCGCTGCCCTTGCGGCCTTTCCTGAGCCTCTCTCTTTTAGCGGCCATTAACCACCCTTCCGACTTCGCCCGAGTTTTTTTCTTACAAGGTTTGCTCATAAAGAAAAAGTTTCCAGGTCGGTACCCCGTGCCGGACTCCCAGAAGCGAGATAAATTGGCCTTCGTCAACGAAAAGTTCATTATGATGATAAACCTGGTAAGCCTAGAAATCTCATTCAAATTGATAAAATGTTTCCAGGTGAAAAGATCCGCTCTTCCAGACTGCCAATTCCATCAACAGCTCGTCCAAGTTTTGGACACCCACGGCGAAAAATTCAGCGAGAATGTTCGGTCGGCTATTATTGTGAGTTTTGTGATTTTTCACCTGTCTATGAAAAACCGGTGAAGATGGCATTGATATGGTCTTTGTATGGTTAAAGATACTACTTCGCGAAAGTAGTTTTTTGTCGGATGCGCTGAAAAATCAAGACGAGCCATTTTCGAGCTGTTTCATGCTACGCGCAAGTAGTTTTTTGTCGGTAGAAAAGTCAAGACAAGCCATTTTCAAGCGGTTTCATAGCCATCGACTTCCTCAGGCTCCAAAGATTTATTAAAAAATCGATTCCAGAGAAACGACCCAGGAGAAATTGACTTCCTGATCCGCAAGCAGACGGTGATCTTCTGCCTATTGCGCCTCCTTACGGTCCCTCGCTATAATTCGGAAAAATGAAGCAAAATGCTCAAACTTCTCAAATTGATTCTGCGACATCAAAGAAGTCTTGTTGAAATTGTTATAACGCACAATAACCGGTTAATTTGAAAAACTCTTGTCTTTCAATGCTATCCGTGTTTTTTTTTTAATTTTTCAACCTTGTTGTTATTTTTTTCTGTAATAAAGCTTTTTTTGATACAAGTTATTTTTCCCAATCAAAAGAAAGCTATAAATTCCAATCAGAGAAGACTTATTACGTCGCTGACTTTGCGACTCGGCTAAATAAACAAGATCCTTATAAATGACGTCATGAGCTTCCAGCAACCGTTTCAACCTTAAAAGAAAGTATTTTCAAGATGATTTTTTTTGGATCAATGGTGTCAAACTGATTGATGACGTCACTGTTTGCAACTCGACTTTGCGACTCGGCTAAATAATCGAAATCCTTCTGAATGACGTCATGAGCTTCGAACGACCGGCTACTGTACTTCCTCGAAATAAAGTCATTTCAAATAGACTTTTCTCCATCAGAGAGGTCAAACTGAGTCGATGACGTCATTGACAATGCGACTCGGCTGTGCGACTCGCCTAAAAAGGCAGCTTTCATCAGAGAGGTCAAACTGAGTCGATGACGTCATTGACAATGCGACTCGGCTGTCCGACTCGGCTAAAAAAACAAGGTGCTTCTGAATGACATCATAAGCTTCTAATGACCGGCTACCATATCGAATCGAAACAAAGTAATTTCAAACTGATATTTCTCGTCCATGGAGTGAAATTGATTAGATGACGTAAATCGGCTGTGTAACTCGCCTGAATCAGTAAGAAGACATATCGATCCAAAATAAATTTTTTTTTTATTTTTTCAATTTTATTACTGTTTCATTGACTTTATTGCTTTGCAACTAGATCAACCAGATGCTTCTCAAAGATTTCGCGAGGTCAAATCGGCCTGCTGCCCTTTGTTCTTCACACTACATAGAAAGTTGCAGTATGTTTATATCTGAGATACCGCGAAGCCTTTGTCGCGCGGCTACTCTTCGCCATCGAAACATCGAAAAGAGACGGCTTTGTTTTTTTTTTCGGCACGTCGTTCGTCGAGCCGCGACAGTGCCTTTCTTTTTCTTTGACCATTGATTTTCTAGCGTAAATTTTGCGAAGAGGTTTTGATAGCTTTACAGTTTCAGGGTATTATGGGGTCTGATTGAAATTAGAAACTTTTCCTGTACCTCAAATTTTCCCAAAAATTTTTTTTTTTGAAAAACATTCTACTTTTCAAAATTGAAGCGAAAAAGATTCAATGAGTGGCAAATAATTGATTTTTAATTACAGAGGATGTCGGACTCTTCCGATCCTCTCGAACAGTTCACTATAGTGGCAAAAGAAAACGTTCCGGCTTCTGTCCAATTCATCTCCGGCGAAGAGCTTCGCTTATGGAACGAAGCCTTACTCTACGTCTACAGAATTGATCTTCAAACCATCGAATTGAAGACGAACATCGAGCCCGAGGACATGAGGCAATACGAAAACTTGGCCAGATTCACGAAGTATCTGGGGGAAAGACGGATGAGAGGTCGGTTTCTCAGGCAATTCCTGTGAAGGTACTGGAAAGATAGCTTCCATGCCTGCCAACAACCTGCTGGAAGGCTTCCGGCAGGTTATTGGCAGGCTGCTGGAAGGTTGTTGCCCGAAATTTTCAAATTTTTACCTTCCAACAACCTTCTGAAGACCTTCTAGCTTCCAATTCCCTTCCCAACGCCTTCCTCAGTTCTCTCAAAATATATGATTTCAAGAGTTTCTTCTCCCGGGTCGAAGTGTCGAAACGAAGCTCAAAGAGTTGATCGAACTCAACAACAAGTTCAACGCCATGACCCGAATGGTTAGTTCAATAAGATTTTTTGAGAACGCGTCGCGGTTGCGATGCGGCTGGAGCCAAAAATATCATTTTGAAAAAATCGCGACGCATCAAGCCATGCTCACGGCATTCATAACGGGCTGATGCGTCAGATTTTCTGAATTTAGAAAAAAAAGTAAGTTCGCGCTACGGATAAAATGACGTCATTCTACGTCGTTTGTTCGATTGGCTGCGTACTTGAGGCTTAAATTTTCGCGCCAAAATTTTTTCGACGCCACCCCGTTTGAGGACGACGTGTGCTCTAATAGTTCCACAAATGAATATAATTCTAGTTTCAATCGATTGGCGAGAGAAACGAAAATCAACAGAAGATGATCGACAGATTTGCGAACTCTCCTGGGGAATTTCAAAAGGAAGTTCAGTCGGCGATCGATGTAAGTTATCTTTTTCATCTGTCACAAAAAATATAGTTTTTTCAAAGCCGTCATGAAACAAAAAAAAACCAGGGCGGTTTTTTTTCCGAAGATTACTGTATGTAAAATCGACATTTGAAAAAAAATCAGAAAAAAAATCACGAGAGGGATTACTCAAAACGTGCAAACACGTGAACACGTCAAATGCAGAATTTAATATACACTACTCCTCGGAAAAGAAAAACTTGCTCTGGAATAATTGCTAGTGGTCACTTTAGGGTTTTGACGTTTCAGTGCCCACTATAGTAGTTGAATTAGTGGTCACTCAAATTCTTAACGTTTAGTGACCTTTTCGCAAGTCTTATTGATCACTATAGTCAATATAGTGACTATAGTGATCAGTAAGAGGCAAAATATTAGCTTCTATAGAGATGCTTTAAGTGGCCACTTCAGTGTCCTATCCAATTAGTCCTTGAGGGACCTCTTCAGGGGCCACTAGAGTCTATTTTAGCACCTAAAAAAATTTAGAATTCTCTGAGAAAAATTTTTAGTGGCCACTACAGAGGCTCGCCAAGGACTGCTTAGAGAGGAGGACCCGCCTCTATAGTGGCCCCTACTTTCTGTTTTAGTGGCCACTATAGAGGTTCTCTATTTAGTGGCCACTTTAGTAGTTTTTCATTCAGTATTCCTTCCAGATAATTTTAAAACAAACAGATTGGACCAGTTATGTTAATCCACTGACCCCTAAAGTGGCCACTAAAAATTTTTAGTTGTCTAGTAGTAGCACTTAGACCTCCATAGTGGCCACTAATTTTGAACCCCTTAGGTTGCCACTAATTTTACTACTATAGTGGCCACTAAAAATTTCAATTTCCTCTATAATCAGCTTTCCATATTTTCCCAAGAGTTTCGATTCAGAAAGAAGATCCCTTGGAGGTAGACGTCGTTTTGAGGAAGCAGATCATTCACTGTGTTCTCCTGAACATGGGCCGGAAAATTTTCTGGAACTTGGCCTCGAGTCGGGATCGAGGATGAAATTGTTGTTTTGTTATTTGCAATAAAAGTTTTATGAAAAAAGGTTTTTTTTTTTAATTCCAAGAAAAGGTGAAAGAAATAGGTTCCTTGAAATTAATAAATTTCCCGAAGATCATGACGTCATATTTTTGCGACTCGGCTATGACGTCATGAGCGTCGCTTTTTACGGAAGAACACGAATTTTTCTGGATGAATTTCGCTTCTTCAGATGAGTCCTATTAACTTAATGACGTCAGATTCTATGCGACCCGGCTGTGCGACTCGGCTAAACTAGCCAGGCGATTGTCAGTGAAAACGGTATTTTCCTATGGTTTTGTCCTGTATAAAAAGTCCAACTTGTCTGGTGACGTCAGAGTTTGGGCGACCCGGCTGTGCGAGTCTGCTGAACTAGCTAGAATTAACACCTAGAAAACAATAAAGTCCGCCGTTTTACTACAGAAAAAAGACAGTTTCGTTCTGTTTGAAAAGTCCAAATTGTCTGGGGACGTCACAGTCTATGCGACTCGGCTGTGCGACTCGGCTATACTCGTTAGGCGGTTCTCATTAACATCATGTACCTAGTGAAGCCGAGTGCACTTCTGAAATAGTAAAAACGGTATTTCCAAATGATTTCGTCCTTTTTGAAAAGTCCAACTTGTCTGGTGACGTCATAGATTCTGCGACCCGGCTGTGCGACTCGGCTAAACAAACTGTTATCATTAACATCATGAGTCTAGCAAAGCCGACTGCAAGTTTGAAGTAAAACGGTATTTTCAGATGAAATTTTCCTTTTTTAGAAGTCCAACTTGTCTGGTGACGTCACTGTTTATGCGACCCCGCAGTGCGACTTGGCTAAATTAGTCAGGCGGTTGCCATTACATCAAGAAACCAGCAAAGCCAGCCGCTTTTATGAAAAAAAAAGAAACGATTCCGTATTTTCGAGAAGTCCATCTCGTCTGGTGACAGTTTATGCAACTTGGCTGTGCGACTCGGCTAAAGCAATAAGATCATTCACAGGCACCAGTTGCACTTTCTCATGTTGATGGCCAAAGTACAGCACGCGTTGGTGACTCGGCTGTGCGACGCGGCTACTTTTAGGCTATCGAAATGGCAGAAAAAAAGGCGCCGTCGTCCTCCCCCTTGCACTTCGCTGAGCCAGGAGACAGTGCCCGTCGGCTTTCCTCCCTTTTTCGCTTTTCTTTCCCGTTGTCTATTGATTTTCTAGGCGCTCTTGTAACTCGTCTATACTTTTTGTCTTGTTCAAAAACTTTGGTTTTAGAGAGATTTTGACGAAAACCTTCCTATAAAAAGTGATTCCTTAATTTTTAAGTTTCCGGTTAATCATTATTTTCCCAGGCAATGTTCTTAGCTCACTGACTTCTTTTTTTGCTTTTTCATTTGCTCAAAAAATGCAAAATAAAAAGGAAAAAAGAGATTAACATTGAAAAAAATCAGATCGAGCTCATTTTTTTGAGAGGCTGACCATTGTTGATCACGGAAAATCGACCATTTTCTAAATAAAAAAAGTAGGATTTTTTTGAAGGCTAAAAACACTTTAGGAAGCTAGTTTTTTTACTATTTAGCCTCGCCTTCTTAATTTTGAGCGTTCATAAATCTTTTTCATAACTCTCAACGGCATCTTTTTTTCGCATAGTTTCAGAATATTTGTATTATCTAGTGGGATTAGTCTCACTTCCTGGTCAAACGAGTATGAAAAAAATAGGAAGGAAAATTTAGAAAAAAAAAATTTTTTTTTGAAGGCGATGTCGGACACTCCGGATAACCCAGAGCAGCCAAAAACTGAGGCAAATCAAGACATTCCGGCTTCCGTGGAGCTCATATCTGGCCAAGAACTCAGTCTATGGGGTCACGCCATTCAATACGTCGAGGGAATCGATTTGGAAGCGATCGAGCTGGAGACGAACCTGTATCCCGTGGACAAATGGCATAGGAAGAACTTGAAACTGCTCTCGAAAGCTATGTACTCCGAGACGAAGAAAAGTCAGTCTTCTTTTTTTTTCTAGAACTTGAAAACAAAGTTTGAAGAAGTCCTTCTTCCACCAAGACATTCGGCGGCCTGGAAACGTGTGAAGTTGTCCGAACATAATAAGAAGTTCAGAAAGCTCTTTCAGTTGGTCAGTTTGATTGTATTTTCCAGAACTCGAAAAATTATTGATTTATTCGATTTTCTTCCAAAGTTCAGTTAAGCCTTAACCATCAAACTTTTTTTTTCCATATATATAGGGACCGCAAGTCATTCCTTCAGAACCATTAAAAAAAAATGTTTTTCACACTATTCGATAGAGGAGACTGTCAATTTTCATAATCTGTTTAGTTTTTGAAAAAAGGTCCACTAAGAAAAAAGTTATGGCCAGAAAACGAGCGCGCGCGGCGTACAACTGGAGGCAAAATCTCACGGTTTACCCGCTGCCGCACGCTTTCTTTTTAAATGTTTTTGCACGTTTCTGAACCGTTTTCGAATCGGTTTTCTGTTCTGAGAGGTTGTCAGAACTGAGCTCAATGTCTTGGTATGAAATTTTTGTACAATCCTCATAAGAATTTTTGATAAAGCATCGAAAAAAACTACCTAGAAATAAGGTAAAGGGATTTTTTTCAGCTTATTTTTCTTTTTTCTAATCAGAAAAACTATTATCATTCGATTCGGAAAAAAGAAAAAATGAAAAATGATGTTAATTCGAAATAAAACAAGAAAAAAGTGCAATTTGACTCCGAAAATCGGCTCCTGCAACATTTAAAAAAGCGCATCGATGTGTTTGACGCAAACACAGCTACGGACATTTGTGCGAATTCTCCCGAATTTCATGCCATTTTTTTCGAGGTTTTCCAAGCCGTTATTTTTTTCGCGTCGATCGATTTTTTTCATAATTTTTTTCATTGATAGAGTTTTTGAACGCTTAATAACATAATCAAAAAGTATAGACGCGATCCTATTCTCTCATGCGTCAACGAGGCAGACGAAAAAAGGAGGTTTTGGTAAAATTCAAATATAATTTGATTCGCTGTCCCAATATTTTTTTCCATTTCGAATTTTTATTTCTGGATACATTCTTAGTTATTAAATCAAATAAAAAGTATACCATGCCGCTGAAATTTTTTCGCATTTCAGCTTCAAAGTCTGGTGTCCCTTTACAAGCTTCGATATTTTTTTCACGTCGGTAGACTTTTTTTAATTCACACTCAAAAGATAAAGAAAGTGTTAATGTATAACATACTCAAAATTTAGAAGCGTTCCTCACTTGGTTTTCAGAAACGCGACGATTTTGTGAAACTTGTCAGTTTTTTTCGAATTAAACCTCACTTTTTCGCTTATTTATGAAAAATAAATAGTTTCAAAGATGTTCAGTCTTATAGAGCGTTGTCGAATACATAGGTTATCAGGAACAGTTTATTTTTAAGGTGAAACTTTAGCCAGGTAAAACGCCTCAAAACCGTTTTTGCAACAAAAAAATCTTCATTTTGGTGGCGTGAAGGGGCGGGGCTTTGCGCTCCCTCCATATATATGTTCTTACAGTTTTGATTTTATGATTTCTATCGTTAGGGCTTGCATTAATCTGCAAAATTTTTTGTTAGAACTGCATAGCTTTTTTCCGGTTTTCATAAAGGATGCAGCTGCGCGCAAACAGTTTTTCGTCCGGAACAAAAAAAAAGAAGTTTATCAGGTTCAAACAGTCGGCGAGAGGCACTTATTTCAACAGACGGTTATCGACTCCCTTTCTGACCACGTGGAAAATTTCAATCGCGATGTTCAGTCGGCGATCGATGTGAGTTGGCCTCTATAGAGGCTGGTAGAGTGGTCCCTAAATGAGACCCTTCAAGGGCCCTGGCTGCCTCCGTAGGGACCACTTTGAAGTTTCTAAACCCCTTGTCAAGTTTGCAAAGCCCGTTTCCCACGACTAGAAAGGCCGGGACTTCTCTGGGCCCTCCTGGTCTCTCAGCGACACTATCTTGCTGAACGATTATTTTCATGTCTCTCTTGTCTCGCCGGCGAGGGAGCAGAGAGACTTCAAGTCACGGCTGACGGACTGTACAAATCGAAAAGCTTTCTCGAGACCTTTTACATATCTTCTGATTCAGGGAGGAGATCTCATCGAGATAGATAAAATGTTCCGGCGGCAAGTTGTCAAATGCGTCGTCTTGAACATCGCCAGAAAATATTTTTGGAGCGTCACCATGTAGCGCAAGATCGCATAAACTTGTTGTTTTTTCATGTTATCCCATGTCGTTTCCCTGTTAATGAACGTTGAAGATTTCAAAGCGAAAAATGCAATAAAAACCAAGGAGATTCCAAGAAGTTTGAGAGGATGAAACAAAGAAAAGTGGTTCTTCTAGATGAATCACCGTCTCAGGAACCAAAGATAAAACATGGAAAAACTCTAAAGATTTTGATGACGTCATATTCTTTTTCGACGCGGCTGTCAAGTCTAGAATCTTTTAATGACGTCATGAATTTAAAATGAAGCCGGTCGCCTTGTGTAACAAAAAGGATTTTCCTACCAGAAAAATTTATTTGATGACGTCATAGATTATGCGACTCGGTTGTGCGACTCGGCTAAACTACGGTTGTCATTCACATCATGGTCCTAACAAAGCCGCCGTTTTCCTGTAGGAAAAATAGTATTTTTAGAAGATTTTATCCTCTTCGAAAAGTCCAAAAGTCTGATGACGTCATAGTTTATGTGACCCGGCCGAGCGACTCGGCTAAACTGCGGTTATAGTTCACATCAGGGTTTTAATGAAGCCGACCAATTTTCTGGAATAACAATGGTGATTTTCGATTATTTTATCTCTTTGAAAAGTCCAAAAGTCTGGTGACGTCATAGTTTATGCGACTCGGCTGAGCGACCCGGCTAAAATATTTCTGCCGTTCTTAACAACATGATGACGTCATAGTTTATGCGTTTCGGCTGAAGGAACAAACATTATTCTCAATGGGATCATCGATTCGTAATCTGACATGGAGCGCCAAAAGGGCTCCACAACTTTTTCCCTGGCACACTTGCCGTAATCTAGCTGTAAGAAAACGACGAGATAGTGTATGTCAGAAAAAGAGTTGTGGTGCCCTTTTGGCGCTCCATTTCAGGGTATAGACCCAGTTGCACCTTCTCGGACATTGGTAACGCGAAACGGACGTGCTCCGGACGTTTCTGGGCGATTCAAGGAATCACTTAAGAGCGTTAAGGCTACTAAAATGGTCACTAGAAATGCCCCGACACGTCCGTTTCGCGTCCCGTTCGCGTTACCAAGGTCCGAGTTCTCATTCATGTTTGTAGATGCCCGAGATATAAAAAAATCACGCATTGGTGACTCGGCTGTGCGACGCGCCTACTCGAAATGACGGAAAAAAGGACGCCGTCCTCCCCCTGGCACCTTGCCGAGCCAGGACAGTGCCCGACGGGTTTCCTCTCATTTTTGCTTCCATTGATTTCCTAGGCGTTCCAGTGATTTCTTCATCTCCTTGGGTGAAAACTTTTTCAATTTCCTAAATTCCGATGAAATTGGAATAATATACAACTATTAGTATATTTATTTTATACAAGTATGTGTCATGGATTTTGGAACCTGAAGTATTGCAAAACTGTCATCATGACCCAATTTTTTCCTGAATCTCAGATTTCCTCGCAGAAGCCCATTTATTTATTATTTTCCTTCTACTTGATTATTTTTTTTTCATTGTCTCCATTTCTATCATATTTTAAGTTCAGTTAAGAGAGGACCTTTTCTTTGAAAAACTTGGCGTATTCCTAGCACGAGAAGTCATTTTATTCTGCGTTTTGGATTTTTTCTAAAAATTTGTCCAAACACTCTGAACGTCTAGATGAAGTTCCCTCACAGTCGCTACCTGCTGAAACTTCTAGTTTTTGAGATATGATTTTTCAAAGTTTTCAACACAAAATTAGACCTCACAAAGAGGTCATTTTTTGCGACTTGAAAATTTCTACAAATTTGCTCAGATAATCTCTGAAAGCTTATATGCAGATATGACAAAGTTGCAACCTACGGCAGCTTCTAGGAGTATAGGACAAAAGCGCCGATTCCAAGAGCGCCGTTCAAATTTAGCGCCAGTCCGCAATGCGCCGTCGCGTGTATGCGCCGTGTATGCAGACGCCGCTTTCTTTTGCGCCGAGTCCGTTTGCGCCGAATCGTTTTGCGCCGTTATTTCAAACTTTTTATTTTATTCGCTCTTTTTTTATATTATTTTTTTAATAATTGTTTACTACACATTCATATACGACTCGAATAATTTTTCGCGCCATCTGTTAATATGGACTTTTTCTGCCGCATTTTCGAAAAAAACTCGAACTATTGTTTCAAGAAAAATGAGTTCAACGTTACGAAAAAAACGATTTTCTGCTGTTTCACGTCTGCTAGAATTGAAACTTTGCCTTACCTAACGCAGAAAATTTGCAATCACAAAAAAAAATCACTCAATATGTCGTTTAAAGCAATAATTTTTTTTATCCATTCTCTTTTCCTTACGTTTTCTGTATTTTTCGAAATCAGAAAAAAATATTTGCTTTTTTATTTTTACTTTGAAAAGAAAAAAGGGGAAAAAATATTTTACCTGGACCAAATTGGACCTAAAAAAATCATCATTAACGGATGGCGCGAAAAATTATTCGAGTCGTATATGAATGTGTAGTAAACAATTATTAAAAAAATAATATAAAAAAAGAGCGAATGAATAAAAGTTTGAAATAACGGCGCAAAACGATTCGGCGCAAACGGACTCGGCGCAAAAGAAAGCGGCGTCTGCATACACGGCGCATTGCGGACTGGCGCTAAATTTGAACGGCGCTCTTGGAATCGGCGCTTTTGTCCTATACTCGCTTCTAGTTTTCGAGATAATTAATTTTGAAGTTCGAAAAGTTAAATTCATATTTCACAACTTTGAAAAATCATATCTCAAAAAAGATAGTATTGCGCAAGTAGCGACTATGAAGGTTTTACTAGGCCTTCTGAGAGAGTTTTAGCAAATTTGTAGAAAAATCCAAACCATGAAGAAAAATGACCTCCGTTGTAAGATCAAAATAGTTTCTCTTGTCGAGATCAATTTTAGATGATCAACATATTTTTGAAGGCAATGACGGAATCTCCTGATCAACCGCAGCAAGCCGAGGAAAATCAGACTATCCCTGCTCCTCTCCAACTGATCACCGGGGAAGAGCTCCAGATGTGGAGAAGGGTTATTCACCACGTCGAGAGGATTGATTTGCAAACACTCGAACTGAGGACGGTTATCACACCGAGGGACCGGATGCAATTCAATGAACTGGGTAATTTTATTACTTTTTTGTACAAATCAAAAACAACAAGTGAGTCTTCAATATAGTCTGTGTGCCACGACTTGAAATTTCATGAAACGACATTCCGCTTTTCCGCTGCGTGCGTTCGCGAAGCGTCTTTCGAATCCAGGTCACGCTTCCAATTGATTGTTAAGCGCGACCGAGGTTCGCAAAGGCGCGCAGCGGCACAGCGTAATATCGTTCCGTGAAATTACAAGTCGTGGGATAGTCTGTGTGCCAAGATTTGGAATTTCACCGAACGACATTCCGCTGTTCCGGTGCGTGCGATCGCGAAGCGTTTTTGCCTATGCGAGCTTCGGTAGCGCACGCAGCGGCACAGCGGAATGTCGTTCCGTGAAATTTCAAGTTGTGCCACACCACCTTTATAAACTGAACATTTAAAGAATTCCTCCTGCCGCTTAACCCTGAGACGAAGCGTAACAAGTTGGCCGAGTACAATCTCAAGCAAAAAGCTTTTAATCAAATGGTTAGTTCATTCTCTTACTGTAAAGGTGCGCAAGTAGTTTCTAGTCGGGTGCATAGAAAACTTGGTGTTTTTTGAAGAAATTGATTTCAGTTTTCCACAATTGGCGAGAGAAACGCACACCAACAGAAGTTGATCGACGTTCACTCCGGCTCTTGCGATACATTCCACGGAGATGTTCAAATGGCGATCGATGTAAGTTTAATCATTACTGACTTAAAAAAAGGTCCATTCCGAGACAGTTTTACCTCAAGCATAGGCAAAGCCGGAAGGACCCTTTACAGACCTTTTGAGCGTCCGTTATGGATCAAAAAATGTGCCTAGACGGATGGCAACGGTTTCCTTTTTACTGCCTTTTTGCGTCTTTTCGACTTTCATCCACCCTTTTTGGACCCTTTACAGGCCCATTGAGGGTTCTTTATGGATCAAAAAATGTTCCTAAACGGGTGGCAAAGGTTTCCTTTTTACTGCCTTTTTCCGTGTTTTCATCAGCCTTCATCCACCCTTTTTGGACCCTTTTTAAGAAGCACAATTTTTTTAATAATATTTAACAGGGACTGCGTACAGCTGATTCACGGCTGGCTTGAGCCATCGAAAAAAGGGTCCTGACATAATTCACGAGATCGCGCCTGGCTCGTGGAGGGCGCAGACAGGACACGCCCCCTTAGCGTCCCAAGCTGGCCTTGAATCAGCTATATGAACCAAAATGAGCTACAGTAATAAAATCGGAAATCATCAATAGCCGAGCCTTTCAGCACCCTTTTTCCACCCTTTTTGCGGTCTCTCTCCTATTTCTTCCTTTTTTGGGCTTTTCAGCTCACCAAGAAAGAAAGGCTCAATGAAGGCCGCAAAACGGAACCCTTTTAGCGGCCATTTTGCAGTCACTTTGGCAATCAGGAGCGTTCAAAAACGTAAAAATGAAGTGTCACCTCAAAATTCTGATTCAGAGCGGAGACGAAGTGAAAATCGACGCCCTCTTCCGCAGACAGGTCGCCAACTGCTTTTTCCTAGATCTCGCCAGGAAACTTTTTTGGTCCTGGTCCACAAAACGCAACTGGGCATAAATTATCGTTCATATGAACCTTTTTCCGTGTTTCTGGCGGTAAAATTTTCTTTACAAAACGAAAACATTGAATTTGGTCCAAGAAGAATAATGAAATATAATGTGTTGTCCTTATCGTTTCGGACAGAGCTGTGAATATTCGATGACGTCATAATTTATGGGACGCTACTGTGCGACTCGGCTAAACTAGACTGTTTTCGATGACGTCATCAGCTTGAAATAGAGGCACACTATCTTTCGAGCCCGAATGTGAGCCCTTGATCTAAAACTAGCAGGGTGATTCTTAACAAAATGGTGAATTTAGGGGAGCCGGCCGCTTTTCTGTAGTGATTTCGTTCATTTCGAAAGTTCTGACTTGTCTGATGACGTCATAGTTTATGCGACTCGGCTAAAGTAGCAAAGTCGTTCTTCACAACATGATGACGTCATAGTTAATGTAAAGGAACAAAAACAATTCTCAATAAGACCATCGATTCATAATGTCTGCGCCTTCTCATCCGTTGATAGATACCCGAGGTACGAAGAAATCGCACATTGGTAACTCGGCTGTGCGACGCGCCTACTCGAAAGGACGGAAAAAAAAGACGCCGTCCTCCCCCTGGCACCTCGCCGAGCTAGAACAGTGCCCGACGGCTTCCCTCCCATTGATTTTCTAGGCGTTCCAGTGATTTCTTCATCCTTTTCCTTGGTTCAAAACTTGTTCGATGTCCTGAATTTTGATGAAATCTGTAATTCATAGTATACTTATATCACATTTTTATAAACAAGTGTGAGTCATAGTTCTTGGAACGCGAAGTATTCTAAAATCGACCCAATTTTTTTAATCTCAGAATTTCTCGCTAGTAGCCTAGTCATCTTTTTCTTTCTTCAACTTCCTCATTGTTTTTGTCCCTTAGTTCTATCATTTTCTTTTAAATTCAGTTAAAAAAAGAACCTTTTCTTTGAAAAAGTCTTGACGATTGGAGCATTCCTAACAAGGGAAGAAATTTTGCTTCACGGCTTGGATTTCTCTACAAGTGCTCAAATGATCTCCGAAAAATTATAAGAAGTTACATCAAAGTCGCTGCCTGCGCAAACTTCTAGTTTTTGAGATATTAATTTTGAAGTTTGAAAAGTAAGCCATTAAACTTATATTTCGCAACTTAAAAAAATCATTGCGCAGGTAGCGACTATGCGGAATTTTCTTCTAGGCCTTCAGAGAGTGTTTGAGCAATGTTGTAGAAAAATCCAAACCTCCTTTGTAAGATCAAAATAGTTTAGAAAAAGTTTCTCTTGTCGAGGTCAAATTAAGATGATCAATATATTTTTGAAGGCGATGTCGGAATCTCCAAATCAACCACAGCAGTCGGAAGCCGAAGAAAATCCGATTACTCGGGCTCCTTTCCAACTGATCACCGGGGAAGAGCTCGAGACCTGGAGACGGACGATTCTCTACGTCGAGCGGATTAATTTGCGAACACTCGAACTGAAGACGGTTATCACACCGAGGGACCTGCCGCGATTTACTGACTTGAGAAAAATGATGGTCTTTTTGGACCAAACAAGAGTAATGAGTGAGTCTGTTTTTGTGTTCTTTATATCATAGGCGCAGTAAAAAATGGAGTTGAAGACAAATATTTCATTTTGTAAAACTCTTTCTTGCCTGACGAATGGCGAACTTCCTGATTTAAAAAAAATTCAAAGACGGAGAAAGAAAAGCTTGAGTTCTTGCGAAAAGGCGTTTTGCAGTAAAGTTGCTCTATGGACAACACGCTGCGCCATTCATCGGACTTTCGCGTTTTTTTACTTTTTTTCACATTTTGGTTTTTTTCTGTTTTCAATATCGTCATGAAAACTTGCTATTTCTCAAAAAAATTTGCAAAAAAATACGCGAGATGCTTCTGTGGGGGGGATGATGATTTTTTTACACAGATTTCGATTATGAATTTTTAAAGCATGTTTCAAAAAAACAAATGGCGGTGAAATAAAATCACGTTTTTTTCTTTGACAGTAGTTTCAAATAGCCCGTTCTATTCGCAATGAAAAGCTCTACAAGGTGCTGATTTCACCTCAAACCGCGTTTTTTTACAGTCGTTGTCTTAAAATTAAATTGAGTATGTTTAAAGAATTCCTCCTGCCGATTGAACCTGAGGCAAAGCGGAACAAGTTGATCGAGTACAATCTCAAGCAAAAAGCTTTCAATCAAATGGTCAGTTCATTTTCTTATTGTAAAGGATACCGCCCGCGCAAGTTGTTTCGAGCCGGGTACACTGAAAAACGATTTTTTTGAAGAGGCTGATGAAAACAAACAGAAGCTTAATTTCAGTTTTCCACAATTGGCGAAAGGAACGAAATCCAACAGAAGCTGATCGACGGCCACTCCGCCCCTTGCGATAAATTTAATAAAATGGTTCAAATGGCAATCGATGTGAGTTATAGTCCATCCTTCCCGAATTGAAAAGCGAAGGGGGTTCGCGGTTCTTTGCACGAGTTCAATTCAACCGCCACCGATTATTTAAACAGCTCCGTAACCGATCTTTTTGTATCTATTCTATCAATTTTTGATGCATGAATGGAAGAAATCAATACGGAGTTGAAAAAAAAATCGGAAAGAGCGAACTTTTCTTCAGCCTTTTTAGCTCACCAAGAAAGAAAGGCTCAATAAAGGCCGCAAAACGGAACCCTTTTAGCGGCCATTTTGCACTCCCTTTGGCAGTTGAGAGCAATCAGGAGCGTTCAAAAACGTAAAAATGAAGTGTCACCTCGAAAATTTTGATTCAGAGCGGGGATGATGTGAAAATCGACGTTCTCTTCCGCAGACAGGTCGCCAGCTGCCTTTTTCTGGATCTCGTCAGAAAAGTTTTTTGGTACTGGGCCCCAAAACGCAATAGGGCATAAATTGTCGTTTATGTGAACCTTTTTACCGTGTTTCTGTCGATACAATTTTCTTATAAAACGCAAATTTTTGAATGTGGTCCAAGAAGAATAATGAAATTTATTTTGTTGTCCGCATAATTTCTGAGAGGGCTCTGAATGTTTAATGACATCAATTTTTATGCGACTCGACTGTGCGACTCGGCTGAACTAGACGGCTTTCGATGACGTCATCAGCTTGGAATTAAAACACACTATCTTTCGAGTCTAAAGCGGGCCCTTGATTTTTCGAGACTCGATTTTCCAGGCCCACAGAGACTAAAGAGCCCGAAATTAAGCCGGTGCCTTTTTTTTTTTAATATTTTCATTCATTCATTCATTCAAATGTTTATTTTTAAAAAATCGAGCGGTTTGCCCGCTTCAATAGATTTTTATGATGAATGACTATAGCTGATTCACGGCTGACTTGCACCATCGAAAAAAGGGTCCTGACACGATAATGCACAAGACAGTCTGGCTCGTGGAGAGCGCAGACAGGCCACGACTCTTTAGCGTTTCAAGCTAACCGTGAATCAACTATATTGTAGGGCTATTTTCTCAACATGACCGTTTTTGAATAGTTTTTCTGACCGCTTCACTTTCAACTAGATTGCTCTGAAATACATACAGTAGCGAAGAACAAATATAATTCAAAAAAAAATCTTGAAGCAATGGTATATTCAAATCTAAGCGGCAAATGTATAAGGGGGTTCTCAACTTAGTGGCCGTCGTTCCGATGCCGCCAAAGGCTTTGTTTGAACTGTTTTCATCCAAGGTGCACTCAGAGACGTGACGGCGCGGCACTATTGAAATGGCGCGAAGGAGGCGTCGTTGGACTCCGTCTTGAGAATCCCCCTGTTGATTCACAACCCTGCCTTTCTTTTTTACCCGATCATTGATTTCCTAGGCGCTCTCAATAACAAGGGAAGTTTGTGAGGTGACCATCGCAGATCTGGTCTTTGGTAGATCTTCCTAGGTATATGTACTCGAAAAAGATAAGAATTATCTGTTAAGCGCCATGGGGTTGAGCTTTTCCTGTACATGTTCGACAGGCTATTTCTGTGTACCCTATGGCGCTTAGCGGATAATTCCTCGGTTCTCGATTCATAGGCAAATCGAGAAAAGGTATCGCGAGACTTTATGAGGTATATCGCAGGCTCTGAAGTCCTCGAGGATTTTGAGCAAAATGAGAGGGGCTTGAGAGAGACTCTAAAGTATCTCCGAGATGGCTCAGATATAGCTAAAATGTACGCTGGAGGTCTCACGATGGAGACTTTATGGGGTCTTAATGATCCATTTTCAGAGGTACCTTTGTGGACACATTATGATACCATCTTGATTCGTCTGTGGAAGTACCTTTGTGGACACATTATGAAAATCTCTTGATTCGTCTGTGATACTAATACTTGGGTTTTCTCACCAGAGAAGTTTCAACAATACCTTTGATCCTCCCCTAACACCCTCCCCTCGTTACTATTCGCTTGTCTTTCTGGTGTCGCCAAAGGCTTTGTTTGAACCTTTTTTGCTCAAGGTGCACTCAGCGACGTGACGGCGCGGCACCATTGAAATGGCGCGAAGGAGGCGTCGTTGGACTCTGAGAATTCCCCTGTTGAGCCACGACCCTGCCTTTCTTTTTTGTTTCGATCATTGATTTTCTGGGCGCTCTCGTGAATTCTAACTAAAAAGGGGAGTGGAGGAGGCGAACATGGTCCAAACTCCCTTGGTAGACAGTCATAGGTATGATTGCTCGAAAATAAAAAGGAATATCAGCTAAGCGCCATGGGGTACTGAGAAACAGCCTGTCGAAAATGTACGGACAAGCTGAAAACTGATTTTCTCTGGTTTTTCGGTTTCCGAAACGTCTAGTTATTCATTATATCACAAAAAACCCAAAAAAAAACCTAATTTTGAGCTTTTCCTGTAAATTTTCGACAGGCTACTTCTCAGTACCCTATGGCGCTTAGCAGATAATTTTTTCTGTTCTCGAATTATATAGCCTATTCCGCGCCAGCTTGTCACTTTTTTCTTTCCGCCAAAAATACCGTATACTAAATTAAATCAAATATCTGTTTTTATAACGGCAAGAAACAAAGGTCTTGAAGCGAAAGTTTGACCTGACCTTTTGGCGGAAAGAAAAATGTGACAAGTTGGCGCGGAATGGCCTATACGCGTATGGAGAAAGGGTGTCGCGAGACCCTCTGAGGTACATCGCAGGCTCTGAAGTCTCACGATGGTACCTCGAGGATACCTTTGAGCACTATGGCAAAATGAGAGGGACTTGAGGGCGACTCTGAAGTACCTCCGAGAAAGCTAAAAGGTGTGCTGGAGGTCTCACGATGAACACTTTCTTGATCCATTTTGAGAGGTACCTTTGTGGACAAATTATGATACCATCTTGATTCGTCTGTGGAAGTACTTTTGCGGACACATTATGGTACCCTCTTTTTTCGTCTTTGATACTAATACCTGGAACTACACAGAATGTTCAACCATACCTCTGATTCTCCCCTGACACCCTCCCCTCGTTACTATTCGCTTGTCTTTCTGGTGTCGCCAAAGGCTTTGTTTGAACTTTTTGTTTCGCCAAGGGGCACTCAGCGACATGACGCTGCTGTGCCACGCTATCGAAATGGCGCGAAGGAGGCGTCGCTGGTCTTCGCCGTGAATTCCCCTGTTGAGCCACAACCCTGCCTTTCTTTTTTCTTTCAACCATTGATTTTCTGCGCACTTTCGTGAGGAACGCTTTCAAGCCCCGGGTGATATTTTTGATGGAACTTTGCTGAAGTGTACCTTGGACCCTCGTGATTTCAGACCAAAAATCATTTATTAGAATAAGTCCTGGACGCTTCAAAAGCTTGCTTGAAATAGCACTTTTTGTCATAATTTGCAGAAAGTTCAAAGTACATACACCTTAGAAAACCTTAATCGAAAATTCAACCTGGAGCTATTCTATTCTTTCTGAGACATCCTCATAACTCTCATATGGCTTCGAAAAATTCTTACAATCGATTTTCTAAACGCTCCTGTTTACGTCTCTTCCATTGAACCAAGCATTGATAAGGCCAAAAAATGATAAAAACCCCCGTTCGGAGCGTATTTCTTGAAAAAGTGCACCCTATCTACTATCAAAAGCGGAAAAACAAAAAGTCGCGACATCTGTTCATTGGAGATTTGCCGCCTGAGAGCGTTCAATTTATCAAATCTGGCAACTTTAAACCCGGCAACGTATCAGGCGCCGCGATGTAAATTTTCTTTTTTGACATCAAAACTTATGGTTGAGTGTTAAGAATCCTCTCATTAACTGCTCCGACTTTTCTGGTTCCTTTCAGATTTCTAATCTTAAGCAAACTGTTAAAGGAAAAAATGACAGTCACGGCATTCCTAATGGGGTGAGGGAAGGTGAGCGAGGCGTCAAAGTTTCTGAATTCATCAAAAAAAAATAAGTGCGCACTCCGGAAAAAAATGACGTCTTAATTACACTGATTATTCAACGATCGCTTTTAGGTGCGTACTTAAGAATTCAAACTTCGCGCCAAATTTTTTTTTAACGTCTCCCCACCCCGTTTGGAAACGCCATGGCAGTATGAAAAATGGTTATATGCCATTTCCAAGAACTCTCCCTTGCCTGTGGAACGGTGAACTCGGAAACGAAGTTCCCGAGAAAAAATAATTCAAAGTCGGAGAGAAAAAGTTTGAGTTCCCGCCGAAAGGGCGTTTTGCAGTAAAGTTGCTCCATGGACAACGCGCCGCGGATTTTCGTTTTTTTCTCTGTTTCTATCAAATTTCAATTTTTTCCGTTGTCACCAAAGTTCTTTTCGTCATTAAAACTTTCTGTTTATATAAAATTTACGAATTTTCATCGTAAAATGCTCTGGCAATAAATGATGATTTTACACAGGTTTCGATTGGGAAATCGATATTTTGTGTTTCCTTTATTATCGGTGTGTGTTTTTCGTTTGACTTATTGTTTTTTTCAGAGAAGAAACTCTCAAAAAACCGGTTGTTTTGGAAAAAATACGAGTCTAATAACGGGTCCGCAAAATCGCGTGAACGGCTACTGTAAACAATTTTCCGTACACCGATCCAAAGGGTTTTTCAAAATTAAGAGACGGACAAGTAAAATCGCATTTTTATTCAGAAGAGGTCACATCTGTAATTTTTTTGAGTACAGAGTTAGATTCGCAATGAAAAGCTCTAAAATGCATTGCGAACTTTTTTCCTGCCCCTAAGCCTTTAGCCTATTTTTCCTGTATATATCTTCCGATTTCGCTCGATTTTCCTTTTGAAAGTATAGTCTGTGTGCCACGACTTGAAATTTCTCCAAACGACATTCCGCCATTCCGCTGCGTGCGGTCGCGATGCGTCTTTGACGTCGGTCCTTATTTTTAATTATCATTGCTGGTAGATAGACTGTTCCACTGGGAACATATGAGATTCGAGTGCTGGATAATTAACCAAGATCCGAAAAGACAAAACCGCGTCGCGACCGCGCGCAGCGGAACCGCGGAATGTCGTACATTGAAATATCAAGTCGCCGCGCACAGACTTGTTTCGATAATCAAATTTCAAGAAAATGCGGGTTTCCAAGTACAAGATCGAATTGGAAGTGGAGCATGAACATGGGCTGGCAATCAACCTCCAGTTGGACAGGTCAACGATCTCGATTTCGGGTGGCAGCGCGAGGAGTTTTGCCCTATCCGAACTTTCGATCAACCAAAGTCCGGCAGAAGATGCGAACCCGGGAGTAGAGGAAGATAATATGGCGGGAACCGAAGAAGAACACGATCGAGTCTCCCTGACGGATCCTCAGGAGAAGCGAGAAGAGGAAGCCCGGGACGAAGACGTCGCTCCCGCCGAGGACCTTCGCCCGATTCTGCAAGGCGAAAATCTCACGAAATGGGAAGGTTATTCGAGCTTCGCGGAGAATCTCATCGTCACGGGCGCCAAGCTCTCCGACGCCTTGAGAAACGATCAGAACAATGTAAAGAAGTTGTACACTTTTCACAACGATCAAAGCGATGACGTGGTCACAGGTTGGATCATCTCCAGTTTAATCCCACATTTGTTTTCCAGAAAGACTCCCCGAGGAGACGTCGTTGAAGAGAGAGAAATTGCGTCATTTCCACAAAAAATTCGACGTTTTGAAGAATAATGTTGCGTTTTAAAAAAAGACCTCATCAAATTGGGACATTTTTTCAGTTGCGAGATTTCGCTGAAGCACAGATCGAAGTCTTCCAGAAGATGATGGAAGTCCTCGAGCATCACGAGATGAGATCAAATCATGAAGTGGAGGCTGCTCTCGCCGTGAGTTTTGCAAATCTCTGGGAAAAGATATAGTCAATCCATTCCGACTTAGGAATTTTAGAGTGGTCTCTATAGTGATTAGGTGGAAAACAGCCCCTATAGAAACCGAAACAGTGGTCCCTCTAGGGCTAAGGTACCCATAGGGGTTTCGGGCCTGACTCTGCAAGCTTTAGTGGACCCTATAGGGGTGGTAAAGTGGTCCCTAGAGTCCCTAAGTTTCCCCCACAGGGACCACTCTGGATATCCAAAGAAGGTAGGGTTTTAATGTCTCTAGAGCTATGAAAATCGACTAGAACCTGGAAAAGTTTTAGTGGCCACTATAGAGGCTCGCCAAGGACTACTTGGAGAGGACACTAAAGTGGCCACTATTTTCCGTTTTAGTGGCCACTTCAGTAGTTTTTTTTTTTCCACTACTCCTTCCAGTAACTCTGATAATTGAAAAAAAAAAACAGATTGGACTAGTTATGTCGATCCATTGACCCCTAAAGTGGCCACTAAACTTTTTAGTGGTCTATTAGCAGCACTTAGACCTCTATAGAGGCCACTAACTTGACTACTATAGTGGCCATTAAAACGTCAGAACCCTATAGTGATCACTGAAAATTTTCACAGAAGGATGATTTTTTTCAATACAGAAAAAAATCATCAAATTCTCAGAATATTCGTTACGCCATACCCTAGTCAGAAAAAATGAGTCCGAATTCTAAAAATAACAGATTTGATTTCCAGCTCAGTTGATTTGAGAAAATTGCTTTGGCATGGATTAAAATAATGATTTCAGGAAGAAGATGATGTCTTCCTCGACCTGGCGATCCAAAGACAAGTCCAAAATGTTCGGTATCTTTCCGACTTTGAAGATAATTTATGTGTAAGGCGCAACCGCGACGCCTAAAATTCTCGTTTCTTTGAGTATTCTCGTGTTTTCTTTTTTAATTTGTTAGTTACTCAATAAAGTTCTTGGTTTCAGCTATGAAAAAACGACAAAATAAAATCGCGGCAGATCAAATCGAGGCTGAAAAGTTCAAAAATCGATCATTTTATCCCATTTTGAGAAGAAGGATCGCCCCAAAAACACTGAATTTAAGCTTAAAACGGTTTTTCTACAGTTTTATTAGTTTTTAAATTTGAAAGTGCTAATTTTTCGAAATATGAACGGTTTCTGATAATTCAAAATCGGGTCTTAAAATTTTTTATAAAACACATTTTTCCATTTTTCAACTTCTCACCTTGTTTTTGCTCGTAAAATATAGAAACTTCGGCTCAAAAAGCGAATTTTTTTCTTAAAATTTGATGGAAACCCGAAACTTCCACGTTATATACGGTCTGGAAAAAGTAAAAAAATTTGAACATGGAAAATATATTTTTTTATAAAATAGCCCTTTTAAAGCCGTTCAAATGGCCCCATAGTTCCAAGTGACCCCTACAGGGTTTAGGGGAAAAACAGTCCTCTAAGGGACAAATAAGTGCTCCCTATAGGGGTAGCGTCAACTTGAGCTTTTTAGAGGCTCAGGGTCTCATTAATAGAGGTTTCCTTGGAGTGTCCCCTCTAGTGACCACTTTACCAACCACTATAGGGGCCACTGGAGCTTCCAAAAGTGGTCTCTATTTGGGACATGCTAGTCGATAATTTTTAGAAGCATTTTCACGGGAAAAACTAGAAAAAATAAGCGTTACTGAATAAAATTAAAGACCCCTATAGGGACCACTTAAGCTTTATGAGCCCTACTCTAAGCCCCTATAAGGACCACCATGATTTTACCCCTGTAGGGACCACTTTTTCGGCCCCTAACTTCTACAGGGTCCACTCTGAAGTTCCTAAGAAATGTCTGACTGATTTTGGAACTGGCAGAGTGGTCCCTACAGTTTTATGGAAAAAACAGTCTCTCTAGGAGAGAAAAAAGTGCACCCTATAGGGATAACATTCAGGTAGAACTTCTAGGGTTTCAAGGTCGGATTATTACTATTACCCATATAAAGGTTGGTAAAGCGGTCCCTTTAGGGGAACCTTCAAGAGCCTTTAAAGGCATAGGGGCAGTAAAAAACGGGGTTTCAGGGGAAAGCAGTATCTCATATAGTTTTTCTTTGCGAATCGAAGGTTTACTCAAAAAAAAAATTACAGATGTGACTACTTTTGAAGAAAAAAGCGATTTTACTTTCCCGCCTTTAATTTTGAAAAAAGCTTTGGATCGGCATGCGGACAAATGTTTACAGTAGTCATGTACGCGATGTTGCGGACGTCTCATTAGACTCGCATTTTTTGAAAAATGACCGGCTATCTGCTTCAAATTAAGGGTCTCTTCTCTGAAAAATCAATTAAAAAAACAAAAAACACACATTGATAATGAAGAAACACAAAATATTGCTATCCCAATCGAAACCTGTGTAAAATCATCATTTTTCACCAAAGAAGCATTTTGCGATCAAAGTTTGCAAATTATACATGAATAAAAAGCTTTTGTGACGAAAAGAACTTTGGTGACAACAGAAAAAATTGAAAATTGAAAGAAACAAAGAAAAAACAAAACTTCGAAAAATGTCGAAACGTGTTGTCCATAGAGCAACTTTACTGCAAAGCGCCCTTTTGGCGGGAACTCAAACTTTCCTCTCTCTGACTTGAAATTATTTTTTCTTGGAAAATAGGAAGTTTGGTACATTTCCAAGTTCACCGTTTGATTCGCAATGAACAGCTCTACAAAGAACTGCTTTGAACTGAAACACCGTTTATTACTGCCCCTAAGCCTTTAAGGTTTCCCCTATAGGGACCACTCTGGCGTCTCAGGCAATCGAAAGTCCTCGATGAATGACCTTATAACTCACGCGGATCTGTTTTACCCGGCTATAAAATAACAGCGGCCAGTTGCCCTTTGTACGATCGCGAAAGACGCGCACCTTCCCCCGTCTTGTTTACGTCTGCCGTGCCAGGGAACCCTTGGTTTTTTGAAACTTCGCGCCAAAACTCTGCTAGGTGACTTTGAATCATCCATTTTTCGCGTTGACGAAGGTCTCATCTACATTCAAATTTTGAAACTGTTGAAATTTTTTTTTCATCCTTTCATTTATCTCCTCGAAATTTATATTCAATCACCAGATTCCAATATCTTTCCCGTGTGAAGTACAGCGAAATTTCGATTTTTTGAAATTCGAAACTGTCGATTTTTCTTTGTTTCATTTAACCATTAACCTCCATTAAACGTTATTTTTTTTGTTTCATCCATTTATTTATCTCCATTTTCTTCGATTCGAAATTTATATTTAATTACCAGATTCCAATAGCTTTCCCGTGTGAAGTACAGCGAAATTTTGATTTTTTAAAATTCGAAACTGTCGACTTTTCTTTGTTTCATTTAACCATTTACCTCCATTCAACGTTATTTTTTAACCTCAATTTTTTTTTGATACTCCAATCATTCTGATATTGTTATAGTCTGTGGTACAGAAAAATCAGTTTCTATTTAAAACTTCAAAAAAAGGCGCCAAAAAAATCTATTTTTTTTTCTTGGAATTCGAAAAATCATACATTTTTTGACCTAAAACCGCACTCTAGCTGAAAATTCGATCCAATAATTTATCAAGTTTTAACTTCGAAATTCTTCTTCGAATTATTATTTCCAAACATTCACGTCTTAGGAACATTCTTCCACCATTCAAATATTCAAAAAAGGACGCCAAAAAAACTCTACTAGGTACCTATCATGAGCAAAATACTTCCATATTTGCTTAGGAACCGTCAATTTTTAAGGCTCAAAACGGTAAAAATTTTTTAGTGATCACTATACTATAGGATTCTGACGTTTTAGTGGCCCTTATAGTAGTCAAATTAAAGGCCACTTAAGGGGTTAAAAAGTAGTGGCCACTATAGAGGTCTAAGTGCTAGACCACAAAAAATTTTAGTGGCCACTTTAGGGGTCAATGGATCAACATAAAAGGTCCATTCTGTTTGTTTAAAAATTATCAGAGTTACTGGGAGGAATACTGGATGAAAAATCACTGAAGTGGCCACTAAAACGGAAAATAGCGGCCTCTATAGAGGTGGATTTAGTGGCCACTTTAGTGTCCTCTCCAAGTAGTCCTTGGCAAGCCTCTATAGTGGCCACTTGAGTAGTTTTTCATCCAGTATTTCTTCCAGTAACACTGACAAACAGATTGGACCAGTTATGTTGATCCATTGACCCCTAAAGTGGCCACTAAGTGGTCTAATAGTAGCACTTAGACCTCTATAGTGGCCACTAAGTTTAACCCCTTAAGTGGCCACTAACTCGACTACTATAGTGGCCGCTAAAACGTCAAAACCCTATAATGGCCACTTACCCAATTTTTTTCATTTCATTTGGTATTCTCCACGTCTTGGGTGCTGGCGAACCATCGGCCCTTCGAAACATCGAAAAAAAAAGGGGCGCCAATTCGTCTTCCCCCTGGCATCTCGCTCATTGAGCCGCGACACTGTCTTTCGTTTTCTTCGACTATCGATTTTTCTGAACGCTCCTGTCACCCCTTTCCACTTCACCGGGCGTCGAACGATAAGGCCCCTCAAAAGTGATAAAAACCCCCGGTTGGGAGCATAATTCTTTGTTAGCTGATTAATTGGCGGGACAAAAAGTGGCGGATGGGCCTGAAAATGCCCGTGGACAGGAGCCGTGACATGTGTTGACGTGAGGTCGGTCGCCTGTCGGCGTTCGATTTATCAAATGTTACAACTTCCATCTCGCCCGCCGCGTCCCTGGCGCCGAGAGAATCGAGATTTTTTTCTTCTGATTGCCCCCCCTCAGCTTCATGGCTACACATCATATTTCTTGATTTTTCTCTCTTTCTTCCTTTTTTTTTACTATTTTTTTGGGTTCCTTTTTTCAAGCTTTTCATTACGCCCTCAACTGTCCAGCTTTCATATAAAAAATCTCAAATTTCAAAAAAATAAATCAATAGACCTTGCAAAGAAAAAAATTAACTCAATGAAAATTAATTGCATCATCATTTTTATACATCTGCCTCATTTTTTTCTCTTCTTCCTTCTCATTTTTTTGAATTTTTTGATTTCTATCTAGATTTTTTTAAGGTTTCAACCAAATTTTTAAAAAGTTATCGATTTACTGTGAAAAATTTTTTTCAACGGAAATATTTTTGCGTTTTTTTCAACAGAATTAATTTTTTTGGAACTGCACTATGGTCCCTATAGGGATCACTTTCCCCTCAAGGACCACTTTTACCAACCCCTATAGGGGCCACTAAAGCTTGCGAAAGTGGTCCCTTTAGGGGCATGCTAGTCGAGGATTTTTATGAACTATATGCGAAGAAGCATTTGCATGGGAAAAATTAAATAAATAAGCGTTTTTTGAATGAAATTCAAAAACCCGTTTAGGTTCCCTTGAGCTTCAGGGGCTAAGGGGTCAGACCGTAAACCCCTATAGGGACCACCTTCGATTTTAGGGCCTCCCCCTTTGACCCTAAAACTTAAGTGGTCCTTATAGGGGGTTTTTCAATTTCCTTTAAAAACGCTTATTTATTTAATTTTTCGCATGGAAATGCATCTACGCACAGAGTACATAAAAATTATCGATTAGCATTTTCGCTATAGGGACCACTTTTGCAAGCTTCAGTGGCCCGTATAGGGGTTGGTAAAGTGTTGACTAGAGGGGACCCTTCAAGGGTCCTTAAAGTTGCCCCTATAGGGGCCACTCTGGAGTTCCTAAGTAGTGAATTTATTTTATTTATTGTATCTACGGTTTGCAAGTTCTATGACACGTCCGCAAATTCGCGTTCTCAATTTCACTGTAAACAATTCCGTGTACACTGTTGCTTCGTTGAATTTGCTTCAAAAAACCGATTGAAAGTAGAAATTTTGAGATAAAATTTAAAAAAAAGGGCGATTTCACCTCACATCGTAGGTCATTTTGCGTAGGGTTCGGATTTTTCTGTAAAGTTGCTCAAATAATCTTTGATGGACTGGGAATCGATCTCCTATAGTCGCTATTTGCGCAAACTTTTAGTATATATGATTTTTCAAAGTTTTGCTTTTTTTAAACACGTGACACATGCCCGTCAAAAAAAAAATGGCAAAAAAATGTTAGCGGCCAAAAGATCCGAACCTTCGTGATAGGCTTCGCAGGCAAGCGCGCTACCCACTGCACCACGCTCCTAGCTGCCATGCAATGACTGCTTGCGCGTGCAGATTCCTTGCAAACGGTGTCACGTGTTTTAGACATTCTAGACATTTTTCCTCTACTCACAAGACCCTAACGCGTCGATTGAAAAAAAAAAAATCCAGGCATTCGGGGGTTCTAGTACTAGTTATGACTCAAAGACTGCAAAAAAATCGTCTTTTTTTCAAAAAAAACTTTTTATTTTTTTCTTTTGAAAGAAAAATTTTTTTCCGGGTCAGTTCTATAACTATAAACGTTCATATGGGAACAGATTTTGTTTAAAAATTGGTTTGGACCAATTTGCTCCACTAGGAAAAAAGTTTGGGTTTTACGGTGTTTTCTCTACAGTAAGCCTGAAAGTGGGCGAAGCCTAATAAAAACTGGTTCTAAACATTCAAGAGGTTGTTCACTATCTATGATAGAAAGAAGAGCTCTCAGGAACGAAAATTAAATTTTTGTACCGAAACTTTTCGCATTTGTTCGATTTTCTGGGAGAATGCGTGTTAAAGGACAAAAAGTTTGAAAAATAATATCTCAAAAACAAAAAGTTTTCGCAGATAGCGACCTTGGGGGACCGATTCCCACTCCATCAAAGATTTTTTTAAAAAAATTAAAGAAAATTCCGAACCTACGCAAAAATGACCCCCATTTCTACTGTTATTCGGCTAATCAAATTTCAATCATTTTTCCCGAAATCGATATTTTTTGTCCGTTTTCTTTTCAATCAATGTTGTAATATTGAATTTTCAGGTCGAAAATGTCAGTCGGGATCACGATCGTGATGAAACTAAACGTCGAATCTTTGAAGGACGTTTATATGAAGAATAAAAAGGGCGGAGTAGTCCTAGGGCTAGGACAGGCCGGAGAAGTCGATTTCTTCCGAGTCTTCACGCCAGGTTGTGTATACTACTACCGTGCGAGTGATTACCCAGATCCGGCTTCACTGACGAAAAAAATCAAGTTGGAATGTTTGCCGACCGAAGACGACCAAGAGAATAATGACAATCCGAATGACGGTCCGAAGGAAGTGCCGAAGGATGATCCGAAGGAAGTGCCGAAGGAGGAGCCCAAAAAAAGAAAAGCCAAAGTTCTTCGAGAGCCGACCAGATTCAGCCGGAGGATTGCGAAAATCTCGAAGACTATGGGGGTTCAAAAACGGAGGGCGAAGGCGAGATCGACGAAGAAGAGGGCGGTGAAGAACGCCGAGGGGCCTGAGAAGACGACGAACGCGCCGGGTTCTTCGACGACGGAACCGCCCGCGGAAGTCCCGCCCGTGGTGAACCCGCCCGCTGAGGTCCCAGCCCCGGAAACCGATCACTACTCCCTACAAGAATGGCAAGGCCTCGCCGACTACATCAAGAAGATCCGACTCCCGCCGCCCGAGCTTCTCCGATCCGTCACCTCGGATTTCAACAACCGAGAGATGCTCGAAGCCTTGCAAGCTTACATGGGTCCCTGGGACGAGAACTCAACCCCTTCAGGTTAACAAAATTTGAGTTTCCTACCAAATAAGCATTTCAGAATGGTCCGTCAACCTTCCTGGTGAAGTCGCCGAGAAGAAGGAGAAGCTCCGAAAGTATCTGCGGAAGTTCACGGATCTCATCGATCAGGTTAGCCGAGAAATCTCAAAAACCATTTCTGATCCTCCTTTTAGTTGAGACTTACCGCGCGCGGCAGGTTAGCAACTTATCACAATTTGATTGCCGTCATCGAAAATTCCGCTGCTTCGTTCTACACCGACGTCGAAGCGTTGCTCAATGTGAGTTTTTTTTTGATTGAAAAAAAATTGGGGTTCAAGAAAAATACTTGGAAAAGTGAAGAACATCCTAGTCTTGGAGAAAAGTTTGAGTTCCCGCCAAAAAAAACGCTTTGCAGTAAAGTTGCTCCATGGATAACGCGTTTTGCCATAGTGGAGTGCATTCAACAATACTAGCCATTTTTCGTATTGTCGCTTTTCCTTCGTTTCTTTTAAAATTCAAAACAAAAAAACTCGACAAATATAGTCCGACTTGAAATTTCACTGTACGACATTCCGCTGCGTGCGGTCGCAACGCGGTTTCGTCTTTACGAACCTCCAGTTTTTCTAGTACTCGACTCTCATATGTTCCAATAGAAAACCATCAATGAATAGAAAAAATAAAACACGACCGAAGCTCGCAAAGGCAAAGACGCGTCGCGACCGCACGCAGCGGAATCGCGGAATGCCGTTTGGTGAAATTTCAAGAAGATCTTGGCCATTTTTCGGATTTTCACTTTTTTTCTTCGTTTCTCCCAAATTTGAGTCAAAAAAGCTCGACAAATTTAGTCCCACTTGAAATTTCACTGTACGACATTCCGCTGTTCCGCTGCGTGCGGTCGCGACGCGGTTTCGTCTTTACGATTCTTCAGTTTTTCTTTTATTCCAGCATCTTTTAGAAATTTTCAGAATCTCAATTTCCACTCTCAAACCATCATTTCAGGAGGAGGATCAGCCGGAAAAGCTGGAAATCATGCTGAAACGGAACCTGTGCGTCCTGGCCATCCTGGGCAAGTTCAACGACACCATTCTCCAACAAAAAATCTCGTTCCTCAATAGACATGTTTAATCATCCTCGTCGGTCCTTCGTCCATTCGACTTGGGATAAAAAAAACGAACAATGTCTGTGTCTCTGAAAGTTACACGTTATTTCTTCTTACCATGTCACTATTCTATTTTAATTTTTTCAATAAACAAACGCCTAACGTCATTTTCCTACTTGTTTCGCTTTTCTGTTGATTATTGTCTAATGAATACTATTTGTTAAGAAATAAACTGAAAATCAATGAAGAAAAATCCAGAAAAGACCATTTTCAAGCTCCGCCCTGCGCCTTTAAATTGAACGCTCCATTCAACTATTTCAAACCAATGGAAGCTTCAGATTATAGTGAAAATAACACTAAAAGTCCACAGATTTCGATGCAACAGCCCAGTGAAAATTTTCTCGGTAAGACCTTTTTTAAGCTCTGCCCTGCGCCTTTAAATTAGATGCCTCATCCAACGGTTTCAAACAAATGAAAGCTCCAGATCCAGTGAGAATAAAACTGAAAGTCCATAGACTTTCAGGAAAGTCCAGTGAAAATTGTCTCGGTAAGACCTTTTTTTAAGCTCCGCCCTGTGCCTTTAAATTAAGTGCTTCATCCAACTTTCAAAAATTAATAAAAGGCCCCCCATTTATCTCCCATCCAGTAGAAAATACACTAAAAATGCACAGATTTCGAGGAAAAAGTCCAGTGGAAATTGTCTCGGTAAGACCCTTTTTGAAGCTCCGCCCCTGCGCCTTTAAATTAAATGCCTTATCCAAAGGTTTCAAACAAATAAAAAGCTCCATATTCATTTCCATTTCAGTGAAAATAACATTAAAACTCCTCCGATTTCGAAGCAATAGTCTAGTAAAAATTTTCTCGGTAAGACCCTTTTTCAAGCTTCGCCCTGCGCCTTTAAATGAAGCAGCGCCTGTAACTTTTGAAAATAAAGAAAAAAACTTCAGATGTATCTACTTTCCAATGAAAAAACACTAAAAGTCCACAGGTTTGGATGCAACAGTTTAGTGAAAATTTTCTCGGTAAGACCCTTTTTCAAGCTTCGCCCTGCGCCTTTAAACTCCCGATTACCTTGTTTCAAAAAAATAAAGTAAGCACTGTACTTATCTCACTTCCAGTAGAAAAAACACTAAAAACCTACAGATTCTCTCGAAAACGTCTTTTTTAAGCTCCGCCCTGCGCCTTTAAATTAAACACCCCTATAACTTTTTGAAAAATAAATAAAAAGATTTACGATTTATCTCCCATCTAGTGGAAGATACACTGAAGGCCACAAAAAGTCTCAAAAAAAATTATTTTTTAAGCTCCGCCCTGCGCCTTTAAATTAAACACCCCTATAACTTTTGAAAATAAATAAAAGATTTACGATTTATCTCCCATCTAGTGGAAGATACACTGAAGGCCACAAAAAGTCTCAAAAAAAATTATTTTTTAAGCTCCGCCCTGCGCCTTTAACTTTTCTTCAGGCTGATTCATGTCAAGCACTTGATTTCTCGCCGTTTCGAAAACAAAAGACAAAAAAACTCACAAATTGAGCCTATTAGACTAGGCGAAAAGGAAAAGCAGTTGTTGTTTTGGCACGTTTTCTGCATATTGGCCCAACAAAGGAGTATTGTCGCTTTGGGAAACGATCCAACGGGCGGAACGTGTTCGCCTTCTAAAACACATATTTAAGCCAGAATTCCACTCAAGTGGTGTGTTTTTATGTAGTTGAAGTTCTTCTTCGTCTCGTCATTTCAATGATAGCTTGAAGTTCAAACTTTGGGGCTTTATTTTCAGTTATTTTAGGTTCAAAAAAGCTCTGAATCGAATTTTGAATCATTTGAAGCATCTCCCAGTTTGATTTTAACTGTACTTAATTAAGTTTTAAGCCAGAAATCCACTCAAGGGGTGTGTTTTTTGTAGTTGAAGAACTTTTTTTTCTTGAAATTTCAATTTTGAGGCTCCATTTTTCGATTTTATGAGGCTCAAAAAAGCTCTGATTCGAATGTTGAAGCTTCTGAAGCAATTTTCAGTCTGATTTCAACTCTTCTAAGTACAAATTTAAGCTTGAATTCCATTAGAGAGGTTTTTTTTGTAGTTGAAGTTCTTCGTTTTCTTCAAATTTAGATTTTGAAGCTCTATTTTTGGTTAGATAAGGCTCAAAAAAGCTTTGATTCGTATTTTGAAGCTTCTGAAGCAATTTTCAGTCTGATTTCAACTCTTCTAAGTACAAATTTAAGCTTGAATTCCATTAGAGAGGTTTTTTTTTGTAGTTGAAGTTCTTCGTTTTCTTGAAATCAAGATTTTGAAGCTCTATTTTCGGTTTTATGAAGCTCAAAAAAGCCCTGCTTTGAGATCTCCCCTTTAGAGATCACTCTGGAGATTTCCCCTTTAGTAACCACTCAAGCTAACTATTTTGAAGCTTGATTTTGACTGTTCTTGCCTTGCTATAGACTTTCTTAAGAACTTCAAAGTGCTCCCTAGAGAGGCAATCTTAGGAGCCCCTTAAGGGGTCGCTTGAGCTTTCCCTATAGAACTCGAAGCTTGAAAAGGGTTCCCTAAGTGAGACTCCAGAGTGGTCCCTATAGGGCAATCTTAGGAGCCTTTAACGGCTCCCCTAAGGGACCACTTTAACTCCCCCTACAGGGGCCACTAAAACTTGCAAAGGGGCCCCTAGGGGCTCTAGTTAGACCCTACAGGGACCACTCTAGCGTTCTTAAGTTGAGGCTCTATTTTCAGTTATATCAAGCTAAAAAGAGGTATTATTCCAACTTTTGAGGGTTCTGAATCATTTTTATGCCTTCAAAAAAAACTGAACGGTTCTGTTTTTTGAAAAATTGCTAAACTGATTCTAAACCCCTTAAAAAAATAAAAAAACAAAGATTTTCAACAGAAAAAAAGAATATTCTAGTTTGATTAAGCTCAACCGAAATGTATTTTTTTAGGGAAAAAAATTCCAGTTAAGGGGTTTTTTTGGTGATTTTTCTTGTCCAGAACAACTTTCCGGGATAAATTTCTGGACTTTGAAATATGAAAATTAATAAAAGAGGGAATTTGAAGCTTTTTTTCTCTTGGAGATTTGGAATTTTTCGCTTCTTGACGGTCAGAAAATTTCGATAATATCTACAATTTTTAAATTTTCAATAAAAGTTTGTCTTTTTGTGTATCCGGACGCTTTACAAACTATTTTCTGCAAAAATACTGAAAAAGTTTCCATTTTCCAGCAATCTCCGTCAAAAATCTTGCCCTAAAATGTCCATATCTCGAAATCTAGTACTTCAATATTGACCTTGACCATTTTGACAAATGAAGGGCCTTTTTCATAAGTCTTTTTTTCTCGAAAACGAAAATCAAAAAAAATATTAACAATGGACTTTAAGCCGTTTGGTATACGATTGGGTTCCTTATTTGTCGACCTTGGGGAAAAAAACCCATTTGCTTCCTTATTTGTACATATTTGGTGGTGAAAAGACGAAAAACGCCCCAAGGTCTCTTTTTTTTCTCTCGCGCAGCTGTCAGCGTCGGTTTATTCTGTCCTGATCTCGCTTTTTCCGACGCTTTGTCTTGATTTTTGAGATCATTTTGAGGTCAAAATGGATTAATTCGATCAAAAAACCGATAAAAATGAACCTCAATTCAAATTTTTACTGAATAACCACCTCATTGATGTCCAAAAAAGTAATTTTAAATTTCAAATTTTTCTAAAAAACATTTTTTGAGATGTTCGAGGTGCCACTACAAGAATTTCAATACTCGAAAGATTTTTTTGTTCAATCTTGAACCTTTTTCGTGGCCAACATAGGAGTTTTAAAGTGGTCCCTACAGGTTTTAGGGGAAAAACAGTCCCTATAGGGCCCGAAAAAGTGATCCCTTTAGGGGTGACTGAAAAACCAGCTTATTGTTGTCCAAAAAAGGATTTTTGTCAATTTTGAAATTTCAAATTTTTGTAAAAAATATTTTTTGAGATGTTCGAGGTGCCACTACAGGAAATACAAGATTGATTTTTCGACTTGAAAAAAATTTTTTTAAAATTCAATTTTGAACCTTTTTTTCGAGGCTAAGGAATTTAAGAGTAGTCCCTCTAGGGTTTAGGAGGAAAAACAGTCCCCATAGGGGTTGAAAAAGTGGTACCTTTAGGGATGAAATAAAGGCGGTCCCTATAGGGGTCAGCCCCAAAAGCGTAAGTGGTCCCTCTAGGGGTCTTCAAATTTATTCGAAAAACCTTATTTATTTAGTTTTTCGCATGGAAATGCTTCTTCACATAGAGTTCATAAGAATTATCGACAATAAAGTCTCCTATAAGGACCACTTTTGCAAGCTTTAGTGGCCCCTAGAGGGGTTGGTAAATTGGTCCCTAGAGGGCTCTCCAAGGGCCCCTTATGGTGCCCCTATAGGGACCACTTTTGCGAGCTTCAGTGGCCCCTATAGGGGTTGGGAAAGTGGTCCCTAGAGGGCTCTCGAAGGGCCCCTAAGGTTGCCTCATTAGGGACCACTCTGGACTCCCCAAGAAGGAAAATTTCTTGAACTTTCAGTGATTTTTGTGCCTTTTCCTATGTACCACAACCCTGTGATTTCTGACGGTTCGAATTTTCAGAACTTCGATCTCATTCCCCTCCAGAAGAACCGGCCTAATTTTGACAAGCTTTTCGCCCCTTGGCAAACAAATTTTCCGAACGGGAAGTTCCCACGGTTTTTGCTCATTTCCTGTTGTTTCAAAATTTAAGACCCTTTTCAAAAAATTTTCAAAGATTTTCGGTTTCTTATGAACTCAGCAGGTCCCTTTTTCAACCTTGAAAATTTTTTCAGGGGCTTTTTTTTCTAGGAATTCCTGTTCAAACTGAACAAATATACCCTTTTTGACCTTCGAATTATATTTTATTTGATTTAGGACTTGAAATATGTTCATTTTTTTCGAAAACTTAATGAAAAAAACCTTTCTAAAATTCCAAAAAAATGATCGAAATTGAATAATTCATGTGTGAAAAAAAATAACTCGATTTATTATTAATAGGAAAAAAAATTTTTCATAAAATTTCCAGCTTTTTCCAAACATTTTTGATTCAAACGTTTCAAACAGTTCTTTTTTTAATAATTTTACACTAAAAAGCCCATTTTTTTAAATGAAAAAAATCTTGAAAAAAATCAATTTCTGCGATTCCCATGTACCTCTCTCATCACAGTTTTTCGTTAAAAACTTCTCAAAAATAATATTTTTCACCAGAAAACAACAAACTGTGAAAATGTGGACGTTATTAAAATGCGAGCGTTTATTTTTCACTCAATATTTTCATGGACTTTCATAATTTTGATTTTTCAGATTTTCACCATAGTGGAAAAAATGTTTTTATTCAAAAAATATACAAATCATCCAATTTTTCAACTCGAATTCATTATGAATAGTTCATCCTTTCAAAAATCTAAAAACTTGAAAAAACACCGTAAAGTTCTAGACCACGCCCCTGAAACGGCTGTTTTTTCCAAACAGTCCTAATTTTTTCGGGTCCGCCCATTTTCCAACCCCTTCTCCGTACAAAATAGAAAAATAGCCTCTAGCGTTTTCTGTTTTCCTTTTTTTGAAGGAAATAGTTTTTTTCAGAACAAGGTTTCAAGTGTTTTGATTCGAAAATTGGGCGAAAACAAAGATTTTTGACTTTTTTGATTCTTCAACTTTTTTTGGTTGGATGATCATGGTCTCTGTTGATTTTTGAAGTTTCCAGTCATTTTTCAAACTTGAGAAGTTCAGAAATCTTTCTGAATTGAGCAAAAAAAGAAAAAAAAATGATTTGATAAGCAAAGTCGGAAAGGGTGAAAAAAAGCTCTAAATTGGACGATTCGATAAAGGGACCCTTTTTGGTGCCTTTCTGCGGCCTTTTTCGTACCTTTTTGCCACCTTTTTGGGACCTTTTTGGAACTTTTTTGGTGCCTTTTTGTGGCTTTTTTGGTGCCTTTTTGCGACCATTTCGGTGCCTTTTTACGGCCTTTTTGCTGTCTATCTTTGATCTTTTTGGTGCCTTTTTGTTGCCTTTTTGGTTCCTTTCTGCGACCTGTCCTTTTTGGTGTCTTTCTGAAACCTTTTTGATTCCTTTTTGCGGCCATTTTGGTGCCTTTTTGTGGCCTTTTCGGTGCCTTTTTGCGACCTTTTTGGTTCCTTTTTGCGACCATTTCGGTGCCTTTTTACGGCCTTTTTGCTGTCTATCTTTGATCTTTTTGGTGCCTTTTTGTTGCCTTTTTGGTTCCTTTCTGCGACCTGTCCTTTTTGGTGTCTTTCTGAAACCTTTTTGATTCCTTTTTGCGGCCATTCTGGTGCCTTTTTGTGGCCTTTTCGGTGCCTTTTTGCGACCTTTTTGGTTCCTTTTTGTGGCCTTTTCGGTGCCTTTTTGCGACCATTTTGGTGCCTTTCAGTGGCCTTTTTTGAACCTCTCATTTCAGGCGGCCATTACCCACTATTTCGACTTCGCCCAAGTGGAAGCCTAATTTTTGAAATTCATTTTTCGAACATAGATTTTTATAAGACCCAAATTTCTCCCTGAAATTCGCTAAGATGAGCAATAAAGTCACACAGAACCACGGCAAACTTCCCCCAAAAGACCACCGCATGGTCACTGACGTCGATTTTCTCTCTCTCGAGTTTCAAGAAAAGGCGGAAGGAAAAAAAAATCATTTGATGATGATAATGATCAGAACCCCCCTGTTTCCTTGTCTTCAGTCGTTTGACGATCCCATTTCAAAATATTTTTATTTACTCGATTCGACGATTTTTCGTTTCAGACAGCCGCCTTATAAGGACGAAAACATACGTGGTGAAGGCCTTCGAAATATTTTGATATATCGATTCGAAAACTCACTAAAATGCTCCCTTGGCTGGTGTCATCTTTGCTGGTCGTCGCGACGGTTTACGGTAATATTCCTTATTTGTTTTATCAGTTTCGAAATTAACAAATAAATATTCGTTTTAACAACGATTTGAAAAAAAAACGTAACCTTTGCTCATTTTAAAATTATGACGTCATAATCGAAGTTCTTATTTATGACGTCACTATAAGATCTCAAAGGGACGCCAAAATCTTCCATCCAAAAAAAAAAAATAGAAAAGCTCCGTTCTAGCTTATCCTGAGATCCATGACGTCATTGCTCGAAAATGACGTCACCTTCTAGGTTTACAATGATGACGTCATTATCGAAGTTTCAATTCATGACGTCATAAGCCTGTATGTAACGCCAAAAGCTTCCACCCAAAAAAAGTTTTTAAAAAAGTTCAAAAAGCTCTGTTCTAGCTTGTTTTAAATCCATGACCTCATGCCTCGAAAATGACGTCATTCTTCTAATTTATGACGTCATTAGAAAACTTGAATGTAACGCCAACATCACCTACCCAAAAACTTCTGTTAAAACCTTTCAAAACTCAGTTTTTGCTTTTTCTGTGATTTATGACGTCATGGCTGAAAAATGACGTCACTATAGGACCTCGAAGGGACGTCAAATACTTCCATCCAAAAACAAAAATGGAAACAAAAAACGCAAAGTTCTTGAGATCCATGACCTCATGGCTTTGAAATGACGTCACCTTCTAGGCTTGAAAAAGCTCCCAATTTTCTAGATTTTAGTGATTTGTTGTTACAGCAAAGGTCTTATGTATTTTCGGAAGTGATGACGTCACTAAATGGTCTGAATTGACGTCATTTTCGAAGCTTGAAAGAGCTCCCAATTTTCTAGATTTGCATGGTTCCTTGATGATTCCATAACACAGAGAAGATCCTTTATATTTTCGAAAGTGATGACGTCATCACATGATCTGAAATGACGTCACCTTCTAGGCTTGAAAAATCCCCTGATTCTCTAGATTCAAACGATTCCATAACACAGAGAAGCTCTACTTTCGAAAGTGATGACGTCACTAAATAATCTGAAATGACGTCATTTTCGAAGCTTGAAAAGCTCCCAGTTTTCTAGATTTGGATGGTTCCTTGAAACAGGGAAGTTCTTCTGTACTTTCGAAAATAATGACGTCATCAAAAAGATCTGAAATGACGTCACATCTCAGGTGCGGCGATACCGACGAGGTCGGCTCAGATGTCGACAATGTCCGGCTGCGCGAACGACTGTTTTGAGAAGTTCAGCGAAGTTTTGGCGGCCAGTGACCTCGCCAACTTCCCGACCATTGCTACGAATATCGATGGATTCTGCAGGTTGGCATCAATTTTTTGAATTCAGAAGGAAAACTTGACGATAAAGTGGTCCCTATAGGGATTTAAGGCCTGGACCCGTAAACTTTAATGCTCAAGAGGTCCCTATAGGGGTTTAAGGTCTGAGCCCTAAGCCTCTAAAGCTCAAGGGGTCACTATAGGGGTTAGGAATGAAAAAAGTCCTTCTGTGGGATGAAAAAGTGGTCCCTCTAGGGGTTTAAGGTCTGAGCGCTTAGCCCTGAAAGCTCAAGGGGTCCCTATAGGGGTTAGGAATGAAAACAGCCCTTGTGGGGGACAAAAGTGGTCCTTATAGGGGTTGGTGAATGATCCCTAGAAGGAAATCTCCAAGAGCCTCTCTAGGGACCACTCTGTAGATCTCAAGTACTGAGAAAATTTCTAGTAGCCACTTAAGTGGCCTCTTTAGGATTCTAAATGGTACTTCTAGACCGCTAGAAACTACTATAGTGGCCACTAAGACTCAAAATAGTGGCTTCTATAAGGATAGTCTTAGTGGCCACTTTAGGGTCCTTTCTTAGTAGCCTTTGAGGGACCTCTTAAGTGGCCACTATAGCTTTTCTCGGCACCACAACGATGAGAGATAAGAGGGCGCAGACAGGTCGGACTGTTCCAAAACGTGAGACTTTTTTTGTGATTTAAAATTTCAAGTCACAGACTTCAAAAGACCTTTTTCATACAGTACTTCCAAATTCTTATTCTGATCAATTATCAGTACAATTCATCAAATTCCAACGTGTCCTAAAAGTCCAAACAACCACTTTTTCTTGCCCGATTGTTTATACTTTCCGCCCAATTCGGGCATTGATGTAAATAGTATGATGCGCAAACTCGTATTCTCTCAAGGTTGATGAATTACGCCCAAATTTTTCAAGGGTATTGCAAAAAAAGTGTCTTGGTATGACGCCCACGTATAAATGTTTCATGTGGGAAAATTTTTAGTGGCCACTTTAGGGTTTGACGTTTTAGTGGCCAGTACAGCAGTCAAACTAGTGGCCACTTAAGGGGCTGAAAATTAGTGACCACTATACGTGCTACTACTAGACCACAAAGAATTTTAGTGGCCACTATAGGGTTTTGACGTTTTAGTGGCCACTATAGGGTTTTGACCTTTTAGTGGCCAGTATAGTAGTCAAATTAGTGGCCATTATAGAGGTCTAAGTGCCATTACTAGACCACTAAAAATTCAGTGGCCACTTTAGGGTTTTGAACTTTTAGTGGCCACTATAGTAGTCAAATTAGTGGCCACTTAAGCGGTCAAAAACTAGTGGTCTCTATAGAGGTCTAAATGCTAGACTACAAAAAATTTAAGTGGCCACTTTAGGGGCCAATGGATCAACATAACTGGTCCAATCATTTTTTTTTAATTATCAGAGTTACTGGAAGGAATACTGGATGAAAAACTACTGAAGTGGCCACTAAATCGGAGAATAGTGCCCACTATAGAGGTGGGTTTAGTGGCCACTTTAGAGCCCTCTCCAAGTAGTCCTTGGCGAGCCTCTATAGTGGCCACTAAATATTTTCCCAATTCAGTAGCTTTTTTCAAAAAAGCAATTTCAAATTTAGCGCCAATGAGAACCTTCGAAAGTGCGGCGCCAACTGTGGGCCAGCCGAAGAATCGGCAGTTTTGGCCAGGATCCAGGCTTCGAGCTTCATTTGCGAGAAGAAAATCAATGGTGAGCTTTGAGTGACCACTTGAGTGAAATTTGAAGAATTCTGGAAATGGTTTCAGTTTACTACCGTCATGATTCCACCAAAAAGGGGACCACTTTCTTGAAAACTTGCTAGGAACTTGTCCCTACATGCTTCTAAGGTCCAGAAGCTCATGAAAAATCACTAAAATGGTCGCTTTTTAGGTCATTTGAGACCCCTAAAGTGATCACTAGCCGTCTTATCACAAAAATTTGTTTTAGTGTTTTTTTCGAGTCCTGAAGTGACCACTTTCTTGAAAAAATTGCTAGAAGCCCGTCCCTACATGCTTCTAAGGTCTTGAAGCACATGAAAAATCACAAAAATGACCACTTTCAGGTCATTTGAGACCCCTAAAGTGATCACTAGACGTCTACTTACAGAAATTGAGTTTTAGTGATCTTTTTCAGACCCTGAGGTGGCCACTTTATCGAAAAATTGCTAGTAATACATCTATATCTGCTTCTAAGGTTCAGTAGCTTGAGAAAAATCACTCAAATGGTGACTTTTCCGGTCATTTGAGACACCTAAAGCGATCACTAGACGTCTTCTTACAAAAATTCCGTTTTAATGGTCCTTTTTCGAACCCTGAAGGGACCACTTTCTCGAAAAATCACTAAGAATTCCGTGTATTTTCTTCATTCCGTGTATTTTCTTCATTCCGTGTATTTTCTTCACTCGAAGTGGTAGCTCTCTCGATCGGCCGAGGCTACCCTAGAGTGTACACGGTGTCCGTGCCCGAGCCCCACCATCCCCGCCGTGCCCGTACACGCGAAACTGAGGGATTTACTTGTGGGAGAACGAGGCGAAGTACCGTCAGACCATGCTTTCAATTCAATCGACTACACGTTTTGACTTCTTTTTCGCCAAAGGCGGTGTTAGTGCCGCTCAAAAGAGCAATTTTTTCACCGCCTAGTCGATACCATCTGACTAAAACAACCAATAAATATTGATGATGATGATGATTGATGAAGAAGCGGTCGCTACCTGTCTTTAAGGTTCAGAAGCTTAAGAAGAAAAATCACTAAAAAGGTCACTTTTAGGTTATTTAAGACACCTTAAGTGATCACTAGACGTCTTCTTACGAAAATTTAGTTTTCATGATTTTTTTAAAGACAACTCGAAAAATCGCTAGAAACTCGTCACTAAATGCTTCTAAAGTGCAGAAGCTTAAGAAAAATCACTAAAATGGTCGCTTTTCAGGTCATTTGAAACACCTGAAGCGATCACTTGATGTCTTCTCACAAAAATTCAGTTTTAGTGGTCATTTTTCAAACTCTGAAGGGACCACTTTCTCGAAAAATCACTAAGAGCTCGTCACTACTTGCTTTTAAGGTGCAGAAGTTCATGAAAAAGCACGAAAAATGGTCACTTAAGGGACCTAACAGATCACTAGACGTCTTCTTACAAAAATTTAGTCTTAGTGATTTTTTTTTTCAAGACAATTCGATCCCTGAAGGGACCACTTTCTCGAAAAATCGCTAGGAACTCGTCGCTACCTGCTTTTAAGGTGCAGAAGCTCATGAAAAATCACTAAAATGGTCGCTTTTTAGGTCATTTGAGACCCCTAAAGTGATCACTAGACGTCTACTCACAAAACTTTAGTTTTAGTGGTCTTTTTCGAGCCCTAAAGTGACCACTTTTCTCGAAAAATTGCTAGGAACCCGTCACTAACTGTTTCTAAGATGCAGAAGCTCATGATAAATCCCTAAAATGGTCACTTTTTAGGTCATTTGAGACCCCTAAAGTGATCACTAGACGTCTACTCACAAAACTTTAGTTTTAGTGGTCTTTTTCGAGCCCTAAAGTAACCACTTTTCTCGAAAAATTGCTAGGAACCCGTCACTAACTGTTTCTAAGATGCAGAAGCTCATGATAAATCCCTAAAATGGTCACTTTTTAGGTCACTTGAGACACCTAAAGCGATCACTAGACCTCTTCTCACAAAAATTTGTTTTAGTGTTTTTTTCGAGCCCTGAAGTGACCACTTTCTTGAAAAAATTGCTAGAAGCCCGTCCCTACCTGCTTTTAAAGTGCAGGAGCTCATGAAAAATCACTAAAATGGTCACTTTCTGAATCTTTTAAGACCCCTAAAGCGATCACTAGACGTCTTTCACAAAAGTTTAGTTTTCGTGTTTTTTTTCCAGCCCTGAAGGGACCACTTTTCTTGAAAAATCGCTAAAAACTCGTTCCTACCTGCTTTTAAAGTGCAGGAGCTCATGAAAAATCACTAAAATGGTCACTTTTTAGGTCATTTGAGACCCCTAAAGTGATCCCTAGGCGTCCTCTCAAGAAAATTTGTTTCAGTGGTCTTTATTAAAACCCTGAAGGGACCACTTTCTTGAAAAATCGCTAGGAACCGGTCATTACCTGCTTTTATAGTGCAGAATTTCATGAAAAATCCCTAAAATGATCACTTAAGAGACCTAACAGATCACTAGACGTCTTCTTACAAAAATTTAGTCTTAGTGATTTTTTTTTTCAAGACAAATCGAGCCCTAAAGTGACCACTTTTCTTGAAAAATCGCTAGGAACCCGTCCTTACCTGCTTCTAAGGTTCAGTAGCTTGAGAAAAATCACTAAAGTGGTCACTTAAGAGACCTAAAGCGATCACTGGAAGTCTCCTCGGTATTTTTCACTTGTAAACATTCAGAATCTTCCTCCTACTTCTCCGAAACCAACAGAGTACTTTCAGACTTCCACGACGTCGCCGAGTGTCTTCAGAATTCGGACGACGACGAATCCGCAGTGGAAGACTGTGTGAATTCCTGTGACGATGAGCCAGCCGCCACCGCCGAGAAGCCTCCCAAGGGCATTTCCTTGGAAATCGCCCAGCCCAACTACACCACCAAGGCCTGCACGTAAGTGTGCTTCCGGATTCCTTATTATTCTCGCGTTTCAGAACCCACAAATGCGTCTTGACATGCGCCTCGACTCGGCTCAACAGCATCTGTCCGGGAGCCGGAAGCTTGTTCTTGGTAGGAAGTCTTTGAAATGTCCAAAAATAGTCAGAATCTCAGGACCTGGCCCGCCAACAAGTTGTCGACGGCGGTCAGCGACTTTTGGAATCTGCCGCCGAGAAAAATCAAACTGGAGTTGAACAGGTTCGGAGAATTCTCAATAGAAGGAAGACTATGAAGTTCAGGTCCTGATCACCGTGCTTCAGAATCTCCCGGACGTTTGCCGGTTCGTCGTGGATGCCGAGAAGTTCGATGAGGTGGGTCAGAGTGACTGGAACTTCTGATGAGGTTCCGCAGATGGTTCAGAACACAGGAATCGGCCTGAAAACTCCTCTAGCTGATCCTATCTAATATAATTACAGACGATCCAAGCCGACCAGCCGAAAGAGGTGACCGTCATCGGAGAGCCAGTTCAAGCGACGTCGCCAGTCCCTCTTGAATCCGCAGAATCTGCTGAAGCTTCTGGGGTCGTCGTTCGCAATGAAACGGCCGTCAGAAAGCAAACCATCGACCTTTCCAAGGAAGAAGGAGAGGGAGAAGAAGTGGAAGAGAAGCACGTCGAGTCTGTGATCAAGCCGGCCGACGACGCCTCTCCAGAAGAGAAGCACGTCGAGAAAGAAACCGTCTTGAAGACAGCCGACGACGCCGCTTCAGAAGAGAAGCACGTCGAGAAGGAGACGACGGTGGTGAAGCAGGACGACGACGCGGCTCCCCAAGAAGACGTCGACGACGACGACGATGACGAGGATGACGTCACGACGACCACCCAGGCGGCACTTCTTTTAGCTCCCGCGGTCACTTCTCCAGCCACTCCTTTCGATGAGATGGCCACCGTTTCTGTCAACATCCCGCACGTTGAACACGTCCACAACGTTGGCAGGATTGAGCATGAGGTTGGTTAAGAGCCGCAGATTCAGATGACGTGTTTCTTGCAGAATGACGTCACCGAAGCCGTGACGACGACGGTCGTCGAGGTGACGACGACTATGCACATGGTAATTATCAACAATAGTGAAGTCAAGGAACAGCGCAAGGTGAATGACCGCGAAAGTAGCGATATTTGAATTTCGAAGGCTTTTGGGCAGGGAAAATGAGGATTTCTTGTGGAAGTTTTCTCAAGCTCTATATTAGACGTAAAGTGTAAAATTTTGCGGAAAGATTACTCCATGGACAAGAGAAAATAACTCGGACCTTGGTAACGCGAATCGGACGCCTAGTGACCACTTTAGTGATGCCAGAACACTTGTGTGATCCTAGAATAGCTGAGACGCACCGGCCAAGTTGGAGCATTTCTAGTGACCCCTTTAGTAGCTTCAGAACACTTCAGTGGTCCCTAGAAATGGTGAGACGCACCGGCTAGGTTAGAGCATTTCTAGTGACCACTTTAGTAGCCCCAGAGCTCTTAAGTAGTCCCTAGAATTGCTGAGACGCGCCGGCCAAGTTGGAGCATTTCTAGTGACCACTTTAGTAGCCTTAGAGCTCTTAAGTGGTCCCTAGAATTGCTGAGACGCACCGGCCAAGTTGGAGCATTTCTAGTGACCACTTTAGTAGCCTCAGAGCTCTTAAGTGATCTCTAGAAATCCAAAGAAACGTCCGGTTCGCGTTACCAAGGTCCAAGAATACTTTGGATCTTATTTTTTTCTTCATATACTGTAAATTATTGACGCAAAATTGCGGACAAAATAATATTTTTTTCAAAGAAAAAAATCTCATTTCCCTGCCCAAAAGCCATTTATTTTTAGTTTTTCTTGGTTCTGACGCACAGCGAGGTCATTTGCACTGCTTGGTTTCTTACTTTTTTTTTAAATCCCTTGAATTTTCGTAAGATTTAAGGTTTTTCAGAACTCGGCCACCACCACGTCACTCTTCAGTGCCGTCGTCCTCATCTTCTTGGCTCTTTTCTAAGGAAAAACCAATAATTTTTTTCATATTGTATTATTTATGGACCTCAAAGTTACCCATTCACTTCAATTCCTTCTTAATAAACGCTCAAAAGATGCCAAAAAACAGTATTTTTCCCCATTATTCCACTTGTGATACGTGTACATTTGTACTCAACTGTATAAAAAAATATTTTTCATAGAGAATTTAATAAAGTATTTTATTGAATTTCGTTTTTTTATTCTTTAGAACTAAAAAAAGCTTATTAAAGGCGCAGGCCCTCGTTTAAAGAAAAAAATGAATGAAATCGTGAAAGCCAATTGATTTTTTGACTCAATTATAGTTCCCATTTTTTTCTCTAGACCTAAAACTCTTCAGGAATGAAAAAAAAACCCGGTTTCAGGCAAAATTTGCGGCGTGAGCCCATGCGAACGTTGTTTGGAATCCTGAACAAAAAAAGTGAAAAAAATAAAATAAAATAATATATCATCAAACCTTTTTAAAAAGTCAGAGTATTAGATAAAATATGACTTTATCCTGTTTGCCTTCACATTTTGCCGCTTTTAAAAACGTAAAACAAGAAATATGTGCTTGAGGGGTGCCTGGAGGGAATTCGTAAGTCCGTTAGAGCGCACTTGGCCGACAAACTTCCAAAAACGAACTTGAATTTTCGCGTCAAAGTTTTTTTTTCTTATTTTTGTGTTCAACACGTTTTTCATATTGTGTTTTTGAGATGAAATTTTTCAACATGCTAAACTCATTTTTGATTCAAATTTCCTCCTTTTCCCTGTTAAAAAATGAAAAAAATAGGAGCGTTTGAAGCTTTTTTTTTTTAAATCCAGTCTGTTTTTATTGATACAATTCATAATACTATAATAATGGATTGAAAAAAACCTGGTTATCTTCTATTAAGTTTGTTATTGGGAAATCGGAAACCCCGCTGAGCTTTGAAAAGTTGAACAACTTTATGGGGAGTTCGAATTTTTTTCGTTATTTGCCGTTTTTTTTTTTCGTTTTACTGATTTTTCATATTTTTCAGCGCAATGAATGTTCGATTCTCAAAGGAACAAAGATAAAGAAGAAGGAAAAATGAGGAGAAGAAAGATGCGAATTCCCTCAAGAAGAGGCTATTTGAAAGGTTGGGAATTACTATTAAACTTTGTATTTTGTAAGCTTCAAGGCTTCTTTTTATTCTAGACATGTCAAAAGCTTGATGAACCTAATAATAGAGCTATTAAATTTTTTTAACGGAATGTACTTAGGAACTTTAGAGTGATCGCTATAGGGGCTCTTGTAGGATCCCCTCTAGGGACCACTTTACCAACCCCTATAGAGGCCACTAAGACTTGCAAAAGTGGTCCCTTTAAGGGACAGGCTAGTCGATAATTTTTATGAACACTATGCGAAGAAGCAATTCCACGGAAAAACTGAATAAATAAGCGTTTTTTGAATGAATTTGAAAGACCCCTATAGGGTCCACTTGAGGATTAGGGGCAAAGGGTCAGACTTTAAACCCCTAAAGGAGCTGTTTTTCCCCTCGAGTCCCCTGTAGAAGTTTGTAAATTGGCCCTAGAGGGGATCCTTCAAGGACCTTTAAAGTTGCCCCTAGAGGGACCACTTTAGACTTCCTATGTATTTTAAAAACTTCTGAAACCAATAGACCAGTTTATAAGCTTCAGGGTTTGGCTAACAATGCTAACATTATGGTGAACCTAAAAATAAAGTTATATGGATATTTTCTCAATGAACTTATTCCCAAGCTTTCAAGGCTCATTTTTATCTGTTTGATGTTCAAACCTCGACACCTCGAGCTCATTGGCAGCTCATGAGAACGTGCAGTTGGTTGCATTTTTGGTGATTAATGGCGGTGGGACTCAAGGGGCTGGCGACACGAGTCGCGCCCTTTGTAATGATCTCCCCCCGGCGCTTGATGAATCGAACGCCGATTGTCGAGTTCCCATTCGTTCTCAGTATCAATCTCGATTTGGAGAAGGTGTACTGATTTTGAAAAAAAAAAGGAAAAGCAAAAAGGAACACTAATTTTTTTTTAATTTAGCCAAATTTTCAGAATGTATTGTGAAATGTACAATGTATAACCAAAATTAACCGGAAACAAATTTTTTAAAGGCATAGGGGCAGTAAAGACGGGGTTTCAGGTGAAAGCAGTATCTTATATAGTTTTTCTTTGCGAATCGAATGGTGTACTCAAAAAAATTACAGATGTGACAACTTTAGAAGAAAAACGCGATTTGACTTTCCCGCCTTTAATTTTGAAAAAAGCTTTGGATCGGTGCTCAGACAACTGATTACAGTAGCTGTGCACGCGATGTTGCGGACGTCTCATTAGACTCGCATTTTATGAGAAATAACCGGTTATCTGCTTCAAATTAAGGATTTCATTTCTGAAAAATCGATTAAGAAAACAGAAAACACACATTGATAATAAAGAAAACACAAATAATCGCTATCCCAATCGAAACCTGTGTAAAATCATCATTTTTCACCAGAAAAGCATTTTTGCGATCAAAGTGTGCAAATTATACATGAACAGAAAGCTTTTGTGACGAAAAGAACTTTGGTGTTAACAGAAAAAATTGAAAATTGAAAGAAACGAAAAAAAAAAGCGAAAATCCGAAAAATGGCGAAGCGTGTTGTCCATAGAGCAACTTTACTGCAAAACTCCCTTTTTGCGGGAACTCAAGCTTTCTGACTTTGAATAATGTTTTCTTCAAAACTAGGAACTTCTGTACGTTTCCAAGTTCACCGTTCGATTCGCAATGAAAAGCTCTACAGAATACTGCTCTGAACTGAAACACCGTTTTCTACTGCCCCTATGCCTTTAAATCAATGGATATTTTTTCAATGCACCAGTTTCTAAGCTTCCAAGGCTCTTTTTTATCTTTTTGATGTTCAAACCTCGACAAATAATCAATATTTCGAGAACCCATGGGTCCTTGCGGGTGCCAGATGCTTTTATATGGAAGAAAGCCATTTGTACACGATAAAAAACGTTACTTTACTCGATTATGAGCATTTTGAGCCGAGAATTTTTAAAGTTTTAAGCGGAAAAATAGACCCGAAATACGGTTTTGATTTTTCTTTTGTTTCCACTAACAACCTCACTTCGGATGTTTGAAAATCGCCTAAATTTGTAAATTTAAAAATAATCGGTTTAATATTTTCTATCAACCGCAAAACCAGGAAAAGATTAAAAAACGAGGAATTATGTTCTTGAACCAGAAATTATCACAGTTTGTTGAGTATTTTCAACAAAAATTTCAAATTCGCGAGTAGAAGTCACCGTAAAATTTCATATTTCGTTGTAGGACCCATTTTTTCCAACGGCTAAAATCATTTCAATCAAAAACGCGTCAAAATTTCTGAAACAACCAACACTAATTTCAAAACGACATCAAAAATTAACTGATTACGTCCTGGAATAGTTCTAGGATCATTGAAAAAAGCGTTTTTTTGGATCCGAAAATTTTATTTTGCTCAAAAAAGTTCCGACTTATAGATTAGTGATTAAGATTCGAATTCTATCAACCGAGAATGTTTTTGCCGTTTTGAAAAAATTTAAGATCAAGTTTTTTATCGGAAAAACTTTATTTTTCTTTTTAATATCATTTTTTGGTTGGAGGTCAAACTCAAATTTGTTGAATCCTTGCTTTTTTGGGAATTTCGACTGTAGAAAATGAATTTTTCAAATTGTTTTTCACTTCGATTTCCATCTTAACTTAATGAAAAATTTAAGATTTTTTTGAATTTTTACCTTTCAAGCTTCCGAAAAAAACCTGTTCTCCAGCTTATTTTTCTCTCTAATCTCGCTGAAAATCCACTATTTTAGAATAATTTAAATAAATTCCATCACCTATTTTCCCAACAAAACGTTTGCTCAAACAAAAACAAGAAGTGGAAAAGTTTGTCGCCCTGAGGGGACACCTATTCGTCGCCCACCCACCATGCAGCTGTCGCAGGTCCTTCCCTTGGACCCATTTTGATCCGAACCAATCTTTTTTTCATAGCTAGTTTTGTTCCTACCTTTTTGGGCTCTTGACCTATCTGCAAAGGCTGCCAACTTCTTTTTAGGAAGCTTAGAGGGGTCCCTATAGGGGTGAGGGGGGTGGCGGAAACAGCCCCTTCAGGTGGTCCCTCTAGGGGTAAAACCAAGTTGGTCCCTGAAGGGGTTTAGGGTCTGACCCCATAGCCTCTAAAGCTTGAGTAGTCCTTATAGGGGTCGTTCAATTTCTTTCAAAAAAGGTTAATTTTTCAGTTTTTTTTTTCGCATGGAACTACTCCTTCGCATAGAGTTCCTAGAAATTATCGACTAGAATGTCACCTATAGGGACCACTTTTGCAAGCTTTAGTGGACCCTCTAGGAGCTGGTAAAGTGGCCGCTAGAGGGGGCCTTTCAAGGGCCCTTAGAACTCCTGGTTATTTTAGATTAAGAGTCGCGGCATTTTTTAAATTAGTTCTGTTTTAGTCCTGTACTTTCCCATGAATCCAATCAAGTTTTTACTCATCTTTAAAAGAAAGGTCATTTCACTTCGTAATTTGGATTTCCTAAAAATTGACCACCTCTTGATGCACCAGATGTAGATCCTTTTTAAAAAAGTACATCTCAAAGTCAACGAAAACCCTCGAAATTCGTAAAAAATCATTTTCTAGTACATCAAGGAACATTCCGCTCGATTTCAAAACGATTCCCAAGTAAAAAGATCTCGTAAACGCCATATGATCCCAAAAAAGTCGATTGAAAATGCGCAGAATTTTTTTTCATCGAAATTTTTGAGGAAGGGATATTTTCCCAGATGAGAGAAGTTTTTTTTTGCGAGTCGAAACATCGAAAATGAACAGTTTTTGAGCGTTTGCTTTTCGTTCTCCTTTACCTGTCTTGTCTTGTGTCGCTAAGTAGATAATTACTTATATTTATATTTTCGAGTACTTCTTACTGGGAATTCCTAACCAAGAGGCTGTAATTTGAATCTTCCTCTCTAGCCACATCCAAAAATTTTTTTCTCGACACTTTTTTTAAACCTACAGGGTGACAAATAAATATTGAAACGCGTGGGTACGGAGATGGGGCCACCATTACCTGAAAACTGAAAAGTATGAGCTGTAACTTCAAACACATGATACGTGAGCATGAATGAACGAAATAAACAAAAAAATTCAAAGGCCAGTCCTTTGTGCAAAAAGCAGCAATCAAATAAAAAACGGTTTCAATATTTATTGCTCACCCTGTATTTCTCCTTTACAAACTTTTTTTTCGAGGTTAAAATCAAATTTTAGGTCATGGACGATGATGCTGACAAAAAACAAGAATGCAATTACGAGGAGGTAATCTTTTTCAATGATGGCTAACGCAAGTGGTCACTAGAGGGATCACTACAGACAACATAAGTAGTCGGTTCCTTTCAAGCGGTCATTAAAAAGGAAAATCTCTGCTTCAGTTACCACTAAAGAATAGCTCGAAAAAGTAGAGTCAATCCTTATCAAGCGGTCACTAAAGGGGAAAAATATTGACATCGAAGACATCCTAAGCTAAATTCAAGTGGTCGGTCCTTTTTAGGAGATAGCTAAAAACAGATTAGCTTCACTTGAGTGGCCACTTACGAAGAATGGAATACTCGGTTATTTTTGAGTGATCACTAAAGAGAAAAAGACTCGCATCGAAGACCGCTTAGGCTCAATGGTAATCTAGATTAGTTGCTCCTCTTAAGAGATCACTAAATAAGTTAGCTTCACTTATGTGACCACTTAAGGAAAATATAGTATTTGGTTCCTTTCAAGTGTTCACTAAAGAGAAAAAGCTTCACTTAAGTGACCACTTAAGAAAAATATAGTATTTGGTTCCTTTCAAGTGTTCACTAAAGAGAAAAAGCTCCACTTAAGTGAGCACTTAAGAAAAATATAGTATTTGGTTCCTTTCAAGTGTTCACTAAAGAGATAAAGCTCCACTTAAGTGACCTTCTTCTTTCTTTTCTTCTTCTTCTTACGCCTTTGTACCGCTTGAGCGGTGTCGGCGCCCCAAGTCGATTAACCGAGGTCATATCCTGATATCAGTGGACTGGCTCCAGTGACATATCCGTCCTTGTGTGTGACGGCTGGGGATTTTGAAGTCGTGGTCTCCCACTACCAACATTTCTTAAACCCCTTGGTTGGGTCGGGGCCATACATGGGCTAACCAACTACTTTTTGTGACGTCATCACGTACCCTTCTTGAAAAAGTACGTACTCCCCTCGAAAAAAAGTACGTACCCCCCGCGAAAAAAACTATCAATGTGAAATGATTATTAAAGTTAATATAAAAAAATTGAATGAGACTATTATCTTGTTTCGCGGGCTTTTTGGAAAGTATATTCAGCTAGGTGTCAATACTCCAAAACAGAAATATTTCAACTTTTAGCGTAGACCCTCAAAAATCCGAGAATCAATCTGTTTTTCAATGTTATTCCACATTATAAAATGAGTTTTATGATCTGGCCAAGTTTCAGGCCGTTGGGATGAGTTTTAAGGAAAATAGATTTTTTTGGGCCACCGGAAAGGATATTTTTGAAATTTTTGAATTTTTTTGGCTCAAAAATCAATATTAATCTTGAGTTAACTCTAAATAAGGTATATCCTCCAAATTTCCAACCTTCCGGACGTTTTTTGACCAAGTTACAGTGTTTCAAAGTGTTATCACTTGACGGTTTGCGTACCCCCCGTACTCCCCCAAAATCCGAAAATCGATCTGTTTTCAATGTTATTCCGCATTATAAAGTGAGTTTTATGATCTGGCCAAGTTTCAGGCCGTTGGGATGAGTTTTAAGGAAAATAGATTTTGGGCCACCGGAAAGGGATATTTTGAAATTTTGAATTTTTTACTCATCCCAACGGCCTGAAACTTGGCCAGATCATAAAACTCACTTTATAATGTGGAATAACATTGAAAAACAGATCGATTTTTCCGATTTTGGGGAGTACGGGGGGTACGCAAACCGTCAAGTGATAACGCTTTGAAACACTGTAACTTGGTCAAAAAACGTCCGGAGGCTGGAAACTTGAAGCATATACCTTATTTAGGGTTAACTCAAAGTTGATAACGATTTTGAGCCAAAAAATTGTAGATTTCCAGAAATCATTTTCTTATGGGGTCAGAAGTTGATTATTTTTTTTAATTTTCCAAACGGCTCAAAATTTGGTGAGCATGTATGTATCATCCATTGGTACCATTTAAACTAGAATTCAGGTCGATTTATCAGCTCTGGAATTTTTTATAAGGCTATTTCTACGATTCCCCGCGATTTTATCTACCGTTCGGAGCTAGGCAAAAAGATAGGCAACGAATTTCCTACTAAATGTACTTTGAAAAGCTCGATAAATAATATGGATGCATTTTCCGCGGCTTAGAAAGCCATCTGAATGAATAGGGGGGCCCGAAAGTGAAAAACAGCCTGTTAGCCCACGTATGGTCGGGGCGGGGGTCGAACTTGTGACCCTGTGGACCGTAGACAGGCACACAACCTGTTGCGCTACGGCGCGCCCCTCCACTTAAGTGACCACTTAAGAAAAATATAGTATTTGGTTTCTTTCAAGTGGTCACTAAAGAAGTTAGCTTCACTTAATTGACCACTTAAGAAAAATATAGTATTTGGTTCCTTTCAAGTGTTCACTAAAGAAGTTAGCTTCACTTAATTGACCACTTAAGAAAAATATAGTATTTGGTTTCTTTCAAGTGTTCACTAAAGAGAAAAAGCTCCACTTAAGTGACCACTTAAGAAAAATATAGTATTTGGTTCCTTTCAAGTGTTCACTAAAGAGAAAAAGCTCCACTTAAGTGACCACTTAAGAAAAATATAGTATTTGGTTCCTTTCAAGTGGTCACTAAAGAAGTTAGCTTCACTTAATTGACCACTTAAGAAAAATATAGTATTTGGTTCCTTTCAAGTGTTCACTAAAAAGAAAAAGTTTCACTTAAGTGACCACTTAAGAAAAATATAGTATTTGGTTCCTTTCAAGTGTTCACTAAAGAGAAAAGCTTTGCTCCAGTGAGCACTAGAGTACAGTTCCCAACGGAAAGGCGCTCCTTTAAGTGTTCACTAGATAGGAAAAAGCTCGACTACTTACGAGAATTGGAGTAGTAGGTATTTTTCAAGTGGTCACTAAAGAGAAAAAGCCCTGCTCTAGTGACCACTAAAGCACAGTTCCAAACGGGAAAGGCGCTCCTTCTCAAGGGATCACTAAAAAGGAAAAAGCTTCACTTGAGTGCCTACTTGTGAAAAATGGTGTAGTCTGTTAGTTCAAGTGTTCACTAGAGTGAAATAAGTTCAATTCGTTGGACTATTCACGCTTCTTCAGTGACCACTTGAAGATACGCCGCAGATTGAAGGAAAGCTCATTTCTTCTTTGTAGAGTTATTCTGAATCTTCAGAATCCTCCCGACGACGTTCATGATGACGAGGACGAAGAAGAAGGAGAAGATTTGGAAGAAGACGTCGTTCGGTCGACGTTGGCAAATTACAACGTAAGGCTGAAGCTGTGAGCCTGTGATTGACTTGTCACCTCTCCCAATTTTCCCAGACTTGAAATAATTGAGGGTCTGGAAATTGTCAAAGCGTCAAGGATTCAGGCGATTCCAATCCGTGTGAAAATCGTCCTCGAATCCGTGCTCCAGAAGATGACGTCATCAGATGTTGAGAAGATTCTCAGAGACGTCGGCTGGACCAAGGATGACGTCATTCGCGGATACAAGGTAAAAAGGTGCTCTTAAAGGAGCATGAGGGAATCGGATAAGGGTCTCGGAGCGAAGAGCCTTTTTTTGTTCTAAAAAGGTTTCTGACAGTATTTTCATATTTCTTAAGACCCACTGTGGTCCCTCTAGGGGCAACTTTAAGGTCCTTCCCCTCTAGGGGCCACTTCAGTTCCACCTATAGGTCCAGGAATATCAACAGAGGAAGAATTGATCAAGTTGATCTTTTTTTAATTTTTAAAAATATGAATGAGAGATGGAAAGACCCTTTAGGGACCACTTGAGCTTAAAAATTAAAATCCCTTAAGGGATCACTCAACCTTTAAAACCCCTAAGGGATCACTCAACCTTTAAAATCCCTCAAGGAGCCACTTCAGCTTCAAAATCCCTTAAGGGACCACTTAAGCTTTAAAATCCCTTAAGGGACCACTTGAGCTTCAGGGGCTTGAGGGTCAGACCCTAAATATCCCTATAGGGACCACTTTAACGTTTTTAAGTTCCGAAGTATCGCAAAAAGAAATTCAGATTAATTTGGTCTAGATATGGTCGTAAGTACTTCTCGAGATTTCAAAAAACCGTATTTTTAGCTTCTATTTGTCATTTTTAAGCCCTTTTTTGCATTGAATTTCACTCTAAAATCGAGTTTTTCGCTACATTTTTGAAAAAATTCACTGAAAAATCGGAAATTTTAGCTTATTTAAGCCTTGTAAAAGTTTGATTTTGAGGCTATTTTTTTTAAATCACGAGATTATGGAAAAATGTGTATATTTGAAAAGAACCATAAATTTCCAAGTTATAACCCTGAAACTGTACAAAGTTGATACAAGAAAAAGAACCCAAAATTTCCATTTTATTCCCTTTTTTATGTCTCTTCCCATCTACCGGCTCATAGTTGACAAAAGCTACTTTTACAACGATTTTATCACTTTCACTTGTATTTTTCCCACAAATGTGTGCATTTCTCCTTATTTGCACTGGGAAACGAGTCGAAACCCCTCGGCAAAAAAAAAGACTGCGGCCGACGACAAAAGAAGGCCACTTTCGGGCCATAAATACACGTGTGGGACCCTCTTTCATGGAGTCCGGAGACCGCCAAAATGTCCTTTTCCAGGTGATAAGATTGGTTTTGGAGTACTGTAGGCTGTAGGCTCCCTTCAAGACCTTAAGTGGCCCCTTAAGGGCCGATTTTTGGAGGCTTTTGTAGTGGAATGAATTTTAGTTGTAGCCTTGTACTGGAGAGAAAATAAGATTTTTCTAGAAATTCCGAATTTCTCGTACTTCAGATGATGAAACTGATCACTATAGGGACCACTATCCTTGAAAATAACATTTTTGAAGTCCTAGTGACCCCTTAAGGGAAAATCATTTCCAATAATTTTAGTTGAGTTGAGTTTAAATGTGATTTGCATCTTGGAGGTGCCTCCAAGGTTGAGCTGATCACTCAAGTGACCACTTGTCAAAAAAGTGAAATCACAAAGATACAGTGACCCCTAGAGTGATGTTCATAATTGAAAGACCCCGTTTTAAAGAAAAAATATAATTTTTTGGCTTTTTTGCTCTTCAAAAACTTCAATATACTCTCCCCGCCCCCCTCTTATAGCCGATCACTCTAGGGACCAGGGATTTCTGAAGTTCTAGTGACCTCTCAAGTGAAATTTTCATATTATTGGGATTGAGTAGAGAGATGTTGTGATTTCCCGCTTTGGATTCATCCTATTTGATCCCTTAAGTGACCACTTTCTTAGAAGTTTCGTTTTGGACGATATAGCGAGAAGTTGTGTTTTACAGCTTTGGATAAATCCTATTTGATCCCGTAAGTGACCACTTTCCTATAAAGTACTTTTTCAAAGATATAGTGAGCCCTAGAGTGAAGTTAACGAATGAATAAAAAATATTCTATAAAAATGTGATTTTTTTCCACTTTCTTAAAACCTTCAAGATATTTTCTGTAAAGCTCATCACTCTAGGGACCACTATACAGAAAATCACATATTTTCGATTTTCTGCACTATGATTTATATTAAAAAAGAGTCAACACTCCATAAACGAAACGGATCACTTTAGGGACCACTTTTGAAAAAATCATGAACCTTTTTCAGGAGGAACCTTAATTTTCTGTATGTTGATTCATATTAAAAAGCCCTCTCAACTTCATAAACGAAACGGATCACTTTAGTGACCACTATACAAAAATCACATGTCTTTTTTTAAAAGGAATCTTTTTCCTGTATGATTCGTATTAAAAAGCCATCTCAACTCCATAAACGAAACAGATCACTTTAGTGACCACTAACCAAAAAATCACATCTCTCCTTCCTCGAAGAAGCCAGAGAAGAAGAAGCCTGGAGATCTCCGGAAATTGGCGGGTGCCTCGGAAGCGCCCTTTTGAAATTTATGTCCTATCAACCTCCCCCCCCCCTCTTGCTAGCTGTCGCCTACCGTAGTTAGCGAAGTGGGCGTGGCATCGCTTTGAGACGCGTCAAGTCCTCTTTGAACGCATTTTTTTGGACTCTTGTTTCCTCTCTTGTAGCAAGTTTTTTCTACGATTTTAGCTCATAGAAACCTTTTTCAGAAACTAAAATCTCTTAGACCCTTCACCCCTATAGGGACCACTTTGGTGTCAAATTTTGAAGTATCGAAAGAAATTCAGATTAATTTGGCCTTGGTCAAAAAAAAAACCTGATTTTTTTAGTTTCTATTATTCATTTTTTAAGCCGTTTTTTTGCTTTGAATTTTTACTCTAAATTTGATTTTTTTGATTTTTTTGACAATTTTTTTCGATGAAATTTCGAAAAAAAGTTCATGAAAAAGTAGGCATTTTTTTGAGACATATTTTTTTCAACACCTTTGAAATTGTAGAAGAAGTTGTGAGAAAACTATCTGTTACAATTTTTTTGAATTTTTCGCCGTGAAGACATTAGAATTGTTTCCAAAAAAACCTTTTTTTCAATTTCAATAATTTTTGAATTTTTCTATATTTTTTTGTCTATCCTTGGATCTCATATACAAATTTTCTGGAAAATAGGAAATATTTTATCATTAGAGCGCACTAGATTTGTTCCAAAAGGTTTATTCATAGGCAGGCAAAGTCGGAAGGGTCGAAAAAGGCTCTAGAAATGCTCCTTTTTTGCTGCCTTTTCGCGCCATTTCATCGGCCCTTATGCACGATTTTTGCTGTCTTTCCCTTTTTCCACCATTCCTTGAGCCTTTAAAATTGCAGAAAAATCGAAAGGCTCATTAAAGGGACCCTTTTTGCTGCCTTTTTGTTGCCTTTCTGCAGCCTTTTTGCTCCTTTTTTGCTGCCTTTTTGCTGCCTTTCTGCTGCCTTTTTGCTGCCTTCTTGTTGCCTTTCTGCAGCCTTTTTTGAGCCTCACTCTTTTAGCGGCCATTATCCACCAATCCGACTTTACCCGAGTTTTCTTATAGAAGTTTTTAAAAGTCGATATTTTTTTATCACATTAGAGCCCTTCAGAAGCTTCTATTGAGATGCCGGAAATCAAATTTATCAACTGGTCCCCAGACTACAGATTCTTTTTCCTGTCGTAAAATAGATCATTTTCTTCCCAAAAAAGAAAATTTATCGATTTTATCCGTAGAGCGATCTCTGAACTTTTTAGTCTGTTAATTTGTCCATGAAAAAACGCATTTCCAATTATTTATTTTGTTCTCGTATGCTTCATTTGTCAACTGGGCGTTGACTTTTTTTATCAGTTTTCAGATAAGAATTTTTGACAAATTTTTGGACACTGTGATAAGTTGCTGCTGCCTAACCCCCCTTCAAACTTCCTGCAGCCCACCCCCAAATGCGACCTCTAACTCCCCCCTTAAACTACCGATGCATGGTATAGTAGTCTTCAAAAGCTCATCATTCGGGTTTGAAATGCGGTACATCCGTCCGAAACGAAAAAAGAACCGTCTGACTCATCCCCTGAAGCTCTCACTTGCACAGTCCTTTGTCTTTCTCCACTCCCCCAAAAAAGAGTAGTGACATACACGTACATGGATCCGTCCCCCCTTACTTTTTAACACACAAAACAAAAAAAAGGCCCCCAAAACGGGACCGGGGGACAAAAGGCGACGACGTATTGTCTTTGCCCTGAATTTCCGTCTTTCTTCCCCTTTTCTTTACGGTCATCCTTCTCCAGCCAGAAACAAGAGCATTTTCGAACGGTTTTTTGTTCTTTTCTCTTGGAAACTTGGCAAGAGTTTGACGCTGAAAGTTGCTTTTGAGATTAGAATGTGAGACCAAAAAATGGTAGGTTTTTGACGATTTTGAAAAATTTTTTCGCTTTTTCTGAAGCTGGTTAGCTTTTTAAGTTCACTGCTAACATGAATTTTTCCAAAAATCCAAAATATTATAAGTTTTTTGGCTCAAAACTCGACTTGGACTGTGGAAAATTCAGTTATTGACGGCTCAAAATGTACCTCGATAAGTTTTCGCTATCATATAACGTCTTATCTCGAAAAGTGGGCGTGTCAGAAAAATGCAATCGGCACGCAGGCCTCACTGTCAATGATCTGTGTCCCAATTTCCGGTTGCCAAATTAATTCGGGATGGAAATCCAGCCGGCTTCTCGTTTTTAAGAATAACAAAGGGAGGAATATAAGCTTCAAGAAGTAGTGTGCACCTGTTGCATTTTTTAGCCACGCCTCTTTTAAAAAAAAAAATCAGGAACTCCATTTTTTTTTTTGAGGCTTCAATTTCAAGTTCTTAAGGACTCCAGAGTGGTTCCTATAGAGGCAACTTCAGGGGTCCCTCTAGGGACCACTTACCTTTTTATAGACGCAATTAAAGTTTGCAAAAGTGACCCCCATAGGGGGAAAAGCTAGACGAGTATTTTTGTGAACTCTATGAGAAGAACCATGTAAAATTCTACAAAAATTGAAAGGCCCTTTAGTGACCACTTAAGCTTTAGTGGTTTAGGTATCGAACCCTATAGTGCCCACCTAAATTTTACCCATACTGCGTCAATTTTTCGTCCCCTGTAGGGACCACTCTGGCGTTCCTAAGCTTCTAGATC